GACTAACTACCCTCTTGGCCTTGACATAGTCTTTGCTTGTCTTAACTGGCAAGCTGGTTCAGGTCCAGCCAGTCATTTCCTCGCTAACAAAGCAAAGAGTTCCGAGCTGAGGTCATTGACCCTTTCTTTAGTACTGACTTACCCATTCAGCATGGATACTCTGGATACATAGTACAATAATCCATGCTCTCCGACCACGCAGAGAAACTCAAATCATCTCAGCTGCGCTGCTCTTGCTTTCTGTTCCCACTCTTCCTTTTCTCTAACGTAGATTATCTCCGCACCAATGATGGATGAAGCTCACTGTTGTGTCAACGGGAGACCGACCAGGACTAGAAAAACTCCTTTGCCCGACTGAAGTGGACAGTTGCGTGTGATGTGTTCTATCCTCGTCATATTATCAGTCCTTTCTGGCCTATTATTGCTTATTTCCAATTTCCTGAGTGGTGCCGCTAGCGTAGGGCGCGGGCTACCCTGTTTCCCGCGCTCTGACGTCGGTGTGGATGACTTCCAACGAATACTACTGATGATACTCCGTAGGGGCCGAATCTATAACCGCGAAAGTAATAATAAATAATGTCAACCAATTTCAATTCTCAAATAATTAAGAGCAATATCCACAGGCTGGTGACATGCCAAAAAGCATGGACACTTACGCGCACCCCTCCCCTCCCCTCCCTCCCTCCCTCCCTCCCTCCCGCCTCCCATTATTATTCTGCAACACATAATGATTATTGTTGTCGGGTGTCTATTTTCCTAGAGTAGCAAAAGCAGAGAAATTGGAGGGCCCGCCAGCCTTGGGAATGGATGGAAATTGGTTTCCCGTTCGTTCCATGTCACTAGTCAGACTTGACCCGAGGACGGGCGGGTCAGACCATGGGAGCCCATCTCGGTAAACGTGGTCGCGATCTGAATCGAAGATGGTTCGCTGTTGCTCCTGCTCCTGCTATATCCATGCGACATGGATAATTATCCCTCTGACGGTCAGTGGTTGAGTGAATATCCGGAGTCGTGTGCGCACCATCGCAGACTCGGGGGGGGGGGGGGGGGCAAAATTACCCAGTAAATAACGTACTCCGCGGTGTACTACTACGTACTACCGGGTACGTGATGGACGATACTGTCAGTTATCGGGTTTATTTTGGGAAACTTGTTGACGTGACCCTGAGAGAACGATCCATCTGGCGTTAACTTGTGGTACTGGTGGTACCTAGTTTCTATTCTCAGTCGGAGGATGCGATGGAGGGAGGCGCTCTCGTCCGCACCGAGGCGGGGCGTGTTGGATATTACTCGTTACCAACACCCGGCGGGCGGAGAGTCATCACGGGCTGTCCGAAGTCAAGTCCCTCATCCTCCTCCCCATCATCCCATCCATCCCCATAGGATAGAAGCATCACGGGTAATTGTTAGGGCCTCGGAAGCATTGCTATCATGACGATATACTCCGTCGCAACTGCACGCGAGCGTGATCTCTGCAGAACGTGGAAAAAAGGATGGATTCCCAGTCCAACGCGGTGCAATCGCGAAGCCATGTCGTCATCCTGCATGGATGCTTTCCCCGACCACATCGCGTCCAGCATCACGGCAGATGATTAGCTCCATCTCATTTGCTCTGCGTGTGCATCGGGAGCCAGTTTAGGGGCTACATGTACATATCTGACCACCTGTACGAAGCACTATATCGCTCTGCAGTTCAAGCCACTTCCACCACTTCCCGTCCCAGTCGACATGGATTCGGATGGGGCTGCAAGAAGAACCCTGACGCGCAACGGACAATGCGCGCAACTTTCCTTTATTGCTCGATCCTTGAATGACTTCCATGTACTACGCACGGTGCAGCCATCGCATCGTACTTACATCCTGCCTTGCACCAATTTTCAGTTGCTGCCGCGCTGACCATGCACGTAAATGAACCTGAGGTGATGTGGATCCGTCAGGAGCATTTGATATATACTCCGCCGGGCGATGTCCTTACGATTGACGATGTGTGATGTACTCCGTACTTGCTGCTTCCTGTATGTGCTCCCATCAGCAGCACCTCCATGCTTTCATCCCACTTCGAGCCGCCGTTGCCATACCGCCTCGACAGGGATGTCTCCTATTAGCGGTATTGCCGCACCCCGTACCTCTCTCTCTTTTTCTCTCTCTAATGAGGTACGGAGTACGGAGTACTATCATACTACAGTAATTACTACCACTCGGTAGGCCCTGCAGCCAGGCCGCCCTATGGCCTCCGGCTGCAGCGTTCCCAGACGGCCAAGTCATCACCACCGCACTAATTGCCTAGGGCCAGATGAGCCTGTCGCCAATCATCGCGCGCGACCCTCTGTCCTGGTGGCTTGGCCGCTTTTGCGCAACATGTCCAGTGCATCATGGCGTTCCAGGAATGCCGCCATTGGCTGCGTCTGATATAGAACTGTTAAGGGGGAAATCCATCCGTTCTCCGTGGATCAGGTGAAGGCAGCAATGGCGAGGTTCAGCTTCTTTCATCGAGTCTCCTTCTCCTTCTCGTTCTCCTCGGTGCGGTGCGGTACCTACATCCCCGTCACATTACGGGTATTACGGTTGGTACCTTAGATTGGAGACTATTACCCAATCCGCGTGCACGGCTACACGTACGAAGCAGGTACGTACCTGCTGGATTACCAGATCCAAAGAGGCAAAAGAAAAGGAAAAGGGACAGCCAGTCAATTCTGGGTAGCCGGTGGAGCCGGCCCACCCAGTCTGGGAGCTTTTTTATCTCAATTGTCCAGTGACTTCCTCCCCCACGGAACGGGTATTCCCTTGACGTATCTTTGTGATCTGCCGCCACTTCCCCGCTACCTTGAAACACCCTCCAAGGGCTCAAGGCGAACCTTGGTCGCTGCATCTAAGCTTAACTCTTGGCGTTGCCTGCCCTCCTGTAATCTTTTTTTTCTTTTTCCCTTTCCATAAGTTTGCGTTTTTCCTTTTTATCCACACCCTCTTCGTGTCGACTTCGGCTCCCACGCCTTTCTGCTTCGGGGCTGGTCCCTCCTCCAGACACGCTACTTGGTATAGACACGGCACAAACTGTCTCCCCCCCCGCCGTCCCCCCTTTAGCACCCAGCAGTCACCTCTGCCAGTGCTGGTGCCAGTGCCAGTCACCCCGTCTCTCCCTCTTGGGTTTGTCTACTCTACCTTCCGGAGTAGGCTGGGGTCCACCGCCCCTTATGATGAATCTTCCCGCACGGCTGCTGCCAAACTGCCACATACGGAGAGAGCACGGAGGGGAAGATGGAGTCGCCTCTCCATATGGGACAGTACTTAGTGGCTAACCATGAAAAAAAAAAGGTCCTGTGCCTGAACTGTCGTAGTCCTCCTCCATCCCCATTCCATGTTTCCCTATTGCTTGTGTTTGCCTTTTCTCTTTTGCGCAAAACCCACCCTCTCTGTTCCTGCCCCCTCCCCCTCCTATTCATTCCCTTCGCCTTCCGGGTCCCCTTTTTTCTTTTACCTTTTTGGTGATTGACTTTGCCTCATGCTCATTTCTTTTGTGGTTGTCCCCATCTCGAGTTCCGGACGCTGGGGAGTTGGAGAGACTTGACACACATGTGTAGAGGTACTTGGAAGCAGTTGGTCGATTTATTATTACAGATTACATGTACATACAGCTTGCCTGCATGGGAGGGGAGGAGGGGAGGAGTATTCTCGTATGAAAGGTACAAATCGCATACATACCAGATACATAGATACACACCACCTGCCGGGCTGCCTACTGTACTGTAGACAGACTACTGTGATCTGATCCCGGAGTTTCAGGTGTCCCCTTTCCCTTGCCCCTGCGTTTTTGGCTATTGGTCTGCCCTGCTCTGGGTCGATGCTGAGTGTATGAATTATATTGAAGCGATGAATCTTGCAATTACGCAATGTGGGATGGCCAGTCTTATTGCTTAGTATTTCATCTATGCATCGTTTCCCTTAGATTATGGGTATCAATCATATTAGGGCAGCGGACAACAAAAATAGAAAAATAAGCAAAGGGAAGCTCGAAATTCGATTTCGAGAAAATCAAATGAATCCATCCCGCTAAGGAGAAAGAGGAAAATAGGGGAGGGGAAAAATCCCCCAAGGCCTGAAAATCGAAAAAAGAAAAGAAAGGCCAAAAGGAATTTCCCAAAAAAGAAAAAGAAATCCAAATAAATAAAAAGAAAGTTGGGTGGATTGGGACAGAAAAATAATAAAAAAATAAAATAAAAATAAAGGACCCAAGCCAGGGAAAACAGACCCATCCAAAACCTTGAGAGTCACCCGAGGAACTGGTTCCCATTTGGAGATTTCCACTGCCACTAAGAAGCAATTCCTCTCGTTTTTTAACACTGACGCCGTTTCGAAAAGCCTAAGCGGCCGCCCAAGCAGCGATCTGCAACCGTCCCCGACGGGACGTCGTAAGTGGCACTAGCCCATCACCAACACGGCAACGCCAGGGCTTCCCTTCGTCCCTGCGGTCCATCCTCATGCTGCGATCCTGTATTTGTTCATAAGCTTCGCCGATCCCCTTCGGGCCCTTCCCCAGACTGTCTTTCCTTCTTCCTATCTGTCGGGTTCCCAAGAGCTTCTACTCCTGGTTACTTTTTCTTCTTCCACTGGAACCGCAAGCCTTCTTCCTCCTATTTACTCCTCCCCTCTTCACCGTCTCGCATCTACTATTTTACTTTGCGCCTTCCCATCCTCCACCGAAGCTTGTCTACTCTGCAACTCTGCAACTCTGCAACCCTTCCAACCCTGCGCAACCCTCTTGCGATCTCCCCTTCGCGCGGATCATTGCAACTCGCCTATTTGTTCCTTGTTGATCATCTTCATTCCTCTACTGCTCCCCCACCTCTTGTCATCCCTCCTTCGCACGCGCTCTCGTCTCCTCCCTTCGCCGTCTTCGCGGGGAACCTGTGTTTTGGTTCCTGCATTTCTAGGGATACCCGATCTCGTGCCCGTGTCTCACCAGCCCTTTACAAGCCACCTCTCCGCGATAACCAGTCTTCTCCATGACGATGGTCATTGAAAACCAGAACCGCCAGTATGGCGGGATGGGCTTCGACAGCGTGTATCAACACAACCTCCACCACCACCAACCGCCACAGTTCACCGACCCATGGGCTGCCGCTCAAACTTCGTCCCATTCCACCCCTCCGGTCTACGCGACTACCATGGGCCCCAGCCCAATTGGCCTCAACCATGTCAAGCAGGAGGAAGTGAGCCGCCCGTCGATGTCCATGCCATACTCGAGTATCCCGGTTTCTGCGCCCTCGATGGTCGCCAGCAGCAACTATCCGACGGCCACTGCTACGAGCTACCCCGGACCGGAGATGATGGGTTTGTCGCACGATATGCCACGCACTTCCTTCGAGCAAGCGCCGGCCTACACCACCGCCTCTCCCATGAGCAGCTTCGCGCCCGCCAGTTATGCCCCTCTGAGCTATGCTCCATCTCTGCACCAACACCCGGACCGTCGGATGTCTCATGCGTAAGTTTCACTGGTCTTGTTCTTGCGCGCAAAAAAGAAAAAAAATATGTGCTTACAGTGGTTCCCCTTCCAGTGATGCTCGCGTCAGCCAATCGCAACCCTCTTCGGCCCCTACATTCGGTGATGCGCTCGATGCTAGTCGTGGAATGGTCGCTCTCAGCCAGGATATGACGCCCCGGAATATTTATGGTCCTCGCAGCTCTAGGGGCTCGGGCGACTCCTATGGCTTCCCCTCCACTCACTCTTCCGGATCCTCGATTTCCTCGGGCGGAACCTACCCATACTACTCTGCATCTGTCGCATCTGTCGAGTCGTCCGTGACTGACTACAGCTCTACAACATCCGAGTCATACGAGAATGGGCACCTGTCGCGGACGCTTCCTCGCCCGTCGAACCTGTTGACCGGCAGCGCGCCTCCGGGACCCCAGTCGATGATGAGTCAGTTCAGCTCCAAGATGCCGTCCAACACGCAGAAGAAGCACAAGTGCAAGGTGTGCGACAAGCGGTTCACCCGCCCGTCGTCTCTCCAGACCCATATGTACAGTCACACTGGCGAAAAGCGTAAGTCCCAGGACGAATCTCTCGTGCACGCGGTTTGTGATACTAATCGTTTTGAATAGCATTCGCATGTGACGTGGAAGGCTGTGGTCGTCACTTCTCGGTCGTCTCCAATCTCCGGCGGCACAAGAAGGTCCACAAAGGAGAGAAAGAAGGCGGGTCTGGCGAAGACGAAGAGTAAATGCGCGCATCGCCGTCATTCTTCTGTCCTTCTTGGACGCCTCCCCCCCCTGAATAACCCCCCTCGCGGGGCGGGGCAGCGCGAAGTTCGATCCTGCGACGCATCGCATCACCTTGTGCGACGTCTGCTTCCGGATCGGGGTTCGCGCCCTTGTACAACAGCTTCGATTCCTCTTCCGCTACTTCTCTTCTCTTTCCCGTCTCGGCCAGTGTGCAGAGAATTGATACCCCATTTCCTTATTTTCCTTTGTTGTCTTTTTTTTTTTTCGTTTTGATTCCCACGGACAGGCAGAACACGGTACAACGGCTCGGAGGGTTGCCAGTGATGTCTTTATTCCCCAAGTTTATGACCATAGAGGTACCGGTTGTTTTTGCTGGTTGGTGGCTTCATTTCCTTTTGTCAGATTTCCTTCATATCTCTCGCTAGACTAGGGAGTTGGTTGTATGTTTTTCATCCTGTTCTGTTTGACATGACTTTTCTTTGCTCAGATACCAACTGGGTTTGGGTTGATTATGATTCACTTCTTTTTCTGCGGTTCGGTGACATACATGACTTGGGATCCGGAAAATACACGCAGCAGGCAGTTTCTTCCCCCCCTTTTCTTTTCTCAAGACTATTTTGCTTTTTTTTTTTTTTTTCATTTATTCCCTTTGTGTGTATGTGTTGACCCTCTTGATTTTGGTTGCCTCTTCCCCCCGCACCGCGGGGATGTGTTCCTGGGACATTAGCATGGGCTGTTGATCTGAGTTTTTTTTTTCTGCTGGGATAAATTGCTATAGGAGGCGCACTCTCTTGAAAGACACGAGTGCAGGGCTGATACCCGTTGCAATTGGGCGGAGCATGGGCTGGGAAAGGCAGGCCGGTTTTGTTTGCCTGTTTGGACATTGTTGTTTGGAGCATTGACACAGAACGTGTCACCCTACGGTCGCTACTATATACCTTATTTATTGTCTAATCAACACGCTTGAAATGCACTCCAGGGCCTCCCTGTAGAGATATTCTTGTTATTCTCCATTATAGTTGGTGATCAAGTCATCTGGGGGTGCTCAGCAGCTGCCCTCGTGTCACCACTCCGCGCGCTGTCAGCATTCTACTTGAACGACGATCTCTTGCCACCGAGTTCATTGCAACTCCGGACCTTGTCTCTTGTCCCGTGTCAGCTCAGATGCGGCCGTCTCTTCTGCTCTCTACCTTCCAGGCACCGGCCCGACAGATCAACAGGGAGATGGATGCACACACGTCTCGAGATGAGCTGCTAAACCCTTGCATTGACTGCTTTCCCAGTTCATGTATCTATCTTATTAACTCGAGTCAGATCAGGATCCAATTTCTCGATTCCCCCGAAGAAACCCTTGCTTGGCCTCCTGTTTCTTAGCGACCGACAGACACCCCGGCTTCCATTGACTGGGACTGGAGTGGACTGGAGTGAGACGGGGACTGGTTTCACTCGGTCAGAAGGCAACTGGGACGGAAGACTGGCGTCACATTACTATGTATCGATATCGAAAGATGGCCATTAATTCTGGGCGTGCATCAGGGAATCTGGGGCTGGATCGGATTGAGGGCTCTGCAGTTGAGTTTATGGATATATGGCATATATGAGGTTTGGGAAGAGGTATCTTGTGCAGAGATATGGTAGTCACTGGATGCAATGGGGACAAGGGATGGATGGATATATCAAGGAGTTTCGATGGTGAGGTCGAGGTGGCTGTGACAGACATATGGTATGGGACTTGCTTTGGTTGGGCTGGGTCTGGATTGTGGCGAGGTGTTCTGAAACACAGTGAGTGTGAGTGCTTATAAAAGCTCGAAGGTCATATCTGTTGGGATCTAATTCGAGTTGTTCCGCAGACCGAATGGGACAAGATGGAGAAGTCATGTCAGTCTGCTACCACCTAGATGGCAACCCAACCATGTCACGGATAGAGATATCTCCAGGCTGCTTACCTCGAGCAAAGACAATACAACCAATGCAATGGCTTTGTCCACGGTTCAGAACCGGATCCTGGGTGGCAAGAATGCATGCAGGGTATCATCACATCTGAAACGATCGACATTGGCACGGTGCACGGTGATCTTGATGCCATCCCCGGATGCTGCCACGAGGCTTTCTTCCGCCCAGCGGCGCTTAGACCAGAACCTTATTGGGGTGACTCGAGTTTCATCCAGTGGGCAGTGATTCGGGCGGCGGGCTGTTGGTCGGGGTGTAACCTGCGCTGCCCCAGGAATGGATGGGTCTTTGTGAATAGCATCTTATCTGGAATCCAGAACAGGGTTGGTGGATCGCTGGAGAGAACATCTCGCCAATGGGGATGGCGATGCTTCTGGTTTGTCTCACTCTGATGCTGGGAATATTGTCTCTGGGTGGCACAGAGCTTCTGGATGCTTGTTGGCCCGCATGCACTTGCTGGCATATCCAACATATCCAACATCTCCCGCCTCTGGTCATGTCCTTCATTTAAACAATGGGATGGATGTTTGCCACAGGACAGTCATATGTTCACTAGTTCTTCTAACTTGCTACAGCTTGCGAAGAGAGGCGGAGTTAGCTGTGTGTGAATACTTTCTTAGCGTCTATATATACTCCGATCAGCTCCATGCTTCCGACCTTCTCCTTCCTCCCCCATCCTGTCATCCTCTCGCCCTCCCATCCCTCAATCCACTACATCTAACCACTCGAGACCTGCAATTTGCAATTGTATTCTTCAAGATGTTCCTGCGCCATCTCCTCCTCCTCCCTTTCATCCTCTCCCACACTCTCATCCTCGCGGGAGGACCCCCCAGCCCTTCGTGCCCTCGCGCGACATCATCCCCACCACCGAAGTCTTCCTCTCGACCTTCAAAAACGTGAAAATCGGCCAGTACACCAACTGCTCCCTCAGCGACACCGTCCTGGACCTGAACCTGACCCATCCCACCACCCTGCCCTCTCCCTCTCCCGGCCTCAAACTCAAGTACCTGGCCATCGGCCTCGGCAGCCAGAACTACACCTGCGCATCCGCAGGCGCATCCGCAAAGCCCACCTCCATCGGAGCCGTCGCCACGCTCTACGATGCGTCCTGCGCCCTCTCATCGAACCAGGACCTGTTGCACGCTCTCCCCAACCTCGTGACTCGCGTCCCCATGGAAGCCGTCGAACTCGTCGCTACCCTCGCCAGCTTGCTGAATCCCAGTTCTCTGGGTGTTATCATGGGCGTGCATTACTTTAGGGATGCCTCGACCGCGTTCTTTGATTTTCGTCCCAGTGGTGCGAATGACTGGGTTGCGGCCAAGAAGGTCAATAATGCTACTGCTCCTGGGGGGTACCATGTGCCTTGGTTGAAGCTGGATAGCGTGGAGAGTAATGGGATTAAGGTAGGACCCCTCTTCTTCTTCTCACCAACTTCCCCGAATTGCCTCTCTCATGGATGGGGATGGGCAGTGTGTTGTGGATAGTTCACTGATGCTATGTCGTTCGTTATACAGGAGGTGTTCCGCGTTCATACGATCAATGGCGCCGCGCCGGCTACTTGTCAGGGCTTTGATGGTCCGTTCCAGATAGGATATGCAGCTGAATACTGGTTTTATGGTTGATTTGTGGCGGGTTCGAGCTTGCTTGTGGCTGGGACGGGACTCTTTGGGTGCTGGTCACTCAGGGTGTTGTTGGCTGTGAGTGAGTGTGTGTACAATGGATGCACTTTGTGGTCTGTTGGTACTGGGTTATTTCTTTTCTTACTTTATTGTCTCTCCTGTCAGCCCTGTATCTGGGAGTTGATCAATGAAGTTGAATCTGGTTGATCGGGGTCTCTGAGAGTGTGAAGGTTTAATCCCTCTTTTCAGTAGTCTATTGATAGTAGAGTAGGGATGCAACCAAATCAGGTTATGTTAGGAATCAGATCGATATAGCCAGCTTTCCCGAGCAGATCTGTCTGCCTTTTGAACTGAGTAGATGGGCAGAAGGTAAACTCTACCATTGAAGCTCTGTGATGTGCCTTTCTTCCACAAGCATAGAATGAAAGCATGCTTTCTCTCCACAGCCTTCCGGATCTGATCACCTACCCTCATCTTGCTTGTTCTTTCACCCCAAGTAGCTGGACATGCATCTTTTCACACACCCTTGGATGTCATAACGGATAATCTATCCATAGTGACATCAATAAACTTTGCCCTGAGCTAAGCCATCCATCGCCAACAAAGCCAGCTCAGCTGCAGAAACCTTGTCCCCACCTGCCATGTCATCCCCGGGTGCGCCTTTCCAACCCCTCTGCGATTCTTTCAACTGTCAAGTACCCCGGAATCCCCGACAAGCTTTGACATAACCAGTCCTCTGTTAATGATGAATGGATGAATGATCAATGAGCGGTGGGCCAAAAATAGCACCACCTCAAAGGAGATCATTATGTCAGCACCCGCCGCGCCGGGGGAACAATGACTCCCCCGCACGTGACCCTGTTCCCCGAAGCACCAGCAGCTCAGCTCACTCGCGTCCTCACATCTTCATCGTTTGTCCAGCTTCATCCCATCCCCATCCCCATCCTCATTCCTGCCCTCCCAATTCCCTACCGACCATCCCGTCAATCCTTACTCCGTGCGCTTGATGCGCATACCTGTCTAGCCTGAATTGACCACCTACATCAATCCAATCAGCCCGTCACTACCTAGCTACCAAGACCAACCAAACACCAACCACTGCGCCCACCCCCAATCCATCCCCTCTTTCCTCAAACCCTACCAAAACAGTCATCATGACCACCGACTACAGCAAAAAGACCAACGCGGAGCTAGTCGAGATCCTCAAGACCCGCAACCTCCCCCACACGGGCAAGAAAGCAGAGATGGTGTCTCGGCTCCAAGAAGACGACAACAAGGACGGCGCTGCTGCCCCTGCCGCCACTGACGCTGCTGCCGCGCCCGCGAAACCCGCCGCCGCGGACGACGTCATTGACTGGGAAGACGACGAGGTCCCCGCCGCGAAGCCCGCCAGCGCCGCCACCATCGCCGCGGGCGGAAAAGGCGAAGTCGCCAACCCCGTCGCGGTGCCGAACCAGAAACTCGATACCGATCCCGCCGCGACGAGTGACTTGAAGGTTGCTGCCGAGGGAGAGGTCCCCGCGCCGCAGGAGGAGAAGAAGTCGGAGGAAGCTCCCGCCGTTGTTGCTGCTGATGCTGCTGAGGGCGCGAAGGTGGAGGAGACAAAGGAGGAGGAGAAGAAGCAGCCCGCGCCGACCTTCTCGGCTGGTCTCCCGATCACGGAGATGGAGGCCGAGTTGAAGAAGCGCAAGGCGCGCGCGGCGAAGTTCGGCGTTACTGAGGAGTCGAAGGCGGCGATCGAGGCGGCGGAGAAGCAGCTGGAGCGGGCTAAGCGCTTTGGCACTGAAGTGCCGGCTGCGACGGCCGCGGAGGTCGGTGTCAAGAAGCTCGATGAGGCGCTGCCCGAGGAGAAGTCCCGGAAGAGAGGCCGCGGGGAGAATGATCAGGGTGCTGGTGCTGGTGCTGGTGCTGGGGAGAAACAGGGTGCTGGTGGGCGTGCTGGGAAGAGGCGCGATGTTGGGGCTGGTCGCAATGCCAACAATAACAATAACAACAACAACAACAACAACAACCGGGCCCGTGCGAAGGGGCGTGGTGGGAATCGTAATGGCGGCCAGCGGAGACAGCAAAATGGTGGTGGTGGTGGCGAGAAGAAGGCTGCTGCTCCTGCCCTGAGTGAGAAGGATATCCAGGCGATGGAAGCCCGGAAGAAGCGGTTTGGAACGGCTGCGTAGGTCTACCGATCTTGCACGATTCCTTCCTCCCTTCCCTTTCTTTTTCTTTCTTTTTTTCTTAAATTTCTGTGCCATATCTTTGTCTATGTTCTATCTACCGGCGTTTAGGGGAAATGAAAGCTTCACTACGCACATCACATTCCATTATTGTCATCATTATTCATGTAGATACTCCGCCCGTACTATATTTCCGATTCCACGCGAACGGACCGACGGGCTGGAAGCGCCGGCCCCCCTCCCCAGGGACTAAGTAGGAAGCGAAATGAGGACAGAAGGCTGCCTGCCACTCAACAGCCGAACCTGGTCGATCGGAATGCCCAGCCAAGTCTCACATACTTCTTATTCATGTTACTCGGTAACCGGCCATACGACTCGGACATTGGTCTGCACGGGGTGTGACAGGAAGTCAGGGTGTGGGATTGCGATTTCTGCTCGGAGATTTCCCCTGCTTTGGGTCATAGGACCGTGCTGGGTGACATTATCGGTTATCGTTGTGTTTTTTTTTTTTTTATTATTATTCTTGACTTGGTTTTTCTGCAAAGCAAGCAAGCCTAATAACACCTGCAGTGGAACCGGCACTGGCACTGGCACTAAATCCCACCCACCCGCCCGCCCGGACAACACGTTCAGCTGAAAATCCCCCCCAAAAAACAGGGCGCGCATGACGCCAGTTCCTGCAGCAAAACTGACGGTGTCTTCCTCTTTCATTTCCATCTTCCTGGGATCTGGGATCTGCATCGGGGCGCACATTATTATTGCAGAAGGCTATCACTGCATGCCTACATAGTAGGTAGGTAATATCCTCCACCTTTGTTGCTTTTAGGCTTGTTTGTTGCTGGGTCGGTCAGCCTCGCATGTTATTTCCGTGAGGGGAAGTTGGGGTCCATAGGATAGGTTATTTTTTTTATTTTTTTTTTTTTATTAGTAGTTATCCTAGGTAGATAGATAGGTAGGTAGGTAGGTAGGTAGGTAGGGAGGAAGGTATGAAGGCGTATACGTATATGCATACGCATACCCTCATCCAACATCTCTGGTCATGGATGATCTGGATCAGTGATTGGTATGTTGCACGTCGCTTAGAGATTTCCCTAGTATTCCTCCTCCTACAGGTTGGATACCACTCAGGAGGCATTGATAGCCAGCTAACCAGCTAACCAGCCAGCCAGCAGCCAGCAGCACATAAGGAGTAGTAAGAGTAATCAATAGCATACCATCTGGAAGTAAGAAAGAGTCAAATAACCGCCATCCCCCTCCCTCATCGCCTCAGCCTTCACTCCTTCTGCCGGCTCGTTGGTCCAGTGCCCCGTGAGGCTAACAGCGACGGATGGAATCCGTCCGCGTCGCATCCGTCAATCAGGCGCGATATCTAGTCGCTCTCGCCCCGTGTTGACGGGTTTAGCGGCGGATCAGGACCCACGGCTCAGCGACTCCGCATTCCTTGGATCGGGCCACATTCCTGTTATCGTGCAGTTATTGAGGGATCGAGATAGAGACTAGTAAGTACCTAATAGGTGTCGATAGTCGGATCCACTTTCTGGTGGATTGTAGGTCCGAGGGACTGAGGGAAGGGCTCAGCTGCCGTGTCTGTGTGCGTTGGTTATGGCTGTGGTTGTGGCCATGGTCATGGTTGTGGGTGGATGTGGATCAGGAAGTGTCAGTGTCAGTGTCTGTCAGTGTCTGCCATAACTGGATGGAGGATGGCTCGGGGCGAACCTTCCGGGACTCTGTACCACAGTTGAGTATAACAGGAGTAGTGGTGATACAGAGGCAGTCGGCCTCGCCGAGTTCCTGGCAGAAGGCGGCGGTCACTGGATGGTCAGTGACCACCACCTGACTGGGACTGGCTCCAAAATTCTCCGGTGGGCGTCAAATCAGCTCTTCTCGACCCTCTCAACTTCCAACCACACGGACCAGCAACAGCTCGAAGCTCTCTAGCGCCTTGCGGCAATTCAGTCGATTCGGGACAGAGGACGGAGACTGACTGACTGACTGACTGACAGATACAGACAGTACTGAGTGCCAGTGCTGCTAGCTGCTAATAATGCCTGCAAATGGCCGCCCCGCTATCTCACGCCACTCGCCTCCATCTCGACCTGTCAAGCCGTACCGTTGAGCAGTTCTGTCTCCCCCGATCTCACGGCACTTACCACTTACAGACCCCCCCCCTTCCCCGTAGCAAACGCAAGTGGGCCGGGGCATGGATTCCCTCCTCTGGGCGTGGTCCTGCCCCCGATACCGATACCAGAACCCCCCCCGGGCGTGAGGTTATTCGCTCGACCGCTCGTGCGCGGCGTGGATTTAGACTGTTGCCAGGATCCGGGTGCTCGACAAACAAGAGACGCGAAAGAAGCCCTTCCCCTCACAAGAGAACAAAGGGGGGAGGGGAAAAAAGGAGACGACCATAATAAAACAAGGGAGCCGTTCCTGCCTGTGCCAATGATCGTCCCGGTCACATCGGTGCTCGAATCCGGACCCGACGTCGATCGCACAAATCGCGCCAGGATTGCCTGTGATGGTTTACACCCTCACACTCGCCCTGATGGATTCGTCTACTTTGCGAATGGGGTACTCGCTTGTCCCCCACTAGATACGCTTGAGTTCCCCTCAACGGGGTCGAACTTAGTCCTGTGCGGTCCAGGGTTTTTTCCCCTAAACGCATGGTCCAGATCGATGGATGTCGGGGAGGGGAGGGATTAATACTGCCGTGCCGGGCCCTCTTTCTTTCTCGCCTCCCCTCTATTGCCCATCCATCACCGCTCGTTTTCCTTTTGTCGGGGTACGGTGTAGCTGAGGCTTGATTGTTCCAGGTCTACATCCGCCATCCGATGCAGTCTCGCATAGTCTTACTTTTCTTAGACGCTCTCTGACGTGGTCCTGCAGTCCCAGCTCCTCCGGTTTTCCGACTTTTCCTGCTGCATTTAGCCACTGTGCCCGTCTCCATACTGTGGCGCAGCGCCTGCATACTACTACTGTCTGCCGGCCAAGTACCTTTCGGTCACTACTATATTTTTTTTTCTCCGCCAGGTTTCTATATTTACAACCTGATGTCTACATGAGCACTTGGGAATTAAGTACTTCGTATTTGCCCCGCTGGATGCGACCGTCGGTGACTTGAGATCCTGTCTGTCCTGTCCCTCGGTTGCTTTTCTTGAATAGCTTCGTTTTCTGTCGCGACTAGATACCCCGCCACGCGCATTCGGCCTGGGTTTTGCGACCGCTGCTCGTTCATTGCGACTTCGTCTGGGTTGCAGATCGCACACTTTGATGCCATGCTCCGACAGGGTAAGTGTGTCAACAATCTCCTCGTCCAGGCCGAATAGAATGCTTACAATCATATTTCTGGCAGCGTTCCTTCACCAGCGATAATCATTATCGGGCGGGATGATTCCCACCTTGCCCCGTCTTACTCCCATCGCTAGATTGTTGGTCTCCGGACTGGAGCTGGCGACCGGAGCCAGGTCACACCATGTCGTCGCACAAGTCTGATGGCGGTCGAATACCCCGGTTGAAGGATGTTGCCAGTCAGTCCCGGATCGTATCCTCGCCCGCGATGAATTCAGCTCGGCCCAGCGACTCCTCTGCAGAGATGCTGTCCAGGCCGCAGATACCACGGTCGACAAATTTCTTCGCGAAAAGCACCAGAGCGTCGTCGATGTCCAATGCGGAGGAGAGTCGCCACAATGTCGCACGATCCATCCCGTCGAGAATCCCGGCTGGTCAGCATGTTCGTCCATCCATACCCCCGCGAGCCACTACCCATCCGTTGCCTCCGAAATCCCTGCATCTGACACCGGATCAAAGCGCTCACCAAACTTTCCACATGGCCGTCGAACCCCTGAGTGCCCCTGAGATTGCGACCCAGAACCCTGCCCCCAGTCGTCCCCGGAATGTCTTGCGAAGAAAGGCGCCAACAATCGGTCAATACACCGCGAAAAACAAACCATCGCCGGACAGAATACGACCTGAGAAATTAAACGTGGTTATTCCCGATAACCCTCCCATTGGCCACTCGGGCAGTGGCTTTTTCAAATCTCATGCGAGTGAGACAGATCTCGCGAAGAGATTGGCGTCGCCAATGGCGTCGCAGGATAATATATCGAGCATTGTACAGGATCATCAAGGCCACACCGGTCCGAAGGAGCTGGCAAGCCTCAGGACTACTACTATCAATACGCAGAACCTGCCACCTCCTACTCCGCTCATCCCATCCGCCAGTAGCCCTTCCACAAGGTATTCCGATTCTCCGGGGGTATGGAGTAGGACTTCTACCCCGACGACGTTATCCTCCTACTCACCGGGTATTGTTCATCCCGTGAAAGTCCCTCGCTTGAGACAGGCTAGCCCTTCCCAAAGTCGGCTTCCGGTGTTTTCGCATCAAGCGCAACAGATGAGCGCGTCAAGTGGTCGGGAGGTGCCAGTCCCTACCAAGTCTCCTCTCTTGGCTTCAAGCACAAGTTCAAGGACTTCAATCGTTGAGAACGAGGCAATGCAGCCTGTTTCAAAATCCAGCATGTCCAGCTTAATCAACACATCCAACAGTCATTTGCCGCGCAAGGCATCTACAAGCAGTGTGGCAAATTCTTCCAGGAAGGAGAATGCGAAGCATGATGCCAATGTGAAGGCCGAAAACCGAGTGTCGGGGTTTGTTTCCCACAGACCCAGAGACGTGAGCATGACGAGAAGCGTCGTTCAAGCCCCCCCAAGGCCGACCAGGGAGGGGACTCATCAGTTGGTCTTGGAGCCGTCGCCTGTGGTTCAGAGCAATATATCGCCCAAAGCGGTAACCGGCCATAAGCGTCGAGGGTCGGCCGACAAGTCCCCAATTGCCGAAAGAATTTCAAACTGGAATAGGTCTGCTGCCACATCCGTCGACTCGCTACATTCACGGGCCTCCTCCAATATAACCCCCCGTATACCGACATCACCAGACCTGTCGCGCAAGCTGCCTCGGATATCAACCACAGAAGTTAAGCCACAGCAGGATATTGCGAGTCCGGGAAAGTCACGGGCCTTTGGTCTCTTCACCAAAAGGTCTAAGCCTGAGATGGATGACCGGAGTGAAGGTCGTTTGGCTCGCAAGGGTCCAGTTGCTGGGACAGGGCATGAAGGTTATGGACGATACGCGCAGCGCGGCCGCAAGTCGAGCGTTAGTAGCAATACCAGTCGAGGAAGATCAACCAGCACGACTCGAAGCGGTCCCAAGTCGGTTGGGAGCAGCAAGAGCAGCAAAAGCAGCCGACCGGAGTTGGACCTGGACGATTTCTTACTCGATCGTCTCGAGCCTGTGATCATCAGAGGTGGGGATATGGACGGAAGACCTTTCGCACGGAGACCGAGTGAGCAGAGCACGAGTGGGATTAGCACGGCATCCACTTCGAACTTGACGGTGCAGTCTAAGATTTCCGAGTCACCTGGCTGTTCCACCGAGACCCTTGCGAGCTCGAGGGCATCGGCGGATCCGGGGGAGTCCATAGTCAAGAATCTGGGACGACAGGAAACATTGGAGAAGCCAGCAATAGCAAACACTCGCCCCGAGAATGATCCCAAAAGAGTGCAAGCGACTGCCTCTCGTTCGATTCAAGGGTTGCATCAGGCAAACCTTGACATCCGGAGTACTCGTCCCATACCCTCGAGCGATGTGCAAAGCTCCCAAAAGCAAGCCAAAAGAGGGCTGGGGATCAAGTGGAATATCTTCCAAAGAAAGCAGCCTACTGATAAGTCAAACGCCCAAGTCTCGACTCCGCCTGCCCCCAAGCTTCATGCCACGGTGTCTCGCACGGTCGCGCACCGGTCTGTTGCGCATTACGCTATGATCGATATCGACTCTGATCCTCTGGAGGAAATCGTGCATACCGTCGAGAAATCACCGCCAACGGAAGATGAAGATCCCAGCTCGCCGGTGCAGGTACCACCTGCATTGAATATAAAGAAGGCTACGGAGTCTATTCTCTTGCCTTCGCCACCAATGCTACACGATGCTTTGTTCAAGGACCAGCCCCAGTCGCCTAAGGTCTACTTTGACAAGAAGTTGGTGCCCCAGAGCCCCGAGACGAAGGTGGAGGAAGAGCGTCCGAGCCGTCTGGCGTCCGTTGGTCGCATCCCACGAGTGGTTTCGAGGCGCGAGAGGCCGCATAAGCCAGCTCTACAGTCGTTCTCGCGGCCATTCAGTGTGGCACAATCGCCTTCAATGCCAGCTCCGGTCGTTGACAAGCCCGGTGACTTGTCGTTCTCGCCTATATTTACCCCCGACTCTCGATATGATTCACCCAGCAAACCGCGCGATTACAAGTTTGATCTCACGAACCCGTTCAAAGACCCCTTGAAGGGCAGCGTCCTTGACTTTATCGCGGGTCCTTATTCTAAGGAAGAGTTCATGTCGTTCTTCCCTCGAAAGGACTCTATTATGTCAACTTCGAGTGGATCTGACAGCCTCGCTGCGGTCACGGCTGTCATCCCGGAGCCTTTATCGCAGTTAACGGAAGATGAGATATGGGGTGAATATGACGATCTGATCGACCATGTTCTTTCCCCTCAGACGACAAGCACCGTGTTTGAAAGTGAATCTGATGGGGATCATAAACTGGAACTAGCGACCATGGCCAGCAGGACGCTCCAAGCCGAGCTGAATGGGCAACAGGCCCAGTCTACGCTTGAAAAGCCTGCGGTAGAGTTTACGCCATCCTCTCCTCACTCGAGTACTGGTTCTGTCCGGCTTCGAAGGTCCAAGATTGCGCCGGAGCTGCATACCTCACTCACTCTTTCGTCTCAGCCGTCCTATAGTGAGATCATTGCCAGTTACTGTGACGATCGGAGTGAGACGGGCACGGTGGAAAAGGAGGCCGAAAACAAATCATTGGCGCCAAATCCAGTAGTTGAGCAGCCATCAGGCCTACTGAGTTCAACGGCTCTGGTTTCGTCCCCGAGCTTCGAGATCTGTCGACAGCGCAACACGGTCCTCTTCGACATTGCTGAGCGTGACCGTGAAGGGCCCACCGCGCACACGAACATTCGGTCCGGATCTCTCATGACCAGTCGGTGGCTGTCTTTCGGGAGAGTCCTCTTCAGCCCTGCCCATAACCACGCCAAGGGCGCAGATCAAGAGCGTATCCTGGTTGTCGACGGGCTAGGAAATGACGACTGGTCCTTCTACTGCTCATTGACATATCCGAACGCCCAGGTGTACAGTCTCAGCGACGGACCCAAGCCCACAGCATCCAAGCATCCAGAGGCATGGCAACCACCCTCAAACCATCATACCATCCACCACGCAAGCCTCAATGACCCATTACCCTTCCCAAGAGCATTCTTCGCCGCGACGGTCCTGCGATTCCCCGCCGCCTGTTCCGATCGCGCCCAGGACAACATCATATCCGAATGCAAACGGGTTCTCCGCTCCGGCGGATACCTCGAGATGAGCATCCTGGATCTAGACATGGTGAACATGGGCATCCGCACCCGTAAAGCTGTGCGCAAATTGAAAGAGCGAACCTACATCTCTGATCCGCACATCAGCCTCAAGCCCACCAGCGACAGCATCCAGCGACTCCTCGGACGACATGGCTTCGACAACCTCCGCCGCTGCATGGTCCGAATTCCCGTAGCCGGGATGATCGTGCGCACATCCGCATCATCCACCTCCACAACCTCCTCCTCCTCAAATCCCTCCGCAACCGTACTCTCCCCTCCATCCTCAACCCCATTCTCCCCTCTCACCGGCCTCGCCGCCGCCGCCAAAGCCAAGGCAAAAGCCCACGGCAAATCCTCCTCCAGCGACACCGACCTCTCCCTGGGTGACCTCCTCTCCGACCCCTCCTCCAACGACGAATCCATTCGCAAGATCGTCGCCAAAGTCGGCCGCTGGTGGTACACCCGATGCTACGAGCTGCCCGTCCTGCCAAACGGCGACGTCGCGCTCAGCATCTGGTCCGAACGGAGGATCCTCCGGGAGTGCCAGCACCGCGGCACGGGATTCCGGCTGTGGATCGCGTACGCGCAGAAACCGAGCGAGAAGCGGCGCACGGCGAGTGTTTAGTTCTGGCTGGCTGGATGGCTGAATGAACTGTCTCCATTATCTTCGTGACCCTCATCATTATTGTGGGATTATTGTTAATATTCTTGGTATTTTCGCATCTGGTGCTTTTGTACTATTCATGTTCTTTGGATATTGACGACCGATATGACCATCACCATGACCATGACCCTTACGACGAGAAGAACTCATACTCATTCGTCCTTTCTCTCTTACTGATTAATGCCCCTACATACGCGCGGTCTCACCTACCGAAACCAGTATACGCACACACACGCACACACCACAAGACTTTCCACTGCATACCATTGTTTGGATCATGGGCCAGGAAGACAAAACCAGCTTACTTCATTGCTTGATTATTATTATTATTATGGTTATGGTTAAGGTTATGATGATACCTTGTGCTTGTATTGCATCTTACCCCTTCGCCTGTTTATGTTGATGTTGATGTTCATGCTTATACTAGTTTATGTCTACCCATCGAAGCTACCTACCTACGGACATTATTGGGCTGGTCGGATGTCTGATCTTTATTTTTGATTTTATTTTCTTTTATTTATTTCTTTATTTTTTTTTTTTTTTGGATCTTGTTCTCTTGTTTACCTTTACCTGGAAAGTATCAGCTATGTGCAATTATGGAGTGTTGGGTTTCATTTTCTATTCCCTGTTTCTTGTTTCTTGTTTCTCATTTCGGATTCTTCTTTCATCTCATTTCTGTACTCCATGAAGCTGGCTTGATGGGAGGTGGTTCTGACATTATGTTGATTTCGAATTTATTTTTATTTTTATTTTTTATTTATTTATTTTTTTTTGGTTGCGATTATGATTTGGACGGCGATGCTGATGCCGGGCTGCACTGTGACAACAACTTACATATTATATATTGGCTGAGGAGATGATATTATAATGATCTATTTACTACCTACCTACATGCCTACCCAGTTACTACCTTACTACCATAACTACCTAACCAGATGGCGATGGCGATGGCGATGGCGATGGCGATGGCGATGGCGATGGCGATGGCGATGGCGATGGCGATGGCGATGGCGATGGCGATGGCGATGGCGATGGCGATGGCGATGGCGATGGCGATGGCGATGGGGATGGCAATTGGCAGTAGCGACAGCGACGGCAAGCTGAAGTCATAGATATGCGACATGAAGACAACTTAGGAGACAGACAGATATCATATGCCTACGCATCCCCGGTCCAATCCTGTCCAATCCCTGTACCACGACTGTTCAAGATTGAATAAGATTTCGCAATCAACTAACTCTACCTCACCTCACCTCACCTCACCTTACCTACCTACATAGGTAATAGGATACCTAAACCCTACCCATATTTCATCATAACACATCATAACACATCATACAGTGAACCGACCACCTTACATCACGATCCGAAAATAGACTTACGGGTATCCAGCCACTGATTCAATATGCACGTACACAAATATGATATCAAGAGGGGTTGGGATGGAATGAGTACCATAAGCACCAAGAGGCGAGTAAGTAACCTGGTCACATGATATCAAGAGGCGAGGAAGTAATTGAGTAAGTAGGTAAGGGTAAGTAAAGGAGGGTTTTCATGTAAGTATAGAGAAGGGATAGTAATAGTCAGTCATAGTAAGAAGGAGAAAAGGGATGAATAAGTACGATATGCACTATTATTATCATCAGCAGCATCATTGTTGCTAGGACTGGAGCGTATAGCGCCGGGTCTAGAGCGAGGGCTAGAGCCATGGATTCATCGCCACCACCACCACCACACCAATACAACCACAACCAACCAATCCGCCCAGGTCCAGCAGGAGGGCAAGAGCAGGGAGGGCTAGTTAGTCTGTTGGGTATAGTGTTGGGAAGGCGAAGATGGCGACGGCATCTGCGACGGCAACGACGACGAAGTGGTGGCGACCAGAAACCAAAAAAAAAGGGGGGAACGGAACTCTCCTTGCTAAATCCTAGCCAGTGAGTTAGGTTGAGTTGGGTTAGGTTAGGTTTGGTACCTATGTTATAGTGAGGGAATGTGGCTGTGGCGATGAGTAAGTACACACACACACACATACACTGGCGGAAGTTAGAATCCAAACCCAGACGCGAGAATGGTCGGAATTCGTTGCTGCGATGCAGTCAGGGAGTGTATTATTGGTGACGCATTCTGTCTGGTCTGGTCTGGTCTGGTCTGGTCTGGTCTGAACAAAAGTAAATATCGAGTACTTTAGATTTCGACTGCGTCGGGTGTGGTTTCCCTTTTTTCTTTTGAACGAATTCTTTTTTTCTTTCTTTCTTTGGTTCTCATCCGTCTCTTCTTGGCTTTGTTCTCGTGTTTCGTTTGCCTCCGGAGACTTTCTTTCTGGAGCCGGATTGATTGACTGATTGACTGCGTCGGGGGTTCTTCCAGGTGATTCTAGAAGGGGGTTGAGTGGCACACACATACACACATCGTGCATCTAGATTCGTGCGCTTGGCGGTGGACCTCCCACATATAGATTTTAGGTTACCGGCGCATGATGGGTCATATTAAGATGGAGGATTGAAGCAATATGCGGGCTTGGATATGCGTGATGCCGGATGTCAGTGTCAGAGTGGGTTTCGGTACTGGCACTGGCACTGGCAATGAGGCGGAGAAGGTTCAATACGGGTGGTCGCACATGGGCGTGAGTTGGCAGACCAGGCGGGTGGTGAAGGGGGTGGTGGTGGTGGTGATGGTGGTGGTTGGTACCCCGCAATGTCCACCTCATTAATATTGCATCCGTGCAAGGAAACGAAAGACAGATCGCTGCATGGGGTGGTCCGTCTCAACTCAGATTTGACTGGATACATTCAGTCTTCGAGAAACGTGACCAAGCGGTAGGCACCAGGCCTGGTGACTATTGAAGATGATAAACAATGGGAGGGAGTGTGACGGTCGGATATTCCCGTCCGTAGGGCATCCGGCTTGGGCAGGTCCTCCGTCTGTACAGCCCACTGCCCTTATGCAAAGCAGCACCAAGAGAGGGGGAAAGGGCCTACCTACACCCTTTTACTGAGGGGTTTTTGGCGCTCAGACAGTGCCCGGTCCGAGTCAATGGCATGTTTGTCATCCCAGCTGCCTCCCACTGGCTAGGATGGACGTCCGTGCTCGACGGACCCCGGCCCAGTGGCATTATCATCTGGTCTTGTGTGGCGGAGGACCAAAGCCCGGGCTAATGGGACCCCTCCGACAGTGTTGATATCGGACTATCCGACATACATCAAAGCATGCGGAGGCGCGGAGGGGGGGCATGGCTGATGGATTTGCATGGGCCATTGTTGTCATGTGTACAGTGCAAATGTTTGCACAATGCAGCTGGTGTGATGGAAACCATCTCCTGGTAGACAGCATTTGCTTGGTATTGCTTGCTTTCAACGGCAAGCTGAGTGAGCCCGCGTTAGATTGCATTGATACCCATTATGACAGCCAGATTTGTAATGCAGGTTTGTATCTCCGGTAGATCCGTGTTTGACAGTTCATGTGGGCTTTATTGATGCTAGATTGCTTATACTGGCCCAAGTATTGTGTTTGGCTCCTTCGATGAAAAAAAAAAAAACATCTAGCCGCCCGCGCCGACATCGATTGCGTGCGTGGACGGTTGGACTTGAGCGGCTAAGGCCCAGGAATAGCTACCAAGCACGGCACGATCGGACCGTGCGACTTCTTTGCTCCGCTCCTGTACCCTGGCGATCAACAGTCAGATGGCCAGCTGCTGCATGAAGTTGGAACCTTAGTCTCCGTATGACTCTGCGATTGTCTGTTCAACTTGACGGCAGCGGTGGAGTTGGGGCCATCAGGTATTGACCGTGACGCCTATGCCAAGTCGGCTATGGTCCAAGAGTCGAATACTGCGAGAAGGAACGGTAGAGTGTCGCATGAATCAATAGCCGGGCTACCGACAGCACGCAAGAAGTTCCTGCATCGGGACACACAACATAGCCGTCCTGGAGGCTTGAGCTGGTCGAAACTGACGATAGGCGACGGATTGATCCCCATTGATCCCCGGGGCTGTCTGCTCCAATATACAGCACGTAAGCTCCACGGAGATCGATTTCCCCGTGGGGTCTCCAACTCAGGTTCTGCTACGACAGCGACCCTGCGGGAGCAGCGGGACAGCCTCTCCACTCGGGAGTTCTCGAGTCTAGCTGCGGCGGGAGCTTGCGACGCCGCTCTGGGTCGAGACCGTAGGGGTTATCGGCTGGGAGAGGACTAGGGACCGATATTGCGAGCTACTGCTCCGTAGTTCCCCGGTAGACCGACCAGATAAGGCTTTCTAAACTGGCCCGCAGGCCAATCTCCCTCCAGGCATGCCGCATCCTGGTCCTTGTGAGCCTTTCCCCGCGGACCAACCGTAGATACGAGCGGATTGAACTATCCTGACCGCCCCCCGCCGGTGAGATCCCCGCGTATTTCGAAAGAAAGTCTAACGTCCCTGGTGACGGCGGCTGGGTAGCTGGAGAGGAGAAGCGGAGAAGCGGACCCCAAGCGCTGGGGCTCGAACGTGACCGTAGAGGACGATCACCCAACGCGGAGCTGCTAATCGCCGCTGATTACCCGCTCGGGCGCTCGACGGTCCGGTGTGGCGCCGGACGAAGGCAGGTGCTAGTACTAGTATCTATCTAGCAGGCCGATGGTTAAGTCAATGCTCAAACTCAGCTAGTTTCAAGGGGTGTTCATGGCGCCTGGCCGGAACTGAGGCGCATGCACGTCAATTGTAGTTGATTTCTAGCGAGTTTCGGATAAGAAAGGCATTGTTGATGCCGTCCGTCGCGCCTCCGCGGCGTGATGTGATCCGACCAGATTGTGGTCCGCCCCTTTTTTCCCGCTCTCATTTCGTCTCGTCTGATTTCAATGTCCCGGTTGTGCAAGAGACTATTGTGGAAACAAGGCAGGCTCGGTTGTCAGGCCAGTGGGCGAGACAGAAAGCGAGCGCGCACGCAGGCCGCGGATGGCTCAGATACTCAACGCAACTAGTGGCCCTCTGCAGCTGCACGAATGCTGAGGGTGGTCGAATGAGCGGGCGTGCATGCCGACCTCAGGCTTCGGAGGGTCCTGCAGCTGAGGGATGGTTGATCGGCTCCGTTCAGTCGCAGACTCGCAGTCACCACCGGTCGGTGGCTCGCAGACAGACAGACAGACAGTCGAGTCGGAGTCGTATCTCGGTCGCTGGCTCGTGCAGGCAACGAGAGCACGCTGCAACCACTCAGCTTATCCCATCGATATGATTTTCATCACGACCTTAATGGCCGCCCATTAACACTGGCTATCCGCTGTGGCTTGCATCCCCGGTGGCAAATCAGACACCAGTCCAATCGATGGAAGGTCTGGAAACGAATTGAGTTGTGCGATGAGAGAGGGGAGGCCGTGGACAGGGGGGAGAGGGGGGTGCCCCTGCCGTGCGGTGAGTCGAGACATGATAAGACCGGCCGGAGGGTGAGACAAGCGCCCGTCGATACTCTGTCTGTCGAGTGATTCAATCGAGGGTAGATAGAGTGTAGGATGTAGGAGGTCAGAAGAGGTCCGTGACCTGATGGCATCTCAGCGTCGCGGATGAGGACGGTCCGTCGAGACTTCTGCGCGCCGCCATGGGGGCGAAACAACATCGATACATCAGAAGTAGATGAGAAAAACAAAAGAAGGAAGAAATGGAAAAAATGGAAAAAAGCGGGAAAAAAAAAAAAAGAAAAAAAACCAAAAACCAAAGAGAAACTACTACCGCCGTTACCAGTCCAACTAACAACAAGTTACTTGTTAGGAAGAGGGAAGAGGGAGGAGAAAGGAGAGGGTCACAGCGTTCGGATGGGATAGTCGCACAGCACGACAATAATCATAATAATAATGCTCAAGGGAAATGATATTATCGGAGCCGACTGTATTAGTAACGAGGGAATAGCAGTATTCAGCATCAACCATCAACCCCTATCCATCTTTCACGATGTAGGTACTCCGTACCGGTGGTACAGGTGCATACAGATCGCATATGGGGAGATGAGTAAGGTATGTCTGTGCATAGTGATTTTTCCCTGCTTTCCTGTCTCGGTAGCTACCGTGACTGCCCGAGTGCTCCTACTGTTAGCCCACGTACCTTCCCCATATGGAGCACCTCACATATCTACTATGCTTAGCAACCAGTAAGTAAGTACTAGTTATGTACGGAGGACTTCACTTTCCACTTCCCTGGGCCTCGTCTCTCTCTCCTACTCGCCCATGCGCTGCGGCAGCCAAGAAATGCGACGTCGGTGAGGCCACTAAAACCCCCGACGCCAGAGCCAAGAATCAGAATCGAGCACAGCCATTATTATTTGATTGCGCACCTTCGGCCCTCTCTGCTGATGCAGCATAGCGCGGCAGGCGGTTGGCCAGACCAAGGCAGCGCTGCAGCGAAATTTCCAATTGTTCCGTGGTCTGTGCATGGCCTCCAACATGACGACTTCCATGACATGACGCCCGCAACGCCCACGACGGGAGGGGGTCAACTGAATGCCCTGCCCTGCCCTGCCCGGACCTGAACTGACCTGAATGCGCAAAAAACCCTTCTGATGTCATAGTTGAGAATTCCTTGGAACAGGACCGTTGGCCCAAACGACACTAAAAGTTCTCCCAGCCTGGCGGCTAGCCGATTCCGCCCTAGCTCCCCGCGCAACCCTCGCGAATGAACAAAGACATCTTCAACCGCTGACACGAGTGGACCAAGCCAGCACCCATCAACTCACCGGGCATGGGCTTGCAGCAGTTGGATGCATCGTGCAATGTCTGTAGGTAGGTATGATCTCTGGAGAACTAGATAACTCTAGTCTGGAATCTCATTTCCCAGGGAGCGATGGGATCCACCGCTCCTCGTGCAAGGACCCTCCGGTGTCGGTCAAGAATAGTATTACAGGGAGGGAGGAGGGAGGGTGAACGTGCGTCCTAGACACACAGAGACTAGAGAGACCCAGCTGCACCCGAATCCTGGCGTTGCGCCCACCAAGGGCGTGGGCGCGCTTCAGACAATAATCGAGAGCAGCGCCAGACGAGGTTATAATCATCATCACCATCTATCTATTTTATGTAGGTAGGTGGGTGGGTGGACTGGTGGTATCCACAGCTCCCCCCAACATTTCCGCCTTTAGAGCATCGAACGGCATCGAGGCCTTTGAAGAAACCATGTCCGGGGCCGTTGGTTGGGTGTGGCGAGGTTTAGACCGGCGCTAAGGGAGGGCCTGGAAGGCTGGAAGCATTTTCAAGGTAACCCGCTCAAGGGAAGCCGCGAGGAAAAAGGAAGAGGGGGAGCCGGGGGTGGAGACCGGCCCATGGTTACTGCCCGTACGTAGGCGGTACCGACGCCGGAGCTACTCCTGTATAGATAATACTACCCTCCCAGACACGGTCGGGCGATCGCGCTTTCATCTTTTTTTCAGCACCCGACAACATCTCTACTCGCTTATCTCGCGAGATAACGGCGTCCATGGAACTGTACAAGTCAACTAATCATGATTTGCGACCAGGCCGAAGATCTGATTCTGGGAGAAACATATCAAGATGCGGTTTCATGGGAGGAAGAGAGGGGGAGGGGGGCCGTGTAGTGGGCGCCAAATTAAAAATAAAACCCAAAGTGATCAGAAAAAAAAGGAGACGAACTTAGGATGGCGACATCAAGGAAACGGCCGGGACTGGGAGGGATGCACGTATGCCTTGATCCTTGACATTCTTAGTGAGCACGTACATCATACTAGAGTAGGACATACATCGTTACACACATACCGACACAGACAAAGTGGACTAGAATACTCCGGAGATGCAGCCTTGAAGATCACCTGCCCTCCACTTGAGCCACATGTATGTATGTATCTACATGTAGTCTGTCCCCATCTCACATCTCACAGTTATCTATCTCCAAGCCCCTTGGTTCGTCAGTGCCGTCCACGGTCGTGCCGACCGTTCCAAGTCGGTCGGAGACGAGGATGGGATCGGTAGGGGCGCTGACTGATCCACGAGCAATGGTGCCATCGGAGCGCTCAGAGCCGAAGGGGGGAAAAAGAAACGCGATCGGGAGGCGAAAAAAACCGGGCAGTCATCATCATACAACCCTCCATGATGGCTGGGCTCACATCTAAGGTACACTATCTATTCCGTACGGGGTATACCGGGGGGGGGAGGGGGGGACTCTGAGTAAGAGTATGGGCCGTAGTAGTAAGAGCTATAGATACAGGCAGTACCGATATTCCCGCCAGGAGGACCCACCCGGCCGGAACGCACTGACTGGCCGGCGAGGGATCGGCCCCAGTCCCAGACCGTTCGATCGCCTATTTTAAGTTGGCTAGCAGCGGTCCCGACGCTCGTATTTACCGCTAATACCACCGCCGCCGTCCGGGTACGGCGGCAACCTTGGAAGGTGGTAGGTGAGTGAAGGCACTTGTGGTAGCTTCCGTATACCTGGCTAAGTTACTTTTTTAGGTAGACCAGGTAAGGTAGGTCATAGGTAGAAGGACATCCTTATCGGGTACTGTACCGTGTGGCTTGATGGGCGTCGTCACGGAGAATTATTATCTCAAACATGTTAATGAAAAAAAAGGGGGGGGGGGATGTAGGTAGAAATCTAATTTTTTTTTTTGATTTGAAAAAAAAAAAAAATAAAAGAATTAAGGAAAAGAGAGAATGGGGATGATTACTTTCATGAGAAGAGTATAACCATCCTTCAGGGGGGAGAAACCATAGAGAGAGACAGAGAAAAGAGAAAGAAGGGGGGGGGGGAACAATCCAGTTCCATGCAGTACATAGCCGGAACCGCAGCAGTAGTAGCAGCAGCAGCAGCAGCAGCAGCAGCAGGGAGGGGCACAAACCCAGAGGGAGCTGCTGCTGCGCCTATCTTTCTTGTTGCTACTGCGGAGGTTACAATAACGTACCGACCGGATTTTCCTTGCCTTCGATCCTCGTCAACGTCCGAGCTCCCTTATCAATATCATTCCTGACCCCATTTATTTTCCCACCCCCATGCTTGATTTCCTTTTTATTTTATTTCTTTTTTATTTATTTTCCCTTTAGACCGTCAAGTGCGGCTCACCCTAATTTATTCTCCACCCTGTCACCTCTCTCATATACTCCATTCCCATCCATCACTACCCGTTCCCTTCCTCTCGATTCACTTCTTTGTACAAATCTACTTCCTTCACAGTCCGTGATTCTTTCCTCCCCTCCCCTCTTCCGCCAGCCTCGGATTTCTTCTTCTCTTCCGCCAGTTTCTCTTCGCCTCCCTCGTCCTCTTCCGCTTTCCATGTTCTAACCCCTCGCACATACACTTCCCACCTAGATGTCGAGCCCGCAAGGTACGTCTGGTTTTCGATCATCCCCTCCATTCAATTTGCCTTCTCGTGGCATCCCCCCCCCTCCTAGATCGAAAAGGGAAAAAAAGCTATACATCCTGGTGATTTGTGCCTCGAATCCTCGTCGCTCGCAGCCGGGGTTTGCCTCGTAACACCCTGGTTGCTGCATCCACCCTCCACCCCGGTCTTGCCTCCAACGCTCCTTCTGATAACCGGGGCTTTCTGACATCAAAGTCACACCACTTCCCTCCTCCTTTTGTTGGCCGCTTAGCATGATTCGCAACCTGTTCCGTCCTTCTCCCCCTTCCTGATATGCTTGCTTGTGTGCGAGTCCATTCCCGCTGTCCATCGGATTTGCCACTGTTCTGTCCTGCTTCTGTAACCCACCACTCTCGGCTAACTGACTTGGGGATCCAGAATATATCAACAGACGCCACTTCTCCGGACCAGCGGCCTTCTGCTCATAAGCGTCTACTCGGAATCAGTCTGACCCCTGCAGACCCCAGACCACCTCACACTTTTCTGAAACCCATCTCTGTGTCCGTTTACACAATCCCGGCCGGATGCCATACACTGCGCCGTTGAAGACGTCGCCCTTCGCGCAGCATATCGAACATTCCGAACTCACCCCTCAATCCTGCCCTAGCTCCCCCACGGCTGTCACGTCGCCGCCTCCACGCCAGCATCTCCCGCGATCATATTCCTCGACCTCCTATGTTCGGAGGCATCGGAGAAGTCCCTCCAATAGCAAGGTGTTCGTCTTTCCATCCTCGGACAGCCATTCAAAGGTGGATCATGCAATCGATACCCATGCCAGCATCCGGTCGTCCCCCCCGCCTCTGAGTGATGCTGTCATCCCTCCCGGGGCCCTGATTTCACCTCCCGAGTCTGCCCCCAATTCGAGTGATGAAGAGCTATCATACCGATCTCAGGACGGGCTCCAGCTGGAGAAATTGGAGGCTGCTGTAAGGTCAATTGAGCAGAGACGAGTCTCCTCCCCAGAGAGACACCCGCTGGACATGCAGCCGTCATCGAGCATGGCAGCTATCTCCGGTGGTCCCGTTAGGCCTCCCCACCCACCTCTATCTCGGGAGGCTCGCAAGATATCTCACTCCCGATCGGCCACAGAAACCTCAATTGATGCCAAGCACGAAGAGGCCCTGACCAGCTCCCCGGAGGAAAGCGACCGCGATGACGAGCCTCGGGCCAAACATCCCATGGTACGTAAGAAGTCAGGAGAACTTGTGAGACCGGCTCTCCGTCCATCCTCGTCTCGAAGGCGTCCATCCAGCATGCCGGGGACTCCGACATTCTCAAAGGCCGTCCATTTCGATGCCCAGCTGGAACATATCCGCCATTTCCTGCAGCTTGATAGACCTCAAGCTGTGAGCGCCGATACATCCCCAGTGGAGGACTATAACGCGGCAGGGGAGTTTCCGTTTAGCAAGAAAAGCCATGGTCAAACGTCCACCGTGTGGGAGCTTAGCCTGACGAACTTCCCAAGCGACATCGCCTCCCGGGCCACGCAACGCGTTCGATTGGAGCGTTTGTATTTATCCTCGGATAAAAACACCATGATTGGAGTTGTCGGGGTCGCCAACTTAGCCTACCACAAGCATGTTGCCGCCCGGTTCACCCTAGACCATTGGAAGACAGTTTCCGAGGTATCGGCAGAGTTCAGCGATGCTGGTCGACGGAAACTTTCTGATGATGGTTATGACCGGTTTTCGTTCAATATAAAGTTGGACGACCAGACGAATCTGGAGAAGAAAACGATGTTTGTTTGCGTTCGTTATAACGTCGGCGGCCAGGAGTACTGGGACAACAACAATTCGCAGAACTATCAGGTCAACTTTATCAAAACCACCAAAATGAAACCTGAGGCCCCGGCACCGCCTCCCGCGAAGCCTCGCGCTTCTTTGCCTCGTAGCAGGAGCTTCGCTGGTTCCAACAATCGGCCGCACTCAATGCCTCCTTCCTTTGATACCTTTTCGGAGATGGACAATTATACCTCGTTTGGCAGTCCACCGAAGAATGCCAAAGTGAAGCCATTGGCCGACGATGACCCGAATGATGTTGAAACAGTTGCCCCGATACGTCGCGACAAGCAAGGCCACCAGGTTTTTGGAAATCGCTACGATTTTGAAGCCTCCTTGTCTGCAGCCATGCAGACCAAGCAGGCCCATGATCGTACGACACTGACAGCACGAGCAAAGTCTCATGCCCCATCGCGTGGCCACCATGGACAGACCCCAGACAAGAGAACGAGCCCGAAGACTGAAAATGCACCTTCGGTCAGCAAGGCTAGTCCACAGACCACACCCTTCAACCACCACAAACCCTCCACCCTTGTTTCCAGCAAGCCACATCGCGAATCCTCCGTGTACAAAGAGCTGGTCGACAAATACTGCTTCTTTGGATCCACCAATTTCTCAGCTGGCCCTGATGGTCCCGCGACGGCAACCAGGGATTTTGGGAGCCGGTCGGGGTCTAGCAGCAGTTCCAGCTCGGTATCCCCATGCTCGTCCCCTCGCATGTCCCCTCGCGCAGAAGCAGCCCCCTCCTCGCCGAACCACACCGGCTATCAATACATCCAGAACAGCTTTCTGAATGAAACAAAGACGCCCGCTATCATTCAAGGTTGAATGAACCTTTCACGATTTAGACTTGGCTGTTGTCTTATAAGCCTTGACACAAATGACCTTTTTAACATATCTACCCGGCCCGGGTTGTTCGTCTAGAACGACACGGGGCATTCCTGTCTCTTCCCGGTGATGGGATAGGACGTTGAACAATGATGTTCACGCCCAGGAATACTTGACTTTTGAACCCAATTATCTAATACGGAGTACCGCACGTTGTCTATGAAGCCGTATCATGGCGGCCATCCCAACAGTCTTCGTCCTTACCATTGGTGGTGTACCTCCTCGAGCATCGATGCACGGCCCTTTGCGATGTGCCATAAACCGCGAGGGCAGTCCTCCATGCCGAGCTTGTACTTCATTTGCTTTACATAAACCGACGATACAAGGGAGGCTACAGTGTTTGTTGAGGTGCGGCTATGATTGTTTAATGATGACGATTATGATTTGACGTCCTCTCTGTTCTCTTTGTTCTCTTCTTCTTTTTGTTTTTTGTTACATTCTTCTCTGCTCAATCGACAGAATCGACTCTGCTGTTTCAATGGTATGCAATCGCGCGGTGGCTCTTGAGCAGCATGAGCGGCGTCCCTCCAGGCTGGGACGAGACGCAGCATCTGCCCATGAAAAAGTACTGGCATCCTAATGCATTTGCATCGTTGTTGCTGTCCATCATCTACTTGCGCTGGTGGCTAATGTTTGTACGGCGTCTGGAACATATCTTGCCTTCACGATTGTCCTTTTTCTGTATTCTGTATTTGAATCCTTTGATGTGGGAGGGGTAGGGGGAGGCGGAGGGGGAGTCGAGTCGATTATTTCTATGCTCTTGTTGCATTGTTCCTGAGGGCTGGCTGTGCTGGTTTTCCTGTATTTATCGGAATTGATCTGAGGGGAGTTTTGGTCCGTGATGATATTGAGGTTCCTGAGAGACGCGACCGTAGTGATAGTTAGATAGAGTAGTATCTACGGAGTAGAAGGCAAATGCCAAGTTCCACGTGACCGGCTACCCGCGTGGCGCCTTCCCTCGCTCGCCCGGGAAGGAGGCCAGGGCGGCGGGCGGGCGGCGCGCCAACCTGCAACGCCCGAAATCACCACCTCGAAAGCGGTCGTTCATAACGCGCTTTTTCCCAGCCGCCGCCCGCCAATCAGCGCCCGCCATTGCTTTTTGACCCTTCCAGATCACCTTCTGGGGCTTAGTCATTCACCTTCCAGGGGCCAGGGCGAGATCACGCTCTCGCTTGCCGCACACCGCCCGAAATCCATATAAACCGGGGGCTCCTCTCCCGCCCGCGCCTTCTCGCCCTCTCTCCTGATTCTTCTTCCCCTCTTGCAACCCTCTCAACGACCGGCCCGCCACGCGTCACCTCCGACCATCCATCCATCCAACCACCACCTCTTCCATCAAGAATTCATCTCACTTAATCTTCCCATCCCTCTTACAAGATGACTGGACGTAAGTATTCTTGAATTCATTCTGCTTCCAAGCCGGCAGCGCCTGAAGTGCATCCGGATGACTCTGGGTGCACCTGCACTTACCCCCCACCTCCCCTGGCCACACGTGATCACGTACCCGATGCTGCCCACGCGTCGTGTCTCGCGAATCCCCTCATCGTCCCATCCTCTCCCCAACCCACTCGACACTTGTTCTGTCCATCATGATGGCCACGCTGGAACTACACCTTTGCTCTCTGACCCAAGGATCGTTCAACATGCTAACTCTCCCATCTTACAGGCGGAAAGGGAGGCAAGGGTCTCGGCAAGGGAGGCGCCAAGCGTCACCGTAAGATCTTGCGTGACAACATCCAGGGTATCACTAAGCCCGCCATCCGCCGTCTCGCTCGCCGTGGTGGTGTCAAGCGTATTTCTGCCATGATCTACGAGGAGACCCGCGGTGTGCTCAAGTCCTTCCTCGAGTCCGTCATCCGTGACGCCGTCACCTACACCGAACACGCCAAGCGCAAGACCGTCACCTCCCTCGACGTCGTCTACGCCCTCAAGCGCCAGGGCCGCACCCTGTACGGTTTCGGTGGTTAAACTGTCTCCAACCGGACAAGAAATACAAAATAATGGACTTCGGTCGGCCTCCAGTCTTGCTGTGCATTACTATGCTCTTCTCTGTTCTGCTCTGAGCAAGCAAGTAGGCACTCGGATGAGCCGCGCGGGGTTGAAACTTTTACGGTTGACGCCTTCTCGTTTTTGATTGTGCTGTGGGTCGCTTTGAGGGCCCTTTTTCCTTTGATTGTTCTCGCGAATGGGATATGGGGTTTTAAGGATGGCTGGGTTTTTTTCTTAAATGTTTTCCTCTAGGATGGATGGATAGTTTACACCCATGGGTTATGGTATCGTATTGTGATTTTCTTTTCATGGGATGAAATGCAATGGATGATTCCTGCAGTTGATTGTACCTAGACAGTCTTCGGGCTTGATGGACAAAAAGGAAATGTAAACTGATAGCCATACCATCTTCCATAAATGGCACACATGCACAAATACCAGTAAATGCAAGATGTAACTCTAATGAGGACTGGAATGCCAGCAGTGAACCATCATACCACTCTTCATTGCTGCTGCTACCCTACTATTATATACCCGTCACATGCACCCCCGCACAGGCCACCAGAGAACATGACGTCAGGGCCTGGAGGCGCACCGGTTCGACAACCTCGGCCGGCTGGCGTGAGCACCACCTCCATTCATCATGCATTCTCGTCCTCATTCTCATCTATCCGATGGCCTGATGCTGATGCTGCACTATGATATCGTACTGCAACTATTGTCGTCCTACCTCAGCCTTTGTTCCGTCTAGTTTAGTTTAGTTGAGTGAATCTGTACACCCATACACCCCGTGGACAGCAGCAGTTGAGACGCACGCGCACACCCATATTTTACCTTGCAGCGGAAGCCTCGGGCTTCTTTGTTCATGCAGAATGCTGTCTGAAGACAGCGGCTCGGAGCTGGTATGTTTGTTGCCCTACAGGTCTTGATGGATGTTATCCAACTGTAAACACCTCGTGATAGGACTCCTACCAACTCTACCATCGATACGAAGAACCCCGACCGGAGAAGGATTGGAAGCGGGCTGCCCTGGCCGGCCCTGCACTCCCCGCGCTGGGAAATGCCCTGGCTGGTGCGGTGGGGTCGGCGCTGTCCAATGTCGCTACGTACCCGCTGAGTCTCATTGTTGCCAGACTACAGACGCAGAGGGTACGGGGAACAAATAAAGAGAGCAGCAATACGGATGCAGGGGGCAGTGAGAAGAAGGGTCAGGGAGTCGAGGAGGAGGAGGAAGAGGATTACACCGGCGTCATCGACGCAGCGCGCAAGATATACGCCCAGGAAGGCATCGCAGCCTTTTACACCGGTCTAGCGCAGGATACCTTCAAGTCTGTGGCAGACTCATTCCTTTTCTTCCTCGCCTACGAGTTCTTCCGCCAGCGGAGGATCAGGGCCCGGTTTGGGAATACCCGGCGGAGCAAGCATACGGTTCTTCCGGTGTTGGATGAGCTGGCGGTTGGGGTTCTGGCGGGAGCGTTTGCGAAGTTATTTACGACGCCGTTGGCGAATATCGTGGCCAGGAAGCAGACGTCGAAGTCTCGTGCCGGTACCAAGGAGATTGCGGCCCGTATTCGGGCGGAGAAGGGCCTCCGCGGGTTTTGGTCGGGGTATTCGGCTTCGTTGATCTTGACGCTGAATCCGTCGATTACGTTTTTCTTGAACGAGGTGCTGAAGTTTAGTTTGCTGAAGAAGGATAAGAGACAGCGGCCGTCTGCAATGGCGACGTTCTTGTTGGCCGCCTTGAGCAAGTCCGCTGCTTCATCGGTCACATATCCGTTTTCCATGGCGAAGACGAGAGCGCAGGTCGCGGGTAATCAGCCCTCGTCAGCGGATGGGGGAGCGAAGCAGGAGGATGAGGGGATCTCGTTGACCCCGGCGATTATTGGGAATGTTCTCGCTATTGCACGCACGGAGGGCATGGCTACGCTGTATGCTGGTCTTCCGGGGGAGGTTCTTAAGGGGTTCTTCTCACATGGCTTTACGATGCTGGCGAAGGATGCTGTTTACTCTGCTATTGTGAAGAGCTACTACCTCCTACTTGTCGCCCTTCGACGATACCCGACCCCGGAGGAACTGCTGCAGCGCGCCCGCGAGCAAGCGGAGGAGTACGCAGACACGGCCCGGGAGGGTGCTCGCGATCTCGCGGAGAAGGCGCGGAGTGGCACAGAAGAAATCCTAAGTCACCAGACGGGCAGTGTGACGGTTGATATGACTTCGAGCGAGACGGGGGATGTGACGGGGTCGAATGAGACGGCGGAGATGGTGGGCGACTATGTGGAGGACGAGGGCGATGCGAAGGATCTCTACCACTGGTTTTGGGAAAAGGAAAAGTATGGGAAGGGTTAAATAGGTACTAGTATTAGTAGCAGTAGTGCGATAGTGGGTTTGATGCTAGTGTATTTCGATTTCGATTCCGTGTCTCCATGATGTTCTTGACCGGTGGATCCGAGCCGCGATCGACCCGTGGCTCTGGCGCGGGCTCTGGCTTTGGCTGCCCGCCCCATTCGCTCTCCAACCACCGCCTGTTTACTTCCTCTTCCTCCTTCTCTCTCTTCCTCGACCCTTTCCTCTCCCGGTGTCTCCCTCAACCTCACATCTCCATGTCGGCCGAACCACATTCCAGTCCTCTCGGGGACCTGGAGAAGGAACTCACCTGCTCAGTAAGTTCCCTGTTTTCTCAGCCACGGAAAAGAAACCCACCACCAGTCTAGCGTGGGGGATTTGCGGAATGCGGTCTGCGTCTCCCCGCCATGAGCCGCTGGGCGTCCCTTGCTTGACCGACTCCTCCAATCCTTCGCGATTCTGGAATGATATGCCAGGCACCTTATCGGGAACAGCGAGGGCCAATACCCCCTTCTAGCTAAATCTACACGCTACACAGGATTCCAAACCATACTTACTGACACCCCCCCCCTCCCTCAGATCTGCACGGACCTTCTCTACCAGCCTCTCACCCTCCTGAACTGCCTGCATACCTTCTGCGGCTCCTGTCTGAAAGAATGGTTCTCAGCCCAAGCATCTCGCCCCAGCTCCTCCGTCCGCTTCACCTGCCCCTCCTGTCGCGCCGGCGTTCGCGAAACCCGCCCCAATGCCACCGTCACCACATTACTGGATATGATCATCACAGCGACTCCGGACAAAGATCGACCGGATGCGGAGAAGGAGGAGATTGCGAGGAGATATAAGCCGGGGGACTCGGTTTTTCCTGCGTTGCCTGCGGAGAGGAGCCCCGCTGGATCGGATGATGAGGATCGGAGACTAATGCAGGAGGTTCGGGAACTTAGTTTGCAAGAGAGTCGAGCGAGGACGACGACGACGACCGGTCAGCGGTCCAGGCAATCGTCGCGGAGTCGGCGGAATGAGAGTACGGATCGGGATGCATCGTCGCGACGGCGCCGCGAGGAGGATCGTGCTGCGCGGCGACAGCGGCCTGCGCCAGCCCGGCTCGGGGAGGATCTTTCGGAGCGGACGAGACGCATCGAGCATCAGTCTAGTCTGCGGTCGTTGTTGAGCTTGTCGGATACGGAGACCATGCAGGAGGAGATTCTGCGGCAGATCTTCGAGGAGGGGCTGTTGGATGATATTGATTTGGATAATCTGGGCCCGTCGCAGGAGGAGGAGCTTAGTGAGCGCATTGCTGATGCATATCGGCGGCGGCACAGGCTGCGTTCGCGATCGCAGCAGCGGTTGGAACATGATGCGCGACAGGCGGCGTCGCAGTCTCGTCCTCGTTCGCAGTCGATGCAGAGACCCCAGGATACTGCGACACCGAGGGAGTCAGCTCGGAACCCTCCCGTGTCTAGGCCGTATCTGCTTGATCCGCTTGTGTCGCGGAATGAGGCCCCCGGTCATCATAGACGTCTGTCAGAGCAGGGCAGCGCGCAGCGGAGAACGTCTCCTGTGGCTGTGAACCCGGCGTCTTCGTCGGAGGTTACGCTACGGCCTGCGGCGCGGTCATCGAGTGATATGGTTGCAGATCGTCCTCGGAACTCGCAGGCTGCACGAGTCAGGGCTGCAGAGTCAAGTACACTGCGGTCACGACGCGCAACGGCTTCTGAGCGCACCATCCCGAATATATGGGTCGAGAATTCTAGGGAACGCGCGATACGACGAGCTCCAGGGAGGGTCTCGATAGATTCTCCCAGAGTAGTCGCATCGCCGGATTATACGCGGAATGGCTCCTGGCCGGCAAGTCCCGAGGTGAATGTGCCTGCAACTGGTTCTTTATCGGCACAGGTTGGAGGTCCATCCAGACCGGAGTCACGATCCCGTCCCTCCTCGTCCCGGTCGAATGCGCCTCCCCGATCAGCAATTTCGTTCACGGAGCCGTCTATTTCGTGTGACCGGTGCAGTAAGCCGAATATTCAATATGAGCTGCATAAGAAGTGTCTGAAATGCAAAGATGGTGAATACTATCTCTGCCTCCGATGCTATAGGACTGGTCGCGGGTGTTTAGACTGGCCGGGCTTTGGGGCATCAGCGGAAGAAAGTTTTGAACGCATCCTCGCTTCGTCGAACGGCCAGCCTCAACCGTCACCCGAATCGCAGCAGCATATCCTGCTGTCCTGCAAGTACCGTCGCGCTCCAAGCACGGCCTACCGCTCTGACAGAGACGGACGAGTTTTCACCACCGACGACCCTGCGCGCAGGTTACAAACCGGCCTCTTCTGCGACAGCTGCCATTCTCCCGCAGACGACTGCTACTGGAAATGCGACCAATGCAACGAAGGCGACTGGGGGTTTTGCAATCGCTGCGTTAACCAAGGCCGATGCTGCACGCACGCCCTGCTCCCTATCTGCCGCATAGCCCCAGAGAGCGCATCCCCAACAGTCACCACCAACAGCAACCCCTCCACCGAAACGTACAAGATCCTCTCCATCGCCACAAACTGCGACATTTGCGCCCATCCCATACCCGACTCCACCCCTCGCTTCCACTGCCTCCAATGCAACGACGGCGACTACGACGTCTGCACGAACTGCTACATCCGTCTCGTCGCGATCGGCAAAATCCGCAAAGAAAACGGCCACAACGGCTGGCGTCGCTGCCTGAAAGGCCACCGGATGGCCGTCATCGGGTTCGATGACCACGACCAAGATGAACAAGGCCAACGCCGCATCATCGTCCACGACCTTGTCGGCGGCCGCGCCCTGAACGATGACCACCTCCAGCCGTCTCCCACCGCCGCCGCCACGCCCTCGCCGCTCTCCCCTCACATTCAGCAAACTATCGAACATCCCAACGTCGCCTCTCCCGAACTCGGCTCCGGTGACTGGAGCTGGAAAGAGGGCACCGAACGCCGGAAAAAGGCCTCTCGTTTTAGACCCTGGACTGTTGGCGATCGTGACCGTGATCGTGACCGCGATCGGACTTCGGAACCAAGCACCCCCACCCCCACCGCTGCCAGTTTCAATCTCTCATCCAATATCAACAACACCAACAACCCAGCAGCCTCCTCCCCTATCCCCTCCCGTCGATTCCCTCCGAACGGCGGCGTTGGTCTAGTTCTCCACGCCTTATGGTCATGGTATCCCGAGGACGGTGTCCAAGATGAACTGATGTTTCCGCGCGGCGCGGAGATCACTGAGGCGGAGAATATCAATGAGGATTGGTACTGGGGGTGTTATGCTGGTCTGACGGGACTGTTTCCGGGTTCGCATGTTTTTGTTGCGGCGGAGGTTGTTTAAAGATCTTTCTTTCTTTCTTCCTCTCACTATCAGACATACAAAAGATGCGGGTTTGGTTTGGTTTCTGGTTTCTGGTTTCTGTTTTTCTCCTTGTCGTTTTTCCCCCCCTGGCTTCTGATGCTGGTTTTCTTGTCTACGTGATTGCTTTCCTACGATTGACCTGATGATGACTCGATGATATTCTTTGATGTAGCTATATGCCGATTACGATACGATGAGATGAGGAATACGAATTCGAATGAATGCTGCTTATGCATGGTTTCTGTCTTTACAAAAGAAATATATTCCTGTTTTACATTTGATTCTGTTTCCCTCACTTGGGTTTAGTACCTGTTCCAATACAGAGTTTTAAACTAGGTAGCCATGGTAGTTAGCAGGTAGCAGGTAGCAGGTAGCAGGTAGCAGGTAGCAGGTAACAGATAACAGGCACCCAACCCAGTTCTCAGAATCCAACAAAGAAAGCAACTACTGTACAGCTTCAATTACAGCCACCTAGAGGGCACCGTCGTACCATAGATAAGTACTTAAGTAGATGACAAGCCGATGAACTCATCGAAATGACCAAGTATATTCAAAGGACTATATATTTACCCACTTAAGAGGCAAAGCAATGTGAATGTAGGTCAACGAACGAAACCGATCTGGAAGTGAACGTCTCACAACTTAAGGGGGTCGTGCTCAATTGATACGATACCCTCCCTTTCCCCCCCCCCTGGCGCGCCCCTCGCTCGACCGACGTCCCCTCTGGTTTCATTGACGGGCCGGAAGTACTAGTAGTAAGTTTAGCCTGAGCAAGGCTCACCATATCAAGTAGTTATCAAAAAGGGGAAAGTACGGCGTAGCTAGTTTACTGTGACTACCGGTAAGGGTAAGTGGGCAGTAGGCCTGACTACTACTATATGTAAGTGGGTAAGTGAAAACGTGCATTAAAGTTGGACACTGGAGGTACAGGGGAGGAGAATAGTCAGAATAGTAGTAGTAGTAGTAGAAGAAGAAGAAGAACAATAAGAAGAAAGAAAGAGAAACAAAAGCACAATACCGCCAGCTAATCTAAGCTACTACCTATCCGTAACCCGAACCCAGAAAGCAAATAAGTTGTACAGTTTCGATACCCGGCCGTTGTCTGTCATTGATTGTATCGTGTGTCGTCATGTTGTAAGGAAGGAAGGAAGGAAGGAGGGTGTGAGAATTAGAGGATGGGGTTGGGTTATTAGAAGCGAGAGGGTAAGAAGGGTGGGGGAGAAAATGGTCGAACGGGAGAAGAAGAGCCAGAGAGGGACGTTGAGAATTACGCCAATAACGCAACCATCAACCGCTGGTAATCACCACTCGTCTCGCCCCTCACCCTGTCAATCAGATCCTTCCCGTACCGGACACGGTACGCGCGCTTGACCTGATCCAAGTGTTGAGGATTCCAGTGCACGCGGACCACCCTGATGACCAATCTCTCATCCTTCGTGCCCATACCCTTCATGCAATCCTCGAGCTGCTCGGCATCATGCATGGCTGGATCTAGCGCCGTCCGGAGCATATGCAGCAGCGCGTCTTTCATATGGCCCGAGAACTCCTTCTCAATGTGCTTATCCAGCTGGATATTATACCGGGTGGAGAAAGCGTGGTTGATAGCGCGCAGCTCGTTGTCGGAGGCGCGGGCAAAGATGCCGCAGACTTCTTCGACGTTGTTGACGACGCGGGCGGCAGTGGCGCCGTGGAGGGATTTGGCCTCCGCCTCGATGATGGTGGGGTCGAGGGGGGCAGATTCTTCATGACGGGTTGCGCGAAGAACCATGGAGAAGAGGCCCAGGGTCTTGAAGGAGAGGTCGCCCTCAACGTCTTTTTGGAGCGTGTGTTGGTGGGTCCGTTCGTATACGGATTTGATGGAGGTGAGGTCGGCGTTGGAGCGCGAGAGAACGACGTCGTTGAGGAGCCATTCCTTCGTCCCGACTCCCTCGATGGAGTCCCGCGCGCAGGTCACGTCGTGGCGGAGTGGGCCGTCGATGAGCGCAAGGAGGCCCTGTCGGAAGTAGCCGCTCGTTTCGGATTTGATGTCCTTGTAGAGGTCCCGCTGGATGTGCTGCGTGTAGGTGGATCGTACGGCGGACATCTGCAGGGGGTCGAGCTTGGCGAGGACCTGAATCAGGGCCTTTTGGTCGGTTCCGAATCCTTTCATCGCGCGGCGGAGCTGGTCGGCTTGCGCACGAAAGTCACCGATGGCTTGTTGCCCGGGGACATAGCCCGGAGATGGTAAAGAGGGGGGCGGGCCCTGGAATTGCGCTTGAGGTGGGTATGGAGATGGTGCGCCATAGGGGCCTCCAGGTGGAGGAGGGCCTTGTTGGTAAGCCTGTGGGGGTGGTGCATGGTGGTGATAGCCTTGGGGAGGTCCTTGGGGAGGACCTTGGTAAAAACCTTGTCCCGGGGGTGGGGGGCCTTGAGGATAAGGAGGCTGGCCATAAGGAGACGGAGGCTGCATAAATTGTTGTTGTTGATGTTGAGGATATCCGGGTTGATTCGGATGCGTCATAGGTGGGGGTTGGGGGTAGCCCTGAGGCGGGCCCTGTTGGGGAGGATATGGGGGTCCTGGAAAAATAGTCAGAGTGGCGTCGGAGTGCGGGGATATAGCGGGGATATAGCGGGGCACACATACTGTTCTGATTCATGATGGGTTGCAGGTCGGAGATAGTAAGGATGCAAGGATAAAATAAAGGAAGAGAAAAAGAACGAACAGGGAGACGGCAGGCGAGCGTATTTATTCCGCGCGATGGTGGAGCGAGTCATGATGAGAAGATGCCAAGCGGGAGGCAGTTCACGTTGGCCGTTTGGGACGAGTCAGCCACTCCCGGACCCCGGTTCCGTCAAGCACGTGCCGTGGCGCAGCGCAAGGCTGAGTCTCTGTGGGCCTTGCGCAGTAAAGTAGGCTTGCAGGCTGACGTCACGAATCTGCCCTGCAGAAATGCCGAAGGATCGATTACTATCAGTCGTGATCATTAATCTTTCACATCGTGGAAGGTGGGACTTTAGCTACTGGTGGCGGGTTCTCTTTCTTACCAAACATAAGGGGGTTCAGAGTTCAGACCTACGACTGATACTAATAGAATTAATATCTTCGGTGACTTTAATCAAGGCGCGAATACTAGTAGTAGTCCTTTTGTTATTTACTTATTCTAGACAGTCTCTTTTAATATTATAAATACCACCAGATACATACATATATCTATCTAAAAAATTTCAGAATGTTAAGAATCTTACAAGAGATCTATACAATGATAATGCGTACTAATAGCAGGTCTATCTGATAACTAGGCTGATAAAAGGAGCGGCAATCCTAGGACAGAGTAGGGGTATTAACAATACTGCTCCAAGGGTACTACTATTAAGAAGATTATGAAATATCCCTTAATAGTAGACTTAACCCCCCTAGGACCCCCAACTCCCCTATTAAAACAACAACAACAACAACAAAAAATAAAAATAAATTCGCTAAATTAATGCTTCAAAGCCCACCGGAAAAGGCGATTCTTCCTCAACACCTGCTGGAAAATGGGGTCTAGACTCACCTGCATATCCCAGTCATTCCCCGGCCCCGCGGGCAATACGAGGCAGAACTTGTCGAGGAGCCCGAAGAATAACCGAAAATCGGCGACTTTGCCCAACTCCGGGCCAAAGTCGAAATCAAACACCCTCAAGTGTCGGATACTGGAGTACGAGATGTCTCCTCCCTTGATATACGTCTTGCTCCAATCGCGTTGCTCCTGCAAATGGGCCAGCACGCCGCGGACATACTGATCATCAATGCCGATGAGTTTCCGGCGCATGTTGGCGGCCATGTTGGCGATTTGCACCAATTCGTCCTCGCTGATGCCTAGTTCTTTTGCGGCCGCGCTTGCTTTGGATATGTCCACTAGATCAGCTGACCCCGACTGGCTCACTATCGCCATCGTGACCATATTTCCCATGTAGTGCGGAGGATAAGGGGGATCCATCCGACTCCGGGCATTCACGACATGGGCTACGGTGAAGTCCTCTTCCTCTGTTGTCTTGTGGCCCTCGCTCTGGCGGAGGGAGAGAGTCAACAGGGCCGTCATCACATCATAGCATGACAGAAACGAGGGAGGCTCATCTCCGGACCCTCCCTTCGTCAACAGGGAAGCGCAGGCCTTTTTCAGCGATTTCGCCTGCTGATTCGAGAACCTGAACCGGAACGTATCCAACTCCTTCGCCATCCTGTCCATAGCCGTAGACCACTTATCCCCCTCTATGCAATGAAACGGCTGTTCGGGGCTGTATGTCTCCGCAAAGTCCCTTACCGACTGCTTCACGGCTCTACTAGGAGATAATAACTGACGGCGCAACTGCAAGTCGTTCTGATGGGGAATCAACGGAGGGTGATCACTCTGACAGCACAGCGAAAGTGCCTCGAGGACGTTCCCAATTCCCGTTCCGTCGCTGACTCGGTGATTGAAAGTGAGAGCAAGGATGATCCCGTCAGTCATGACGTTTGCGACGAACCGTAGTATGGGCTGGCTGTTGCCGGGGTCCAGAACCGAAGGTAACGGGGCGTATCGTTCGGAGAAACGCACATCCTCGATTCCCGTGCACGTTGCTGTGTCCATCATGGTGCGAACTGACTCGGTTATGTGGTTTCGGATCCGGAGCATGGGGATTGCCTGGGACGCGGCCGATGGAGGCTGGATGCAGTGGACGTTGTCATGGTCGCGGTCGTCATCGTGGGAGGGTGCCACGTCTTTCGTCAGGAACGGGAGCAACTCGGTTAGATTGGCGAGACCTTTTTGGAGCGACCGAACGCCGCGCTGGGGATCTTTGAGGGGGAAGGAAAGATAGAACGTGAAGTACACCTTTGGGACGGTGTGGTCCAACGGGGAGAGGGTCTGGCTGGTAAGGCCGGAGCGCCTCATTTGGCTGAAGCTAGAAAACTTGATTCCGCTCTGCTTCTCGGATAAAGGCATGCAGATAGACCTTCGTGGTCGAGGGTGTCCGAGGAAATGAGAAGAAGGAGCTCCGGTTCGAGCAAGCCATGACCACGTCGCAATTGATTTCCGGAAAGAACTCATTGTCACAGATGCTTCAAAACATGTCGGAAAAGTAATACTTGCTTTCACGTAGTATGGAAGTGGTACTTAATGCGTGTGTTTTCCATATAAATCAAGTATGAAGTCAAAGCCTGCAGCAAAAGATTGCCTGGTTTGGCTCCCCCGGGAGTATTTGTACGATCTTTGGCTTCCCAGTCCAGTGGGAAACAAGATTTTGGGGTCAGTGACCTGCTTCCACCTCATCATAGATGGCAGGAGCTGGGTCGGGGTCCGCAAATCAGGTTGCAGGACGGCGGCCCGAGGCTGTCACGTCCGGTGGGTCGTGTCGGGAAGGTCCATGGTTTGTTTGCCCCGAGAATGTTCTCACAACATCGACAGATATGTAGATCTACGCTTAATCTTATGGCAAAGAATGGCTTCTTTGCCACTACTGTTGTTGGAGCCAACCAGCAGCCCAGCAGCCCTTTGTGTGATCATCTCAGGTGACTGACTGGCTTCGCTCCTTCTTCTTGTACGTAGCCTAGCTAGCATCACCTCTCAACCAACCACCAACCTTCTTGAACATTGCTTCTATCCTCCTCGTTACTATGATAATCGTCTACAATCAATACGGTCAAACAAAAGTCCAACAAATGCATTGAGAGAGTGGCCTCATTATATACCAATCCGAACAGAATCAGTCTTTCATATCTCAGAACCCCCATTGATCCATCCAAGTCTCCATCCATGCCCGATTCACGGCCCCCATACTATGAAGCAGAGGGATTCGTGTCTCTGTCACTTCGGTGCTCAGCCTGACGGAGGAACCCTTTGATTGACTCGCTAGATATTGATAGAAAGCCAGCAGCTCCACTCCGGGAGGGATAGGCGCCCCTTTGGCCTGTGCTTCTATAGACGATGTCTCCAGAACGCGAACCCACTTGGAGAAGGGCACTACCTTGCAGACAGGCTCCAGCCTCTGAGCGATCGTGGGAAGAATATCCTTATAATCCTTGATCAAGGGATTCACGAGGTTGCAGTAAGATGTGGCTTGGTTCTGCCAGTCAAGAAGAGCCGGGTCTGCAAGTATCTCTGCCAGTATATCCACTGGTATCCAGTTTAGGTCGCTGGAGTCTCCCAATGAGCTGGGGAGGTACCCAATGGCTTTTGATGCTCGAAGTAGGGTGGGGAACCAGTCACGTTGGGGCCAGACGCCGTCTTTGTGTATAGGCCCTCCTACCTGACCAACGCGGCAGATTATAGAAGGCATTCCTAGCTCATGGCCGGCGTGGTGGAGCAAGAGACTGGCGATGAGCTTGCTTTGACCGTATCCTGTGAGAGCATATGATGGTGAGGCAAGGTGTGACTCAGGCACTGGCTGCAGTTGGTCCCACTTGGCGACAGATGCGACGGATGAGATGAAGACAATGGGTGTGGTGTAGTTGGCTTTGAGAGATAGGTTTATGAGATTCACTACCCCGCGAATGTTAGACTCGAATAGGTGCAAGGGCCAGTTGAAATTGACAGCCCACTGGCAGTGGACGATCTTGGTGACACTTTGTAGCAGTTGAGAATATGTGTCTTGTGGTAAGCCTAGAAGAGGCTTTGATAAATCCCCTTGCAGTCGTTGTACTGAACACCCAAAAGGAGGATCTCCTTTCACGAGTGATCGATCGAGACAAGTGATTTGACTAACATTATCTCGCTTGACAAGTGTGTCAAGTAGGAAGGAGCCAATAAAGCCTGTGCTTCCTGTCAACAAGACGTGGTCACGCTGACTTTTCTTGTCAGACTTGATAGTGGCAAGGCTCTGTGGTAGAAGCTTTCTAAACCTTCGGAAATGTCAACTTTTTGAACATTAAGGTGGTTGGAATGATAATCCCCACCTCTTAAATGTTGCCTCGAATACTTCAGATGAGTCTCTCACCCTACCCTGGTTCAGTTCTTGCAACACGTATCCCGACAGGCCATAGGCATTTGGATAACTATAGATCGCGTCGGCAGGGGAGGAGAATTCCTGATGCTTTTCTTTCAGCAGATTCTGTATCGATGCGGCCACTATCTGAGCTTGTTTTGAGTCGAGGCCACACTTAAAGAAGTCATCATGTGGCCTCATATTATTCACAGAGGTTAAACCGCTAACGAGTTGAATAAGTGTATTTTCCAGAGTCTCTCTATTGGTGGTATCAAACGTAACGGGAAGTCTCTCACGGCTATAGTCGGCCGACTTATAGTGAGAATCAACCTCCTGCGAGTACAAGTCCTCGGTTTGCTTTCTGTGGACTGATCCCTTTGATGTTCGGATAAACGGCTTCTCTGCCTTTGCAAAAATTACATCATCTTTGTTGATTTGTGCATCCCGAGAGCTTTCCCTGTTGATACTCTGGACCATGCTGACAATTTCATTGACCACACTCTCATCGGAAGATATATCAATGCACGTAGCCAATTCAAGTAGTAGGACTGGATGAGGACGTTGACGCCCCATAACCACGGCACCAGTGACATGGGGAAGTGCGCTTATCTTAAGTTCCATGTTGGTCGGATTCAACTTTTCGCCGGTCGAAAGCACAATGATATCATCGGCTCGACCCTTACACTCCCAATGGTCAGGGATGGTAGGGTGTTTGCGATATAGATCTTTCGTCGGATACTCCCTGATATGGGGGAAGTTCTTGAAGATGGACTGGTATTGTCCAAACTCGTCGCTTCGTTGGAGAACCATTTCATAAATCTCTTCATCGGGGCCTTCAATGCCGCGAGGAGTATTCCGAGTTGGACGCCACTCGATGCCGCAGAGGTCTTTGGAGAAATGGAAACAGTGCCAGTTCTCAGGCTCGGTTACAAATTGCGCCAACGAAAGAGTCTCCGAAGAGCCCATTACCCCCTGGAGGCTGGTCTTTTGAGACACAATGCTCCCCGACTCGTGGCTTACTGGACCTATACTCGATGATAAATCTGTGAGTAAGTTGTATGTAGGACTTGGAAAGATAGGATTGCGTACCACCACCCGTGACCACGAAATTAACATCAGAACTGATCAAGTCCATGAGATCCGGATCCTGTGGGATTTGATCGACGATCAGCGGCGGAAGAAATGCGGCATCGGCGTTGGCTAAACGAAGGACATCCTTCAATATCTGACAGCTCGGTGGCCGGTTCGGGTACCCAAAAACCAGGGATGATCTTGAGAAAAGTAGGTAACAGGAAAAGAACAAGCCCGCGATGTGGAAGAGGGGGAATGAAATATAGGGCCTTTTAGCCTCTGCTATCAGTTCTAGCTGGAGCTTTTGGCCGAGGTTTTCAGTTGAAGACAGATTCCGGTGGGCATCCTGGGATGCGAGGGCTCCATGGGTGATGGTCACCGGCTTGGGTAGTCCGGTAGAGCCACTTGTATGCACAATCTGAGTACACCTTTAGCGTGCTAATCATAATTATGCGGGGTCAAATGGAGTCGTACATACAGCAAATCCTTCACCTTCGACTGCGTCCAATGTGTCCGTATATCGGTATTCGTTCACCGGGGTTTGTGTGCGAAGAAGCTCCAAGAGCTCTGGAACTGGAATGGCCTCCAGGGGTTGGGTTTCCAGGTGCGATACAGCTGCCTCGAAAGTTCCGTCGAAAAGAATTGTGCCACATTCAGTAACTCGTAGAAGGTGCTCATTGACTTCTGTGCTATTCCGCGGGGAAAGAAGAAGGACCTAGTGGTAGAAGACCACCTATTAGCATAGCTCTGTTCTGGAATCCCCTCTGTTGGGATAGGAGAGCAAACCTTCACTCCGACTTTAACACCGGCCAAGCAAAGAAGAGCATGTCTCAAGTCGCTCGGTGCCAGATACCTGTGGGCATGTCTGTCAGCGCATTCCCGCCACCGGTGAAATGCCATTGGAAACCCACGCAATGGTGGAGCCCTTCGTGACCAATCCATCCAGCCACCAGGCGAGTTGATTGACGAGGTTTGCCAGATCGCGGAAGGTGAGATGCTGGACGGTGGCCTCAGGCTGGCCGGGAGTCAGCTGGTGGACGGCGGGCCTGAGGGGTTCCAAGGCAGCAACCCGATCGATGTGGCTGACAAGAAGCCGTTTCCCGGCTGCCTCATACGTGTTCGAAGACTCCATCTTGTGTCGCTGCCCCAGAGAAAAAATACCAGTGGGAGTCAAGTAATGAAGATCATGAAGTATGCATATTCCAGCCTGGCCATCCGAGTTTATACTGATTTGGTCGTCTCCCGCAGATGCGAAAGTAACAGACAGGTCGAGTGATCACACAGCCAGCATGCACACATTTTCACCTAGGGTTGCCCATGTTGCCATGAACCGAGCGAGACACAAAGTTAGTTACTGCCACCCGATGATGTCAGCAGACGACGAGTTCCTGAATATCCGGTCTCGGCCAATCCGTCCGCAAACAGAGAGAGAGCTGCAGCCCCCGGTAGATCCTCGATCTCGGGCTGTTCCGAGATGCGATTGGTGCTACCAAACCAAACGGCGGTTCTCCATCGTTCTGCCGTGCAGCTGACAGCCAGCCAACCTTGACAACCTGACAACGAAATTGGCCACCTTTCGCCCGGCATCTTCAGCTGCCTTCGAGGGGTTTATCTCGGAGCTCAGCATGGCATGGCATGGTTTCACACGCTTGACCCGATGGATTGACGGATTATCCTGGAGGATACGTATTTGTAGTCGGTTTCGTTTCGGAGCCGCCGAGAAAGCAGCCTTGAAAAGTCCCACTGCCTGGAGTTTATCGCGAATTATCTCCACTTGGATAGGCGTCCGAGGAGCCTCTATTGCCATGTTTTCTCAAGGTTATGTCGGGCTCATGTTGGTCAAAAGAATGGGGATCTTCTTTTGTGCTTTACCTGTCAGCTGTTGACCAACGTCTGCACGAGAGAGTTCGCGATCAAACTGAAACAATTCACCTAACAAGCGTCCTGGTTCATCGGCGCTGGTCTGCGGAGTGGTTTGCCCCCAAAACAGACTTCATCTCACCTGTCAGATATTCAGGATCCTCACTTCCTCCGGCCCAAACCTGTTTTGCCTCCTCTTATTTCAGCTCGAAACCATACTGTAGCGGGCTACATTGCCATCCAATAGAAGCAACTTGAAATTCGACTCCACATTCACAATTCAGCCATTATATCATAATAAAAACATAGTAAAGTCTAACCCCCCTCTCTCCACTACGAACGAACCAACTCAACGCAATACGAAACCTCAACAGCATCCTATAAGCACGAGTCAGCCGATCATCCATACATACTATACTCCATCAATTCCAATCAATCATAGATGTAAACCACTCACTTCAACCCCCGTAACCTCCAACCCCCTCACCGTCCGCGTATCGTAGACCAAGTACGGATTCCCAACCGAATCATCCCCCTCCCCATCCCATTCACCCTCATCTCCCACCCTCTTCCTAACATTCTCAACCTTCCTCTCCACCCCCAACCACACATACTCCAAAAACTCCGGATTCCCCGGCGAAACCACATTGTCCGCCAACACAACCGTCCCAGGGCGCACAAGCCCCAACTCCTCCGCCAGCTTCAAGTCATTCGCATACGCGACCTTCGCATGATCCAGAAAGAACATATCAATGCCCCCATCGGGGTATCTCTCCTTCAACCTGCGCAGCGATTGCCGACACGGCCCGACCATGATCTCAACGATATCGTCTAGGCCGGCGAGCTGGACCAGCGTGCGTGCAACATGAGCGAAGTTGGGGTTGAGCTCTAGACTAATGTACGTCTTCTTCTGCTGGTTGTTTGTTGGGGGTTGCGTTTGCCTTTGCGTTTGCATTTGCTTGAGGGTGCTGCCGAATAGAATAGCAGAATATCCGATGTAACCGCCGAGTTCGACCATGATGGTGGGGTTGCGGTCTTGGATTTCTTTGGTCACGATGGCGCCTTTGCTTTCGCCGACGTTCATCAGGAAGTTCTTCTCGCGGCCGAATTCGTCGATTGCGGCGAGGATTTGGGACGGGTTGTTTTGCATGGTCGAGTGGGTGGGGTGTGAGTGGATTTGGCTTAGGAGAGCGGATTCGCGGCCGTCGTTGCACTGGGTGAGTGGGCTGGGTTAGTTGGGATGCTTGGCTGGATTATATCCATGAACGGACTATACGTACGTAGACCTCTTCTTCGGGTTTGTAGAAGGACATGGTGAGTTGGGCCAGGCGGTTATGGTTAACGGAGGGATAGGTGGCTAAGGTTAGGTATTTGAGACTTTTCACTCGGATAGTAATGTTGAAATGGGATGTGTAGATGTGTAGGCCACGATATCAAGAATATTCATCAGTATATAAGAGCAATAAAGCCCAGTCGCGGTTGGGAAGCAAGTATGGCTCAAGCCTGACTCAATAAGCTTTAACCAAAATCCGGGAGCAGCTGGGCTATCTTGTTCCTGAGCAGATGGCCCGAGAAAGCCCCCCGCATGTATGAGACATGATAGCTCGCGGGCAGTTCGATCATATGCCCCTCTACGCACTTGATATCCATAACCTAACCATGTTGGCTGGTGATCACCCTGCAGCTTGAAGAGAACATCCTGATTGGCTCAGTCTTACTACATGTGTATATACGGGAAAGATCAGGGCAAGAGAGTTAACGCAGTCCATCCAATCTATTGGTATGGTCGGCATCCCCTGGTGAAGCACAACATCTCCCCGAAGAAGCAAGCATGAAAGGTTAGTGTGGCTGAAGCATGCTCTTAATGGGCTTCATGATATCACCGGTTCTGACCGCAATGTAGATCCGGGTTACATGAGATCCGATGGTCTTCTTTGGTCTGCTGTTGTCGCTGGTGTCATTTGACAATGTCGGATGATCTCTGACCCCTCGATGGAAGGGGACTGCCAGCTCGTGTCGCACAAATTCGTACATGGCTTTCGTTGTTACCCCCAGATAAGACGGAGTAGAGCGAGCTCCAATGAATTCGGCACGGGTACGATCGTAAATATCGCAGAGAAAGCAAGACAACCTTTCCTTCCACTGCTTGGCCGCGCTACAGAATGACGGAGGAGGACTTGTCTGGCCTATACTTTTGGCGTTGAGAATGTAACCGAATGACTGTGCAGCGATCTGCTCACAGCGTGGGCTGAGATCCAGCTGAGCGGTGGTCAACCAGGACGATGTGATCTGCAACCATACATCTTCGAATTTAGGAATATCTGACCCGTTCTCGACAATGAATATTTCATCGTATACCCTCTTTGCCTCTATCTGGGCCACGGCGAAAAAGTCTAGGCTCAGGGCGCGAAGGTCTAGTGCTTGGCAAAGGATGTACAGGTGCACAGCACTCATCATGGATAGAATCTGCACCGATTGGCCTGTATACCGGGCCGAGATAAGCGCTAGAGAATTGACCGACTGGTTGCTCATCTCAGCAGTCTGGACGTGACTGACAACGGAGTTTGCAAGGAAGGCCAGCTCGGAGTAATAGGCTGTCATGTTTACATCCAGGCCTTTGACCGTGAAAGAAAGACTCGGGTCATCTGCACATAGGTTCGGAGGTAGACCTGCACTCAAAGACGGACTAATCAACTCGTTGCATTGTGCAAGTAGTATTCTCCCCAGCATGACCAATGAACTGCGGACCTTCTCCATGGCAGATGTCACGGATGCCGCTTGAAAGTTGCCTCCATGATGAAATCGATCACCTGTCACGTCGATAAGTGGATTATCCGAGGATGAGTTGAGTTCTACTCCGACTTGTCTGTCGGCAGAAAGCAGATCTTCAATCTGAGGCCCAATCCATTGGGGTGCTGTGCGCAGAGCGTATCGGTCCTGGACCAGTCCCAGTTTATTGACGTCAGTGTTTTGAGAGAGACGGGTTCCGCGAAGGCAGGCGCAGAGATTTCTTGCGACCTCGATCTGGCCTTGGTGCGGTCGGCATTGCGAGATAAATTCGTGGTAATTATCAACCGTGCCCAGCAGGGCCTCTGTTGCCATGGCTGTGAGCACCTGGGCGAGAAGGGCCAGGTTATGGCTATCATAGAGCACCAGCGAAGCGGCGGCGGCGCTAACAGCAGTGCCATTGACAATACTCAGTCCCTCTTTAGCATTCAACATTAGGGGAGCAATGTTCGCTCTCTGAAGAGCTTCCGCTGCGGTTATGACCCGTGGAACGTCATTCTCCTTGACTTGGACATATATATCCGGGTTGCCTTCGATCAAGCCGCCAATGTATGACAGCGGGGAAAGATCCCCGGATGCAGAGATGCTTCCACGCAGAGGAATAACGGGCGTGATCCCCTTGTTCAGTGCATGGAGTAGGAGTTTAATTACCTCGATTCGGACACTCGAATGCCCTCGGAGAAGAGAGTTGCAGCGTAGGAGTATAGCGCCCCGCACAACCTCAGGAGCAAGATTGTGGCTCTCCTCATCCACAAAGCTTGATCCAGCGGTTGCCAGATTGGGAAGAATCCCGCATTGCTGATGCTGCAGGAACGAATGCTGCAGGACCCGCAGTTGCTCTGTTCGAGTGTCCGCGTTGCCGCCGCAGCCAGTATTGACCCCTGGTTCAGCACGTTAGGCCGAGCATGATATCATAATCTTTCCTGGTCCGGGTGGCAACGCGCACCATATACCTGTTCACCCCTTTCCAGGCGGTCCATAAGTGTTCTCACACTACTTTCCAAGCGCTGGAATAGATCTGGAGACTCAAGGACTGATGTCTTTGTCGAAAATCTAGGCAAAGTCACCGGTGTTCACTACAGATTCTCCAATGTTCAGATTTTACTTACCTGGACACGGATATGACCTGTGCTAAGCTCAGCGATTCTCCATCCAGAAGCACACAGTTCCCCTGCTGGTCAAGTTTTCCCAAGAGCTTCCAGGTTTTGTGCAAGTGATCCAGATGCGACTCCATTTTGGCTGTCTTAGATCAAACAGGTTTCAAAGCAATACCTCTGACCGTAGCACAAGTACGGATGGTTAGACGGGTGACAAATGTGATATCTAACAGCCTGGGGGCCGAGACACCATAACTCTTATATGATTTGGTCGATCGCCCGATCGCATGTGCCAAGCACGCATCCACATGCTGCGGCAAAAGCGGATGGTTATGGCTTTGATGTCCGAGTGGAAGTGTGACACAGGGTATGCATGTCCAAGATCGAGTCAGATTACGAGGGCTCGTGCACCATAATTGGAGCATCTGTATTCGAACTCAATGACTCTGACCAGGAAATGCTTGTAATTCCCTCGTAATCCCATCCGTGCGCTCGTTTTTGACAGGCATCGATAGTCAACTGTCACCGATCTGAGCACCACATCGGTCACTTTAATGTAGCTATACTATGATAAACTATAACCAAAGAGCTTTACTTACCACGAGGCTTGCCTGTCTTTTAGGATAAATAGCCCGCTATAACGCATCACCTAGAAGGCAACGCATTTACCATTATGACTGTTACCATGACTGCCACTGATTATTTCGATGTTGTGATTGTTGGGGCGGGGCCATCTGGGTATGTGCAACGAATATCACACAGACGAGAGGCTAACGGCATGCAGTCTCATGGCTACTACGTGGATGGCTCGGACAGGCATCAAGACTCTTCTGATTGAGAAAAAGTCGGGTCGCACTCTTGCCGGGCACGCAGACGGTCTCGAAAGCAGGACTTTTGAAATATTGAATAGCTTTGGCTTTGGTGAATCAATATGGATGGAATCGAACAAGACAATCGATGTCTGCTTGTGGGTAAGAAATTGCGAAGCCTTGCTGAGAATCGTCTGACGTCGTATCAGAGTAGCTCGGGAGGATACCTTCGAAGGGACAGTGTGTCCCCAAACCATGAGCCTGGCTTGTCCAGATTTCAGGAGGCCACTCTGGGTCAGGGGCGAATAGAAGAGCACCTTCTCAACTTTGTGAAACAACATTCAAGTGTGAAAATAAAATGGGAAACCGTCCCTATCTCACTGAAAATTTCCGACGGTAAATGCGATGACCCCGGTTCTTATCCTATTGAGGTTAGAACAAAGTCATACCTCGGAGATGACGACAAAGAGGTACGTAGAGTAACATCTTGATATCAGCTTTATTCTGACCATCCGAAATTGGAAAGATGCGGAATGACTGCTCTGAAAGGACAATCCGAGCACGATATTTGGTCGGATGTGACGGGGCTCATAGCTGGGTCCGGAAACGACTTGGCCTATTCTTAGAGGGCGATCAGACCCCCAATGGGCACTGGGGCGTTCTGGATTGTATACCTATTACAGACTTCCGTTTGTCACCCAGTTCCTGTCCCTAAGTTGTGGCAGAATGACTGATTATAGAGCAGCTGACATTCGCAAGAGATGCATCATCAAATCGGATGCAGGGAATCTCATGATAATACCCCGAGAAAAGAAGCTTGTTCGCTTCTATATCCAAGTATCTCCTCTAGTTGCAGCTAGATTCAAAGTCGACTATCACTCATCAACATTGATAGCGGTTCTAAGGGATATACTGCAACCATACACATTCAACACTTTGCATATTGAATGGTCCACAATTTACACAGTATGTCTCATCATTTTGCCCTGTCAAAAAACCATTGGTCGAGTTGTGCCGAGGTCCTGATATTCATAAAGATTGGCCAAAGACTGTGCAGCACATTTTCGGTCATGAATCGCATTTTCCTCGCAGGTGATGCCGTTCACACTCATTCCCCTAAGGCTGGGCAAGGTATGAATGTCAGTATGCAAGACAGTTACAATTTGGGTTGGAAGTTGTCCTCTGTTTTGAGGGGCGTCGCCACGTCTGAGATTCTTCATACATACCAGACAGAGCGGCTCCCTGTTGCGGAACGATTGATCGCTTTCGACAGACGGATGTGCTTTGGGATATGCTCAACTGAAAAAGACCCATCTGAAAATGCCAACGATAGATTCTCTAACCTCAGACCGACGCTTTCCGAGGAGAACTCATGTGCCGCGGGCATTGGTGTGGTCTATGGGCCCAGTATCTTGATGACTTCATCATCCGATTGTGATTCTGCTGCAAACGTAGAAGATACGCAGTCACCTTTCCCCCAAAGCAAGCATCACCTTGCCACATGCATCACTGTCGGTGGAAGAATGCCCAGTCAACGCGTGCTTTGTCAGAGCGACTCCCGTCCCTGGCACCTCCAGGATAGACTCGTCAGTACAGGACAATGGCATTTGATCATTTTCGGGGGTGATATAACGGATGGTATCCAAAAGACTCGTTTGAACCAACTCACAAATTCTCTGTCTCACCCAGAGTCTCTGATCAACTCCATCAATCTGTCTGACGGGAGTCCCGTAGGCTCCCTTGCCGCATACCTGGTTCATACGGCCCCGCGGGAGAAGGTGGAGTTCATGGAGCTGCCGGCAATTCTAAGACCGTTCGACAAGGAGATCGGCTATGATTACTCGAGGGTGTTCGCAGACAATGCATCAAGTGGGGAAGGGTGTGGAGAGGCTTACCAAGGTTATGGAGTCAGCTCAAGAGGCTGTATGGTCCTGGTGCGCCCCGATCAACACGTTGCCTTCATTGGGGCTTTGGAAGATACCAATGCTCTCTATGCGTTCTTTACAAGATTTGCTGTAACAAAGTGAAGAAAACGGGGAGGGGTAAATGGCAGGTAAAACCTTTTGGTTCGATATAACAACAGTCAGCAGACCAAAGTTCTCGCCTTCACCAGCCCGGTCTAACCCCATTGGGTGGTATTGGGGAAAGAAAGCAAGTCATTATATAGTGTGCGTTTTCTTGTAAATGACGGTCATAGCATACTCGTTTGGAAAAAGAGATCAAGAAGCTACGCTACTTCGCAAGTTCAACCCTCCCAAGCAACTTCCATAATAGCCAACGCTGCCTGAGGCGGCGTCCAACACTTTATGGCTCCAAATCTCGGATCCGCTTCCTGGAACAGAGCGTGCCACTCTTCTTCATCCCTCAGGCGAGAATTGTTGACCGCAAGCATTGTCATGTCAATGTGGCGGATATATCTCTCCGTCGCGATAGGCAGAGAGCCATTTTCTGGACAAAGGCTCTCATTCACCACGATCTTCGCCCCTGTTTTCAACGCAGGAACCAGTTGACGAAGGATTCTCACAACATTGTCGTCAGACCAGTCATGCAACACCCATCTGAACAGATAAACGTCCGCCACTACAGGCTGCGGAGAAAAGAAATCGTGGGCCTTGAACTGGACATTGGAGTTTTCAGATGTAGCAGCAGCCGCAGCTTTTGCGCGTTCGATCAAACCTGGAACGTCCTCGACGATGACTTGAATGTCCGCGTTTGCCCGCGAAATCAACCGTCCCACGCGCCCCTCCGAGCCACCAACGTCAACTACCACCGCGCCCTTCGGCAGCAGATGCCACGGATATTTCTCGACCAGAAACTCTGGTTCGGATTCAGGAGCGAAGGTGGCGAAGAACTGCATGGCATCGGAAAATTGCTTCTCTTTATCTGGTCGCGAACCGAGGTATTGGAATATGCCTTCGTTGTTATGAGCTAAAGCGAAGCCCTGTATGGGTATTTGGTGTCAGTCCGGATCTCATCACACTCATGAAGTAGATGGTGAGGGAACCCCACTGTCTCATTGGGATCATGGCCTTTGAACTGACTGATCGCATCCGGTATCTTGCAGCAGATAGCTCCGTTAGTTAATCCGTCGCGGGCCTTTCAGATACAACATCAACTAACTCTCGTGAATGCCATCGCAATATCATCATACATTCCGACCCCTGCAGAAGCCAATGGATCCTCCGCAATTTTGCGCGAGCCAGCTGAATGCGAGACATACCCCTTGCGCTTCTCCGCGAATATACGATGAAAAGCGATGGCGAAGCGGATAATCTGTTTCAAGTCATGGACGTGTACGCCACATGCTCTAGATAGATCATCATAGGAGATCTCTCCGTCAAGTGGCACATACTTCGCTATACTGAAACGGGTGATTTCTTGGATACTGCTGCCGTTGTACTTGCAACAAGAGTAACCGCTCTTAGTATGAAGCCCCGCTGTCCCATCAATATGTCCTGGGTTATACTAACTCGAAGATACAGACAACCCAGCGGACCTTGCAGCAGGTCCAGTAGCTCCATACATGCGTTGGTCGCTGCGTATCGTGCGTCGATTACCTCTTGTGACGGAAGAGGAACTTCAACTGAGGAATCGACATCAAATGAGGGCATGTGTAAGCCATGATGCTTCAGTGATCGATCCAATATTTCTGCTGATTGGGAAACAATTGCAGCTAGTTTCACGATCTCTTCGGCCATGTTGAGCAGCTACTCGGTTTCTTTCTTGTCGCTTGAAAGAAGGCCTTCGATTGTAGGAGATACTGTATGTATATATAAGCCGTATGTGTTCAACCCATTCGCCAGTGTGCCGCTCAACTAGTACCCACCGTGTCGGAGGTTGCTTCCGCGCTGACGACGGGAAAGGGAGCATGCTTTGGCACCTTTACCTAGCAACTTCCCGTCCCATTGCTCTCTTTCATCAGTGTTTGACATGTGAGATTCCTCCACCACCAATGAATAATCCCTACATGCTATGCAGGTGTCACTGAACTCTGTTTCTTTGTCAGCGGACTCGAGATATACTTCTTGAGGGATGAAACGAAAGAAATTGCTCCAGAGCCTAGTAATTTGACATAGTGAGCATCTGCAGCTTGAAGCTTCAGACACCATACATGGAGAGGAAGTTTTGAACTCTGACCCAATATACCACTTTGGAAGCGGTAGCACAGATTGCCCCTATTACAGCGAGCATTAGAAATATTGTCTCGGTGTAACATGGACAAGCCATACTACACGTGCGATAATCGCAATGATTTGAACTTTTGGGTAGCCCTAGAAAATACAATAGTACTGAAGTTTGCTTTGATTTTCCCTTGATCAGCAATATATGCAGATCATCTGTCAGCATTCAACCCTAGCTACAATCTCACATAGGCTATCTACTGCATACAATGCACGCACAAACATTTGCATTCCCGAAGTATATATGTAGCTAACTTCGGCATCGTGTATGCATGCAGTTCTGTCTGCATAGTGCAGACGACTGAAACCCCTGCCCGCCAACAAGTTGTTCCGAATACAGGCATTCGAACCGACTGGTGTACGGATAAACCAAATTCGGATTCCTGCAGAGGAAAGGGTTCCGCAAAGATATGCCGGAGGTCTGTTTTGCAATGCTCCACGACCGCATGATCCCTGCAACAAAGAAAGACTTGGACACTGCTGGGGTCTGGATTCATCTACGCAAGCCTTGTTTCCCACATATCTGACGCCAAGTGGTAATAGAAAATGTTGCCATGTAACCCACTGGTTGCACCTTGGGGGTGGTGGAAGGTGAACCAGAAGCCCCTCGGAGGGAGAAGATTCGGCCGACTTCCAGAATGATGACATCAGCGCATCTATAATCACGTGCCGCTGAGCAATCAATCGCCTTATCATCACATGACAGGTCGGAACTTCGCGTATACCGAGGCGTCCTCGATCATCACATTTCTCCAGCCTGCAACCGCCTTCCAGATACCCCTATCAAACGCATTATAATGGCAGATACAACAAACGAGCCCGCCGCAGCTGCAGACCCCCAGCCTCCGGTCGTCACATTCAAGAAGCGAGGCGCCAAAGCGAGCCAAAACATCCGCAAAAGACCCGCGGCGCCCGCAAAACCGCAAAGCGACGATTCTTCCGATTTCTCCTCCTCCGAAGACGAGTCCGGCCACCGGATAAAGCGCAGAAAGAACAAGGGCGCCGGCGTTGTCACCGCGTCATCGGCGAACACCAAGCCCGTCAACCGGGAATCCGCTGCAGCAATCGCCACAGCCGATCGCAAGGTCCAGATCGCGGACACGAACGATGCCACGAAACATGTCGAGTGGTTTGATGACGATGTCAAGGATGCAAGATCGCTGAAGGCTCAGGCTGCATCGAACGACGTACAGGTACCCGATGGAACATACAGGGGACTTGCGAACCAGACCTCTTTCATTAAGAAGAACCCAAATGCGCCGAATAAGTCGTTCGGGCCGATCAAGGGGGCGACGAATATTCGTACCATCACGGTGACGGACTATTCGCCCGATGTGTGCAAAGATTACAAGCAGACGGGATTCTGTGGGTTTGGTGATAATTGGTAAGTTTTTCCGTCCGGACATGGCACTGTCAGTTGAGCGCTGGTGGCTTATTTCAGGATATGTGCTAACGATGGCTGCGTATAGTAAATTCCTCCACGACAGAAGCGACTACAAACAGGGTTGGGAACTCGATAAGGAGTGGGAGAATGTCACGAAAGGCAAACAACTCAAGGGGACAGTGGTCGCGAGTGCCAACCGAACGAAGGTGGAGGATAAAGACGATGACGAGGAGTCTATGCTAGAAGATATACCATTTGCGTGTTTCATCTGCAAGGGACCGTACAAGGAGCCAATTGTTACGAAATGTGGTCATTACTTCTGCGAGCAATGTGCGCTGCAAAGGTACAAGAAGGACCCGAGCTGTGCAGCTTGTGGGTCAGGGACGAACGGCTTATTCAGTTCAGCGAAGAGGTTAAAAAAGCTGCTGGAGAGGAAGAGGGAGCTAGCGGATAAGAGGAGGCAGGAAGCCCTTGAAGCGGGAGAGGAGGTCAGCGATGAGGAAGATGAATAGTCAGATACATGCATGTATATAGGTCAACAGTATTTGGGATAATAGCATCTCTCGCATGCTCTGAGAGCACTGATCCCGAGGCAAATGCTAGATGTCTCTGGATTTGCCATGTAGAGACGTGGCCAAAGGATTGTGGCTGAGCTGTTTCTCTCTACCCTTGAGAACCACCCAACATCAGAATCCCACCTGCTAACAATCCTCGAGGAGGGGTCCATGGAGGGGTAAATTGCCCCTTCCTGAAACAAATGGATAAGATCCGATACACATCATCGTGTTGGACACCGTGTGCAAAGCTTATACTGGTAAGGGGGTAAGAATATATCCGGGACCTTGGGGGGAGATGATCTCGTCGACGCATGTTTGGTGCCAGTAATGCGATTGTCGCCCCTTCAGATCAGCTGTATTTGCAGCTATATGTGAGCAGCATGACTCTGTGAGTTCTCAATACCAAGCATTGAGGCGCAATCTACATCCGTTTTCTCGAACACGGTGGAATGATGTGACCACAATTCACCTTCCCAAGCTGAGTCGATGGTGGGGAGAAATACGTATGCCTCGATCCACTTTTGTGGCACTAGCCGTGCCCTAAACGGTTCTCGTGGGGACTTTCCCAGTTCGAGGAAAGCAGAGCTCAGCCACTTTCGGCCTTCGTTGAATGAGTCAGGATATCAAGATAGTTACGAGATGTTGTCCTTCTTCGCCGACAGAGAGAAAGTACAGAAGCATGTTGAAGTATGCCCGGAACAAATCCTGCATCAAACAAAAGGACGCGTTTATCCAACACGTACCGAATCTACATGAACCCAAGGGTGTTGTTACTTATTCAAGCTGCAATCTAACAACAGGCAACATCTTTTTGGGCCCCTTTCCATAGGATGGAGCATCAACCCAGGCTGGCCATAGAATCACTGCTTCAGCCTTCACGACATCCAAGCCACAATTGCCCCATATACGATGTCATTTGGGCCTAATTCCGTCCCGTTGATGGTTGGGGAAAGGCGTTGCCTACTGTGGCACCTTCTGGTCTCCACTCCCCAATCCAGGAGGATCGGGGTGGGAAGGGGGGTATTTAAGACCTCCGCTTCACCTCTCCCCTGACACACCCGTACCTCATACCATCCATCTATCCTCGAACCTATTCACAATGGGTCTCTTCTCACATCACCACCACCACAACGGGCCTCCTCCTCCCGGCCCTCCGCCGCCGGGGCCCCGGGCCCCCTCCCCCAGAGCCTTGGAACCGTCCTCCTGGCCCTCCTGGCCCTCCCCTCCGCCAGGACCTCCTCGAGACCCCTGGGATCGCCCGCCTCCCCCCGGCCCCCCCGGCCCTCCTCCTCCTGGTCCTAGAGATCCCTGGGATCGTCCGCCTCCTGGTCCCCCGGGCCCTCCTCCCCCGGGACCTCCTAGAGACCCCTGGGATCGCCCTGGCCCCCCAGGCCCTCCTCCGCCAGGACCTCCTCGGGACCCTTGGGACCGTCCTGGCCCTCCGGGCCCCCTCCCCCGGGACCCCCCGGACCCTGGGATCGTCCTCCCGGTCCCCCTGGACCCCCTCCTTTCAGGGACCCCCGCGACCCCTACGCTCCCGGTCCCCCGCCGCCGCCTGGCCCCCCTGAGGTATTCTAGACTCCTCCAAGCTCCACTACTCTTCTCTACTCTGTTTCTAACCTTGCATAGTACCGCCGGTGGTAAACAATGGGAGGGAAGCTAGCTTGTTAGGCACAGGAGTGTTGTATATATATATATATATACGTTCTGGTCGAGAGTTCTTGTATATGATTCCCACTTGCATGCATTGATTGCATGGTTTACATTCCGAATTCAAACCAAATCTATCATATTTCAAGTTATTACCCGTGCATCAGTCTGTCTAGTATACAAAGAACAATAGTAGTCACAAGTACAGAGTACCTCTCCGATTACTCCCACTCCCCATCCAGCTCGACCTCCTCGCCCCGCTCCTGGACCGCCATAATCTCATCGATGGTCCAGTCGCGGTAGACATGGCCACGGGGGGTGTTGGTATCCTGGAACGGCGTACCCCGCTGCAGATGGTCCAGTACCTTGTTGTAATTCTCCTCTGCATATGGCTCGGGGTTGTGTTTCCAGACCCACTCTGCCGTTAGATACTTGAGAGTCGTGGGCTGGCCTTGCTCCTGCTTGACGACGCGGCTGTGGTTGTGTTGGTTGATAAGTCCCAATTTCTGGAGACAGGAGACTCGCACAAATCTATGATAACATTGTTAGTGCGTTGCTTGACATTCATGTTGAAAGGCGACGGTGTATTGATTCCAACGTACCGCAACTTATTGTGGATCCTCAACGCCCAGGGCGCCTGGTCCGTCTGTCCTGCAATCCGCAAGCATGTGGCTAAAGATATAGCGTCCTCGAGACCCTGTGTTGCGCCATTGCCAGATGCAGGAACATAGGTGTGAGCGGCATCCCCTATTTGCACGATGCGTCCCGCGGGCGAGACCCAGGACGGCTGAGGATCGCGCCACATCAATCGAAAGTGCAGCAGTCGGTCCTTGGGGGTGAGCCGGATTAATCGGTCTGCCACCTCTGGCCAGTCGGGGATTGTTGCGGTGAGCTTGAGGACCTCTTCTGGGTCGGTTTTGTTCGACCAGGACTCGACAGCACTGTCATCGTTCTAAAGGATGTTAGAATCGTGCAAACCGTTTCTAGGGGAGACATAGTAGAATTACCTTGTGGCTCATGATCCAACACATGGTATCCGCCGTTCTTTCAATGAAAAAACGAATTGTTGGGCTTCATATTCGTCATTAGCGGTATATCCAATAGTAACAGTATCGAGAACCTACCCAGCCCACAGCTCGATGTTTCCATCACCTTCCACCGGCGGGAACCGTTTTCGAACCATCGGATCGGCCATGGCAAGCTCAACGGGGAAAGAAGTACGATACATGGATTCACCTGCCGGCCGTGCCCGCAGCTCCCGCCCCAATGTCACTGCGGTTGAATGGCTTCCGATACCGTCCGCAGCCACGACAACATCTGCCTCTAACCTGGCGCCGTCCTCAAGAACCACTCCGGCGCGTCCCGCGGGACCGTCCTCGAAATACTCCACTGCCCTGTGTCCATACTCCACGGGGATTCCGATAGCCAGGAGCTGCTTCCGGAGCATATCATGGAATCGAGGCCGCCAATGACGTATGATATGATTTGACATGCCTTTTGGATCAGATCCCTGGGTGTATTTGACAAGCGTCGGGGCTGTGATAGGCGCCCCCGTCATGGTGTGGAATGAGATAGCAGGACTGTGAGAGATCCTGTCATTCTCCTCTGCCATCTGGGGCCAGTGGCATAATGCGCGAAGTGCAGTGGGTCCAATTGTGAATGAGTCGCCTGGTTGAGAGGTCAGATGTGTGATGGGATGGGATGGTTTGGTGTCCAGTAAGGAAAGACGTACCTGTGGTGACCTGCTCTGGGGCCCTTTCGATTATTCGGACGTCGTGTCCATTGCGCCAGCCCTCCAAGGCTGCCATGAGCCCTGCAACCCCAGCCCCGACTATCAGGACTGAGATGCCGGTTGATGGGTATCTCGGAGGACAATTGTCTGGCACGGTCATTGTGAAGTCTGAGTCAAGTGGGAAGTCAAATGCAGAAGAAGTGAAGTGTTTGTTGTATTGCGGAAACGGATAGCCTGTTGCTTGTTGCTTGTTGCGAGAACATCTTGAGGACTGGTCTTTGGATTTATATAGCAAGACATCAGAGCATCGGGGCCGAGCATGATTGCTGTCATCTGCCTTTGCTCGAGGTGTATACGAGAAAGGATAGAATCGGGCCCGATGACGCCAATTAAGTCCGATTCCCGCCCGCTCCGCAGACACGGGCGCGGGAGCCCGATCCCCGACCGCCCCGGCGTTCTCCCGTGGCACCAAATCTCTCTCTCTCCTCCCCCTCGGCCTTCTCCACCCCCAGACGGCCTTTTTTCTTCCTTCGGGTCCGATATGTCCGCCTCCGAGTCGACCCAGTTGAAGGCATGCAGGCCATGCTCCAAGGCCAAGGTTCGCTGCGATCCCGGGCCCAGCGTTGCGTGTCAGAGGTATATTTTCGTGGGTCGGACCACATCGCGACCACATCCGCTTACGCTGCGACCAGATGCCATCGCCTGGGAAAGGATTGCATCAAGCAGGCTCCCAGATTCCATAAACTCAAACACAATAACATGTCGTATGTGTCGGAATAGTCGCCCCGATCCTTTCCATAGGTGTTGACTAGCTCTTTCATTAGCGATGTTGGACGGTTGGAGAGGAAGCTTGACAATGTGACATCGCTACTCACAGCCTCGCGGAGGTATGCGGAAGGCATCAACAGCCATGCCAATGTCGCTTCCCCAGCACGAGAAGTGGTTTGGGTCTCTGAGCCAAGCGATCAGGAAACGGAGGACATGCTGAAGGCCTTCCACCAAAGCATGGCCCTTTTCTTCCCATTTCTGGTACGCTCGCCCTCTTTGACTGCCCATGACTTGCGCACCCAGAAGCCGCTCCTTCGTCTGGTCATCCCGGTTATTTTCTACAAAAATGTTTCGTCACAGCAAGCACATGCTGTGAAATCGAGGGAGTACTGGATGGAGCAGTTATTGGTTAAGGGAGAGCACGGTTTAGATCTCTTCCAGGGGCTTCTGATGTTTATTGGCTGGTGAGAGAGGATTGTCACTCATCGTTGCTTTCAACGAAGCACTAAGGCTTCAACAGGACGCAACTTACTTTGCCAATGCCCCGCGTAACACTGGTCAACAATTACCTCCATCTCCTGGAAGCGCAAGTCAACAACCTTGACTTTCGCGGAGACTCGAAATCGGGTATGACCGGCTCGGTATTTTCATATCTGAAAGATTTTGGGCTGGATGAGCGTTTGCGCGATTCTCGTACACTGGAGGAGCTGAGGGCCTATCTGGGATGCTTTTACTTGGTCACAATGTGTGTCTACCTCTAGAGCTGCCGCTTCACATTGCTGATGTTGATAGGGTATCTCTGTGTTTGGATGAAAAGGATCCCATGCGATACACAGATTACACAGAAGAGTGCTGTCGTGCTGTAGAAGCAGCTGCTGAATTTGAATCTGACAAGCATCTCATCCAACTGGTCCGGATAGCACAGATGGCAGCAAAGATCCATCGCACCCTCAATCGCCACGAAATCGACGTCCCCAACGGATCCGCATCGACAGCCATGATCATTCGCTTGCTACAGAAAGACATGCAACAGCTCAGGGACTCATTGACCTGCGAATTTCCCCAGTCCGGTACGTATTCCCAGACCTCCATAGATGAATGCACCCTCTTACATGCGCAGCGATCGTCTTCCTCCACTACCACACTCTCGAGCTCATGATCTACCGCACCGCCATGACGAAACTTCTCCACGACCACCCCATCCCTCAAATAGACGTATTATGTGCTTGCGTCGAAGCCACCAAGTCCTTTTTCGACACCTTTTTCACCATCCCTTCGCACCTTTACCTCCAATTGCCATACACTATTTGGGTCCAACTCGGCCACGGCCTCGCCATTCTCTCCCGGATATTAATCCACAGCGACCCCAGAGGCAACTGGGACCGCGAATACGCTCGTCAGCGGCTCAACTTCGACGCAACCGCCGACACCTTCGGTCTGAAAGTCGAAGAAGCCATCTCACAGGCTGCAGCGGAGGACATCGAGATGCCGCCGATTTTTACCCAGATCAAGAATAGAGTGGTCATGTGGAAGGAGGGCCATGCGGCCCGGTGCGCTACTTTGGATAGATGGAATCAGGACCAGCCTCAGGCAATTGCTCCTGGTATGGACGAGCTGATCCCCGACGTGGATGTGGATGATATGCTGATGACGGGATCTATATGGAATTTCTTTTCTCTGTAGTCCTGGCTATCGGGGCGTTGGTCTACATTAAGCTTAGTTGTGCTATCACCGCTTGAGCACACTTGTACATTAAGCACTGGACTAAATGAACGAAGACACCGCTCTTCTCGGGGTCAGCTAACAGTTTCAACCCACATACCCATCATGAGCCTTCGCTTCCACTCATATCTCCAGGCCTTTTGATATTGGCTAACCTTACAGACGATACAGGCGAGGACTTTCAAAGGAGCTTCGCTTATAATTTTCAAATTCGAAATAGAACACGCAGATAGAGCCCATTGTAACGTACATCCTGTCCGTGGTGAAAAGAACTAATGTACAATATCTATCGCAAGACCCGTTAAACATAGCCCCAAACAAAATAAAAGGAAACGAAAACCGACCAAATCATATCGGTTGCAATCTTAGACACCCAAAACAGAAAACCCCAGGAGCATGCATACCAGAATTGTTCGAACCAGGTCATCCAATTCAGCCCATCCAACTGAGAATCCAACTCGGATCATCTAACCCACGCTCCATTCAACCCATAATCATCCAAATCATTCACCATCCAACACACACATCATCCAGCATAAACACCCTCCAACACACACCACCTGATTCATCGCCCTGTTTGACAGGGCCAACCCATCAGGACATATGATGGGGATTCCTGCGGTAGGACATATCATCCGGATGAAGGTCCGGCGAAGAGATATAACCGCCATCTAGTCACCTCTTCTTACCCGGACCACTCCCCGATGAAGAACCGCTACTAGTCTCCGCTTTTGAAAACGAAGCTTTTAACTCCCTGAATGCCTCCCACAGAACCCAGATGGGGGCAAAAACCCAGAGGATGTTAAAGAAGAGGAGATAGAAGAGCATGTAGACCCAACTGGAGGTATCCAGGGCGGAACTACCGGTCAACCACTCAGGGCAGAAGGTCATGAAGCCGCCGTAGAGCTCAGCCGTAGCGAGGGCGATGGAAGTCATCCACAGCCTCCCGCGCAGGGCACCCCGCTCGCGGGCCGGTATCGACTGGTTGGAGATTTTCCACAGCAGGTAGCAGATGTAGACGGCGGCGGGGCCGCCCAGAAACACGGTCAGCAGTTCAATTGAGATGACGGTGGAGTCGGCGCCGCCCCAGCGGTGGTCCGCTTTGGCGTATTCCTGCCAGAGGCGGGCGGTGGGCCAGTTGCTGTAGGTGGCGCCGTAGGCGCGGTCCTTTTGGTTCAGGAAAATCGGACCACGGTTGTGGCTCGGGGAGATGGTGGAGTAGCTGAAGAAGCAGTGGTAGAGGAAGGGGCCCTCGATGAAGAGGTGGGTGAGGGCGTCGTAGGCGTGCCACATGAACAGCAAGCGGCCGCGCTGGTTGAAGGTGCCGGTGATGAGCCGCTCGCCGAGGAGATAGGCGGTGGGCATGAGGCAGAGCGCAAAAGCGATGCTGAAGCCAGTGCCGAGATCCAGGGTGAATGGGATGAACGGCATGGTGGGCGGTTCGGGTGGATTGGACCAGCCAATCTGCGAGTCGAGGGAGGCGAGGGTTTCCGTAGTTGTGTTGGTGATATTGAGACCGGCGAGAGCCTTGAGAGATTGAAGCGCGTGGTGGTAGTGACCGTTGGAAGCGGTCCATAGGGACTCGAGGGCGTCTTTAAATGCCATGCCGAGCGAGGGCCGCTGAAAGCGCGGGCGTGACAAGGAAACAAACAATTGCCAGGCAGGCAGAAGGGCGTTGATGGGGTGGTGAACCGAAAGCAACCATAACAATGGGTTGGCGATGCGTTGCTATTTTGAGCCCCTGAAACGCGTCGCCCGCGATGGCGGCCTGAGGCAGGCGGCCCTTGGCCGCATCGGGCGGGGCGCAACGCCGCTTCTTTGTCCCGTCCTCTTCTTCTTTCAACCTTCTTCTTTCATCCTCCTGCATGTCGTCCTTGGTTTCGTGGAGTTCTTGCACCCAGATGGTTCTTTTCATGGAGATTGAAAAACTACATTGAGTTATCGTTGCAAAAGACGTCATGTTGTTCCATTGACTCGACTCGATGGGTTGCTGGCTGGCTGGCTAGCGGGCCTGTGTTCTAACTTCTAAGCCTGCGGACTGCGGACAATGAAAGAATGAACCCGCTAAATCCCCGCACGGCCGGGCGATCCTCCGCGGCTGTTAGCGCAATCGAGGCATCCCAAGTCTCCAATGAGTCCAATGGCAGGAGCCTTTCCCCAACCCAACCATCTATAGGTCAACAATCCCAGAGCCAGTCAATAGCCAGTCAACGGCCAGACACACCGAAAGATAGTCCCGGAATTCGTGAAGTCAGCGGGTGGATTGCAGTCTTTGTCTCTCATGGCGCAACCTGAAAGAGAACCACATACTGGCTGCGCCAGCCAGCCGCATGTCACTGGCTACTTCCCAGCGCCTTGTCTTGAGATGAACTCCTCGCTCTTTCATCACTGGATCGATGTGCCACGAGGCCCTACCCCTCTTCCAAGGGTCTGCCATTTCCGAGAGATATGATTTGCAGTCCTTCGGGTGTCATCTCCAAAGAGGGTCCAGACTTGCATGATTCATCCGGAAGGCGTGATGGCCTGCATGCCTTTTGCGGTGCTCCCTATCGTCTGTAGTCTCGAGCGGCAAACTCGTCCAGCTCGTTCGATCGCCTCTCTACAATCATTGCTTGGCGTTTGCGCGTGGCTGCCAGCTGACACTTCTGCATGTCAAGCCAAGGACAAGTGATCAAACGTTGCCTCCGGTGTTTGTCACTTCTTCCTTTTGTCTTCGTCTTCGATCACCCTGTTCACAAGGCCTAAAGTCCTGCTATTCTTTGCCGTGACTACACTTCGAATCTTTCGTCTTCCTAGGCTCCTCAGTTGCTATTCTGGACTATTTGCTTCGTTGGTGTGGAGGGTTTGTTGTAGGGCCATCTGGTCTGACCCGCCTTTGGTCCGAATATGCCTCCCAGTGATGATTCTCGCCTGTTTCTATTACTCCCACTCTGAATTCCTCAAACCCCACCTAGATTTCATCAGGCCGGGTGCATGCGCCCAGAATATCCGTCAAAATGTCCCCTGACATCGAGGTGATTGACATCCCCAAGGTTGCTCAAATGACATACGATCTATGTTCCGTCTGCACTGCCATGTCGCTAGATGCCCCGGATGGCTTCAAACAACTTGTTAGTAAGCTGGAGTCATTGAATAGTGTCCTGCAGGAATTGAGAGACGGTGCTGTCTTGACGACGGTAGGGCAGGAGAAATCGGGCGAGGAACGCAAGATTACTCTGCAACGTGGATTGAATATCTGCTACAGCAACCTGAAGCAGCTCAAAGAGTTGGTCGACAAATATCAGGATATGGGTCTGGGAAATGGAAAGTTGCCCTGGCAGCTCGTAAATTGGGCGACTCAAGAAGAGTATGTTGGTGAGCTCAGGTCTAAGCTGGTTGCCCACACATGTCATCTTGGCTTGTTCGTGAGCAAACGCAAGTGAGTTGTCAAATAGGATCGAGACAATGGATCAAATCTCACCCTTTCAGCCCATCTATAGTGAGCCTTGAAAGCTCGACGTCGAAGGCTTTACCCGACAATTATCCTCCTGCATCAGCAACATCTCAGGCACATGACGAATTCTCGCCTTTGCCATCTGAGGTGCGCCGCCACAAGGTGATTGGGCTATCAGAGTTGGATGGTACCGAGGTCATTAAGCAGGCACCTCCTCGCTCACAACACCCCAATGGCCTGGGGAATCTTGTTAGAGCCTCGAATTCTTCTGATTCTACGGTGTCCGGACACTCGGAAGGGTCGACCTTCACGGCTGCTGTGCGTGCCTCTCCAAGCACCCCGGGTACGGTAGGCTTCAACACCCCACATGGAGCCGTTCCCGATACATTTTCAACGGAAAAGGAAGTTCTCTATTCTCGCGTTCCAGGATATGGGATCCCAAATTTACAATATTCGCAACAACTTCAGGCCCTAAATTCGGCCAAGGCAGGGGGGCTGGTGTCTAGGGGCAGTACCTCCACTAAACCAGCAACTGTGGGTACAGCAAACGGTGTCACGCAAGATCTCTATCATCTTCAACTGCGGGAACAGCTTCTTCAGCAGCTGCGGGTTGAACCCCGAGACAGGTATCATCAACCTGATGCCGACCTTTTTACGAGGTTCAATGATTCCGCGCATAAAAAGGAACGGTCCCAAGATCTGACTACAAAAGACTGGCTACGAGCCGCGGTATGGTGGCTGCTCAAGGTACCACGTCCCAGCTCTCTTTCAATGGCAATCGCTGATTTGCTCGAAGGCTAGAACAGCCCTGGCCAATGGCGAGAGACCGAGCCTTGTTCATAGAGGCGGTGCCAGCCCATCTACAATGTCATGGTCCGCTAGCCATCAGGCGTATGTTGACCTTTTGAAGGCGTCGTACGTCTTGTATGATGTTGTTTTAAAGAGGGAAAAACCGCAGGAGCTTCTGGAGGATGAAAACAGAAAGCTGATCTCCGACTTGTCCGAGGTTAGTCCTTCCACAAACTATTAATCCGATGGTCTCCAGCTAACCTACCAAAGGGCGTCAAGGATGGCTTTTCTCAATTCAACCAAGTGGATGTCCCCGACTATGCTGCCATTCGCTCGCATAATCTTGATATCTGGGAACCATTGCAACCTGAAGAGATTACTAGAGACGACGGCCAAGCGTTCAGTCTGGGTAATGCTCAGTATACTACTGTGGATCCGGAAGATGCGGGCCACGATGATGAACAAATCCTCTTCCGGACTTTTGTCAACGCGGGTATTGGGAGTAAGAAGCTCCGCATGAGGACTAGGGGAGCACCATACATGCTCTTGCTGTCCACCAAGTATGGGGAAAGCGAACCCAAAATAACCATTTGCAACCAGTGTGGCACTTTCTGTCTGCAGCGCGACTGTAAGTTTCCCGGCGTAAGTCGTCAAGGATCAATTAATCAATGGATTCTGCAGTGGAACCAGGCGATCTGGCTCAACTGGTCCAGGTTTCGGACGTCTCTCTGAATGGACTTCCTATCGCGAAGTCAACAGAGCCGGTCACTCTGAAGTTCGACTCGGTCAATGTGTCGATCTCTTTCCAGTACCTGTCCGATATGATGCAGGTTATCAACATGCCCAAGGCATATTTTGAGGCTGTCCAGCTTCGGGAACCGTTGGATGCAGGCGAATTCTCAGAAACCGTTATCTTCAAAAGCTCGGCCGAGCTGCTTGAGCAGTTGAGAATGCCCAGTATGAAACCGATGAACCCGCCTGTAGTTCACAGGTCGTGCGAGGTGCGTATCCTGGAAAGAACGTTCAAAGACGCGTGGCGATCTATTCGACGCATGGTCGTCAGCTCATCGGCAGCTGAAAGGGACGCGCATAGCATGGAGATATTCATGCCCATGAGTCACGTACAGGTTAGCCGCGAGAAGGGCTCGGGCTATGTCATGCTGAAATGGTCAGACACCTGCCAGGAGCGGTCCGGCAAGACAGATGGAAACTACCATCCTCTTTTCTCCTACGTCTATGACGCTGGCAGCCCTAACATAGGGATTGGGATTCGGTTTCGCTCACAAGAGGTGACAAAAGATCTAGAGCGGGTCATTCTGACCATGAATGCGAAGCCATCATTCTCGTGGGTCCAAACAGACAGCTCAGGTCATGTCTATGATGTTGTGGATGTTGCAGAGGAGGCGAAACACTACAAGGCGGTCCTAGTATGTCAAAGTCGCCTAGGCTGGTCCCAATGCAGTCTACACTATCTGTACAGGGACACGGATTACACCTGCCAGCATTCCTGTCTCCGCGTCCGGTTTCCTCGCTTGTTCCACGCCGACTACATATCATCGCATGTTGAGCAACTGTATCGCGCCGACCAGCGAGTGTACTTCTCTCACTGCGAGAAGACAACGGGGAACATGGTCGCGCAGTTCAACGAGGAGCATGTTCTGCGAGGATTCATGTCCTCCCTCGCGTCATCACACAAACTGATGTTCTCCAGACGGGCAACCTCTCTCTCGACCAAAGAAAGGCAGTTTTTCCGACATAAGAGGTCAACGAAGGGCGACTCGGAGGTGCAAATATGGCGTGACGGAGACAAACTTCGCCTCGCTGCCCGCTGGAGCGACCATATCATGGACCGGTGGCTCACACTAGCCATACCATCGTTGGAACCGTCGCGGGCCAGCAACTGGGTTGCGTTCCCCCCCCTCGCCTACTCGCGGGGGATGGTCATCAACATGGCCCAAATAGCGGCCGGGTCGCCAAAGAACTCCAACAAGGAGCGGCAAAGCGGGCCGATCACGATCACTTTTCCTACCACCCAAGGTGCGTCATGGCAATTCTTGTCTGGTCGTATGGTGCGGGACTGACTTTCGTGATTTCAGATCGAGAAGAGTTCGTTGCGGTGCTAGCAGCTAAGCCTGCTAAGTAGGAGGGAGGAGATGTGGAGATGTATATTCGAAGCGTCGGAGTTCTGTCGTAGAGCGCAATATATGTATTTATTTTTATCGTCCATGGGGTTCGAGATTCGAGACAGGAGGGAATACAAGATCGGAGTGTCCAATGTAACTTAAAGCTTCCTAAAAAAAAAAAAAAAAAAAAAAGGTATCACCCAGAAATGGGGAATATCCCGAAACTCAAAACAAACCAAAAAGTAGTCACGCCCGGGATCGAACCGGGAACCTTCTCGGCGCTTGAGAGGATCTCACTTGCTGTGAACGAGAAATCATAACCATTAGACCACGTGACTAGTGCTTGCTGAATTTCGCAAATTGTTGTCTTCTCCTCTGCTTTGCCTTTTCCTTGGCAAGAGCGGCTGCCATCGGCCCCTCGAATCTCGAGGAATCTGAATCCTCCACTGCGATGCAACACCAACATCCAAATGATAAAACACAGATGGTCTCCCACCCCCAAAACACCGACCAGCTGCCCTCCAAGGCTTGTGATAAGGTCGAGGGACCGCCCATCACCCGCCCGGTGCCAGTGCCAGTACCCCGCTTGATCATGCCCGAAACCTGGAGAGATCCGGAGTCGCGTCAGTGCGCCCCTGCGCCCCTGCAACGAGGTCAAGCTCTCCCAGATATGACGGCACAAACCCCTTGACCTGGCTTTTCTTCTTCTTATTATTATTATTCTCCGCAGGCCGAACTCTATTATATTCCCACACCAGCCAGTGGAAGACGGATGTGACTAACTCCCATTATTCGTCACGCATTTTGCCATTTTGCCCTTTTGCCCGCCTCCCCCTCATTGCGCCCGTCGCTGTGACTCAATAATAATTCAGGGCGCACTTTCGCGGATGACCCCTGACGATGCTCGAATCATCTTTTCTTCAGAGACCTTGATCGTCTTCGTCAGTGAGTCTGCCGGGTGATCTCTCTCTCTCTTTCTCTCTCTCTCTCTCTTTTAGTAGTATCCGCAGCATCGACGCGTGCGCGTCGCACGTGCAGCCCTTATGACATGATCGGGTGCGATAGAAAGGCTGAGCTCTTATAATGCGAGAGTACCTACTCTGAACTAGTATCTTATCTTGCTCATCGTATCATGAATAGTGCTTCCCTACTCGGTAAGCTCTGGGAATTTCTATTTTGAGGAGAAGAGGATCTTCTTAATTCCGATATCGATCGGGCTTTTTTTCACTGATACTATACCTATCGTGTTTCTTCTCCCTATCCTACCAGGGTCCGACCGACCGACCAATCTTCTTTATATTACAGACAAACAGTCCTTACCGGTCGCCATCTATCTATACACCCTTTACTATATTTAGAGACAGACCACTAGGTACTGCTGCCGCCCCGGACATGCCACACTTGGTCCACCACAGAAGACGCCATTCTTGGCCATACTGCGGCCCCGGGACGCAACTGCGCGAACGACGACACTTGGCGGTGATAGCCCTTGAACAACAGCAACAGCAGTTCTTGACACCCGTGGGCTCGGAGGATCTGCTTGAGGATGATGCTGCCTCCGCGGGTATTGTTCGCTCCAAGGTAGGGCGGTCCCACCGGCGGTGGTTTGCTCCCAAGACCGGGGGGGCCGGGGCAGTCGGGCAAATGCAGGTGCCGACCACCACGACGGGTACTGGCGCTGGCACTGGATCCTCAGGGCCGCTGCGGAGAATGATCCGTCCGCCGCTGGATAAGGCACGGTCGCTCTTCGTGCTACCCACCACCACCACGACCGGCCAGAACGTCCTGGTCTCGTACTGGGTGCCACAGGATGCAGCAGCACCTGTGCCGCCGGTCGCAGTCCCCGTTGTTGGAGGCGGAGGGAGGGCGCCGGAGTATGGCTATGGCCCTGCGGCGGCACACCTGCTGGCTGAGCGATTTCATCGACGATGCCATTCGGAGCAGCCCCGGTCTTGGAAGAGGCCCAGCGCGACTTTGTGGCCGCTTGAGGAGGAGTAAATGGTAGGGTGTCTTGTTAGTTAACCTGTGGTGTTATTCTTTTTTTTTATTCTTTTATTTTTCGTTGTGTTTGTCTGGTTAATATCCGAAGGGCGTGTCATTTTGTTCTCCTCGTTGCATCATCATTCATGGCGCTGGTCGGATGTATTGCATATGGTTTATGGCATTGACATGAGCAGTGGTTGGCGCTTGTGTGTTTGTCCGCGCGTAATAATAGGATAGGATAGAATATACCGTGATAGGAAAATCATCACTATGAAACTAGAGAATAAAATAAGATCCCATGATTGGGACAGGGCACCACCCTGCACAGCCATCTCTTCATGTAGTACAGAGCATTGAGTTCTGTTCTATGTCCTGCCGGACTGGGCCACAGGACCACAATCACAATCGACAAAGCCCGCACCAGCCCGAAGTCAAGATACCATCTCAATAGATAGATCGTCAAGGCCTCAACTTCATCCTAATCCATGCTCAAAGCAATCGGAACCGCGTGCCGTGCAGCCTCTTGGCACCGACCGGGGCAGTGGGCACCGCAGACACATGATGTCATTGGATGGGGCGTCAGAGCCTCAAGTGGGCCAGTTCGCTGGCCAATACACAGTAGATAGATAGTAGGTAGACTAGATAGTTAGTAGCCTCAGGTTAATAATACTACTCGCAACGCTGCTGAGACTTTTTCCGTCGCGTCTAAACAACAGTGTAGCTGCGTTGCCGTGTTGCCGAGTCTATCTGTTTCAGGGGCGGGCGCATTCACGGGGAAATTCGCGCAGATAGATAGATACTAGTTAGTTAGTACTCCGTACCCAGTCACTCATTTATCTCCAGCAAGGATGGTGTTTCAAACTGGGCGAGGAATTCGCGCATGCGGGGGCTATTTTGAAAAAAAAAAAAAAAAAAAAAAGGGTACTGAGTTCTTTCTTCCCTGTGCTTTTTTGGCAGCAGCCTGGCAGACTGGCAGACTGGCACTGGCAGGGGACGGACTCGGCGAGACAAGGAACGACGCTAGTAAGCCCTATGTCCCGCCCCTAGACCGGATTCGAACATCGCTGCTCGTACTCTGTACCGGTATGTGAGATTGGGGGCCGAATATGTGATTCGCGGCATTGCATGGCTTTTCTTGGGATTTCTTTCAGGATGGTATGTTTGTATGTATATGTGTGTGTGTGTGGGTGGGTATTGTTGGGTTCTGGAAGGAAGATGTGTGGAATGTGATATGTGATTGAGAGGGAATGACACAGTTGGACAGTGCCGCATTCCAGCTCGTATCTACCACCAAACCATGGCAGGATCAAGGCAGCCAGCCAGGTTCCCAATTATTCTCAAATCCCCGAGAGTTCAGCTCGGAGCGGTGAAATGGAGCCTCCTGATGGGTCATGCCCGAGTGACGGCGACGGCGATTGGCCTGCTCGGCCGGCTGTAGGGCAGAGGGGTGGAGACGCCCGGCGATCCTGACCGACCGTGACTCAAAACGTGCCGCGCGAGCCCTATCGATGGGGTCAGTCTGCGTGCTGGCAGCTTCCCATTCGTCCCCTCGGCCATCGCCGGCAGGGGTCCCATGCTCCCCGTAGGGCCAGTGCGGTTTTAATTGCCAGAGTGGGAGATGAGGGGAGATCAAGGGGGGGAGGGGGATAAATACGTCCTCATTTCCTTCGAGAATTCCCTCAGACTTCTATTCTATTCTTCTATTCTTCTCATCTCGTCATCCCTTTCTTCCTTCGACACGACTATTCTCCACTAAGAAATGAACAATAACACTCAAACATCCAACACACTTAAGCGGGCCTTCTCCCATTCTTCTTCCACTTCCACCTCCACTTCCTCATCAACCACCACCACAACCACCAAACCCTCCACTCGCAAAAACACCCGGTTTTCTCGCGCAAAGAGATTCCTTCGCTCGCGCTCTACCTCCCCATCCTCCAGCCTCGACATCCCTCGAAGCACTCCCTCACACCCACACTCCACCATGACTCCCGCAGCCATGTCTCCCAGATCCTCCCTCGACAGCATGGACCACCCCCACACCAAGCAGTCCGCCCCCGCCCGCGACGATTACCGTCGCTACAGCGGAACTGTGAACCACTACGGCCGGCACTCGAACGACTGGCTGTTCGGGGGCTTCAGTCTACGGGATACGGTCCGGGGTGGTGTCGATCGGTTAAGACATCACCACCACAATCATCACAGTGCCAAGGGCTGAATTTGACGGTGTTTGGTGATTGAGATTATATATACCTACCTACCTACCTACCTATCTACCTTTTGGGACTCGATCTTCCATTTGGTGTTGGTCTATCTGTCTATCTACACTGGGACCAGACATTACGAAGATGCGGAGGTTCTCACTCTTCTCGCTGAGGTTACGCGAGGAGGAAGAGGGAAAAGAAAGCAATAGACCGATGGCTTGAACTGCCATTCGCCTTTCAAACCCTCCTGTCATTAATGGACCATGTCAGTCCACCGATGGAATGTGATGCCCGTCATGCCTCAGACTCATGACCCTGACCGGATGGAATACCATTCATCCAGACAGAAGAAGAAGAAGAAGAAGAAGAAGAAGCAGGATACCCCGTTCTTTGACGTTGACCTTTGATCTTCTTCTTCATATGACCACATCGATGTCTACGATGCTGTCTGTCTGCAACTTATGCCTTATATATCACGGGTTGAGTTTACGAACACGACGCCAACAGCATCTACAATCTTCTTTCTGTTCGAGATCTATTTTATCCTCTATATAGAGCTGCTTGGACTTTTGACTCTTGATGATGATCTTTTTAATTAGTTGGTATGCATGAATGACTATCAATATAATAAATGATTTGAATGATGCGATTACTTTCTTCGTAAAAGTCCTTCGTAGAGAGAGCGGGAGCAGGGCAGCAAGAAAAATGGAGGAGAAGGGGCCGGGGGAAGGGGGGGGGGTTTATAGTTCCCCGTGAGACGCGCTGTAGCTCGAATTGGAAGCAGACCCAGCGGGGGGCGCCTGCCTTTTCAACTGCAACTGCAACTGTACTCCCTGCGCGCTAGAGGGTTTGGTCACTCAGCTCCGCCAGCTAATTGAAGGGCGAGTGAAAAACCCGTGTTCATGCTTGAATCGTTTGTAATGTTGTAGAAGGGGGGGGGAGTGAAGTCGAACCAGACCAGGTTGTTATTGCCATGTCAGCTCAGCTCAGCTCAGCTCATCTCATGCTAGGTTATCTTATGCAGAAAGTAAAGGCACAGAGTAGTTCAGTCCAGCCTTTTATTTTCAAACCCAACTCCGTTGATCGAGCCTAGGCTGGCTGGTAGATCTTACTATATCTACTTTTCCACCCAAGCCCAAGCCAAGCCTATCCACGTACCTCTCCAAATCCCGATCCTCAATCCCAATCACAATCACATCCTCATCCAATCCACACCCACCGAAATTCCAAAACAGACAGGTCAACTGACCCGGAATTGATGCATCTAAGCAAGGGTCACCATCATGACCACAAGCACAGCAGCACAATCAAACCCCGCGCTACGTACCGCACCGACGCACTCCCCGCACCAAACACCGAAATGAGGCTGGGGAGAGCGCCTTCCCCTTCCCGCCTCAGGCTTTTCCGGAAATGTGCATGTAGACGATATATCGTCTCTTTGAAATAACTGGGATGCTACATTCTCCGAGGAAACACCGAGGAATTACCATTTCCTTTTCTTTCATCCTTTCTTCTTGGACTGTGAGGTGTAAGGCTATGTATAGGTAGGTGTATAGGTAGGTAGGTAGCTTTCACGGTGAGACCCGTGCGTGGATTGGGCTAGAAAGGTTAAGGGTCAATGTACCTCGGTGCGTGGGTAAATAATGCTACATACTAGGTCGGTAGTACTGTGGCTATCTATCCACTGGGACTATAGCGAATAATGTGATATAGGGGGGCTATATAGTTATAGTCCATTCAATCTATCTCTGTCGAATGTCCAACTTATATGATGATGATAATAATAATAATAATAATAATAATAATAATAATAATAATAATAATAATAATAATAATATGGTGAGAGATATAGGATTCACTCTAATTTCCACTTAATCCTTACAATATGGCTGCCCAAAACCAGGACTTTCATTCTCATCCTTCCTCGTATACATCCATCCATCCCTCCATCCACCATGTATCCTCGAATATTCTCACCCCCACGACCCAGGTACCATCAAAAAGAGTAATCATAACCAACAACAGTCAACAACTAACTCCCCCATCCATAAAGTACCACTACCACAATCGCTGCTGTCTATTGAACTGAATGAATATTTGACGAGTGCTATCACCGATTACATCCGTTCCATCTCCGCGGAAATTAAATAGATATATATATATATATATATACTATATATATAGTAGTAGGACAAAAAGAAAACGCCCATATGTAGTTACGAATAGAGTGGAGTATTGTCTTTATCCCCTCCCCTCCCCGACCCACCCATAAGCATACTACCTCGGTAGATAGATACTATTTACATACGGCAATCTCCAAAGGTAAGCGCGGGTACCTGAATCCTCTAACTAACACTAACGCCATACCATACCGGGACAGTCTCCCGACCCTTCATCCCCTACCTATAGGTAAATAAGTACATACATAGTACATAGTACATAACCCCCTCCGACCTCGGACCTGACATGACATGATCTCACATGACCTACTACTATACATAGTAAAGATAATCAATCAGATAGACACGGAGTAGTTTCTAGTTATATCAGTACTACATCATACTCCCTACTCCCTCAGAACACCATCACCACCACCACAACCATCATCTACGTACCTATCCATCTAATCCCCTTACCCTAACCAACTACCACCCCTCGATCAATTGATTGATCACATGCCCCACCCAGCTAAGTGCCAGAAGACGAAAAAAAAAAAAAAAAAAAAAAAAAAAGACCGATTGGACCACGGTGCAAATCGGAAATCGGACAGTGGGCCGGACGGACGGACGGATTTCCGGATGCAGGTAGTGTCGGTGGTTGTCAGTCATCGAATGCAATATGCCGCGATCCGGGATCGATCGAGATCGGGTTCAGGAATACTCCGCGTACCACCATCACTACTGCTACTTATCTAAGTACTATACCTATGATGTTAGTAGAACTCAGTGTGGGCCGAGTCCGATCCCGAGGGGTAGGGGAGTGAGGCGAGTAGGCGATTGGATTAGGGGGTGGCTCTCTACACCTACCGATAGTGAGTGGTCCAGCTGGTACTACTGTTACTTTTGGCCAGGTGGATCTGGTGGTCCGTTACAGTCTGGGAATGCACAAACATACAGATGAGCAGGAATTGGGGCAATTTAATCAATGGCGGTGGCGAATGATGGCGCGTCCTCATAGCCGAGCCATAATATAGACTGACGACGGCGCGTGAGTGGTTACCTGGTTGATGGGACGGGGGCTAGGGAGGGTCGGGCCTAGTCTGCATCTGCCAGGGAACGATCGGTGAGGAAACTGCATTGCAGCGGAAAACGGAACTCATTATCATTTGCTAGATCGACTAATTAAACCACCGCACAGAGTTCCCAATCACATCGTGGATCCCCTGTCCCGGGGAGGCGTGTCGTAGTAGTAGGTCGTTATTCGTATCTCCCCCGAGAGTCTCGACTCCGACTTCAAGCTCCATCTTCATGGCGACAAAGGAAAGTTTGGCAAATGAGCGACGGTAAATCGAGTCTGAACTTCTAGATGACCCGGGCGCGCAATAATGGGAAAAGCAACGTTCAATCAGCAGCCAAAGACAGGCAGCGGCGATATTGCCCCCCCGGAATTTTAGGCGGATTGCCAAGCTGCGATATCAGCCGCAGTGATGTCGATGTTCTCCGGAATCAGGCTTTGGAGTCTGGCCACCTGTGACGGCGCTAGGCTTGGGTCAGCTATTTGCGATCCCTCTCAAGAGACAGTGAATACCTACTTGGGCGTGCGGCTCCAGCACCTGCCAGAACTTGGATGACTCCCGAGTCGACAAATTCCTTCGTGGTCACTCCGTTCGATGACGTTGCCCCCAGCATGATTCGCAGTCTGTAGCGTCCGGGCTGTGTGAACTTAAGAGGCCCAAATCGCGCGTACCCACTGGTGGTGTTTCCGTTGCGACTGCGCACGCTGGACGTGAGAACCCCCGTGAGTCCTGAGGCAGGTGCGCTGCCTGCTTCGTTTCTTAAAGACGCATGCGCAACCAGTTGCACAGCTCCTCTTGATGCCACCACAGGCCGAACCCCTACAACTACCGGTAGGGTCACCGGGGCTCCAAGTGGGACAGAAGCGGCAGGCGCAACCTCGAAGCTCATGCCATACTCGCGGCTGGAGCTTCCAGCATCAGATCTTGTGTTTCCTTGAACCATTTTGGCGATTATTCGGGGCTCAGGACTGCTTGATGATAATGACTTCAATAACAGTTCAGATTGGCAGCAAGAATCGAGACGGGAGATGAGAATAGCTTCCACTTCCTTGTAACAATAACTTTCTCGGAACAAGGTAAAAAGATGTAACGGGAAGATGCTTCGCGCAAAGATGATAAGAAGGCGGATTGCAATGGAGCGATGAGGAATCTTAGTTAGACCAAGCTCGATGGGAATTGAATGACTGGAGGATGGAAAAGAAGCTGCTTCCAAGGCCTTCATATATGCGATTTCCTGTGAATAGAAACCTGATCTCACTAGGGAGCGATATAGTATGGTCCGTGAGCGAACCAGAAAAGTACTCAATTGATTTCTGGTAATGAACTTTTGCCACCGCGAAGGGACTAAGATCAATAGACACTGGATGTTCCAGTATGCAGGATCTGCGTCAAAGATCCCGGAGGCCCCTGGGCTGCGGAATATTGGATGATACCAGACGTTGGCTGTTGATAACCCTGCACGATCCTGCAACAGGGCTCTTGCATCGGAAAGGACCCGCTTGAAGGATCTACTTGTCCGCGACTAGGCTTCTTCATCCAGATTAGTAACTTTTGCAGTCCAATTTGGTACGCATCAACCTAGACCTCGTTAGCGTGGGCATGATGGCGACAATCATCCTTGACAGTTGCAGAGGCTGCACTTGGTATCCCAGAAGCCGAAGAGGGACCGCAATTTGAGATGTCAGAGCGCCGGCAGACAAATGCCATGCCAGGGGATCAGATTTGAAGCTTAACCTCACTAAACCCGGCGTGATCCACTAATGATTACCGAGTGGCCGACGATCAAGAACTATGGTTCGTGGCAGGCTTTCTTTTTTGATTTCATTTCTTTTTTGACCTGCCTTGTGTTCCCATGGCTTGCCCCTCCCGCCGACTACTCGTCGCCATGGGAGGGCTGCATGTTTTGGGAGGCGGGAGCGGCCCTATGGTGTGAATCCTAAAGCCTGGGTGAGGATGGATCATTCCTCATTCGTCTCCTTGCATTGACCTGCCGGGAAATTGCGAGATCGAGCTAGGGACCGAAAGATACGGATACTGGGGTATCCCTTCCCAGCCGCCCAAGCGCCGGACTCGCAGCCCGGGACTCAAACCTGGTGCTCATTCCCCAGTACTGGCGACTCCTGCTTACTACCCTGGACCGTGCTGGACACCACGTTTTCGACAGCTCTCGAGGCAATTTCGTGCAAAGAAGCAATCCTAATTCCTCGCGGTACGGAGTACCGCAGGAGTACTTTTGACAGACCGGGGTCTGTATAGCACCGCTCCTCTGCTCGCTGATATGCCGGGCTGGATGATTAGTGGCGTACCCGCTCGTCCTTTGTTGTACTCTCCGTGAGTCCAGTGGTCCAGAGACCCAAGAGAGCGGATCCATCGGACTAGGGCCTAGATGGATCGTGGATAAGGTAGCCGCCAATGAAACATCCCAGCGCCCGGCCTGGTGATGGGCGATCCGAGGGCGGATGGATCCTGAATGGGGACAACCGGAGGTAGAGAGGATCGGCTTTCTGCGAGAGGCAGGCGTTCAGTCCCTTTCTGTGAAGGGAGGGCCACAACCTTCAGGGGTTACTTCGCCACACAACATGCCCCTTTCGGCCTAGGGTGATCGTCCAGCCACATCATCTCTCAGCCTCAGTATGGATGGTGTGGCTCACGCTTTGATGTTCGGTGATGGCTGGTATCAGCAAAGCTTACTTGAATTTTGCTGCCTTGCATCACGCCCTAATTCCTGGCCCGCAGGCCAGACCCCATGGGTTGTTAGGCTTTCCACGAGGGAAGCGGATTTCTACTGGGATGTTCTCCGTGCTAACCTTCAAGTCCCGACTCCCGGGGAACTCAGGACTGGCAAACCGCATTGCCCCTTTCTGTTGGTATGCAAGCCACTGATCACTTGACGAACGGTGGGGCCCTCTGATATCACTGAGTAACGGCATGTAAGATCTAGATCCCGGTGCCTCCACGATCGGAATGCCCTGTCTGATATGACGGGATGGTTGGCTGCAGTGCCACTGGTACTGATCTCCAGTATGCTGTCGATCACGATCCATTGATAAAGTATATGGCATCATGCCGCTGCATGATCGGTGCAGAGGGTATTATTAGCCAGCAGGAGTCAATGGACGGACTGAATCTTCCAAATAGTTGGTTTCGGCTACTGTGAGCAGTTAATCATCTCTCATATCCCGCGAAGGATCGTGGCATCATCTGAAAACACCAAAACCATGGCCAACCGTCGGGATCGTGGGTGGAGCCCATTGTCGACCACAGTATCTTTGCTTTTTTACCACACGCCAATCGTCGAACGCTTCGAGCTGCAATGCAATGCAAGATCGATGCGCGCTACGAATTAGACTCCATACCATGGTATGCGCGGTCCTCTCAGTGCTCATTGGACTGGTGATAGTGGCTCACTAGCCACAGGTGGCTGAAGGGATGATCAACGGTCAAGTTGTGGCGGTGAACCAGACAGCAGCCTTCCTTACGTTTCCGCTGTGGCTGCTACGCAGAACTGTCATAGTCGACTGAATAGTCCGGCCCTGTGGCGCATACGGACCCATCGTGGAACGCCTGACCAAGGGATTCCCCTCACCGCACTTGTCCCAGATGAGGCGTCGGTTTGGCTTACTTCGGCGTCTTGTATAGCGATTGGAAGGATTCCCGATTTCCGAACCGCCCATGCACGATGTGGGTTCGCATTCACATAGTACAGGAGACGCCGTATAAGCTTCTCTGTCCATTTCCCCTCTATCCTGCGTGAGATCAAAGCGTTTCTCCGTCTTGCACTTTCCGGCATGACTCGATATCGTGCTTTTGCCAACCGCGTGACCTGTGTGATAGCCCAATCTGGATGAGAACCCACACTAAGCAACACCCATCCCGAATGCGCTAGGATGGATTGACTGGACTTCCTTCCTCACTCGAGATACAGCTCTGCCTGTCTGAGGGTGGTCTGAACACCTTACCGATATCGGTCTGAAGTGAATATCCCATGCAGGAAGAAACCGTCGAAGACGTGTCATCGTGTTTGGCTAATTTGATCATGTTACTGTTACTGTTATTTTACTTGTTCTCCCATGTCCGAATTTCAGGGCCCTTTCGGCCGAATCCCGAGCCAAGACCCTGTACAAGCAATTCTCCATCCCGGTCGTGATTTGTCTATCGTCTGGCGGACATTGGTCCGCAGGAGACCTGTACTTGTGTCAAATGCCGGAGCATGTGGGGCACGGAATGCTCGAACAGTGCGGAATACACTCGTGTTGTGACTCCACAGATGCAAGAACAGCCCTGGACAGGTTATTGCGATCCCTTAGTGAGATATCGATGAAACTAGCTCGCCCACCCATAACGAGGACAGCGGTCTTTGGAGTTCCAATTTCGGATGGGACAATATTGGTGGTCCATTCCTTGCTTTCTGTCCGTCGCCCTTTGCGTTTACCTGTGTGTGAACGCCTCAAACTTTGCTTTTTCTGGTATTTGAATTGATGGCAATGCAACTGAGACATCGGGCCTAGCAGAAAGCAACTTGGCATTACTCCATTCGAGGGCACTAGAATCAAGTCCTGATACTGGTGGTGTCTTCCGTTGTCGCCGAATGGACTACAGTCCATATTGCGCTCCAGGGCTGACTCCGCGTCGCGTCTGCCTGACGGCTGTAGTTATTCATTATCGGGCGTGATGATGCGGGCCATAGATATCGACCAGAGGCATGATTAGAAGTGAGAAGAGGTTGCTCCTAGTCCCAGAGAAGTCACTTGTCGAACCCGAACGACGCCACCTCGCCAGGTAGTGCGATGGTTGAGACTGCGAGACTGCGAGGGAAGGGAAGCCCCGACAATATTGATCCTTTTCCGCCGAAAGTCCCGGCTAAGGAGCGATGGCGTCCGCGGCCTTGGAGTGGCAGAACACGACCCCGCAAGAAACCGGAGGTATTTGGGCCCGGGAAGTCACGGGAGCGTACGAGCTGTCCCGGCGCTCGGGAACGCCATTTGGTTCCAGGATTGGGTTTTAAGTACAGACCATGAGCGGCCTAGCGGAAAAGAAAAAGAAAGTTCTGCTTTCGCAGAGACTGGAGTGTGGATGTGGGATCCGGATGGTAAAGGTGGTTGGTTGATGGAGGGGGAATGGGGAAGAGCGAGCGAGGAACGAAAAGGGGGATTGTCTGGACTTGCCTCGGGCCATTCATTACTCAACTGGGAAGCAGCCGCCCTAGCCCCAATCAGCCCAGGCGCCTTCACGGCCTGGCCCATGCCCGGCAATGACGATCTGGAATTCCACCGAATATTCACTAGATCTGAAGCTGTCATCAATCAAACAATATATTACTAAGTAGACCAAGAGTATCCAAGCAACAGGAGGGGGGTCACATATTATTGTCAGGGAATCCTGGAGCATTTTGTGATCCATGTTCCATTTCAGGCGGAAATGAATGGAGGGAGCCCCCCTTCCTCAAGCTGAGATAAAATTGGAGGATCGGAATGAGGCGACAGAATGAGGCGGGAAACGCACCATCTGCCACGGTCACACCCAATACAGACATCAGCCTGAAGGGATACTATCGTTAAAGATGACGACAAAATGGTAAAAAAGCAATGGGGAGAAGTACGGGCACAGAGGGCCGCTGAATGGAATATCAGGCTTTCCCTGAGGGTCCCAGAGAATTGTCTAGCATCACCGGTTCTGTTGGGCATCTCTGCTGGGTATTGGGCAGAGTATCTAGTCGCATTTACCATGCTGAAAGACCATGTGTCGATCTTCGCATCTAAAGCAAGGAAGGCCACAAAAGCAAGCTACTGGCCCATGCTCCTTGGTGTTAGTTTCACCATTAAGGGCTTTTTTTTGCCACGCAACATAAGCGCACTGTTTGTCCCAATTGGAACATCCATCACCAAGCGTTAGGTCGAATTCCCACAAAAGCTTCGCGAGAATGACTCGCATTTCAGTGTAGGCGAGACTGTCCAATTCAGGTTAGCAAGGTAAGCTGGGAAGACACTGTATCACTGGATCTTACTTTCTGCCTATGCAGTTTCGGGATCCATACAAAAGAAATTGCATGGCCTCCCTTTTATCAGCGTCGAATCTAGGATCCCGGCTGCTCAACATCCAACGCTCGGGTATGAAAGAGTCTGCGTCCACAAAATTATCCCTTGATCGAAGGGCAGAAAATATACACACTCCTACTGTAGTCTGCATACGCAGATGTTAGTAATTGGAGATCGGGCATTCAAAGGGGTTACTCATACTCCACCGGGAACATATCGTCCATTGATATTGGCGCCTCCTGCGGGGACTTGTCTCGGTAGAAGGCCCGAACCAGGCGGGTATATCCGTAAACTTTCTTCAAGAACACATTGTAGATACGGGAGTTGGGCCACAGAGAGGAATGTAATGTCCTCCAGCTTTTAGAAGGATCCCCTGATCTCTGCCAGTAGCTTTTTGTATGCCGCAGGAGATTTCATAAGGTAGTACGTATAAAGTAGCTGCTGTCTCAGTACCGGCAACCATCATGATTGCAGAAATTCCTTGGATCTCAGTCGCAGTCATGTCCCTTTCGTCATTGTGTCGAAGGATGTATGACATGAAGTCTGGACGGTCGGTTTGCATACTGAGACGACGATAGAGCCTTTCCCCAGTCAATCGGTAATGGTTATTCCTCATCTCTTTCAATCGCGCCGGAACAAAGGCCGTGAAAAGCCATTGCGGGACATAATACAGCATCGCTCGCACGAAAACACTTGCCTTGAGAGTTTGAAAGATCACCGGTACCCATGCATGGTATTTGCTGTCGGCAAGACAAGAAAGAGACTCCCCGAACGTCAAATCGCCGATTATATCAAACGTCGCATAGTCATACCACTCGGCCACATCCACCAGCTTCGAGGCTGTAGCCAATGTGCGTTGTCTGGTCAATAGCAAATCCACATAACGCTGGATTAGCGGCCCTTGTTCGCTCAGAGCCCTTTCAGAGAAGGCATGTGACAGAAGACGCCTCTGCCTCGCATGATCAGCATCGTTTGCCCCGATAAGTGACACGCCACTCGGGCCTGAGCGGTAGAGCTTGGGGTCTTTCTGAAATGCCTCCATGCCATGTCTTCGATGACTGTATATATCTTTCCAGGCGCCGGAATTTCGGTATACCAGTGTATTCGGGGCCCAACGTATGACGTCTCCGTACTGATCATGAAGGTTCTTGATCTGGACATGATGTCTGCCAGTGCAATCCCAATATGTGTTATAAAGAGACGATACGGATGCTAGTTTCGGTCCAGGATATTTGCGTAGCGGGTGCAGAGAGATGTTATAGGTAACCTGGCATATCGGGAGAGCCACGAGCTAGGTAAGGTATGTGCTATTAGTATTTTGGGCAATTCATCTTAGAATGATTACCAGAAAGCAAGCCACAGGATTAACTCCTATCAATGGTAACCAGGAGAGCAGAGAAGGGAGTTCCGGTCGCTGTGTATTCGACAAAAGCGCCATGATAAAGGCTCGTACGTCTCAAGTATCACGCCTGTAAGAGGGAGGGATCATGGGTGTATGGGTAGCTCAATGAAAGCTTATATACTATTCCGAGACAGACTGTGGCAATGTGAGACATCCTTAGCGTGAGGACTAAAGCATGTGTAAAGAGGAAGTCCAGAGCGGAGTCGACGTACTTGGTTCACTAGCCCAGCCACGCCTTCCTCTCTTGCTCCTCCCACAACTCGCATCTCTCCACTCCCTCGTTATGGAAACCACTGCTATCCAATAATTCAACCCCGCGACAGGGCCTCCAAGACTCTGATCCAGCGGGTCTTACATATTGTTAGCAGGATGAGGACCCCTTGTTATGTCCCCCGGTTCACATCAGATGGCACCTGTCCTAGTCCACCCATCATATCCCTCTCTTATCCCCCGATCAACATTACCTGCAGCGGCTCATGCAACTCCAATTAAGGTCACAAAGTACATCGGTCTCAAGGTACTACTTCAGCTCTTTGCAGGAACGGCCGTGATCTTTGTGCTTGCAGTTTTCTTTTGGAAGATCGGGAAATTCTGTCGCTATCTCACGCAAGACAAGGTGTTTAAAAGTGGAAACACAACTACCACTCGCTACGCAAGGACTTGGTATGGCTGGGTGTCAGCTCAACGACATGAGGATAACAAGAAGGCTTTTCGCAGATGTTTCAGGAAGATCTGGACAACGTCGGACAATGAATACCGCTGGGTCTGGTGGGATCCTGGGCAGAAGGAGCTGGAAACATACCGTGAAAGAAAACGATTGTCGAGGTGGCTACCGAGGTGGCTCAGAAATTACAGCTATATCGCAGCGGACACTATCTGGAACCCCGGGCCTCCTCCGTGCCAGAATGCCAGCGCCCTGTCAGACCATAGCAGGGAGTCGGCTTCGTTCAGAGCCATGACCGGGGCACTTTCCGTCAGTCATTCCGTTGAACGCGTGAGAAGAGAAGCAAGCTATCTGTCTGGAACGAGCATTGGTACCAACTTATCTATCCAACTATACCTCCAGCAAGACAGTCACCAAATGACGTTCCAAAGGATGCGAAAACCCGACCAGGAAATTCAGATGAAGTCAGCCCGGAAGGGCAGGTATAAACAGGAACGCTTACGTCTTGGAAACAGCGAAGTTATCTGCCAAAACCGCTCGAATTATTCCGCCAAAGCCATGGCTTTCCGCTCAGATTCTGCAGATCTTGATTCAGTAGTCGTACGCAGCCTTTCTCTTCCATGTCTCGTTTCATATAGAGGCGGATTTCAACAGATATCCATGTTTTCGGATGCATCGCAGAGCACACATACAACGATTATCTTGAACCGTGCCCCTGCGTTGAAAAGACCTCGGGGACTCCAATCTTCACGCAAATACCAAGTCTGGTCCACCCGATTGGAACTTAAGACTTCCAAGTGCCTTGGTTTCTTGGGCCCGCCTCCAGGAAGTCCGAGATCCAAGCACCTCACCAGCCGTTCGTCCGACCAGATGCCCCTGTCTAGGCTGGCACATCAAGATCGAGTACATGTTAACACAATCTCTACAACATCGAGCCATTTGATCACATTCGATTGTAGAAAGCGCCACGGCACCGAAACAAAAAGACCAGCAGAAGAGACCTACCGGCTTCATCATGAGAGATGGCTCTCCACAGAAAGTTCATGCAGTCAAATTCACCTGCATAGGCGCACACTGACCTCCGCTTCCGATGATCGCCGAGTAATGTGTCGTGGCGATCGGCAGGAACACGGCCGTTCTTCGCGAGGGAAGAAGCCAATGCATGTGCATCATCCAAATACAAAGACGTCCAAGAAGAAGGAGCCGGACGTCAAGTGGAACGCTGCAGCAAAAGTTCCGATCAGACAATTGAGCAACTGGGAGATATTGTTCATCGACAGCCTGGACCGCAAACTGAATTGGCTTCACAACCAGCTCAGCCCAGGCCGAAGACCATATCATTTCGCCATGCTTGCCAACCACTGGCTCAATAAAGAAACCTGGCTCGTGATTGACCCACCCTCGCGGATCTCTATTGATGCTAAACGCAGGTACGGAGATTCCAGGTTCAATGTGCCGTTCCCGAACACTTCCTGGGGCCCTAACCCGAAGTACCCCAAGAAGTCTTGCAAAGCAATCCGTTCTCCGCGGATAGATTCCTGGAGAGCAGCCGTCAACCGAAACAGAAGAGCATCCGGGCTCCAGGATATTGTCAACGCGTTCCGGTTGTACGATACTTCGGTTGATAATCCGCCAGACGGCAAGGTAGACCCCGCCAGCTGGATCCTTCGCAAACCCCCGCAAGGGCTGGAGCTGTCGGCTCGAGAAAGACAGGTGTACTACGAAGGAGGAGCCGGCTTTCAGGAGACGCTTGATGATTGGCAAAAAGTCCGGCGTGGCTATCGAATCCGCAAAGCTATTACGGATGGGAAAGTCAACAGAACCAGAGCCAAGGAGATCGCTTTGGGTATCACTCGATACTATCGTGCGGTAACGTGCAAACCCCCCTGATATACCTATATCTGCTGCGAACGATCCGAGCAGACACACGTGGAAAAGCACCACGCCGCCAGGGAGAATTGTCGGAATACCTCTGCGTCCATCGTCAAGGCGACCAAACGGGCATTTATCTGTAGAAGGACGATCAATATACGGGACAGATAACAGGAAGCGGCCTCTTTTATGCTATGTCTTTTATTGTTAAGCTGGGCTTGTCGCGCCAGTCCCCATGACTGTATATCCTTACAGGCCTGCACAGAGGCCATCCATCGCAGGCCAGATATCTGAGATCGAATCAAAACGAATTGAATCGAATCGGGTGCCTTTGCCTTTGCCTTAGCTTGTTTAGGCGTCAAAAATGAAACATTGTAAATACTAGCAAGGCGAACAATGCAATCAGTCATGGTGTCATTACCCAATAATTGCCGAGAACTCCGGTAATATCCCTCTCCTGTGCATATCTCTTCCGGTCCGACTTCCATCCATCATTTTCACAGAAAAATCGAGATCAACACGGGCTGTGTGTGGTGTATAGTACAGTTATAATAACAAAAAAAATGAAAAGTAGAAATTCCAAGTATGAACCTGCAAACGCTGGTGTCAGGTATGATGGTGCGTGGCCGATATCAAAAGTATCAAAATCCCCCGCCCACATATATCCTGCGTGTATAATGAAAGCCGCTTAGAAACCAGGAGGGTTGACTCTCTGGCTGACTCGTGTCCACTTGGGTACCTCTGAAAGAGAAAAAAAAAATAAGCATCAGCCTCCATGATCCCAGGCAGAACAGAACCGTATCCGTTCTCCGTATCCCGTCCAATATTCCGCGGAGGGACACTTACTGTGAATACCCTTGCGGTATTTCTTCTCCTTCTTGTCGAAGATTGTGTACTTGTCCTTGGGCAGCATCTCTTCCTCACGGGGCATTTCCTGGTACCAGCGCTCGACAGCCTTGGCCTGGAATCCGTTGCGTTGCAGGGCGGCGGAAACGGTGTCGACGACGCGGTCGACGGCGCGAAGACGCTTGCGTTGGCGCGCTTTCTGAGGGGCGGAGATACGCCATGGGATCTTCCTGTTGGGGGGGGGGAAGAGATGGATTAGCTGGGTTTTGGTGGTGTGGTGAACAGGGTAGAGATGCGGGATGTTCGGGTTCGGAAGTGACGGGCTGGCTGGATGCGCAATCCAATCAATGGAGGACGGAGACGTACCAGAGAAGACCCGAGAAAAGCGGCGATGAGGGCTTGAACATCATGATGCCGAGGGAGACCGGAAAACGAGGGGCGAGGGGGGAGAATTGGGGGGGGGGGGGGGAACGGGGAAGTGAAGCTATTCGAAGGGCGACCGGGTTAACGGGGAGAGGAAAATCCCGTCGAGGCGTGAGATGGTCCGTGCACGGCGCACCTCCGCGGGCCCCAACATTTCTTTCTCCCCCCGATTTTCGTCGAGGCCAATGAAGATGCAACCTGCTCTCACGCCGTCGATCCGGGGTGTTCCCCCCTCTCCTTCTTGTCCATTTATTGTCTGCCTGCCTCCGTGACCCGATTCTTCGCGGTTTTCGACGACGACTTGGATGGATATTGGCTAGAGCGTATACCTCGCTAGCTAGCTCGCTACGATGTCGCGCGCGACGACGACAACGACGGATTCCGGCGCAACGGCCGATGCTCCCTCGCTCCCTTGGAGGGCCTTGTCCTCTACCACCATCTTCGGGGTGGCTGCCCTGTGTCGTTCCTTTCTGTATGTCTGCAGCCGGCCGTCGGTGCACGGATTGGACCCGTTCCTCGAGCTGCTTGAGTCGAGGAGGGATCCGTCGCAGAGGACGAGAGGCTTGCTTACAGGTATGTAAATTCGCGGTCTGATTCTAGAGCCTCTCTTGTGATGGTTGCCGGGGTGTATGGGCTAATGTTTGGCTGGTTTGAACAGTGGCAAATCATACCAGCGTGTACGTGCGTACCATGCGCCTCGAAAGTTGAGGCGATCCGACCAATCTCCAATGCCAGAGACGCTGACCATGGTCGCTTAATCGAGCAGAATGGATGATCCGATCATGTGGGGGTTTCTTCCGATGCGATACAATTTCGGGCTTTCAAACTGGAGCAAAAGATGGGGATTTGGAAGTCATGACATCTGTTACCAGACGAGGTATGGGTATTCCCGGTCCGTTTGTCCGGCTGTCGCTGACCCGATGGACGTCGGATAGGCCTCTAGCTTTGTTCTTTACGATGGGCCAAGTCCTGCCTACGCATCGACTAGCCCATTCGCCTTACGGTGGCATTGCGCAACCCGTCGTGACCCAGGCGATCCGACTGCTCTCGAAAGGCCCGTTCCCCGCCGACCCTCACATGGCAGTCCCCGAACGGCAAACGTGGAGTCGATTCAATGTCTGCGTGGACCCTTTCTCCGACCTCCCCACAGCGTACACGACCGATGGACACGACTCCCATCTGTCTCCGTCCTCCTATGCCTGCAACTCGTACTCCTGGTTCCACATCTTCCCCGAGGGCAAGATCCACCAGGCCCCGAACAAGACCATGCGCTACTTCAAATGGGGCGTAGCCCGACTGATCCTGGAGGCCAGCGAATGTCCCGACGTTGTGCCGATATGGCTGGAGGGCTTCGATCAGGTCATGCACGAAAGCCGCGAATTTCCTCGGTTCCTTCCCCGCGTTGGAAAGGAGGTCAGCGTCACGTTCGGACAGAAGGTAGACAGGGATGCGGTCTTTGGAGAGATGAGGAAGCGCTGGCAGGAGATCAAGGCCAATGCCGAGCGCGCTGCCCCGGAAACCCGCGACCTCCCGCTGGGTGTATTGAGCGACGAGCTGCTGTATGGCACCGAAGCCGTTGAGCTGCGGAAGGAGGTCACAAAGAAGGTCAGAGATCTCGTCTTAGAAGTAAGACGGTCTAGAGGACATTCAGATGAGGATCCCAAGGAAGGACTCGTCGAGACCTGGATTCAAGAGGGCCCCAAGCGTGAGGGCAAGATGGACGATGACTCATGGGTCCGCGATATCTGACGGGTCATATTAACTATACTACTATCCAAGCGAGCATGTATCATAGAATCTAGAAGGGAAAAAGTAAGGCGCACCAATTGGGTTTCTCATTTCTCACCGAAGCTTGAGTCATGGATGGTCTGCGCGTTCGTTCTAGATTTAGTTAGCAAACCAGTAAGTAGATAACCGACGACGACTGGACCCGCCCACCAGCCAACACCGTCCACATTCCCCTCTACCCTCTCGTTGCAGCTTCACTCTGCGCGCCCCCTTCCCTATGCCCAAAAAGCACAACAAGAACGCCTTCGCCAAACCACCCAGCACTCCTCACCGCAGTCTTGCTTCCTCCGGCCCTCGAGGCAACCACCACCATGACCCCCTCCGGCCATCGCAGGCCTTATCCTCCACCGCGGAGCAGCCCTCCGTCAACGACCTGATCAGCCACCTGCGTCGCACCCAGGTCTTCAAGCCCTCCGACGATGGCCCCGAAAGCCCATTCCGCTTCGTTGCCCCACGATCCGTCCATCCCTCCCTCCGAAACCTCCTCGAGCTCCCAGAAACGCCGCCTCCTCGCCCTCGCCCGGACGCGCGACGCCTCGGAGTCGGCTCACGACGATTGAGACGAACCCCCGGGCCCCCACCCCCCGAGAGCTGGCTCTTGGGCGGCCTCAACTCGGAAAATACGGACGATGCCGATGCCGATGCCGATCTCGCCGCCGCGGAGAAAGAGAGGGTCATCTACCGGCTGGAACGACTCCCAGGGACAACCTTCCCGCGAAAGGGCAGCCTACTGGATACAGTGCTCCGATCCATGACCACCTACTGGGACTGGCATCTCGAGTACGATGGGCCGTTCCTCGCGGACCTCCCAAACCACCTCAAAGTGCGCCTGCTCAGCTACATCGCGATATACGCCAAAGACAAACCCTTAGGCGGGTTAATGCACGGCCTGCGACCGTTATTCGAGAAACCTTACGGCAGCGAGTCCGACGAAGACGATACACTCCGGGAAACCGAGTCCGAGATCACCCGTCTGGATCTCGGTAATGCCATCGGTCGCTGGCTGACCCTGAGACAACTCTCTGGCGAGCTACAGGTGGCCAAGAAGCAAAGCCCCGTCCAGCGCAAGCTGAAAGAGCCCGTCCCGTCTTCTTGGGACGACGAGTCCGACGAAGAGGGAGCCACCACCACTACCACCACCACCACGATAAAAGATCCCGTCCTCAACCCACCCCCTCCCACCCTCCGCTTCTCCAACCTCCGCTACCTCTCTTTCGCGCACCCCAAACCCGGCTTCGCCAATTGGAACTCCCTCATCAGCCTCCTCGCCCGCCTCTCCACCATCACTCACCTCTCCCTCGCCCACTGGCCCGTCCCCACCGTCACTCCCAATGCCATCAACGCTCGCGTCCGCCACCCAACGCACCGATCCCTCACGTTCTCCTACAGCGGCACAGACACCTACTCCGCCAGCGAAAACAACTGGGCCGAGGCAGCAGGCATCCTGCGTCGTTTGTCCCGCGTAACCTACTGCCTCAAATGGCTCGACCTCGAAGGCTGCGGGGATTGGATCCCCGCGCTGAGCTGGGACGGAACCGGTCCGGACGGCGAATCATACACCACGGGTCCTGAATGGAACGCTTCCTGGCGCGATATTGAATGGATCCGTCTCGGACCGGGCTGGCTTCCTCATATCGATGACGGCGAGATCTTCCTCGAAGCGACCGGGACCGGAAGCAGTGACCCCCACAGTAACTCCTCATCCTCGTCTCTCTCCTCCCCGGCCAGATCCCTAGCCTTCTCCGTTCATGCGCCCCTGCCGTCTCATCCCGCTACGGCTAGTACGAGCACCACCCATCGAACCGCAGGACCGGGACCGGGTGTATCAGAGCCGTCAGATCTCCCCTGGGACGTCGAGCTCGAGCGCATCAAATACCGGCGGTCGAAGGAGCTGGAACGGTTCCGCGAGACCGTCCGTGCCGCGAAGGCTATTCAGCAGCGGGTGTTGAGGACGCGAAAGGAGGGGAGGGGCAAGTGGGTTCGGTTCTCGTTTGGGGTCGATGAATTGGATGAGGACGTGCTGAAACGGTTGTTTGGGAAGGACTGGTTGGCGTTTTTGCCCTGAGATGTGTATATCTATCTTTGTGTGGGTTGTGTAGAGTGTCTACTGTAAGTGGTAGGTTCATTGGTTGACTGTGTATATCTGTCTGTCTGTCTGTCGGTGTGGGGGTATTTATGTGGAAGCCTGGCAGAACTGGTACAGGAATGGTACAGAGATGGTATAATACAGAGACCAAAGGTAGTAGGTAGCAGTAGCTAGTGAAGTTGGGTTATCTCAACTTCAGGCAGAACATAGAATGCTGTATTGAATAAATAAATAATGCATTGTCTAGTATGCAAACCTTGCCATTACAGAACCTATACTTGGTGTGTTATGTTGATACTTGATCCGGAAACATGCGATTAATTGTGTGAGAACTCTATATGCACGCAATATCCCCGACCGAAATCGATAACTTTTCCCGATAGAACCAAATACAAGATAATATGTACATGCGCCTTCATCACCAGCCAGCCAGTCAGTCCCCCAAATAACTGAGTGTGATCTATTTCTTGCCCCGGTTGAACGTCTTCAACGGGTCAACCTTCCTCCCACCAGTGGGTCTCCGACCCTTGCCCTTGGCGCGGTTCTTATCTCTGGCCTTGCGGATGCGGTTGTCGGAGTTTTTCCGGAAGCTGACGTAGCCGACGTTCTCGGTGGAGATGCCCTTGCGGCCCTTGGAGGGCATGAGGTACTCGGGGATGTGCTTGAGATGGGGCTGGATGCGGGCGGCGCGGAGCTCGCCGTCGTGACGGAGCTGACGCAGCTCGTCGGGGTTCTCTTCGAAATGGCGCTTCAGCTTCTCGCTCTTGATCAGCTCTTGGCGGATCTCGCGGGCACGGGCTTCCTGGACGGCGAGACGGGTGATGGCGCGGAGCGCGTCGGTCATACGGTAGCGGAAGGCGTCGACCTGGGCCATCTCGAAGTGGTAGGGCTTGACCTCGTGGCCGAGTTTGGATTGGCGTTTGACGATCTTCGAGAGGACGGACTCGTCGTGTTTGGCGGAGGAGAAGGAGGTGGGCTTATGCTTGCCGTATTGGTCGGCGGGAATGACGAAGGACAGGGCCATGCCGGTCTTGCCTCCGCGGCCGGTACGTCCGATGCGGTGAGTGTAGGACTTGGCGGAGGTGGGGAGGTCGAAGTTCAGAACGCAAGCGACGTTTTGGAAGTCGATACCGCGGGAGATACCGTAGTCTTTGTTTTTGGAGAACTTGCGGCGCTTGTCGGGACGGGCGGACTTGGACTTCTCTTCTTCCATCTCTTCGTCCTCACTGGAGCCCATGAGGCCGGCGGCTTCTTCTTCGTCGGCATCGACGTCCTTGACCTTCTTGGACTTGTGAGCTCCTAGGACTTCCTGGTCATCTGCGGCGATAATGATATCGTAGACACCCTTGTTGAATTCCTGCACGACGTGGATTCGGGAGTTCACGGGCAATTCGGAGTTGAGGACACAGCTCTTAAGACCGAACTGTTCCAAAAAGAGCTTCACACGGTAGCAGCGGTCGACATCTCCGACGAAGATGATGACCTTGCCCTTAATCAGCTGCAGCTTGAAGATAACGTAGGTAAGGAGGAACTTCTCATCCTCGGCACATCTGTTGTGAGGAACAGTCAGCATGGGTGTCGACTTGAGCATCCAGAATGTAAGGCAAACTCACTTGACAACAAACTGACTGACACCAGCGCCTTGCTCCTCTTTATCCTCCAGCTTCAACACAACGGGGCTGCGACAGAACAGCCCCTTCAGGGTATCAACTTCCGATGTGAGCGTAGCACTCATGAGGAACGTCTGCACACCGCGGGGGATCGCCTTGGACAGCGCGTTGATATCTTCATCGTAGCCGTAGGAAAGGACCAGGTCCGCCTCGTCAATAACCAGGTGTGTCAGGCTCTCCAGGGACAGGGCGGAGCTGCCGAGATTGGCGATCACACGCGCGGGGGTCGAAATGACAACATCCGGGTAATCAGCGAGCATCGTACGCTGCACGGCATCGGAGACCTTTTGAGTCAAGTTCACAGAGCGGATGTCCTTTCCGCAGAAAGCAGCGAATGTGGTGACGACATTTTGGACCTGTTCCGCAAGCTCTCGGGTGGGGACGAGGATGAGGCCGGTCGTGGCTTTCAACGAGGGATCGGCCTAAAGAGGGTGATATCAGTATGCCTGTTCCATTCGCGACAACACGAGGCTTCAAGGAGCACTGACAGCCTTTTTCTGGAGAATCGTCTGCAGGATGGGGAGGACGTAGGCGGCGGTCTTTCCGGAGCCGGTCTTCGCACGAGCTGGTTTCGTTAGTGTAAACGAGACCTATACACATCCGATTCCAGACTCACCGAGAATATCTTTGCCAGCCAGCGCCAGGGGAATGGCCTTCGCCTGGACCGGAGTAGGCTTGGTGAACTTCTCTTTGATCAAGGCTTGGCGCAGTCGCGGATCCAGGTTGAGGCTTTCGAAGTCGGCCTCGTTCACATCGGGGGCTTCTTTGCCCTCTGCGGCCTCGGCCTCGGGGGAGGGTACGTCGTTGGCGTCCAACTTGCGCTTCATCGTGGCACTGTAAGGGTCCTTTGGGGGGGATTGAGGGGTTTGGGGGGTTGCGAGCAGATGGCGACCAGCCGGAAAGTTTTCCTGCTCGGCGGGAAAATCTGTCGGGCGGTGGGATTCTGCCGGCCTCGTTCTGGCGGCTCCACTTTGGCTCCACCGATAAGCCTATCTGATGATGGATCACAACAACAACAACAACAACAACAACTAATTACTACTACTAGACACGATAGGATGAGGGGATTCGTGGGGTTTGGGACATGGATGGATTGGCCTAGGTGAAATTCTATCTCCTAAGCTTAACTGGTGAAGACACAATGGGACAAAGCTAGCAAGGACGCTTGATCATCGACTAACAAGGTGTATTCACTGTGGAAGGCAAGTCTCCTGTTGCAGTGAAGCTAGTACTATTGTTGTTGGATCTCATGGGACTGCCAGTCGCTCCTTCCGTTTGCCTCATCTTCATCTTCCCCCGATGCAGCATCCAAGGCCGAAATCACACCCAACTCCCCCGATCTGCGGACTGTCCTCAAATGTAACTACTAGTTCCATTGACCTGGATATATCTCATCTCCTTTGAAATGGATTCCAGAGACACTCCCGAAATCTTTTTGCCCATACGCGTTCGCACCCCCGCCCCAGAAAGCTCAGATCATCATGACAAGAGCTCATGGGAATCCGCCCCCGTTCCCGATCTGGTCGCAGATGATGGTAGTATAATCCCTGAACGAAGAATAATGTCGCCTGATTGGAAATTCCGGAGCCGGGTCCTGCAATGTGAAGGTACAGTGGGATTTAGCGACAGTGTCCGACTTGCCCAGTTTCGCAGATACCAGGCGGAATATCACGAGGAGCAGGAAACACTTCTTTCGAAGATACAAGAGGTGGGCATGCTGCGTACATCCATGTCTGAAAATCGGGCACAGGAGACCTCGCTGAATCTTTCTATACTCAAAACTTTGGAGGAAGCGATGCGCTGCGGCTGCAAGGATAGTGCATCGACCATTCGTGAGGACTATGTGACCCTTCGAGCCCTGGTGGATCGCTGGATAGATCTTGCCTTCGAGAATAGCCAAATGGAGGCTGAATTGGAACAACAGGAAAGGGTGCTGAGTGTGGTAGTGGGGAGGCTGAGTCCTAATCTTGATCAAAGCGCTGCTAGGAAATCTCTTCAGGATATCATCCCTCTAGGTCCAAGCAATCCTCAATGCCCCGAGGGCAGGGAAATCCCAGCCAACCTGTCCACAAGGGAGGGAAATAGACCGTGGATGCAGTCACAGCCGCAAATCCCGAACTCGGAGGAACCAAGTGATGGTGGGAAACGAAAGCAAAAAGATACACCCCCCAGCATAGACCCGCCTGATACCATGTACAATTGGATTCAAGCGCAGCTGGAATCATACGGGCGCGTTTTTTACCTGCACATGGAAAACCACCATCTAAGGGAGGCGGCGATGAGCTGCTTCCAGAAGCCGCTTCCTCAGGACCTCGGCGAGAATAACAGCCCAACTCAACCCGAACCACCTGCACATCCACTCAAACTACCACCAGAGCAGACATTCGCCTCATTCTACTTGGGCGACGGGTTCACCACACCACATCAGAGACTTGTCCTCGTCAACTGCTGGATCCTGCACCAACTGCGCATCTCATCGCTGGAATGCTCTCGCATCAGCTCACTCCCCGAGTGGCAGATTAGGCGTGACTTTGGCTTGAGTGAGCGAGATATCAGCCAGCTGGTCCTCGAAAACTGGTTTGCAGATGACACGGTCATACCGCGATCTGGTGATCCTTCGGTCAGTCCTTCAAATCCATCATCATCAGAGGACGAGCGTTCTGCCTCGAGTCGCGGAATCAGCCGTAGGAGGCAGTTCCATCGCCGAAAAAGGGCCAGATCCATGACCTCGGATGGTATTAGACCGGTAATTGTGCCTTCGCTGAGGAGAATGTCGCGTCATGAATCTGACTGGGCCAGATTTCTACCTGAACAGGCAACGGAGATGCAGAATATGGAGAGAACATTGGAATAGTCAAGACGAAGACTGTGGCATTGGAATAACACCTTTCTTGGTCCTCAACATCCTCCAATACATTCGAGTTGGCACATTGGATAATGGCATATTGCTGATTGGAAATTCGCGTCTGCAGGTCTTGGATAACCCCAGAGGATCGCCGCAAAGGGCAAAGATGCCATCGTTAAAAGACTTGATGTAATCACGCAGTCAATTCATTTCAGATAAGATGGCTAGCTTCACTAATACCCATGATTGATTCCAGTACCCTGTTCCGTTCGTTCATAGTCGTATCCATTTCATATCCCATCCATAATTGTCGACTCCTGCACGCCTACCTCATTAGCATTCTGTGTCGACGTGCATGTCCATCTCCGTATCCATATCCATGCCCATGTCCATATCATCATATCCGTATCTTCGTCCCGAATAAACAGCCGAAAAGCAAAACAAAGCGCAAGTATTATGTACATCCATATCATCCCCCATACATACCCAAGACCCTTAATCACTCTCACTCAGACTATCGCGACGACGCCCCCGTCCCCCCTCCCGACGATACCCCTTGCTCAGCCCCGGAATAGGATGATGGTAGCTCTTGGTGCCGGAATCCTCGGTCTCGACATTCGAATACTGATACTCAGATCTGGACGGCGCGGAAGAGGAGAAATCCAACGGCTCGGTGTAATGGCCCTTGACGGACGGTCTCTCTCTCTTCCGGGGACTGCTGGTCCGGGAGCCCGACGACTCGGTAGGCGGGGCGTTTCTCCTCCTCTCGCGACGCCGATTATGTCTTCTGGCCGACTGCTCGCGTTCTCTTTCTCTCTCTCTTTCTCTCTCCCTCTCGCGATCCGGCGCCTGGCTCAACAACTCCTCGCTGCCCGGCACAAACGAAAAATCTCTCCTCTTGCTCTGCCTGCGATCCGGCCTGCGGGATGACGCCCTCGTCGGAGCCTCCTCCTTTGCCCGAGTCTTCGTCCTCTCCGGCACAGGATCATACGCATAATCCCTAACCTGACTACCCGACAGCTCCGTCTGATTATAATGACTCGCCGGATTCGACAAATCATAATCACTGCCATAGTAGGTCCCCTCGCCCTCGGGCTCACGGTTAATGCCGCCCACCCGCGCAGCCTTCTCCTTCCGATACGCAGCAACATCATCATCAACCACACTGCCCCAATTCGTCGTCGCCTCATCGTCCTTTCTCCTGCGTCGGAACTTCTCCCTCAACTTGCGTCGCTTCTTCCGCTCCGCGCCGTCCCCAGTCACCCCCGTCTTCTCGGTCATCGTCGTCGCCGTGTCCGCATACGTGTACCCATCATCGCCCCCGTAGTCCGTATATCCCTTGTGGAACACGCTGCCTCCGCCCAGCTTCGTGCTCTTCGTGGCGTTGCTGAGCGTGCGGCCGTCTGGCCCCTTGCGTCGTAGGACGGTGGACTTGTATTCTTCCCAGTCGCCTTTGCGCCATACGAACCCCCCGTTTTTCGCCCAGAAGAAGAACCAGATGGCGGCTAGGACGAAGGCGGCGCCGATAATGGCGAAGAGTGCCATTAGGCCTTTCATGTTGATGTGGCTGGGCTCGATGGTGCCGGTGCCCGGGGATTGGGATTGCGTGGAGCGTTGGGTTAGGTGGTGGAGGAGGTAGATGGGGGGGAGGGCGGAGGGGGATGAGGTGCTCGTGGGGAGGGAGATGACGGGTGCCATGGTTGTGGTTGTGTTGGTGTTTTTTTTTTTTTTTTTTTTTTTTTTTTGGTGTGGTGTGGGTTTGTTGTGGTCGATGGTTGTTGGTTGTTGGTGAGAGGCGTCAGGAGCGAGGTGCTCGAGACGGGGCTCTGCGGATTGATCGTTTGTTAGTTGTGGGTTTGGTGGCCGTTGTTTGCAGTGGGAATGGAATGGGGGGGTGGGGGATGGCGATGGCGATGGCGATAGATCTAGGTCAAGGCATTGGAACCTTGGAAGAAAGAGGAATGTAGTGTACGTACCTTATCTGAGCTGTCAGTGTCGACACTCGACAGATCAACAGCAACTATCGAGGTATGTAGTTATGATATGAAGGTACAGATCTCGGAAGGTAGATGGTCGGAATGTGGAACTAGGTACTCCGTCTGGTATGTATGTGGTTGTGTTGCACCGCTGGACACACCAGCTCGTCAATGCAGGATGAGATAGACAGGATCCAACCAGCCCCAAAGAGACAGAAGAGAGATCGATCAGAAGCAGCACCCAGAGACGGGCGGCCCGAAAAAGCGGTGGTTGGAGGAAATGGGGAGGCTGGGGAATGACGCCGCTTTGTTGTGGTGAATCGCGTGGCCCCGGCAACCCGCTGACTCAGCAGCCCTATCTTATCGATCGATCGATCTTGGTGCAAGCCATCGGCGTCCCAGTGCTGAGGTTTACGTGCGTACTCGGAGACATGATGGGCTCCGTTCAGCCGAGATACTAGTACCCTCTACGATGGTCCGGTGGTAGGTCTTCCGAACTCTTGGCCCTGACAATGTGCGGGTGCCTTTTGCCAGCTGCCGGGACGGGAGGTGACAAGGATGTCGGTAGATAGCCGGGGGCCCTGGAGAGTATCTATCTAGCCTAGAAATGTGGTGTATGAGGAGGACTCGGAAAGCTGGGATCGCTGATGGTTGGTTGTGTATACTGTCTACGCTAGGGGGGTCCCTAGAAGCACATCCACTCCCAGTCCCATACGGGAAATGAGTCACGAGCATTGGGCATCAACGCCCGTCGGATTGATCTGAAAAAAACGGGACGAGGATTATATTGCCATGATCAACGGAAGACAATGATGATGACCCCGCGACAGTATTCCATTTGCATTTCCGGCTCCAGGGTAAAGAGGCAGCGTCGCCCGAGTGTTTGGTGAAGGATGGAAGATCCCGGTCAATACATACACTAGCCTGATGGGCCAATGGAAAGCAATGCATTTGCAGTGAGATGGTATGATGCGGAGACTGCGATAAAGTTATATGTCACTCAGCCTCAGCTGAACAAGGGCAAACGTGTCGTTTGATTTCAAATCCAAATAATTCGCATTTATTGCATTTCACCGCATACCCATGCTAGCAGCACTTATCCAGACAGAAGCTAACTTCGCGGTTGGTGTACAATTTCCCCTAGCCGGACGTACGGAGAGAGACACGACTCTTCCGGACCTGGTAACATGACCCACATTCTTGGATTTTGAGACCCATGTCACGGGATTGACATATCGTCACTGCCCGAGGAAGCTTGTTGGAAGCATCAAGGACTAGGTCGATAGAGCAGACATGTTTGGTCATGGTATCCAGGTCATTCAAGACGGGCATCCCTGGTAGGGTTGGATAAATAAGGGAGATCCCGGGTGGGATCATGCCTGCTGTTCGCAGTAACCTATCGCAATCATAGCACGGTCAAACAATGGGGTAAGTTGCTTGCTTACGGGCAGCGTGGTCGGGAGGCAATTTTTCTAGCGTGCTTCGACTCCATCTTCCATGCCGTTTGTTCACCGAAGCCTCCACCCGCATAGAGTATCGAGATAGCATCAGCCAGCTAGACGAGTCGGGCAAGTGGGGTAAGCGAATGGTCTCAAGCAGAGAGGACTGCCCTTTTATGCCACGAGGATCGGAGGGCCTCGTCTATGGTGTCCTGTATCATTTTTATCTCCGCGCAGGGGAGCCTGGCACAATCATCAATTCGGCTCCTTTCCAGCAGACGGAAGATGCCTGTCTGACTGAGCATAAAGTTTTTTTTTTTTTTTTTCTTTCTTTTTTGTAAAATTGAATCCCAGATCCTGGACGCTGAAACTTTTTTTGCCCCTCCGGTTGCGAGATTTTCACCTGCAGCGCCGGACGGCAGCAAGCGCCGCGGTGGAGGCCATCGTTATTGGGCCGCAACGAGGTTCCTGCCATCCTTTAGGACTTTTGGGCAGCCAACAAGACGAGACTCCTTCGGACGGGCCATGGGCCGTGTCTGGGTGCAGCCTGTGACGGTGTTGCTCATCGCATACTGGTCACAAGGAATAGGAGGCGACGGAACGTGGGGAATGGTCGATTATAACCACCCTCACTCATCACAAGAATATTCTCCGGAGGGGGCCAAGCTTGCTTGTCCACCCGGTACCGCACAGGTAAGGTTGTGAGAGAGTCCGGATGGTCCGTGGTTTGCTTCCGCTCAGACCCAGGGTTCTTCCGATGGAGCCCCGTCTGTATCTAGTGGGGGAGTCTAATGGTTTTATTTCCACTCCCCTGGAACTCAGGTGATACGCGACGCGAGTCGCGACCAGCGACCAGCGCTCACCGGTTCTGACGACGCACTAGTGGTTAGGTTGAGGCGTAAGATGCTATCCCGACTACCGGGCGCCAACAGTGATAGTGATTCTGAAGCTATGGGGTCTGACATCCTGAAAGCCACAATTGTGGAGGGTTTACCCTGCCGGAGGGGGAGGGAGCAGTCACAACTCACGAGACACGCAGCACGAAGCCGCTTAGTCGCGACAAAGTACCGTGTGGCGTGTACAGAGTCCGAAGCAGTACTCATAGTACGGCAGGTCAGGTCGACAAAAAGCGTCCAGAAGATCGCCAGCAACATGCCCAGCTTTCGTTTAGCTTCCGACTCTCGATCGCACAATCCCTTTGATTGTCGGCTTGGGCTCCCTGTGTCACTCACCCGCGGCGTACAGCGTACAATAAACCGCCATGCATACCCGCGTCTACAGTAATCCTCCCTGGGACAACATCGCCAAACACCCTGCATGCACCCAGAGGCAGGGAGCCAAGCATGTGACCTGTCGGAGTGACTCGACATCTGGGCGTCCCGGACATGCCAATCTTATATTCGACAGACAGGGGCGACAGCACAGGTAGTCGGGATGGGGGGAAGTCCAAACACACACACACACACACACACAAAGCACCGGGCTGGTATTGAAAGATACTGTATACAGGCATGGTAGCCGGGCTGATGAATAGGGGGTGGCAGCAGGTTGAAGCTGAACAATATCATTTATATCAGCCATCCATCCATCTTCGAGACGGAGTAATGCCACGCGCTTATAGGGACGGGCCACGGTAAGTTCCGGGGTAATTCCCGGGCTGGTGCCGTCGCGAGTCGAGCAATGTATACTCCGGATATCAGTCCCAGGAGACAGGATCCTGGACAGGTCGAACGCCCTCCATCATCGTGCGGTTGCTTGAATGCCCCTGTCGCGCTGATACGTCAATGGAGGATGCCCTCCAGACCTTGCATCTGCAGGAGGGTTCCCTGTCGAGATTCGAAGGATAAGATCCTGATCAGTGACGTATGCAAGGCCGTGAGCACTCACGTCGAGTATCATCATCCTCGAACCTCGTCGCGTCCAGTCCGACCGAGAGGTCGTCTCTGGATCAGATCAGTGCTGACCGCTGACCATACGGTACGGTACTAAGTATACGTGACCCGGCCAGGCCCTGGTCACCGTCTAGCGGCAGATCAGGCATCGGCGGGCAGCCAGTCAGGTTGGCATCCCCACCTCCCTGCGAGGCCCTCCGACTGTCGCTCTTCTGCGACGGAGCGATGGAATGCGTCTCAGGAATCCTCGTTGCTGACACAGGAAAAGCCAGGAGGGAGAGCATACGATTGCGTGGAGGGAGGGAGGGACTGCGAGGGCGGGGATGGATGGGGGTGCGTGCCTTCTTGTCTACTGCCTTCAGTTATAGGTAGATCGAGATAATAGCCAGCATCTCCGATTCTTCGCGAGACTCATGGATGAGTTCGAGTCATCGTTTTCACCAGAACATTACAAAAAAAAATGTGGAAGGCGGAAATGGACGAGCGAGGCCCGTTGGGTCGCGACGACCACTTAAACCTTGCGCGTGGGTTTCCAGTAAGAAAGTCGATACAGACAAGACAGTACCCGTAAATGTAATTCCGCCTTGCATCCGTCCGTTTTCTGGGCGGGTTCTTCTTCTCTTTCCCCTCCACCAGATCAATAATACTTCGAATATTTTCACGGTATTGATTTTATTTTTTTTCCCCCCTTCTAATTTTTCCATCATTATTATCATCCGGTCCAGGGATGAGCGGGCAAGAGGCGAAGAACCGACGGGATGGACATGGACACCCTCCAGCTCGATGATTAAAAACCCAGCCATCCAATCTCTTCTCCCCTCCATCGATTATCTGCTACTGATCAACTATCAACTATCAAACTGCTGCTACTATCAACAACAACAACAACAAGAACCACCACCACAGCGTGCCCCTCTTCTGCCTGTTTGTCCCAATCATCGTTCCCCCACCCCTCCGTCATCCATCATTATTATTATTATTATTGCCTCCATTACATCCATTACACCCATACCCATTCTTCCTTTCATCTGCTTGTAGTATCTAGTTTTCCACCCCACCTTTCAACTGGCTTCTCGCTTCCCCTCTTCTCCCCTCCTTCCTCTTCCTTTGGTTTTGTCAGGCTCCGACGGAAAACCCCTTGGTCGAGGGCGATTCGGTTATCCATCTTCCTATTATTATTATTATTTATTACTACGCCCGGTTACACACCCCTCTGCATCTGCGACTGCAGCCCCGTGGACTTATTCTGCCGGGGCTCCTCCACTCACCGGCTGCCAGACTACAACTGCAGCGCGCCTGCCTCCTTCCATCGAGTCTTCTGCTCCTCTCCGTTGGCTGACCCACGCTGGCCTGTCTCCGTGTCTCGCCCATCCGTCCCTCTTCCTCCACTCACTCTAGACTCTCTCCCTCTCTCGTCCACCACCCACTTCGTCTCTTTTCTCCCTCCACGCCGAGCCAACCGCCGTCCTCGCTATCTTTCTTCGATGGAGACAGTGCAGTCCGCCGACGACCACCATTACCGCGCCTCCACTCGCCGTCGCTGACAGTCTACGATCTAGACACGCCGTCTCCTGACTATTGCCTGGCCGATCTGCACCCACTGGTTCGTTTGCTGAGCCCACCGCAGAGTGGATTCCTGACACCCAGCACCGGGCTGAAAGGGGACGGGCACTCCCACCACTCACACACCCTTTTCCCCCCCGACCAGGAAAAAAAAAAAAAAAAAGGTCTCATTGAGTCATTCGCATGAGCAGCACTCGGTGGCTGCGGTAGGCCGCCCAGCGTCCTGAAAGCCTGTTGGATCACCACGTTTCACGTCATCCACTGCACTGTCCTGCCCTTCCCACGGTCCCAGACCCCCCCCCCCCCCCCTCCCACCCCCTTCCCCTCTTAGGGTCGGGCCTTACCTTGGCCGCGTTTCCAGAAGTCATGACTGGCAAAGTCCCTCACGCCGCCTTCGTTGAAGAATACGACGAAGATGCCCATGCGATCCGCCCCGAAACTCGTCGTGTCGCCAACCTCACTTCAAAGCGCTCCAAGCCTTCCTTGAGAGCCCCCGCGGAGCCCCTGGTCGACATTGCCAGTGACTCCGGCTATTCTAGTCGCACCGCCGCCACCGTCAACAGCACCCAATCTGGGCCGTCGGGCCGGAAGAGCCCTGTCCCTCTTAAATTAGACACCTCCCTCCGACGAACTGACCTCGAGCGCGTTCGATCCAAAGGCAAAGACCAACGTCCCAAAGACCGGATCGCTCGTCCACTGCGTGAGGACAAAATGCAAGTCGGTGCCTACCCCAGCGTGGGCCATCCGCCCGTCCACGCCCAGCGCTCCCCGTCTAGGTCTCGACGCCGGGACAGTGCTCAGGTGCAACACTACCCAGGCACTTGCTATGAGTGCGACAATGGGCTGTATCATGCCTCTACCCCCGTCGAAGGCCGACAGATGGACTACTCGTCCTACTACCTCTCGCAGCCGCCTCCGGGGTCTGGTCACGACTATCCCCCTTCCTCCCCTCGGTACGCCCCCAACGCAGTCCAGGACATCCATGTGTCTCGCACCGCCCGCCCGCCCGCCCGCAGCACAGGACCGGTCTACCATCCCACCAACCGACCGGTGAGCTTTCACGGGATGATGCCTGGCATGGGCCAGATGATGTACCAGCCATCCAGCGTGGGTCGCTACGAGCGTGGCCCGCCGCTGTCCTCATCGGCGTACGCCAACGCGCCACCGTACGCCCCCTCGTCTCACTACCCGCAACAGCCCGTCTATTACGGCGGCATGCCCGACTTCATTCCGCCATCAGACCATCGACAGGAGCACCGACAAGAGCATCGACAGGAGCATCGACAGGAGCATCCCCAGGAACGGTCGGTTTCCAGAACGCGAGACCAACCCCGTGGCCGACGCGGGTCCATGTATGGCGCGCCCGTGCTCGATTACGATTCTTCCTCGCCCGCCTTTGACGATGAGGATCCGTTGGAAGCTCCACCACCTCCCCGTGAGCCCCGGCAAAGACTTCCCTCCCATTCTTCCCACGAACGCGATGAGGATTATTATCGCGTGCCGCTGCCACCGATGAAGACGGCGGCCCCGCGTATCATCCAAAAACGCCCCGAGGTGCGCAAAGCTGTCACGGCGCCGTCCGTCACCTCAGAGCGCCACTCCACCCGGTCGCTCGACATGTCTGACATGCAGGATGCTTTGCCCGAGTACGGATACCGGCGTTCCTCGCGAGAAACTGTGGTTCCGGAACGGAGCCGCGGCCTGCGAGAGCGGCGCGCTACCGCGTACCATGGTTCTGCCCGACCGGCTCGGATGGCAGTTGAGAACTCCCGTCGCCGTCGGGAGTCGGTCTATGACTTTGCAGGTGAGGATGACGATGATAGCGAGGATGACGAGATGGATGAGAAGCAGCGAGAAGCGGAGGAGTATCAAGCCCGATCGGCGAAGCCGGTCGCTCCGGCACCACCCATGCCGTTGACCGCCGACGCCCTCTACAAGGCCAAGACTTCGCAGCGCGCCGAGAGCGACAGTGGGAGCCAGAAGAGCCGCTCGAACAGCAGCCGCGGCAGCGACACTCGAACCCAGAATGGCAGCAATGCCGGATCCAAGCCGGAGGAAGACAACAACATTGTCATGACGCTGAACGGCGTCACCATGAGTTTCCCTCAGAACTCTGTGGGCGGCAAGAGGATCAGTGTGCGGACGGGCGACACCGGTGCTGTCGAGCTGAATATTGAAGGCAAGCAACGACCAAAGAAGTACCTGACCAACGGATCCGACTACAGTGGCAGCGTTGCTGCCAGCAGCCGAAGAGATGCGCGGAGCGACCGAGACCGAAAGTCCGACCGCGTCAGTCGGCGCTCCAGCCGGTCGACCTACGGCGGCGGCGGCGGACGGTTTTAGTCGGCTCGCCTGTCTGGTAGTATGTCGGTACGCCCTGTTCTTGTTTACGCACACATCCTGGGTTAGATTTCTGGAGCGAAGAGCGTCTGCCAAAAGTTCGTCGTTCTCGGGCGGTCATCGTTCTGCGGAAAGAAGAACTGCCAATGCCACGCGTCTGATACATTTTGTCCTTGTTCTCGGAAAAGTTGGAAGGTTCATTCAGGAGAAAAGAGTTTTGCTTTGCATGGGAGGCATCCTGGATTAGGTTTTGATTTTGTCTCGGGTGTTTAAAGAAAGAGAAGGGGCGGGTTTTACCAATCACGTCCATCATGGCGACATGATTGTACGATTCTGATGACCTGCATGACTGTCTGATGTTTTCCGATCTGATGCTTTATGCCACGTTTATGTTTATTCTGATGCCCATCATGTTTGCCTGCTGTCTATGGTGACACCTCGGTATCCGGGAGCGTTTGTATAATTTCTTCTGGATGACTCGACTTGTCTCTTCTGTTGTTTGCTTTCTCTGTCATCAGCTTGAAGAAATGAGTAAGAATGACAGAGGAAGGTATACCCTTGTTGTTTGTACTTTGTGACCTTGCATTGTCAATTCCCCCTGAGTTTGCGTAGCTGCTTGATTCTGATTCTGTTTCCTACTCCTATCCATATTCCCCTCTGGTGTGTATCTTGTCCTTTGTCTCTTCGATGTTGAGATGTCTATTCAGCCACCTGCAGGGCTTGGCTGTCTGTCTTGGTGGATAGGCGAGGATAGGTATGCTCATCCACCATGGTGTTGGCGCAACTATCACTATCCTGGTGGTGGTGACATGGTGGATTGCCCGGGGATTTGTTGTTTTCCTATTTCCTCTGTTTTAGCGGTTGTCGGAATACCCTTGTTGAATGTTGATTCCAGTATCGCTGTTCTGAATAGCCTCCGAATGGTGCTAGCACTGACTAGACCGAAGCAATCTTATACATACTATTACAGCATGACCGTGCGAATGAGGATATTAGGAACAGTAATTAGCTCGATTGTTTGGCGGGTGATGTACCACGCAGCAGGCAACATTAAGATTCATCCCTACCAAGCACCTCACCCATCCATCATCTAGCATGCTGTTAATCTCCATGCAAGAGTGGCACTGCAGTTCATGGATGATTTTTGTACAGGACCAACCAATGGGAAGGCCCCGATGGAGAGCAGCGTGGGATCCCCTGGATCCACTTTCCCTCCCACTTCTTCCGTCAGATTTGCTAATTATACCTGCAAAGTTCCGATCTGCAGTGTCACTGGAGTCTGCTGCGATGTTTGGGTTCTTATAACTACAACTTAAGCGCTCTCTACCTACTTGCTGGGATGAAAGTCTGCTTCGGCTCCTACAGACTGCAGCCTCTCGACGAGATACTTATTTGACCGAAGTCGGAGATCAAGAGATCAACCTCCTCTGAGTATCCAGCTTGCGAATGTCGGGTTTAACCACGAGCACCGCCTCCCAGGCTTCATCGGATCCAGACACTGTTGATGTTTGGCATCCTCTTATCCACAGCAATACCACACTCCCTTCTGGACGTTCACCCCTAGCGTACGTAGCTGGGATCCACTTCTGCTAATTAGCTGCGGCAACCCTATCCCGGATGCAGCTTTAAGTCCGGCAAGTTCCAGGCACCAGTCGTCTTGTTTCTGAAGGAGGATGGCTTTTAGCCCGCTGGCCGATCACGTCCTTGACTTGACTTACAGGACCCTTGAGCGATGTGAATAACACCCGGTATCTAGCTATCTAGATCTCAGCGCGTCAATCCCAACGTCGAACTGACCGGGGTCATATTTCTTCCACCCCCCTGGGATGGGCCCGTTTTGTTCCTCCGCGGAGTCGACTAGATATACTCCCCACACCTGTCTGATCCAGTCGCAGAACCCCCCCCTGATCTAAGGTTAGTCTGATATTTTCTACAGTACGTCTTACTTAGCCTCGGTCCTGCTCCTGAAATTTCTCTGTTCTGGCAACTGAGTCTTGGGTGGGGCACGACACGCACCCTAATTCTCTCGCTCTCTCTCTCTCCCAATCTCTCCTTTCACCCTGGATTAGTTTCCTGGAACGCCGCGTTCCTTTTGAGTATTTACTATCGCCTTTTTGTTATTTTTTTTTTTGTGTTTATACCACACTCGTTTGGTGAAGGGGCGGACGGCTGGTTATCTGCACTACACCAAACTCAGTGTATGAGGCCTGGTTGTCTATCTATGTCTATGTCGATTGGGTAGGCTGCACTGAGATCCACTTCTATCGTTGTTGCATTCTATCAATCGGCCTTCTGGTCTCCCTGGCCTGCCACTGTCACCTGCCACTCGTTCTTTCTACTGGGAGCCTGTCCAACCTGGTCTCCTTCTTGCTTCAGTCACAGGCATGGGCGGGTTAGTTTGTAATTCCACCACAGAAGACCAGACCAGTATGTATCTTCCTGCCAACCCTATCCCAATCCAGCTCAGTTAGATGGCTAACCTGCAACCCACCCCGCAACTATTAGTTACCGAGGTCCCCTTGTGGAATGATGGCCTCACTTTCCACCACCTCTGTCTTATGATCAGCGGGTCTTTTGCCATCTTCGCTGCGGTGGTTTCGTTTGGATTGCTCATGAACCATGCGACACATTACTCCAAACCCATAGAGCAACGACAGTATGCCCTCATCATTCCTCCTTCTCTCTCCTCTCTATCCCTACCACTAACCCCCTCCCCTCAGCATCATCCGAATCATATGGATGCTCCCGATATACTCCTCCGTAGCATGGCTGAGCATCTACTACTACAAATCCTCCGTCTACTTCAACATCGTCGGCTACTGCTACGAAGCCTTCGCCATCTCCGCCTTCTTCACCCTGCTCTGCCAGTACATCGCGCCTGACCTGCACAGCCAGAAGGAGTACTTCCGGGCCATCACCCCCAAGAAGTGGATTTGGCCATTACCGTGGCTTCAGAAATGCAGCGGCGGTGAGAATGGCATCTGGAGGACTCCTCGGAGTGGGTTGACGTGGTTTAACGTAGGCATCGCTCACATCCTCCAGCGCTCTCATCAACCTCAGCACTAATCAGAATGTATAATTGTAGGTTATCTGGGTCGGTATCTTCCAGTACTGTCTCATGCGGGTCCTGATGACTATCATCGGCGTCATCACGCAGCATTTCGGCGTGTATTGCGAGGAGACGCTGAATCCTCAATTCGCTTATGTTTGGGTATAGTACCTCACTCCCTCTCCCCCCCATCCCCATCCCACCCGTGATTGCTTTACTAACAAATCCCTCTAGATCCTCGGCATCGACTGGATCGCCGTCTGCGTAGCCATGTACTGCCTGGTGCAGTTCTACGTGCAAATCAAAGAGACCATCAGCTCATACTCTCCCTTCATGAAACTTCTCTGCATCAAACTCGTCATTTTCCTTTCCTTCTGGCAGTCGGTTCGTCCATCAACCCCCTTCATCCCAAACACTTTCTCACTCCAACCCCCCTATTCCAGAGCATAATCAGCCTCCTCTGCGACATCGGCCTCATAACCGCCAACTCCAAAATCCAATCCCCAGACCTAACCGTCACCCTGCCCAACGTGCTCATCTGCATCGAAATGGCCCTCATCTCCATTCTCCACCTCTGGTCCTACCCATGGGAACCCTACACCAAACCCACCACCTCCCCCGACGACGACGACGACTACAACATGCCCCCCAAACCCCCCATGTACCAAGGCGGTCGCTGGGGTCTCCTCGCGCTAGTCGACTGCTTCAACCCGCTGGATCTGGTTCAAGCCATCGCGCGCAGTATTCGCTGGATGTTTGTCGGGAGGAAGTCGCGCACGCTGGATCCGAGTTATTTTGATGCCGGGGGACGTGGGGGTGCGAGTGGACTTGGACATGGGGGGATTGCCTTGCATGTTACCGATGTGGATGGTGATACGCGGACGCATATTCATGGTGGCGGTGGCGGTGGTGGTGGTGGATCTGCGACTGGTGTAGGAAAGGGGAGGACCGTGACGGGGAGGTATGGATCGATTGGTGATGAGGATGGGCGCGGGGGGTTGCTTTCTCATGCGGGGAATAGGGATTCGGCGGGGTCCGGGGTCGGGATGGAGATCCATGGGCTTCATGGGCTTCATGGGCATGAGGATGAGGAGATGGGGATGGGGACGAGGCCTGCCATGAGGGAATTTTTGTAGCAGGGTTTGGCATGGTTTTTCTTTTTTTTTTTTTTTTTTTCTTTTGGGAGAGAGAGCGCGGGGGGGGGAGGTTTGTTCGATTTGGTTTTTTGTGTCTGTCTAGCCGGCTTTGATATAGTATATAGATATAGATTATATTGCATTGCATTGCATTGCATGTATTGCTCATCTTAGTGAGGGAAGAAAATTACTAGGGACTGGGTGGGATCGCTGTGATAAATATGGAAGGGAGTAAAGATATAGAGTACTATGGCAGTCCCCGTCTCCGTCGACCTCAAAAGACAAGACAGTAGTAAAGACTGGGGAGACCAAGGCTATGAGGTACCAGCACTATTTCTATGCTACTGTACTACCCCATAGTGGTAAACTAAACAAGACAAACAGAATAAACTAAAAATGAAATTGTATCTGTGATGGTAATAGTAAGGTAAATGATACATGACGTCCGTCTATCCATCCCATGAGCCAGCCACGGTCAGATCTCGTTCATACGTACCTCACTCACATCCAAGCTCACATCCATACTGTCGTCCCCGAGCACATATCTGTCGTCGCGACATTCAATAGCCACCCACAATGTCCTTCATCCATAAATAACACCCCAAAGAAAACCCAAATCAAGTGCATTCAACACCTACGTCTCCCCTTTGTCCACAGTAATAAAAAAAAAGAATATGAGTCAAGTCTTCTTCACAGACAGCACCATGAACGCAAACAGTCGATACACGGCGATGATGCCAATAAGAATACCCACCCACTTGCCGGTACGGCCCGTCGCATACCCGTATTCATGGAGCACGCCGGAACCGCGAATCTTGCATTCGGTGGCCAGATCGGTCTGGTACATGCAAGTGCACCCCGAGGCGCAGTCGTAGATGCGGTCTTGGAATTCGTTGACCATCATGCCCTGGAAGACGTACGCCTGTTGTTGCATGTCAGTCGGCTGTGCGGTGCTTATTAGGATGCTCTGAGAATGATGCCTACCTGGTAATCAATGTAGTGGAACACGTATTTCCAAAATGGGTTCAGGATAGTTGGGGTGACGAGGAAGCCGCCGACGCTCATCCAGAGCCCGTTGGAAAAAGCGACGAGGGCAAGGGAAATGACAAAGTTGGGGAAGAGAGACGTCATGAACACGACGAGGGATTCAGCGGCGACGAGGTCGAGGAAGAGCCACATCACCCAGGTGAAGAAGGAGGCGGCCGTGGGGTTGAAGTTGGAGAGCCAGTACGAGATGATAGAGAAAAGGAGGGAAATGAGGACTATCCCGATAATATTAACAAAAGCTGGGCATGAAGTCAGAAAGAGAAAGGGACATACAGAGGAAGGGCAATCCGATGATGAAGTTGGAGAGTATGAAAGGAAGAGCGCCGTAGAGACCGTTGGCTCGTTCGCGGATGAAGGTCGCGCGGTCTTCCAGGAAGGCAGGGACGTAGGCAACGGCCATGAAGCTCATAAAAGCGGAACCAAAGAACTACTCATGTTAGCTAAGACTTAGAAGCGTGGATGATTGCTTACAATTGCATTGATGAAGGGCTGAATGTAGGCCTCTTGGGTGTGGAGACGCAGCCAGACGGTTCCCATCATGATGGCCAGTCCTAGATGGTCAGTGTGGCCTGGTAGAATGGGGAGGATCACTTACCCAGGTACATGACGATGCGAATGCCATATGCCACGACATCACGATAGCTTTTGATGAACAGGCGATGCAGGAGGGAAAGAGTAACGCTAAGCGTTCCCGGGTGGCCGAGCTGCTCGACATCGATCGTACTCGCTCCTTTCTCGGATGCTGTGAGCATCTGCGAGACCTGCCGACTCAGTAAAGTGCCGTTCGATGACAGTGACCAGCTTCTGTGGATTTGCTTGACTTGCTCTTCGGTAGTCTCCTGGTTGCTGCCGATGAAGTCGGAGCTGACAAGGTCAAGAATGAATTCAGCCGGGTTGGTGTTCGCAGGAATGGCATGTCCAATCTCCTGGAAGTATGCCGGAACGTCCGCGACAGCTCCATAGTAGCAGGTCTTTCCACCAGAGAGGAGCAGGAGTTTATCGAAGAGCTGGAACGTGAGTGACGACGGCTGATGAATACTGGCAATGATGATGAGCTAGAGATGTCAGCATTGCTTAAGTCATAGGACCTCACATTCATCATACATTATTCGCAACAGCCAACTTTTTGATGTAGGACACCACCTCGTAGCTAGCCGTCGAATCCAGCCCACTGGTCGGCTCATCCAGGAACAGGATCTTGGGGGAGGTCATGAGCTGACTCGCCACGCTGACCCGGCGTTTCTGACCACCGCTGATGCCCTTGCGGATGGGAGTGCCGACGAGCGAGGAAGCCTGATTCTGAATGCCAAATGCCTGCAGCAAAGATTCGATGCGTTCCTTCCTCTGAGACTTGGTCACCGTGCTACTCGTATTAGCATCGCACGCATCCACCAGAATGGACAAACATACCCCGGCAAAGCGAGATCCGCGGCAAACTTGAGAGTCTCGCGCACGGTCAACGATCCGATCAGCGCATCCTCCTGCTCAACATACGAGGAGAGCCGCCCAAAGGTGCCATTGTCGATCTCCGCCCCGTTCACGTAGCAGGCTCCGGTAGTTTTTGCGCCGGAGGAGGCCGATCGACGCGCCAGGACGTTGAGGAGGGTCGTCTTGCCGCATCCCGAAGGGCCCATCAGAGCGACCAGCTCTCCTGTAGTTGCGAGGACCGTGAGTGTCTATTTGGATATCATGCCCGTTCTGGGAACCAACCTTGCTGGACGGAGCCGGTGATGCCATGGATGAGATCCCGGGGCTGTTTGGAGCTGCGGTCCTTGACAGTAACAGTGAGATCGCGCCAGGCAAACCCCTGGACTGCATCGTTCCGGAAGTACTGATGTGACTCGTTGCGCTCGATATCGAAGCTGTGGGCCATGGCCATGGTGGTGCGCCCCATCGGCAGGGTCGGTCTTGAAGTCACAGCAGGAGCAAAGGAAGAAGCAGAAGCAAGATGAAGTATGAGCTCAGAGCCAAAAAAAGGATCACCACTTCCAGTCCAAACCAGTCATCGGGATGGTACTTATAGGATATGGATAAATAAATGGTCGCCGATTCTGGCGGGGAACAGACGGGTGAGGAGGAAGAGAAGGGGGGGGAGAAGAGGAGGGAGCAACGAAGAAAATAGTCGGAGGCGAGCAAGCAGTAGACCCCGATCGGTCCTGAGGCATTCACCGTCCGTGTGGTGGAGGCCTGGAGGCCATCCAGACTTCTCCCGCTTCTCTCATTTCCTCTCTCTTTCACTTCCTCATCCAACAACTTCAGGTCCCCGAACCCCGAACACCCACGCGTTCTCCGTCAGACGCCGTCCCCCCTGCGGGGATCTTACCCACCTGAAACCTTTTTCCTCGCCGTCCGACGGGGTCTGTATTCATCGCGATAACTCTATCTCCCCCAGGTGTGGCGAGGCCCACGGATCTCCTTGTGCCATCCCCGCCCGCTGGGCACGATGGACACAATGAACGCCCAAAAAAGCAAACACGAGACCGCTAATCCACAACCGCCTGGCCCGGTGCTGCACCGGAACAATAGTCCGCTGGGAGGTCGCAACGTGCGCCCAGCCAGGGAATTTCAGGTCGTATTCCAGCAGGTCAGCCTCCTGCCATTGGTGGTGGCCAGGGCCGATCGCCAGCTTCCTTAAATCCCTCCAGGGTAGTCATGCTTCCTTCACTCATAGTGTCCTATTTCTATTTACCCGAGCTGAAATCAGTGAAGCTCAGCTGAGCGCAACCAGCCTTCCTGCACTGACCTCTGGTGACTCGCGAACCATTCATCCTTCTGAGACACAATCTCCCCGATCCGATAGTTTCACAGCCCCGGGGCTGGGAGCTCCTGTCCTCTCACCGCTGCCACAAGTTTGCTCTCGGTAGGGAATCCATACTTGATCAAGATCTACAGCAACTGATACCTTGTTTGAGTTCCTGGTCACTCCGGGCAAACCCAGGGATGGATTTTCCCCAGACGCTGTAGACGCGTCGTTTGGGGAGAATTACTTCACCTGCTGAATGCAAACAAACAATCACATCCAGATGACACTACTGCCTCTCACTCCTCGTCACGTCTTGTGTAACAGCGGCGGAGGATCCACACGTTGTCTGGCTTTTTCCTCAGTCTGTCAGACATCCAGCCAGGGCTATCCTTGACCATGCAGGCAGATAGACAGGCATCACACACTGCCCAGTATGACAACACAGTAATATTGGCTTGCGCAAGGAGATTAGGTTCGGTTCGGTTCGGTTCGATGCGCAAGCGTTTGTGGAAGCTTGAGTTTGAGGATATACTACTATCCGCCCTAACGGGGAAAACGTTGGGGGAACAGGAGGCACCGAAATCAATTCACAGTATTGCTGACCTTCAGACCGCTCAATATATATTGAGAGATCTTTGGCTCTGCGTTCTAATGCAGTGGGACGTGTTGCAGATACGGTGGTACAGGTGTGATTTCGGACGCAGCTGGAAGGATCCCGCTGCCTTGCCCAAGTCGGGATGTAGCCGCTGGAGCAGTCCCGATGTGAATGTGTTCGGCCGAAGTGTCTTAGTACGGAGGTAAGTAGATACTTAGGTCCACAAACACGCTGTGTGTGTAGTGTCATGGTCTAGTTCTTGGACGTCTACTGTGGCCTGACAAAAATTGGATTGCCTAGATCCGACTTGATATTCTATTGCTCAAGAAACACTCCCGATAAAATTAAAGACATTAATACGACCCGAACAGGTCAGAGCCAAGAAAGAGACCATCCCTCACAAACACACCAGTGGAATCGAGCGAGTCATTTAGTCGCTGCAAGAAGCACCCGAGGGAACGTTCTTGCACTTGCTGCTCTTCTTGCCGCCGGTGACGTCAACACCGCTCCAGGTCCAGTCGGAGCAGCTGCCGGAGCCGCAGAGGATGTAGATATCGGTGGCAGAGCTCTCAACAGTGCCGGTGACCTTCTCGAAGGTGATGTCCTCAACCTTGACACCGTTGGTGGGGGTGCCGGTGGGGCTACCGTTCTCATAGTCCTGCTCGACAACGATGCCATAATCGGTGATGCCGGAAAGGGTGATATCCTCGAATTTGACGTTCTCAACGGTGCCGGTGGCGTCGTAAACGGTCTTGATGCGGACACCATTCTGGGAGTCGACAACCTTGGAGTTGGAGATGGTCACGCTGCTGACGGTGTTGTCGCTGCGGCCGCCGACGGAGCCAATGGAGAGACCGTGGCCGCCGGAGCAGTAGCCGTTGGTGAAGGTGATGTGCTGCAAGACTTAGCCATTGGATCTCCAAATAAGTAGCTAACAGTCTAGTTACTTACCTCACCCGAGTTGATGGCCAGGCAGTCGTCCTGGTTGTAGACGATGGCACCGTCGATGGTGATGTAGGTACTCTCACCAATGTCGAAGGCATCGGTGTTGTGGCCCTTGCTGGTACCGGCGGAGTTGTCAATGGTCACATCGGTGATGGTCAGGTGCTCAGCCTCGATGCTGAAGGCCTGGACGGGGGTGTTATAGATCTTGAGGCCGGTGATGCTGGACTCATCGAGCTTGTGGGCCTTGAAGAACTTGGGCTTGGTCTTGCCGCCGTTGCTGCCCTTGCCATCCCACCAACGGGAGCCGTCGCAGTTGATCTTGGCGCCGGAGGCCTGCTTGACGGTGATATCGGTACCGGACATGGAGATCAGGGGGCCCTCCCACTCCTCATAGCCGAAGGTGGTCTCGCCCTCGAAGATGACCTGTGGATGTTAGTGGAGGATTCGCCCATTGGGTAGGCTGTTGACGTACGGTGGTTCCGGTCTTGAGGTCAGTCAGGTCGAGGGTCTCACCAGCGGGGACCTCGATGTTATCCAGAGTGATAGTCGTGCAGGAGGACTTGCCCGACTTGGCGGCAGAGGCCGAGGTGAAGGTGCAAGAACGCTTGTCGAGAGGGACAGCAGCGGCCAGCGCAGCGCCCATGGTGGCGGCCACGAGGGAGGTCTGAACGAAATGCATGATGAAAGAGTGAATAAGCCTGGATCAACCGGACGGGATTAAAGAAAGACTAGCTGGGGTGGTAAGGAAAAGAGAGAGTGAGAGAGATGGAGAAGGTAGTGATGGGAGGATGGCTCGCGGGTATATGTAGTTTTTGGACGCCTCCATGCAATCCATGCGATGCCTGCGATCCATTGTGGCGGAGAGACATCGGCAGATTGTCTCTGGGCTGGTCCTGACTGAGACGACGCCGACCTTGGTCGAGACATAATACGATGTTCGACGGCGGTTTGAGAATAGAAATGAGGGGGCTCTAGACTGACGACGCTAAACTGAATCGCGAACAGGGTCTGGCCGTCTGACGCTGGTGGGCGGAGGAGGCAGCATGGCCATGCAGCATGCCGTTGTTCGAACGGTTCGAGGCAGTCAGGGCTTTTCCCCACTTAGCGTCGTTTAGGCATTTTAGGCACCGAGGTTTTCTCTTTTCGGTTCCCTCCCGAGAGTGAGACACACCCTCGTTATTTCCTTCACCAGCCCACTTTCACTACTGTGCTCACTACTGTTAACTCCTGCTGCTACACACGGTGGCAGAGGCCTGGACCAGGTGGGTTTGTGCGGAAATCCTCGACACCACACCCGGTCAGCCCTACTCGGGTCACCCGAACCATCCGGCATGTCACAGCAGAATCTTCGCCCAACAACAGCCTCAACCACAATACCATACCAAGCGTCCTGCCACTCACAGCTAGATTCGCTAGTCGAAGCTAGCCAGAAACACCGATTGACAGCTCTTCACCAAAAGCAAGCTTAATCACGCCGTTCCAGCACATGCAAGCCACTTAGGCAACCAGCTGGGTGCACTGGATCCATCCAATATGAATTATAAACGGGGCTCTTTCCAAACCAGCTTAACGTCTCTCGGCAAACCTGGTTGGCGGGGACTACCGGAATTCACACATCCTCTGCCCTCCTGAGTCCCGATATTATGTCTGAGCCAGAGCCTAGGAGGAGCTGACACTGAGGGGTGGGATATCTACGCCCGGCCAGCGGCGGATGCCTGGATGAAATTGGACTCAGGGACTGTCTCCACTCTCCACCGCAGACTTATCAAAGCTTCAGTCGGTGTCAACTTGGCGGCCTTGGCGTCCCTGATGAGAGTGAGACATTGCCCCGGGTGCCTTGGCTATGAGTTTTGCCGCTGGGTGTCTGATGGGGTGCCTGCAGGACCACCGTCCGTCGTCAAAATAATGCGATGTTTAATATCTGTAGCACTCCGGGTGAATGCCATCCCAACGCTGGCTTTGTTGGTGGTTCACCACGGGTATTGTGAATGGATACAGACGGCCCTTTCCGTGCTGTCTGGGTGTGTACCGTGGGACTAGGAGCGTAGATAAGAACGGTTTGCTAAGGACGACAGATTTTCTATCAAAGCCACCATCATGATTCATTGACAGTGAAGTCTGACAACCTCACAGGCCTCGAGACGAGGGTGGCGGACAGATAACAATGTCTATATTGACTACCTATACCCGGTTCTATTAATCTTCTATTGTCAGACTAACACGTCTAGTCTGGTCGAGATGCCGCTTACTCAGGCGCCACAATACTTTGATTAATTCGCAGATTCGTCCTGGGTGCTTCTTTCACTCGGGGCAAATTAAATGACATATGCACAACCCGGTATTCGATGTGCTTTGTTACTAGAAAAATGCCATTGGCTAAGGGTTGAAGTACCGGTCAATGATGGCATTGCTAGTCCTCGGGGAGGAACTGCCGTCTGGATGGGGCTGGAATGATGTGGGATTCTGTTGGTTTCTAGAGGATCTCCCGTTTGGGTGTGAAGGTTCCTCGACTGTGTTTTATCAGTGATTAAAGACTGGGTGAAATTGCAGTTGCCAATTGCAACTGTCACTTGCAACTCTAAATCCTATCGTGCTAGGTCATACCTCCCTGGATGTTGCACATCTGTGAGTCTGCATCTCTATCTGTCTTGGCCTCAAGGGTGATCGTTTAAAGGTTGAACCTCTGTTGAACAATACACCCTAGTAGGAAATCAGGGGTCCCTATGCTAGAATAATCCTTGATTGCTCGTGCACGAGAGACCGAAATACCCCCGATATCCTCTTTTGAACTTCCCCCCTATCAACCCATCATACAATCGACATCAGAACAACAGCCCATCGGCATCTGCCTCCTCTACCATGCTCCACGGCACTAACAAACTATCGGTGAGAGACTAAATAGAATACCCCCTGGCTACAATATAATTCCACCGGGTTAAACCAACAAAATCACTACGGAACCGTAAAAAGTTAAGCTCCTTACTATCCTGCTATTCTTCGTAGCCATACCCATGCCCACTCACCTCCTCCAATCCCCGCCTAATCTAAATCCCAGTTTCTCGCCCGAGAACAACTCAAGCCTTTCTCCCTACCTACCTCCCTGCCTACCTACCCATCGGGCTTCCCACCAAGCTTCTAGATACACTAGGCAATAGGCATAGCATATCTACCAAAAACCCAAGCAGCCCCCTCCCCTTAATTAGATAGTTCGAAACCAAAAGCCCAGCCCCCCGCTCTACGCGAATCGCTACCCATCAAACCCTAATCTCCATAAGAACGGCGTCTACAAAGTTCCCTTAAGCCCAATACTAGTATCATAGACACCGAGGTAGGTATACGGAGTAGACACATAGACACATATGATATCGGTGACCACTGACCACTGACCACTGACCAGTATCTATCAATTGCATCTGTTGTTGGCACTCTGGTCGATCGTTGCCCGATTTGCGCGGCGAGCCAGGGACCAAAACCAACTAAAAAATGGTGGCCGACCGAAAAGCCGATTCGTGAACGGGACGGCGATGGTCGCCGTTCTTCGTTCTTGGATCTGCGAGCCTTGGCTCGGGCTTGACGGAGGACGGGGATGAGGGGACTCCGATGTCCGATGGCCTTCCTGTTCTATGTTCTGTTGCCATGTTGTTACTGTTTGGTTGAAGATGGAGATGGAGATTGGGGTTGAGGTTGATGGATGGGGAAGGAGGCGTGATTATGTGGGTTTTGGCTTTGGTTTTGGTTTTGTTTTTTCGGCTGACTACTACAAAGTAACTAACCAACTACTAGTTGAAGATACTGGGTTGTGGGGTGTTGTGTCACAATAGGCTTTTGTCGCTCTTTGTTTCTTTGTTTCTCTCTCTCTCTTTCTTTTTCCTTTTTTTTTTTTTTTTTTTTGTAACGAACTTCGATAGGTATAGAGAATAATTGTCTAAAAATTTCTGCTCTATATTATGATATATTACATTATATTGTGGGCAAAATAATTAAAAAGAATTGTCGTGAGGTAGAACCGGGTGATACCGTGACTTGAACTGGGAGAAATATATATCTGCGTAGTGTTTCTTTTCCTTCATAGGACATTCCTGTCAAGTGAACCACCAGATCGATCAAGGAATACTAAATATAATCAAGCAGAAGTAAAAAGAAGTACCTACAGTGAACACAAATTCTGAATTAGACTTATTTTTGGATACTATCTGATAGTATAACGGTGAATCGTGTCCAAGGTCGGATACGCCCAACTAGGAAATACACCCCCTCACTCAGTCACAATATTTGTGAGATTGCCATGCTGAACTCATCTGGGAGATTTTTCTCCATAGACTTTCATTTCTTGACTCGGATACTCGGATACACGGATGTAACCACATCTACTCAGTGGGCAGAGAATAAGAGAGAAAAAAAATAGCCACAGCTTAGAAAGAATATATATGCATCCAAACATGACTATCTATCAAACAACCCAGTCATAAATCATCAGATCGTACGCATCCAAAGCAACTTTTGATTTCCCGTAACCCCAAGTGTGATAGATCCTAGAAATAAGGGATGTTGAGAAGAGAAAAACAAGGGCGAATTGCTCATTTCTTCTTGCGAGCCGACCCAGACACAAGTTTTTTCTTCAAGTGCTTGGGCATCTTGTTGGCACGCTGCTCCCGCTTCTCCTCCTTGACCTTCTGCTTGTGGTCGCGCTTGGAGTCCTTGTCCTCGAACCGCTTGCCGCGAGGGGGTTTCGGCGCGAACGGATCGTGCTCCTCGGAGTCGGATCCGTCGACGGACACGCCGCCGCTGGCATCGGAGCCGGCGTCGCTCGCGTCATCGTCGGCCGGTGCGGGCTTCTTGCTCCCCGCAAGAAGGTCCCGGTAAACAAGGTCATCGCCCTTTCCGGCACGCACCTGCTCGGCGTCGCGCTCGAAATCGTACACCTGCTCCAGCGTCTGGGGGATGTACTGCTGACGGAAGACGGCGGCGTCGACGTCGGTTTGCTCGTCCTCGGCCTTCTCCCCACGCGTGGCGTAGAGGTGCTCGATTGCCTCGAGCATGGGCTCGGCCGGGGTGGCCATGGTCGGGCCTTCGCTGGAGATAACGAATTCGAAGATAGCCCGCTCGCTCAGAATGTCGACGTTCTTGCGGCGGAAGAAGTCGTTGACGTTCTTGATATCCATGCGCAGGAATTCCAGACTGCGCGGGTGCTCGTGTTCCACACTTTGACTGACATCGATGATGTGGAGCTTGTTCTTGTGGTAGAGCATGTTGTACTCACTCAGATCGGCGTGGACCAGGTGGCAGGTTTGATACATCACGCGCATGTAGCCGAGCAGCTCCAGGTAGATCTCGCGCCACTTGGCCTCCGGGTCGGGGACATCAAACTCGACGTCCTTCAGCCGGGGAGCGGCGACACCCTTCGAGCTTCCGACGAAGCCCATGACCAGGACGTGGAGACGCAGGTGAATGGGCTCGGGACACGGAATTCCGGCCGCGTAAAGTCTGCGCAAGTTGCGCATTTCCTTCTCCGCCCACAGCTTCACCATGGCGCGGTTGTTGCTCTTGCTGTATCCCTGTCGGAATCGGAACTCGCCGGTCACGTACTTGTCACGGTCCTTGAACACCAGGATGCTGGTCTTGTAGACCTTGATGGCACGGTGCAGCGGGGTGTCTTCGCCGTCCGGGTACGAGATGGAGTAGTAGACGTTGGCTTCCTTACCAGTGGATAGACATCCGTGAATCTCGGAGACAATCTCGCGGTTGATCATCTGCAGCAGGATCATTCGTGTGCGGGGATCCAGGACCTGCTCGGAGGTCGCCCTGTCGGCACGGTCACCGCCACGGTCACCACGCGCTGCCAGTCCCGATTGTGTGTCATCAAGGCGAATCTTGCCGGCGTGTTTCGTCAAAGACTTAATCTGATCGTCGACCGAGGCATGTGTGTTCACGGTGGGCTTCTGCACGTTTGTCTTGGGGAGCGTCCATTTGGGGGCGTTGGGGTCCGCAGCGACCTCGTTCGTTTTGCGCTGGCGGTTGTACGCTTTTGTGAGGTCGGCGGGGTTGGAGGAGCTGAAGTCTTCCTCATCAAGGTCCTCTTCGAAGATATCGTCGTAGTAGTCGTCCCCCTCCTCTTCTTCGTTTTCCTGTGCGGCAGAGTCTTGCCCCGCCATGGCGGGGAGAGAGCCATCTTCCTTCACATATCCCTGATTCGGGATGTACGTGTGCGACGGATCCATACCATCGGCCAGACCCGATGCCTGCGCATCCGAATTTGAAGCAGCCATGGCCAAAGTGAAGGATTCGGACTGAGGGGTTGAGGAAGCAGCGAGTGGAGGACTGAAAAAAAAGGCGGGTACCTTGGGCGGCCCAGAGCCGGGGCTGACCGCCCGGCAGAACCCCGCCGGGCGGAACGCGCGCGAGACGAAAGAACTACGCGTGCCTCGAGGTCTCCGTCGCATGTCCGCTCGTCCTCCAGATCAGCTTCACCCCCCCCCCCCCCTGATTCTCATCTTCGGCGCCTCCTCCATCCCTCGCCGACTGATAACCCCCTCCGCCAGGGCGTAGGCTCCTGTTATCTCCCAGCCCTGGGCGCGTGATGACTGGGTTGTTGTGACTGCCCTCTGCCCTCATTCGTGTCGCGCGTACCTCGTCAAGATGTACGTCAAACAGATTATCATCCAAGGCTTTAAAAGGTGCGTTACGCTGGTCGCGGACTGTGTTGGGAGACTGTGCCGGACGTGTGTCGGCTAACGGGAACCGCTTTTAGCTACAAGGACCAAACGGTCATCGAACCTTTCTCTCCCAAACACAATGTGATCGTGGGTCGCAATGGTTCCGGGAAGAGTAACTTCTTCGCGGCCATTCGCTTCGTCCTTAGTGATGCCTACACTCACCTGGGTCGAGAGGAGCGTCAGGCTCTTCTTCACGTGCGTCTTCTGCGAACAGGCTCCCCGCTTAGACTGACAACATGACAGGAAGGTTCCGGGTCGGCGGTGATGTCGGCTTACGTGGAGATCATTTTCGACAACTCGGACGATCGGTTCCCCACGGGAAAGCCGGAAGTCGTCCTCCGCCGGACCATCGGGTTGAAGAAAGACGAATACACGCTTGACCGCAAGAACGCTACCAAGTCCGATGTTATGAACCTCCTCGAATCCGCCGGCTTTTCCCGCTCGAATCCCTACTACATTGTCCCGCAAGGTCGAGTGACGGCGTTGACCAACATGAAGGACTCCGAACGGCTCATCTTGCTGAAGGAAGTCGCGGGAACCCAGGTGTATGAGGCCCGCCGCGCGGAATCCCTGAAGATCATGCACGAAACGAACAACAAGCGAGGCAAGATTGACGAGCTACTGGATTTCATCAACGAGCGTCTTGCAGAACTCGAGGAAGAAAAGGACGAACTGCGGAGCTACCAGGACAAGGACAAGGAGCGCCGGTGCCTGGAATATACGATCTACTCCCGCGAACAGCATGAAATCTCCAGCTTCCTGGATAGCCTTGAAGAGCAGAGACAGACCGGTGTTGAGGATACGGATCTTAACCGGGACCGCTTCATCCAGGGCGAGAAAGAGATGGCCCAGATCGATGCCGAAATCGCGGAATGCAAGCAGCAGATCGAATTCTTGAAGGTTGACAAAGCCCAGCTAGAGGACGAGCGTCGCGAAGCCTCAAAGTCCCTAGCACAGGTTGAGCTGCAAGCCAAATCGCTATCGGACAACCAATCCGCCGCCCATGCTCAGAAGATCCGCCGAGACGAAGACCTGAAGGCTGTCCAGGACGCGATTCAGGAGCGCGAGACAGAGCTGGAAGAGCTTATGCCTCGGTTCAACGCGGCCAAAGACCAGGAAGATGCAGTCAAAGCGCAACTCACCGAGGCGGAAACTGCACGCCAACGACTGTATGCCAAGCAGGGTCGCAACTCCCGCTTCAGGAACAAGAGTGAGCGCGACAAGTGGCTACAGGCTGAAATTAAGGACAACTACACGTCCATATCCACCGTGCAAGGTGTGATGGCACAGACTCAAGAGGATATTCGGGAGTTTGAAAACGACATCGCTGTGTTGGAGCCGGAGATTGAACGTCTGCGCTTGCAGATCGATGGCAGAGGTGATACCATCCAGTCTGTCGAGCAGCAGGTTCAAGCTGCGAAAGATGAGAGAGATCGGCTCATGGACCAGAGAAAGTAAGTCTCCTTTCTTATTCATAGCTCAGTTGATTCTTGGCGGCTTCATACTGACTACTTTCAGGGAGCTCTGGAGAGAAGAGGCCAAGCTGGATTCAATCCTGTCGAATGCTTCGAACGAAGTAGAGCGGGCAGAGCGCAACCTGTCCCATATGATGGACCACAACACGAGTCGGGGAATTGCAGCTGTCCGGAGAATCAAGCGTCAGTATAACCTCGAGGGGGTGTATGGTACTCTATCCGAACTGTTCGAGGTCAGCGACAGATACCGCACATCCGTCGAAGTCACCGCAGGTCAGAGTTTGTTCCACTATGTCGTCGATACCGACGAGACCGCGACGAAGGTTCTGGAGATCCTCCAACAGGAGAAAGCAGGCCGAGTCACATTCATGCCGTTGAACCGACTGCGATCTAAGCCGATTAACATGCCCCGAGCGAGCGACACGATCCCCATGATCGAGAAGCTTCAGTACGACCGCAAATACGAAAAGGCCTTCATGCACGTGTTTGGCAAGACCATTATCTGCCCCAACCTGCAGGTCGCTTCGCAGTATGCCCGGAGCCACGGTGTCAACGCAATCACACCGGAGGGTGATCGTTCGGACAAGAGGGGTGCCCTTACCGGTGGTTTTCACGACTCGCGACAGTCCCGCCTCGATGCAGTGAAAAACCTGTCGAAGTGGAGGGATGAGTTTGAGACAAAAAAGAGCCGTGGGGTGGAGATCAGGAAAGAGCTGGAAACCTTGGATCAACTCATCACCAAATCAGTCGGTGAGCTACAGAAGTTGGAGCAACAGAGACACCAGGTGCAGAACAGCAGCGGGCCCATGCGACAAGAGCTGCGGGCCAAGCGCGACCTCCTCCAAAAGAAGATCGACGGCCTAGACGCTAAGAGGCGCGCAATCCGCAACATCGAAAGCAATCTCGCCGCGTTGACTGATCAAGTGAAGGCATTTGAGGCGGAACTGTCCTCGGCGTTCCAGAAGGCGCTCAGCAACGAGGAAGAAACACGCTTAGACACCCTCAACAACACGGCCCAAGACCTCCGTCGGCAGTACCAGGAGCTTTCTAGCCAACGCAGTGAGCTCGAGGCACGAAAGTCGATCCTCGAGGTCGAACTGCGGGAGAACCTCAACCCGCGCCTTGACCAGCTTGTCGGGCAGGACATTGACATGGCGGAGGACGACAGCCAAGGCAACCTCAAGGAGACGCAACGTGAAATGAAGCGCCTCAACAAGGCCCTGGACAAGCTTGGCCAGCGTCTCCAACAGGTTGACGACTCCATCGACCAAGCGAACGGTCGTGTGGGCGAGCTCCAACAGAGGAACGCCGAAACCCGACGGGAGATGGAAGAACTGGCGAAGTCGATCGAGAAGCACCAGCGTCGCATGGAGAAGAGCATGCAGAAGAAGGCCGCATTGAGCAAGCAAGCCGGTGAATGTGCCGCCAACATCCGAGACCTGGGAGTCCTTCCCGACGAGGCGTTCACCAAGTACAAAAACACGGAAACGAACGCCGTGGTCAAGAAGCTCCACAAAGTCAACGAGGGCCTGAAGAAGTACTCCCACGTCAACAAGAAGGCGTTCGAGCAGTACAACAGTTTCACCAAGCAGCGCGAGGCGCTGACGAGCCGGCGAAGCGAACTCGAAGCCTCGGAGAAGTCGATTGAGGATCTCATCAACGTTCTCGATCAACGCAAGGACGAGGCTATCGAGCGAACCTTCAAGCAGGTGTCTCGCGAGTTCCACAACGTCTTCGAAAAGCTCGTCCCCGCTGGCCGTGGACGCCTGATCATCCAGCGGAAGACCGACCACGCCGCGCGGCAGGCGGATGACCTCGAGTCCGAGGACGAGGAGGCGCGGCAAAGCGTCGAGAACTACATCGGCGTCGGAATCAGCGTCAGCTTCAACAGCAAACATGACGACCAGCAGCGTATCCAGCAACTCAGTGGTGGACAAAAGAGTGAGTTTATTCATGATCCATTTGGCAATATTCATGCTAATCAACCATATCAGGTCTCTGCGCCCTTGCCCTGGTCTTTGCCATCCAGGCGTGTGACCCGGCGCCCTTCTACCTGTTCGACGAGATCGACGCCAACCTCGACGCGCAATACCGTACCGCAGTGGCGCAGATGCTGAAGTCGATCTCGGACTCGACCAACGGCCAATTCATCTGCACAACCTTCCGGCCGGAGATGCTGCACGTGGCTGAGAAATGCTACGGAGTCAGTTTCCGGCAGAAGGCCAGTACGATCGACGTGGTGTCGCGGGAAGAGGCGCTGAAGTTTGTGGAAGAGCAGAAGTCGTGATGTTCCTCCTGGGTAATGATACGAACGGGTGCAGGCGTATTTGATGGTCATGTTTTCTTCTTTTTTTTTTTATTCCGACTTGCCTTCTGATGTTGAATGTATGGTGCGTTGCCTGGGAAGCTTTTTCTGAGGCGTGGCTGTTTCTGTTCTCTGTACCCTAACGATCGGTCCGGCCGGTCTGGTCGGTGCAATGTTCGAGATTCCCAATCTTAAGTTTGATGATTCTACTTTACTTACTACTACTCACTTACTCTTTACTCATTTCTCACTCACTCCTTGCTCACTTCTTATTTACTCCTCACTCTAACTCTCTTCTATGTAGTATCCTTGCCTATCTGTAGGACTTCCCCCCTCCCCTTACACCCCCAAAAGACTCGATCAATCAGTGCCTCGGCGGCCCCTCCCCCGTCCACTCCCACAACAACTCCTCCGGCACATCCCTAACCAAAACATGAACGTGCTCCAAACTCCTCACACTCTGCAGCGCCGTCCAATTCTTAAACCAGAGCACGCGATCCCCCGCATCCCCATCCCCATCCGCATCAGCAATCCGCGCCACAAATGTCCGCTGCACAAACCCCTCAATCAACGCCCTCGACTCATCCGTCACATCCCCGTTCTCCTCCTTCACCGCCACAGGCGTCCGCAGCCACACGACCAGGTGCGTGATGCCGGGACTCATCCCGTACGGCCAGTCGTTGCGCAGGATCTTGTAGTCGGATGGGTCGGCGAAGGGGGTGGGATTTTTGAAGGGGGTGGGGAGGGGCCATCCTAGGCGCTGTTTACAGATGTAGTTGGTTATTGTGCCATACTTTAGTTTGGTTTCTTTGGACCATGCGAGGTAGCGGAGGAGGTCGGACGGTTTGCGTTTTAGGATCCCGAGGTCGTTGCGGGCTGGTTGGTGGGGGGGAGTGTTAGATTATGGTTGTGGTTGTGGTTGTGGTTGTGGTTGTGGGGGAGAGGAGGGGGTGGATATGGATGGGAGGGGTGTGAGGGGGATGGAATGCGGAACGGACGGGAAGTAGATGGATATCGGGTAGAGATGGAGCGGGAGATGGAGATGAAGATCAGGATGGGATGGATGGCAGGAATGGAAGCGCGGGTGAGTGAAGTGGGGAGATGGAGATGAGGGGTAAGTTGGAGAGAAAGACCGAGGTATGGAATGGTTCACATTTTTGGGGCTCAGGGGATGGGGGGAGTAAAATGGTAGGAACAGGCACAGGAACAGGGCCGGAGACAGAGACAGGGCCAGGAACCTACCGATGATGGACTTGAGGTCCTCCCAGTCATGCAGAATGAACTCCTCGTCGGTCTGCGCGAGGACCTGACGGTCGACCTCGGTCAGGTTGAAGGCGGGCGGTTCTTCCTCGGGCCTCATGGCTGGTAAAGGGTGGGATCTCGGGATTCTTGCTCGAGATGGGGAAAGTTTTCGAGGGAGATAGCCGTTGAGGGCCTAGTCTAGTCTAGGCAGAAGAGGAGGAGGAGGAGGAGGAGGAGGAGGAGGAGGAGGAGGAACAGAAGCAGGACTCGGGCTGAGAGCGGAAATGTTTACCCCAGGAAAGCAGATCCCCAACGGGGCTGGATTCCGCGCGGGTGTGTTGGCATCAATCCTCTAGAGCGGAATCCACCCTTATCTTGAAACGCTCTCTACCATACATCTATTTCAACATTGACTCATTACGTGGGAGACCTAATCCACTACAAATACTGTGCCTTGGTCACTCACTCAACTTATGATGAGTGTTGACAGGACCCTACAGTGCACCTGCATACTACCCAATTAGGGCTAGTGTCAGACAATACAGTACAGACAGTGTGATCATCAGTTGACACCCCTTTGACTTCTGCAACATTTCCTCTTCCAAATACCGTTTAGCGCCTGGAAAGTATAACTGAATTCGGTAAGAAATCATGATCTAGCAACACCTTATCCTCGTGATCTGATATTATTCTGACCTGTCAAGATTAACACTACCTGGATCAGCGGGCACTAACCCCCATTAGGATAGCGGGAGAGTCCCATTATTCAGTCGGACTGTGTGGACTGTGAGTGTGGATAGGGTCCCCTGAACCGACCGATCAGTCGACACCCCGTGACCGGCGGCCGAAAGTGCCGACCCTCGCGTCCTCAACACTCATCACTCAACTTATTCTTACCTTCGTCTTCCTTCTCTGTTACCTCTCCCATCCCCCTCCTCTCACCATGAGGTATGTTACTGTTTCCTCTTCCTCTCCATGTCATTGATAAGTTAAGTAAGCTAATTGGTCACAATGTTAGTGCTTTCTCCTCTGAGAACATCAGCGGGGCCTACGTGCCCTCCGCCCTCTTTGTCGCCGGTACCTACTTCTTCAAGAAGGAGTTGACTCCCTTCGCCTTCGCTCTGGCCGCCATTCTGATCAGCTACAAGCTTTTCAGCAACAGTACGTATCCCCCCCCCCCCCCCCCCCCACCAGCGGATGGTCCTCAGTCCGCGACATAGCGCCAGCATGCCCGTCAATACTCGGTCGTATGACAGCTCCGAGACTGACCGCTCAACCTTCAGAGACCAGAAAGGTACTCAACCCCGGCGAGTTTCAGGACTTTACCCTGCAGAAGAAGACCGACATCTCCCACAATGTGACCGTCTACCGCTTTGCTCTGCCCCGTCCCACCGATATCCTCGGTCTGCCCATCGGTCAGCACATCTCTCTCGCCGCCACCATTGAGGGCCAACCTAAGGAGGTTGTGCGCTCCTACACCCCCATCTCCTCCGACAACGAGGCCGGCTACTTCGACCTGCTCGTCAAGGCCTACCCCCAGGGTAACATCTCCAAGTACTTGACCACCCTGCAGGTTGGCCAGACCATGAAGGTCCGTGGCCCCAAGGGTGCCATGGTTTACACCCCCAACCTGTGCCGTCACATCGGCATGATTGCCGGTGGTACCGGTATCACTCCCATGCTCCAGATCATCAAGGCCATTGTCCGCAACCGCCCCCGCAACGGCGGCAACGATACCACTCAGGTTGACCTGATCTTCGCCAACGTGAACCCCGATGACATCCTGCTTAAGGACGAACTGGAGCAGCTGGCCCAGGAGGACGATGGATTCCGCATCTACTACGTGCTCAACAACCCTCCCGAGGGCTGGACCGGTGGTGTCGGCTTCGTGACCCCGGATATGATCAAGGTATGTCTTGATTTTAAAGTTGCTTCATCCCCCGCTAATCACTCCCAGGAACACCTCCCCGCCCCTGCCAGCGACATCAAGGTTCTGCTCTGCGGCCCCCCTCCCATGGTCAGCGCGATGAAGAAGGCCACCGAGTCTCTCGGATACACCAAGGCCCGCCCCGTCAGCAAGCTCGAGGACCAGATCTTCTGCTTTTAAACAACTTCTTCGGTGAATTGGGGGTGAGACGGAGGTGGCATAGACTGCGCCTGTGTCAGGATCGGGGTAATTGATAGATTGTCGATAGAATGCCCACGGCAGGCCCAGTTGGTCACTGAGGCGTGATGTACGGTATCATGAGTTAATGCGAAAAGACCAGACCTTCAGGAGGATACATGCAAACAGACGCCAGATGTACAGCAGCGCATATCAATCGATTAACGCGCAGCGCGCGGGTTCGACACTACTATTACTAGATATTCATCCATGCATTAATTACGTCCATCAAGCACTTCCGCCATCGACTCCACCATTGCTAGGAATTTCTCCCGGTACTCGTCTGCGGTCGTCGTAATCGTCATGGGCCCCTGTCTCCCAATGGCATTGAAGGTTTGCACGACTCCCGTCATAGCCTGCGCATGAAGTTTATGTCTCGCCCAGAAGAAATCCAGCACCACGGCGCGATACTTCCAGCGGCCATCCGCCGACGTCACCCCAACGCGCCACGGGATCTTCCTCCCCACCACATCCGGGGCAGAGTCCGCCGGGAACCGCACCAGGAAGAGAGAGTAATCCACGGCGTTGGACGCCTGCAAAAGCCCCGTATCTTCCTCGAGCACCCGCTTCAACGCCGCATACTCCCCCGCCGTCAGTCGGATCTTATCGTCGAATTGGCCTCCGACTTTCCGCAACGTATCCTCACTGACCAACGGCTCCGGCACCAGATCTCGCTCCGGGTAGAAATAATCGACCGGCTTCAGGTCGTACGTCTCCCATTTATCTGCGGCCGGATCCTCATCCTTCCCGTACAGCACGTTGTCCATGATGATGTGATGGGCTGGGGTGCTGCCTACGAGACTCCCGATCGTGGCGTACGGCGCGTACAGGTAGTCGGTGATCCATACGAGCAGGGAAGAAGGATGGGCGGTCATGTACTCGTAGTAGGGCTCGAGGAGGTCGTCGCGGAAGAAGGAATGCTCGAAGTGTCGTGGGAGGCTCTTGACGAGGAACTTGCCGTTGGAGGTGGTGAAGAATGTCTGGTATATTTCCATCAGGACCGTCAACCCCACAATCCGTCAATAGAGGAGAGGAAGGAAGGGAAATAAGAGGAAGAGATTAGAGAAAAGTGAGATGAAAAGCAAAGAAAGCGAGAGCCCTACTGATCCAGACATCCCCAGATCGCCTATCAACTTCAACGGGACCGTCTTGTTCTCATTCCGAAAACTGGCCTTGTACTCGGCCTCATCGATCTCCCAGACTCCATCACGCAGTGTCTGGAATAGGGTGCTTCGGTAGCGGAAGAGCTTGATGTAGAAGAGGGTAAAGAAGGCGAGGATCCGGCCGATAAGGGTCTTGCGGAAGGTGGCGGGGTCGCGGAAGAGGGCGAGCTGGATGGATTTGGAGAGGGCCGTCTGGCGACGGGGACCCATTGTTAGGGGGAGGTGTATTCGATGTACATGGTAGGTAATCGTCAGGTTGTTGGAGGGGTGGTTCTGGGGATGGTTCGAGGAGTGACGTCAGGGATGTCAGGGATGTCTGGGATGTCAGGACGGAGAGAGTCACATGACTGGAGATAGGGTTGCGGATCAGGGCTGAGGAGGTCAGGTGGGTGGTGTGGCCCGTGACACACCGCCCGGGCAGTATTGGGGGTGCCCGATTGAGTCACAGGCCAGCAGAAAGAGAGAGAAAAAAAAAAAAGGTTCGCCTCGCAGCCTTCTTCGGATCTTCCCCTCCATTGATGGGTCGTGTGCTGAGACTAAGCGGGGCTCGGCCATTTTGCAACGCCATTTTCCAGACCCTCCAGCCATCTCGTCTACCACCGACTCGCTTTCCTTGCCTCCGCGGTGTCGTCTCTCCCCCCCCTTCAATTATTCTCCGGCGTTCGTCGTTTTCCACCACCAACATCACCAAGACCGCCGCTGCTGCCGCCATGACGTCCGCCGCCGACCTCGCTGTCTCCGTTGAGGGGCTCACCCTTCACTCCACCTCCGAGACCTCCAAGTTCCCCAACTGCTACCCCTCCCTCAACCCCGTCGACATCTACCGCGAGCACATCGCTGAGAAGCTGGGCGAGGCCACCGGCATCGACGCCGAGAAGATCTTCACCCGCCTGGCATGGACGAATTCGCTGGACAAGGGTGACTTGTTGTTGCCGGTACGCGATCAGTACCCGCCGGACTGGCTTTTATATCGCATCGCGAGTGACTAACGGACACGGTTCGTGTAGGTCCCCTCGCTGCAGATCAAGAAGAACCCCCAGGAGCTGTGCAAGGAGCTCGCTGAGAAGTTCCCCGAGTCCGACCTCGTCCTCCCCCCCGTTCCCTTCGGCGTCCACCTGCAGTTCTTCTTCAAGCCCGAGCCCCTCACCTCCACCGTTGTCCGCCGCATCCTGAAGGAGAAGTCCACCTTCGGTACCAACGGTAACCAGGGTCTGCGCGATCCTGCCGACGCCTCCAAGGGTCGCAAGAAGATCATCGTCGAGTTCTCCTCCCCCAACATCGCCAAGCCCTTCCATGCCGGTCATCTGCGCAGTACCATCATTGGAGGTTTCCTGGCCAACCTGTACACCGTCATGGGATGGGACGTCGTCAAGATGAACTACCTCGGTGACTGGGGTAAGCAGTACGGTCTGCTGGCCAACGGCTTCAAGATGTTCGGTGACGAGGAGGCCCTCACCAAGGACCCCATCAACCACCTGTTCGACGTCTACGTCAAGATCAATGGCATTGTCAGCCAGCAGGAGGGCCCCATCAAGGAGCTCAAGGAGCAGATCAAGGCCAAGAAGGAGAAGGGCGAGGACGTTGCGGAGCAGGAGCAGGAGCTCGCCAAGCTCGTCGATGCCAGCGAGGACGAGAGCGCCCGTCGCTACTTCAAGAGCATGGAGGACGGCAGCCAGGACGCCCTTGCGCTGTGGCGCCGGTTCCGTGATCTCAGTATCCAGAAGTACAGACAGACCTACGCCCGTCTGAACATCGACTTCGACGTCTACTCTGGCGAGTCTCAGATCAAGCAGGAGAGCATGAGCAACGCCTACCAGATGATGGAGAAGGCCGGTGTGTCCGAGAAGTCCGAGGGTGCCGTCATCGTCGACTTTACCAAGCATGGCGCCAAGAAGCTCGGCAAGGCCATCATTGTCCGCAAGGACGGTACTCCCCTGTACCTGACCCGTGATATCGGTGCCATCATGGAGCGTGACGAGACCTACAAGTTCGACAAGATGATCTACGTCGTGGCCATGCAGCAGGATCTCCACCTGGCCCAGCTCTTCAAGATCACCGAGCTCATGGGCCTGAAGGACCTGGCCGGCCGCTGCCAGCACGTCAACTTCGGCATGGTCCGCGGTATGAGCACCCGTAAGGGAACCGTCAAGTTCCTGGATGACATCCTCCGCGATGTGCGCGACAAGATGCACGAGGTCATGAAGAAGAACAACGAGAAGTACGAGCAGGTCGCGGATCCCGAGGGCACCGCCGACATCCTGGGTATGTCCTCCGTCATGGTGCAGGACATGACTGGCAAGCGGTAAGCCTCCCCCTCTTCCATACATCCAAAGTCACCAACTAACAACCGCAGTATCAACGGCTACGATTTCAACCTGGACGCCATGACCTCCTTCGAGGGCGACACCGGTCCGTACCTGCAGTACGCCCACGCCCGTCTCTGCTCCATCGTGCGCAAGTCCGGCCTGAACGTCGAGGAGCTCGACTCCGCCAACCTCGACCTGCTGACCGAGACGCACGCCGCCGACCTCGCGCGTATGCTCGCCCAGTGGCCCGACGTCCTGCTCAACACCACCAAGACCCTCGAGCCCACCACCATCCTCACCTACCTGTTCCGCATGACCCACGTCCTCAGCTCCAGCTACGACGTCCTGAAGGTCGTCGGCAGCGAGCCCGAGCTCAAAAAGGCCCGTATGGCCCTGTACGAGTCCGCCCGCCAGGTCCTGCACAACGGTATGCGTGTGTTGGGTCTTAGCCCTGTGGCCCGGTATGTTTTCCCTTCCTCTTTCTTTCTTCCTTCCTTCAATCAACATCAATCTGTGATGAATCTTTGATTTAATTCTTATGAACCACACTAACCCTTTCTTCCTCTATAGCATGTAAATAAAAAGCGAAGACACGAAAATTTTTGTTATAGTTTTTTTTATAGGAATACCAAGCATTGTTTCAGCTTCGGCATCAGCCTTTGTATACTCCTATCCTCTTTCCCCCCCCCTCATTTCTGGTATAGTGTAGTATAGTATACTGTTAAATTCGCTGGATTGCTTTGAACATTTCCTTTGAGAAATGGGAATGGCCGATCCTTGATTATATCCCACCGCTGTCTTTCTTCAACACCCAGTTCCTAAATCGGCCTAGCACGATGACAGTCTAACCCTGTTCAGGTAAATAATGTGTCGTCCAATGACTCCGTCAGAAAACTGTGAGTTTTTGGTATACCGATCGGTGATTCTATGCGTGTATCGAGATTGAACTTGCCTAGACGGATAGGTAAATGTACTTACTGTGTGTAGGCAGGTACAGATCGGGTTGAACTCGCTACGTGTGGGCAGTTGGTAGTTGGTAGTTTAACTTCATTCTACAAGCAGGTTGACTTGAACATCGGTAGGAGCAGGTTTGGCTGCGTAGTCACCTAGGTAGGCAGGCACCCAGGCACCCAGGCAGCCCTACAAGGTGTGGAAGCAACTGGATCGTGTTACAGGATGTACTATATCCTCTCCTTCAGGAAAAAGGGTTTCGGCACAAGGAATGAGAGTGACCCTCTGTACTCACTCAGATAGGAAGTTAGCTATTCATTTTGCTGGGGTTGAGTTGTAAGATAGTATACTCCGTACCGCCGTGCTAATTTGTCAGATACTCCACCAATGAAATAATGGGGTATGGGAACAGGTATGCTGGGACTGTTGTCCGTCGTAGGTTAGTAATATGAGGGAGAGAGGGAGGACTGGTCGGTAGACTTGATAAGTAAAGAAATCGAGAATGTCGATACAGGAGAGCACTCGATTGAGGTGGATGGGAACAGAGGAGGTCAGGAGAGGCAACACAACAATGTGCGATCGATCACCATACGCAGATTACTATCTCATGACAAGACACCGAAGAAGAATCCAATTGATTCAGTACAGACCATCAGAGCTCTCTTTGATCCTCATAACAACCCAGTACTACCCGTCACCTACGACCAGAATGCGCGCCACCACCTACATCGGACCGATAATCGAGTATGTGTGTGACGGAGCATCCGGCGTCAGGCACGAGTAGATATGGATATGATCGGACAGGATAACCTGCAGTGTGAGTTCATCATCTGGGTCATGGATGGAGCCAAGAGGTGTAAGAGAAACTATAAACTGTATGCAACAAAAAAAACTACGTAGCCTCGCCGGTGACATCTTGGGTGGCCTCTCTGCTCCTCGCCTTAAGGCGGTTCAGAGCCTGCTGGACGAGCGATTTGTGCAATTCGGGTATGACCTCGCCTTCATCGACGTGGTCCGGAGCTTGAGGCTCTGGTTCAGCAGTCGGTACGTCTTCCGCTTGGCCTTGAGCGGCACCCTTGAGAGTACCGCCGGATATACGCCGGAATTCTATACGCATGGGCTCGCGGCCAATGCCCGGCCAGATGTCTGACGGTAGATAGTCCCCTTGCTCGACTCGGAAGGTCTCGCGCGCGTTGACATCTTCTTCATACAGCTGGTCCAGTTTGTGTTTAGTGTCGCGGAGTACCTTCTCCACGCGCTGTCGGACGTGCCGGCGACGGGCCACCTCCAGAATTAGGCCGTCGTAGGCCTCCAAGAACCCGTCGTACAGTGAGTTGAGATCGGACAGATCCGCTAACCCGGCGTTGATACGGTCATGTTCTTCGTTCCATACGCGGGTGAAGTTGTGTGCCTGGGCAATGTAACTTGGTAAGCGCGCCGTGGCAAGAGATGAAAGGTGTTTGAATACACCAGTTGTGGCATTGTGGACAGATAGAAGCATGTCCCGCTGGGAGAGGACGTTCTCCAGGACTGACTCCATCTCGCCAATACGATCCTGGATCTCCATGACCACATCTTCTGCTTCTGCTGCATCCTTGATCAGCACATTGACCATTTCCTGGTAGTCCGATTCGCTCAGAGGGTCTAGCGGAGCATTCAGATTGGCATTGATGCCTTCTTCGATGTTGGGTACGCCACGACCACTGACCGCTACCGCAGCCGGCATGTCACCCGTAATGGATTGTGCCGCGGCACCACCGCCCTCAGTGTGCTTAACAGCCGTGACACACAGGTCAAAGTGGCGGACCAACGACTCCAGCAGATTGGCCATCTCCTGTGCGTGCATCTCCAAGGCATGGAGCATGGATGGCATCGATGACAGGGAAGGCAGGCTGGAGTTAGATGCGGAGGAGGATGAGGAGGTAGAGGTCCGAGAGGAGGCAAGCTTGGTGGCTTCCCGGTAGCTGCCTAAGGCTTGCTTGATGGACTGGAGCTCGTCGTCGAAGGCATAATTGGAGGAGTCCAGCTCCGCCTGTGCGCCATTGGTGCGATCAATCGAGCTTTTCAAAGCGGTATGAAGTTCCTCGACCCCGCGCTCATCGACAAAATCGTGTAAGCTCCGGGGCTCTTCCCCGTCCGGACGGAAGGAAGCATGTACAATGGTCTCGCGCAGCAAGTCCAGTGTTTTCCGGAGACGGGCGTCGGCCGTGTCGAGGCCTTTGAGCACACCCGCGAACTCCGAGCGACCTCGGAGGGAGACCTCCTCCACCTCCGATCTGACATTATAGAGGAGCCGTAGCTGATTATTGAGTCCTCGTCGCAAAAAGCCCGTGCGTGCGGACACGACGACGCTTTCCTCCAGCGCGGAGCGGGCGGACGTGACGATCTCATTGGCACGCCACACGTGATTGATGGATGACAAAGACCGTTTCGCAGCTACCAGGTGGGATATGAGGGCCTCCAGCTGAGGCAGCGAGCTTCCTGGGTCTCCGGCCGGCTCGCCCGCCGAGGCTTCACTGGAGACCGACGAGGATCCAGACTCTGACATCTTCGACAAGGTTTGTTCGAGGTCGCGGATCGCAAATTATGGGAGACAGGGGAAGTTGGCGTGATTGTTGGATGGAATGGCTCGTGGTGGTGGGAAGGAGCCCAATGGGATGGGGAGGGCCGATAGGAAATCCACGGGCGAGGAGAAGGAATAGTGGTGATGTCGTGAGAAGTCACGAGAATAGTGCGGAATCACCTCATAAGATAGGCGTAATTGTCCAACCGGGGAAGCCTTGGTGTGTGTTTCGGTGTTCCATCAATTCCGCAGGTCCAGGTCGGATCGACGCGGGCATGCTAAAAAGGGATCTGGCGGTGTGTTGGTTCAGTGGACTGGTCAGCACGGGCTGGCCATGTACTTCGTGAAGGTGCACGTCCAAGACGTCTGACCGCCTGCAGAGAGGCCGGAAATATGCAGAGGCAGCAGGGAGGGAGAGGATTGTCGAGCCGGCCTGAGTGGGTGAGGTGATACCCAACGGGGAGTGAATCGGGGCGTCGAGGGAGTGGGGGCGTGTCAGCCCGCGTTTGAGGGTCGCAAGGAGATGACGGACAGGTATGTACCTGTACCTGACTACCTGGAAGGACGGACGGAAGAACGACGGAAGAACAATGATTCGAGACTGGACCAAGAAGGGAGGCAGCTGGAAGAAGGATGGAAGAGAGGAACGAGCTAGACAGGGAAGATCGTGTTAGTGTCAACGGAGGTTCGCGGTCGCCTTCGGACCCCGGACTGGCTGGCCGACGGGGGGGGGGAGCAGGCTGGATTGAGCCTTCGCTAGCCGGCAATCCTCGAGTGCTAGTCTCGAGTACCTGAGTCTGGCTGAGGGTGGCAGTCTGGAGAGGAGGAGTCAAGCTGGGGGATCCGCAACCGGACTAGGCGATGGCGACAGATGGCATCAACAGCACCCACCCGTTCTCTGCCCCGGAAAACGAGGGAAAAGAGTGGGAAGGAGTGGGTTTCGCGGCGATGTCGTGCTGAGCAAAAGCCCGCCGCCGATGGCGCCATCACCGCACGTGATTGGCGGTCGCCTCGGCCGTTGGCGTGATCGCTTTGTTGCTTGTCTTCGATTCTATCGTCGACTTTATTTAATCTAATTTAATTTCCTGCTGCTGCTACCTTATCTGCTCCTTTACCTTTGGTCAAATAATATATCTCCTCATCCTTCTCCTCGCCTGGTTTGACTGTTTGGCTGGTCCAGCATCAAGTCCTGTCGATCTGCCCGCAGTAAACTGACTCCGACTCCGCCTTCCCCCCCCGTCTCCTCTCTATTCTATCATCCTGCCGCCTCTCCTCCTCCCCTCAAAGGTCCTCGCCAGTTACTTGACTTGGACTTTCGCTACCTTGTCTCCTCTCCACTCAATAAATCCAGAGATATCAGGGCATTCATCGGAAGCGATCTATCACACATCCTCGCCCGTTGCGCGACCAGCCTCTGTTCCATAACCGAGCTGTGCGCTACCGTTCCAGCAGCGCGACTGCTGTTGTGTGGAAATTTGACAGCGCGATGCAAGCCACCAAAGTTCACAACGAGATGACCCTCCCCGCGCAGTCCTCATTCACCTCGATCTTTGGAGGCCACTCGGAGCGCGTGGAGGAGATTGACGATACACACCCGGACCATGACCACCACCATGAACTCCACAGCCGCAGCAGCGTTACCGCAGCCTCGGGCAGTCTCAGCGTCGCCCCCTTCCTCGCCAAACACGTCCCCGAACAATACGCGCCCCTGGGCTCGCAGAACAAAGCCCCCGCCGATTTGATCCGCGCCAACTCCAGATATTGCTATCGCCATCGCCCAGACCGTAAGTGTCGACGGCAGGCGGACGAACCCACAATGGACAAGTTGCAGCGGGTAGGTCGAGATTCCTGCGAGAGCCGCGCAAGCCTTGAGCTAACGGGTCACGACCAGGAATTGGAAACGCTCCCACAGAGCGACCAGCAGGGTATTGCGCATGTCTGGTCCCTCTTCTCCGCCGCCCCCGCGAAGCACCGAAAACTCATCCTTCAGGGCATCATGGCCCAGTGCTGCTTTCCCCAGCTCTCCTTCATCTCCGCCACCGTGCGAGAACTCATTCGGATCGACTTCGTCGCCGCCCTCCCGCCGGAGATCGCCTTCAAAATCCTCTGCTACCTGGATACCACCTCCCTGTGCAAGGCTGCGCAGGTGTCGAGACAATGGAGGGCGCTCGCGGATGATGATGTCGTCTGGCACCGGATGTGCGAGCAACATATTCACCGCAAGTGCAAGAAGTGTGGCTGGGGTCTACCTCTGCTCGACCGGAAACGGCTCCGGGAATCGAAACGCGAGATCGAGCTACGTGCCACCACTTGGGACAATGGCGCACCTGCGAACTCGCCTGATGCACCTTCGGAGGGCGACTCCCCAGCGGCGGACACCAACTCTAGTAAACGAAAGGCTGACGCGATCGACGATGAGACCGCCATTGTCAAGCGCCAATGCTCGGAGCTCACGTTTCGCCCGTCGGGGAACGAGGATTACTTCAAGACCCGATACCGGCCCTGGAAAGAAGTGTACAAGGATCGGTTCAAGGTTGGCACGAACTGGAAATACGGTCGCTGCTCGATCAAGACCTTCAAGGGTCACTCAAATGGCGTCATGTGCTTGCAATTTGAAGATAACATCCTCGCCACCGGGTCCTACGACGCCACGATCAAGATCTGGGACACCGAAACGGGACAGGAGCTGCGCACCCTGGTGGGACACGAATCTGGCATTCGCTGCCTGCAGTTCGACGATACCAAGTTGATCAGCGGCAGTATGGACCGCAGCTTGAAGGTGTGGAATTGGCGCACGGGCGAGTGCATCTCCACATATACCGGCCACCGTGGTGGAGTGATCGGCTTGCATTTCGATGCCAACATCCTTGCGTCCGCCTCGGTGGACAAGACTGTGAAGATCTGGAACTTTGAAGATAAATCCACCTGCCTCCTGCGCGGACACACCGACTGGGTCAATGCGGTCCGAGTGGACACGAGCTCTCGCACGGTCTTTTCGGCCTCGGATGACTGCACCGTCCGTCTGTGGGATTTGGACTCAAAGACCTGCATCCGCACCTTCCATGGCCATGTGGGACAGGTCCAACAGGTGATCCCGCTGCCTCGGGAGTTTGAGTTCGAAGATCACGACGTGGAGTGTGAGAACGACAATGACAATCTTAGCACCGTCTCTGGCGACACTGAGCCGAGGTCTCTCCAAGCCACCCTGGGTCTTGAGTCGAACGCAGAGATCTCCCAAATGTCGCCGTTCGGGCCCTCATTTGAGGCCGGCCGTCCCACACCCCCACGTTACATCGTTACCAGCGCGTTGGACTCGACGATCCGACTGTGGGAGACCAGTACTGGCCGCTGCTTGCGGACCTTCTTTGGCCACCTGGAGGGTGTCTGGGCTCTCGCGGCTGATACTCTCCGGATCGTGTCCGGGGCCGAAGATCGCATGATCAAGATCTGGGACCCAAGAACGGGCAAGTGCGAGCGCACCTTCACGGGCCACTCTGGACCGGTGACTTGCATCGGGCTCGGCGATAGTCGGTTTGCTACTGGGAGCGAGGACTGCGAGGTGCGCATGTACAGCTTCCAGAGCTAGGCAGTTTTCTCTATTTCTTTCGCCAAAGGTTATGGCGCGGGCCTACTTAATGTCTTTCTATCTGATGATGAATACCCTTTGACGAGCGATTTCATTTTGCGTTGGAAGGGTCAGGGATCGGCAGGTGTTCGGGTAGCAGGGCTGGCGTTATGTTTGGATGTGTACTTTGACAGATACTTAATTGCTATGACCTCGTCTTTACTTTAGAACATCTTACTTTTACGAGTGCTGTAGTGGGCAATGGGCCATTAAGCAGTCGCATCACGTCAGGTTGCTGTCTTTCCTGGAGAAACCGCGGTTGAGCCGTGGCCAGGAACAGAACCTAATTATAGATGTCCCTGGGTTTCTGGGGCTGATGTTCTGGACGATGGCAGAGTCCCAATACTTCGTTTTATTCTGTGTAGCTACAAGGATATGATAGCCCTAGAAGAGTAGCATGGAGTCGATCTACTCACGGGTGCTACTTGGTAACAAAAGTAGGAACGCTCTTGGGGAGAAGTATAGGGCTGAGAAGTCAGGTACAAGCCCCCCAAGTATACAACCTCAACTCCATCACCTGCACGCATTCAGCATCCTCAACATCCTCACCATGCCATCATCCTATTCCCCCCCCCCCCCGTCAATTCCCATCCAACCAGCCCGTCCTCTTAAAAGTATGTATATTAATAGTATATTACCGGCCGTTTCCATAGTCAGTGACGACAGAGATAGAGCATTCTCCGCTCATAATTGTCTGGAAACTTCGATGATAAATGTCCTTCTGACTCGGTGTCGAAGGCTTGCAGAGGCTATAAGACCCCCCCCCCCCCCCCCCCCGCCCTGCTCTCTGGTCCTTTCCGGTTTTCTATTCTGTATCTTCCCATCTTCTCGCCCTTGCCCTGCCCTGCTATAGCTTCACTTTGCCATCTCTAGTCTTGTTTCTTCTCTCTTTATCTTCTATCTCATCTTCTTCTCCTCTTCACCATGCCTTCCTCTTCTCTTACCACTGCCCCCTCCTCTACCTCTACCTCCTCCTCCTCTTCTTCTTCATCATCCTCTTCGTCCTCTCCCATTCCTCCCCCTCCTCCTCTCCTTCCTAATCCTCGATATACTCTTCCCCCTACTCCTCCATACACTCCTCCCCCTTCTCCTTCATACACTCCCCTTTCCACTGCCCCCTCCGCATCTTCCTTCACTCCTCACTTCCTTCCTCTTACTCCTCTTCCATTCTCTGCCCTATCTTCTCCTCCATCCACGCCTCCGTCCTCACCTCCCTACTATCCCCTCTCCTCCTCTCCCTCCTCTTCCTCCTGTTCTTCCTTTTCTCCTCCCTGCTCTCCTCTCTCCTCCTCTCCTGCACTGCCCCCTCTCCTCCCCCCGTCTCCTCTCCCTCCTCCTCACCCTCCTTTTCTCCCTCCTCCTCTCCCTCCTCCTCTCCCTCCCCCTCTCCCTCCTTATCTCCTTCCTCGCCTCCCCTCCTCCGATTCCTGTATAAGAGTTGAAGAGGCAGTGGGCAGGGATTGGGTGGGCATCGACGTGAGTATGGGCAGAATACAGTACTAGTTGGGATGATGGCTAACCACGAATCTAGCTTCAGCAAATCGACAAACCCGCCAATCGACAAACACGCCAGTCGTTGGCAGTGGGAAAAACTCAACATGCATCAAATGCATTATAAACCCCTTTGGTGTAAGTCATCGGATAAGGGATGGTCCAGAACATAGCTGACCTCGAGAATAGCCTTCAACAATATACAGCCTTCAACTTCGGCTGCGGTAGGGTGGTAGGGACGGGCCTGGGAAACGCAAAACACATTTAATCAAATTATCAATGTGAGTGCTTTGATCATGGCTAGCACGAAACAGTACTGATTTTGTGTGTAGCTTCGACAACAAGAAACACCAAAAACATCAAAAACATCAAAAACATCAAAAACATCAAAAACATCAAAAACATCAAAAACATCAAAAACATCAAAAACATCAAAAACATCAAAAACATCAAAAACATCAAAAAAACAGCCTTCACCATCGGCTGCGGTAGGGTGGCAGGGACGGGCCTGGGCAATGCAAAACGCATTATCAAATTGCCGGTGTAAGTGTTATAACAAGTAGCTCAGAACATGACTGATTTGGATATAGCTTCGACAACAACAACAGCAGCAGCAACAGCAACAAAACAGCCTTCAACATCGGCTGCGGTAGGATGGTAGGGGCGGACTTGGGAAATGCATCAAATACATCATCAACATCTCAGTGTAAGTTTTCTACTGCTGATCGATGGAACATGACTGATCTTGGAAGCCGTCAAACAGCAACAACAACAGCAACAACAACAATACAACACGGCCTTCAAACTCAAGCCGCGGCAGGGTGGCAGGGACGGGCCTGAGAAAGCACTAAACAGTGCAATATCAACTTCTCAAGGTAGGTATTCTCATCATTGACGGCTACTTAGGATATGGCTAATTTTGGGAGCCTTCGAAAAACAACAACAACAACAACAACAACAACAACAACAACAACAAATCACGGCCTTCAAGATCAAGCCGCGGCAGGGTGGTAGGGATGGGCCTGGGAAAGCACTAAACAGTGCAAAATCAACATCTCAGGTAGGTGTTCTGATAACGATTGCTTAGAATATAGCTAACTTTAGAAGCCTTCAAATCAACAAAACAACAACAAAACGGCATTCATAACCAAGCCGTGGTAGGGTGGTAGGGACGGGCCTGGGAAATGCAACGCATACATTATCGACATCCCAGGTAGGTGTTCTGATAACGACTGGTTAGGGCCTGGCTGATCTTTGCAAGACTTCACAACAACAAAAACAACAAAAAACAGCCCTCACAATCAAGCCGCGGTAGAGCGACAGGGTGGGTCTGGGATCAACAATCATTATTCCAAGTGTAAGACATCTGACAGTTGCCATTAGACAATAGCTGATCTTGATATAGCCTTCATCAAGAACAAAACAGCCTCCAACTCAGGCTGCGGTAGGGTGGCAGGGACGGGCTTGGGAAAGCACTAAACAGTGCAAAACCACATTGTCAATGTAAGTGATCCCATAAATACTTACTGTTGGGCAATGATTGATCCTTGATGTAGCTTCATCTTCCTCTTATCAACCCCCCCCCCGATATCCTCCTCCTCCCCTTCCTCCTCCTCCATCTTATCCAACTTCTTTATCTCCTACCCCTCCACCTATCCCTCCACCTACTCCTCCTGCTTTTCCTCCTCCACCATGTCCGCCTTCTCCACCCCCGCCTTCTAATCTCCTCCTACCCCTTCTCCTCCTTCTATTACTCCTCCTACCACTTCTTCTACATCCCTTTTTCTCTTTCTCTTCCTCTTTCATCTTCTCCGCCTCCCCCTCCTCCCCCTTCTCTGCCTCCTCATTTTCTTCCTTCATCTTCTCCGCTTCCTCTACCTCCTAATCCTCCTCCTACTCCCCCTCCTACTCCTTCTCTTACTCCTCCTCTTCTATCTCTCCTCTCCTTTCCTTCCCCCTCTCCTCTCGCCTCTTTTCTCTTTCTCAACAACAAAGAATCCCGGATGCAGACTGCGGTAGGGGTAGACTTTAGACACGCACTACAATAGTGCAAAATCGGCATTCTCGGAGTAAGTGACTTGATGGAGATAATTTGACAATGACTAAACTTATATAGCTTTCGACTATAACACAAAACGGCCTTCAAAACCAAGCCGCGGTAGGGTGGTAGGGATGGGCCTGGGAAGCACGAAGCAGTGCAAAGTCAACGTCTTCAAAGTAAGTTGCCTGAGAACCACTGACTATTGGACAATGATTGATCTTCAATTTAGTATCAACAACAAACAGCCTTCAACTCAGGCTAATAAGAACTACGCATAGTGCAAAATTAATACTCGGTGTAAGTAATTCAACGAAAGCAGTTCGACGATGACTGACCTTTGATTAGCCTTCAACAACAACAGCCTTTAAACATGGCTGCGGTAGGGTGGCAGGGATGGGCCTGGGAAGCACTACGAAAAGTGCAAAACCAATATTATCAAGTAAGTGGTCCGATAACTACCACGTATTGCGCAATGATTGACCTTGGATATAGCTTCAACAACGAAACAGCCTCCGATCTAGGCTGCGGTAGGGCGGTAGGGATGGGCCTGGGACATGCCTGTGCGTGGTTAGTATGGTCATATGTCTCAACAAGTTGTTTGTAACTGACCTTGAATGTAAAAAAAAACAGCCTCAAAACTCGGACTGCGACAGCGATGGGACTGTATCTGAGAGATACATCAAGCATAAATGCATGGTTAGTCTAATGAAGCCTCTCTGCATGATAGTTACATATGACTGACCTTGATAGATATTGACATTTATGGCTCACTACAACTGCAACGAAGATTATTATACTATTACGACAAGCTGCGATGTCTCACGACAGAACGTCGAGGTTACGGAAAGCTGCGGTTTGAAACATATACCACATAGATAGTTTATCAGTGTCTGTTGAGACAAATGAACTGGTTGTATCTTGAAGATCTACCAGGTGTCTGATTATCAACTCATGTACGGCGTCCACGATGACTGGGATACTAATATATTCTGTATATGCTTGTAGAAAACAAGTGTGTTCAGTTGTCCAAGTCAATCTACCTATTCTTCTATCCGTAGTTGCAGGCTTATAATTCCAGTAATGCTCTGCTAATAATGAAGTCATCGGTACACTGTGCACCAGCTGCGCCTCGTAAATGACATCCTCCCTGCATCATCCGGAAAAAGATCTACCCTATAAATCTCTTCCTTTCTTCCCCCCTCCAAGAAATTCTCTCCCCCATTCCACCTCACTCCTCAGCAGCCTCTGTTCAGCATACACAACTTTCATCCCCAACCACCACCACTAACCACAAGTACAAGCATGGCAGACAAACCCAGCACGTCAGCCGGGGCTCACACCCCCACCAACTCCAACGACAGAACCTGGAAAATCGACATCGGAGTAGTAAAACCCAGCGAGCCATGTCCTCCTCCTCCTTCCTACCAGGGTATGGAGAGGCAACCTACTCCCTCTCCGCAGACCGCATCTAAACCCAGTGAGCTTCGCACTCCCCCTTCCCCTCCACAGCACCAGCACCAGCACCAGCACAAAACCCTAACCGATATAACAACACAGCCGCCCAAAACACCTCCAAAGAAGGCAAATCCGCCCGCGACCTCGATATCTCCGGGTTCATCTTAGCGCTGGTCCTACTTGGGATCTTCAATCTTGTTGGCTTCATAGCTCTGGGAAACCGTGAGCTTGCCCCCCCCCCCTTCCCCATGTGTCTTGTTCTATTGATACTATAACAAACTATAACAAGAGACATACCATGCTAATTCCACCGGATAACCCAGAACTCAACCACCTCGGCATCAGCAAAGAGGGCTGCGTACACGGAACCAATCTCCCTTCTGGAGCGATGCATGCCAGGTCAGGGTCCCTGGTCGGGCGTGATGCGTCCCCCGATCCGACTCCGATTCTCATCGTCCCTGACACCAACGCCAACGCCAACGCCCACCCCGTCCGCCCCAAGGCTATTCTGGAGGTTGCGTCCGCGGACAACAGGACGATTCTCGTTGAGGTGAGTCCTGTTAAGACCCAGATGGCGAGGGCGGTCTCGCTGTCCGAGAAGGGGAAGGTGAAGTCGGGGTCGAATGTTTATTATTATTATTATCATTATCATGATGGGTTGTTTGGGTGGTTGTTTAATTACCTCGGGTTGTAGGGGAGGGGAGGAAGGGGGTCGTGATGTGGTTTGGTGGGGTTGGAGTTGGAATCGGGGTGGGTTTGTTAGGGCTTGCTTGGGATGGGATGGGATGTTGTCTTCGCTGTGGCTACTGGTTGGTTGGGATAGATTTAGATATGGATTGGATTAGCTTAGCTTGGGTTTGGATGGAATTTAAGATAGCTCTTAAGAAAAGTCGAAAATAACTGACTCTCATCGACGATGTAAAGGTATAGCTCCCTCCTCTTATACATGAGTGTACCATCAGGGGATCGTTACAGGGAAGGGGATGTTCTCTATAAGTCTAGTAAGTAAGTTGGTGGTTGATTGAGAATCAGATAAATCACTCAGCAAGACTTCCCAGTCTTTGACTGTGTGGTCACTTCACAATTCTTAGAGGCTTTCGCAAACCTGCTGATACTCTCATCGGATAGCTGGATTGAGATGAAGCGGTCACTCACTGCTTTTGAGTGATGATGATGATGATGCTTGATGGTCTTCCTAGTTATCCAAGGGGGTGATGATTCATGCTGAGCGACTGAGATATACTTACTTATTTTATACTCACTCCACACTGATCTTGCTGTGCTGTTGTTCATTGCCACCTCACTTGGTATACCTCACCTCACCTCAATTCACTCGGGGACATGTCCAGCCCTCTCTCTGTATAAACCAACTTACGGTACACCAGCACTCTTCAATACACCAACATACCTCCGGCCTCGCCTCTCTCATCCTGATCCTGCCACTACACAATATCTCCCCCATCTCCTGTTAGCACCAACACCAACCCTCCCAGCCAACTAACCTACCACCTACCAAGATAAATGGCCTACACCCTCTCACGCCTCGCCCTGGCCAAACGCCTCTTCCTCAAACCCAAGACCCCAACTGCCCCATCCTCCACCCCTCAACACCAATACTCTCTGCGCAAACGCTCCGCCCAACCCCCCCTCACCTCGTTCCTCGACGAAGACGACACCGACGACTACGACCCCAAGGTCGAGCGGGCGTTGCTACGACGAAAGCGCATCTGCAAACCACCCAAAGGCTCGGTCTCACGGAGTCTGATCGTGAAGTTGCAGATGGCGTCGGAAGACGCGAAGGGCTTTTTGGCCTCGTTTCCTTTGTCGCAGGATGATGACGATCAGAATGAGATGACGACTGGGATGGACTTTGATGGTGATGGTGGGGAGTGGACGATGATGGATGAGCTGGCGAGTGGGTTGCAGGTATCTGTGGGGAAGATTGCGGCGCAGTGTGTTGAGGAGGAGATGCGCGCGTTGGATGGATGCTTGATGTGTCCGGGGGAGGGTTGTGCTGGTGGTGATGGTGATGGTGTTACCGAAGAGCAGAATCAACAACAACAACAACAACAAGCACCTCCCATCCCCATCCCCACGCCCACGTACCCCCTCCTCCGAACAATCACCACCTCCCTCCCCCACCCCATCGACCCCTTCTACCTCCCCCCAGAAGACGGCACCCTCCCCTGCCACTTCTGCAGCAGCCCCAGCTACGGCATCCTAGGCCTGGGGCCGCGCTGCATCGAAATATTGGATTACGGCAACGGCCACTGGCTAGAGATCGGGGGCGCCGAGGCCAACGCCCACGCGCCGAGTCGGATGTGCGTGACCTGCGCATTAGAACGGGTTCACATCGTTGAGTGTAAGCGACATCACATCGTACCGTTGAAGGGGTGGAGGGTCGAGGGATTTGATTTCGAGGCTGCGTATAGGTCTTTGGTTCCTTCTTCTTCTTCCTCCTCCTCCTCCTTCTCCTCCTTCTACCCCCTTCTTCTTCTTCTTCTTCTTCTTCTTCTTCTTTCCCTTCTGCTTCTAGTGGCGCTGGTGGTCTTACTGGCACTGATACCGAAGCAACCGACAAGAAAGAACAACCCAGCCAGCAGCCGAACAACCCATGGTGTTCGCTGTGTCCCAACCCGGCGTTTTTCGGGTGTGCGGCGAGACAGACCGGAAACGTTTATTTGGAACCCGTGGACGGAGAGGTGGGGTGCGGGCTGCTGCTTTGCGAGAGCTGCGAGGTGTGGATGCGCGTGTTGAAGGGGGATTTGAAGGCCGTGGTGGATAGGAATCAGATCGAAGATCCGCTGGATGGGTGTCGGGCTGATGTGGAGTTTTTGATGCCGGGGAATTGGTTGTGGGGGAGGTATATGGGGGGGATTGGAAATGGAGAGGGAAGAGGGGGGAATAGGAGAGGGTTTATGCAGACAGCAGGGCTACTCGGTTCGGGCAATGCGTGCAAATCTCCAATCCTGGCAGTACATGGATCTGCAGTCAGGGGGATCTAGTACATACAGAGCGAGAGCCGTGAATAACATTCAGGTTTCCAGTCCTGCAAATGCAGTCAGTCATGCACTACTACAGTCTTAATACAGAATCAGGTTCAGACAGGTATCGGGATTATCTCATTAATCGAGTCTCAGTTTGCAACCGCGCCGCGCTAATTAATACAACAAAAAATCCCAACTCCTCACAGCTGGCGTAACAAAAGAGAGTGTTCATCAACTTCTACCCAACTCATGACACCGTCATCGGCGACGGCTGCTCGTGGCCCTCGATCTTCTTCCGCCGCGGGATCTGCACGCCGTTCCGCAGCTGCTCCAACTTGATCACCCCGGGCCCCGTGCAGATCCGGCCGGTCTGCATCAGATTGCGCAGTCGCTTGCGTCGCGCCTCGCCGCTGCGCTCCTCGCCGCGCCCAACGCCCTCGTCCACCCACTCCACCCGCAACACCTTGAAGCTCATTCCATCGTGCATGCGCTCCCAGGCCCGGGACTTCAGCCCGAAGATGACGCTGGAATCGTAGCGCTCCAATCGCGGGAGGACGAGGAGCGTGATGTGGAGATCCTTGTCCGTCGGAGGCACGGGCGGGACCTGGGGTCGCTCACCCTCCATGCCCACGTCCTGCGCCGTCTTGGGCGCGTGCTGGTACGCATCCTTGATCTCGAGGTCGAGCAGGTCCACGTCCACATCGTCGCCCCAGGCCCCGCGGATGAACCCCGAGTGGATCGCGGCGGCCACGGGATCCGAGTCATCCGTGTACACGCCCGTCCCCCACAGTGCGCGTCGGGCACAGATCTCCTCGCGGTGGCTGCTGTCGATTCGGAACCGGGGCACGCGGATCGTGAATGTGCAGTTCTCATTCCCTTCAAACCGAGGAAGCGGCAGCGGGGTCGTCGTGTACCCAAACTTGGCACTCTCCAGTGTCGCCTTGTCCGTCGGTGCTCCGATCCGGGGCGCGTACAGCGTTGACCCAAGGTGGTGCCGAGGGAGATGCGCCACACTCGTCAGGAGGGGCTCAATCGTGACCACGGTGCGAGGCTCGCGCATCGGCGTCGCCGACGCATTGGTGGTAGGCGCAGCCGGTCGAGGAACGTGGTGGTGATGGTGATGATGGTGGTGGTGGTGAGGGTGAGGGTGATGGGCCAGAGCCGGCGGGGCTGGAGCGGGCGTCGTTCCTTCCCCGGGAGTGGCCGTTCGATGGAAGAAGTTTACCGCGGACAAGGGGCGGCTCGCACCAAGAGCCGCAGCAGCTTCTTCTTCGGCCCGGGAGCGGTGATGATGGTGGCTATGGAGGTTAGCAACGAGGGCCATGAGCTGGGGGAAAGCAAGTACTTACTGGTGATGGTGGTGGTGGTTGTGTCGATTGCGCCGACCACGAGCAGCTCCAGCGGCCGCAGCTTCACTTTCCGCCCGAGTTTCTTCGTCGCGCGATTTCCTGGGTCGCTTGCCATTGGCAGAAGTAGGTCGAGCAGTCTTCGTTTCGTCAGTGATCTCGCCGTTGCTCGGTCGAGCAACGGCACTGTCGCGTTTGAAGGGGCTGGGAGCCATTGGGGTCGGAGGTCCACTGCCACCCGTCGTAGCGGTAACACCACCCACACCACTTCCAATCCCCGAGAAGACACGACCTAGTTCATTCTTAATGCCGGAGTCGCCCGAAGGTCCGAGGATCTGAGCCTGTGCACCCTGCACTGCCTGGGGCAGCGGAGACGCCCGTCCACCCCGTTTCGGATCCAATCCAACCCCAAGGAGGTTGCGGTGGGCGATGAGTTCATCACTGCCCTTGCGCCGCTGGTCATCCGACGAGGCAGAGTGGATCAGTGAAGGCGGACCGGTCGACGAGGTCGGAGGGAAGACACGGGTTTCCGTTTGAAGCTTGCTGAGGTATGGCGGTTGGTCGTGCGACGGAGGGGGTGGCTGGCCTTGTGGGGGGTGAACCGAGAGCGAGGGCTGTCGCGACCCTCCCAGCTGGGAACCCAGAGACTTGGTGTAGTTCTGGATCGCGCCAAATCCAAACCCGGAGCCCGGCTCAGAAGCAGGGAAGCGCTTCGTGTCGGGCGACGGGGGCTGCGAGCGCGCGAGCTCCCACGCGGACGGACCATGTGGTCGGTGTGTCGCAATCTCCCGGTCGCCATAAGGTGGACCATACCGCGGGGGAGGGTGAGCCGCCGCCTTGGCTTCCGCCTCGTGCGCGATCGCTCGTTCCCGATCGCGGTGTGCTTGTTCCTCCGCGTGTCGATCCGCATACAAGCCTCCGTATCGAGCGTGCTGAGGGTCGTGTCCCATGTACGATGCGGCCCGCTGATGCGCGGCGGCGGCAAAAGAGCCGTCTCCGACCCCCGCCACCGCAGCAGGTCGTGACAGCGGGCTGTAACCGGTAGAGCGCGGCGGCGGTTCCAGGTGCTGTGGCTGGCTGTTTGGACGAGGCACGGGTCCGCTGAAGCTCAACCGACGGGTTTCATTGTACGGGGCCTCTGCGGAGGCGATCTGGGGGGACGGGTGCGTCGAGCCGGGCTTTTCGGGGTACTGCGACGACGACGGTATGCGCGACATTCCACCAAACTTGGCCTGTTCTGCGATGGGGACGCCCCCAGAGGTAGATCGGTAGGGACGGGACGGTTGGCCTTTCGCAAAGGACTTTTCGGGGGTCTGGGATCGCCGGAAGCCCTGATACTCAAGCGGGGAGGGTCGTGCCGGCGCGGTCGGCGGCGACATCGCGCCGGGCGCAGACGGCGGATGGGGGGCACCGAACGGGGCGGAGGACACTGGGAGACGCGAGAAGATGGACGAAGAGCCTACATCCCGGCCTGGTCGGTCAGCGTCCGAGCCAAGCATGGACGATATCGACATGCTGCTCCCTGGACGGTGATGAGCCGGGTTGCTGGGAGGCTCACGCGACAAGAAGGGGGTAGACATGGGAGGGGCATTTCCCGTGGGCCCTCGAGATGGATAGTGTTGTGGGGGGGAAGGAGGAGGCATGCGGCGCGTCCCCAGCGGCGGTGCAGAGGACGGATCTTGAACACCTAGATAGGGGAGACTCGGAGTTAGCGAATATGTCCGATCGACAAGAAGCGAGGCAGGCAGCAGCAAGAACGCGGCGCCATAAGCATGTGAGAACGGTGTGGCCGGGCGTAAGAGAGTTGTGCGAGCCGGACTTCCTGGGACTCACCAGGGAACCCGGGGCTGCCACTGCTGCCCAAGGACCTCCGACGACCCGGGTCATGCGACGGGGGAGGATTCATGTCGCATGCAAAGGGGGGGAGGGGGAGAGGAAACCCAGACAAGCCAGGAGGAAATATAGGGTGGAAAGAGGGATAAAGAACAGAAGGAAGAGGCTCGAAGGCAAGAGGGGGGAAGATGACAGGGAGGCGGGAGGAAGAGGGAGGAGGGTGAGAAGGTAGTGTAGGTGGTGATGATGCAGCTGATGGGCGGCGAGGAAGAAAGAATGGCGCGCGACAGGCAAAGCGAGTTCCGACTGGGGCTGAACCCGTGACTCTGGGCCTGGGCGAGCTGGTCCGGCGCTATTCCCCTTTAGGCAGCGATGCCCTGGCAGCATGCGCTAGGCCTGATCTGGTATAGCGCTCCCGAGGCTTCCTGGGCTGGAAGGCGATCAGGCGCCACAGACGCGGCGGGTGCACCGCCCCTGATTGGCCCACCGAGCCGGCCACAAGGTTTGGGTTCCTTGATGGTCGGAGCTGACGCTGCGCTTGTAGTACGGATAAACAAACGCGGCGCCGGCGCACTCCTCCCTCGCAGATGCCCAGCGACCGGCAGAGACAGGCGATCCCCCTCCCGCAAGGCGGGAGTTCTTCATACAGTCCGTCTCGTCTTACTTGCTTGCCGGGTCAGGATTTCTGGAGAGAGCTTTTGGCGCGACGCGACCACGGCCCGAAACCCCAACCAACCAGGCTCCTGGTCACAGTGCAATCACGCAGAGCTCCGAGCGGCAGGAACGTAGATAGAAATCACAGGGAAACAAGAACAAGATAGGGGCAGCCCCGGAAATTAAGTTAAGGAAACGGGGCGATATCAAAAGAAAAATGCAAGTCGCCTACCTTCGCGATACACCACCCGGCGATCTCGCCGGGCGAGATAGTTGGGATTATAATTTGGGTCATGACGGTTATCAGAGTCCAGATTCCCTCCCGGAGGATTTTGCTCCTTCAGCGAACCATGGTTCGCCGGTGATATGTGATACCCGTTACCATCTGTCCGAAAGCCCGCATAGGCGCTCTCGTGGGCGTACGAGGCGGAGGGAACGGAGGCAGGGGCTGACGAGGGGGTCGGATAGCTGTAGGCTGGCGCGACCCCGGACCTGGGCATCTCGGGCTCGCGGCGAGGGAAGGGATCGTAGAACCCTCGCGGTGAGGCCGGGTGCGGAGGCCCGTAGGCGCGAGCCGGCGGCGCTGGGGGCGCGACACGGGGATCGTGGGCGGCGACGCTCAGCAACGATGGATGTGGGTGGTAGGGCGGATGCGGATGATGTTTCTGAAAATCCATCATCATCGTCAAGCGAGGGGAGAAGCCGGAGTGATTGGGGGGGGGGGGGGGGGGTGTGGCCAGCATACACGGGGGGACGGCTGTGATGGTGGTGGTTGGGTTGAGTTCGGGCGCGGACGGGAGGAGGAAGATCGCGAAATGGCGGTAAAAGTGGCTGCGTTTCAGCAAGAAAAGGGACGCCGGGACGAGGCAGCACCGACTCCTCGGGCGGGCAATTAGGCACGCGAGGTACCGACACGATCGGAGGGGGGAGGGGGAGGGGGGATGGAGCGAAGCCAGCCGGCTGGTTCAGAAAGTTCTGATGGATGGGAGCAGGGAGGATAGGGGAGGAGAGGAGAGTAGGGAGGGAGGGAGGGAGGGATGTGGAGAGGGAGAAAGTGTGGTGGTTGAAAGAGTGGAAAGAGAGTGGAAGAAACGAGTAGAGAAAAACGGTGAGGGAGGGCGCCAGGGAACGAACGACACAAAACTCACTAACTCACTAAGATGAGTTCAGTTCCCAGAGGACAGACACATCGGAACGGACGGGGCCAATCAAGCGGATGGCAGCGCGCAGCTCGTCGGTCGATTCCAGACGAGCCAGACGACCAGCGCAAATCGTAGTGGCCGGATGGGGCCGTCGTGGGAGCGGGGAAAACGGGGTGGGGCTGCGACTTACTACTACTTACTAACTAACTATACACTCGAAGACAGTCTAGCTACTTACTCATTGACGCCCGATCCTTCTTCCCTCCCTCTTACTTCCCCCCTCTACCCAATCCGTCCTCCCTCCCTTAGGCTTACGATCTTCATCCTGCCCGTTGGCATGCCATGCAGCCGGCGACGTGTCATGCGTCCCTCCACTCGCTTCCTGCAATCGATAACATTAACATCACTGTCCCATTATCTCATTGTTTCCCCGCCAGAGTTGCCCACATGCAGGCCCTGGTCAGGATCTCTCCTACTAGGCTGACCCCCGATACCAATCCCTGCCATCTTCGAGGAGCAAAAGTGCAACGCGACACCAACAATAGGATGGGTAGCTGATGATCTGGTGGCCCCTCCGGCCCCGGGCGGTCCTCCGTACCACCTGTCCCCTCGTTGGGCCTGCTGCTCCTGCTGCTGCTGCTGCTGCTGCTGCTGCTGCTGCTGCTGCTGCTGCTGCTCCTCCTACATGATGCCACCTGCAGCATGTACTTTCTACACTAGTACTAAGCATGGAGTACAGGCGCAGCCGTGACTAATGGCAGCCAGAAATGTCGCTTCCCCACCTGCAGTGCGAGAACCTGCCGATCGCCCCGATTCCCGCGCACTCCTGGCTTGCGCTATATTTATCCCTCTCCCGGACGCGACCGGATATAATGCCATGAGCACAAGAAGCTGGCGCCTTTCCCTCATCTTCGAGGTCTAATATATCTACGTACTACCTATGATACAGATCCAGCCTCCGAGATGAGGGCCCAGTCATTGAATCTAGATTTGTCAAACCACCACACATTCCCCGATCACCCCAAGGATGCGGGCGGGTCCCCATTCCATGTCAACACTAAGATACCTACCAAGCAATTCGGGATCCACGGCTTGCCACATTGGCGATGATCGAGCAAGTATGAGCCCGCTCCTTGCGTCCCCCCTTCCCTCGTGAAATCATTATCATTGCCACCGGTTGCCTGAGTGCTGTCCACCCGGAGCCTAGCCTTGCAGGTATGCCGATATATTCTCCGACGTCTTCCTACAGGAGACCATCAAACCACCGTGACCCAGGCTGGTCAACACCAACTATAGTCTACCGCGCAAGAAAGAAGACATCCGTTCGTTACGTGTCTGACTCGATAGCATGGGAGCAGGATATATACGGCACCACTTGGTTGGGTGTCACTTAACATAATATTTACTTTCATTATCATTATATACTTGGTTCATCGACTGTGGGTGGTGCCCCAGGGCCAAGGAATATGTGGTCGCTTGTGACTGGATCTGGCATCCCTCCCAATATTGAAGAACCGTTGCCAGCCCCGACTGGCACATCCGGTCCAGTCCACTTCAATGAGATCGGCCCCATTTTTGGTCAGGATTCGCCAGATGATCCGGCGCATCCCCTCCGAGTAACAGGGGATGCCTTCATATCGAATCGGTAGCCCCAGTTCATGAGCGGCCCGCACCTGGGACTTGACCAGCTCGACTTGCTGTCGAGAAAATCGTCCCCGATGTGGCGACCCAATCGCCTGACCGAAATTGACAGATACGCTGTGCGAAAGTACTTCACCCCTTGGTGGTTGGGTATATTGTGATGCTGGGTCCTGCTCATCCTCCAAGGACCCGTGTACCGCTGTCTCCGGCGACAGTGGTTCATCGAAGAAGATACTATCATAGAGACTGTCCTGACTGATGATCTGGTGGTCATCCAGGCCTAGATCCTTCCCTCCGCTGAGGACAACAGTGACGGGCCCCGGAACGACCTGTGTTCCATTCCGATAAGAGAGGTACCCATGTTCGCTCAGCGATACTAGCTGAGAGACAAGACAAGGCCATACCGTTTGCAGCGGCGACCGGACCTCCAGGAATAATGTAAACTGCTGCATCGGATCCTGTTCAAACAACCCAATCCTGCTCGTCATTTGACTCTGGTCATTACGAGCATCGGCAGCGTTCCTGCCATGGAGTTGTTCTAGGAGAGGCTCCACATAAACACTGCGCAAAGTGGACTCTTCCTTAAGGATCGGTATAGAGCTGCCCACGAGGAGGCTATCCCGCTGTAGCCAGACATCGGCTTTCACGCCGGTGCAGCCAGCCGCAACTGAGTACTGCACCGCATCCACATGTGCGTGGGGGTTGTAGGAGATGCAAGCAGGAGGCTGATCGTTAAACTCCGCAGGCCAATGGACGAAGCCTGCCTGTTCTTTGTATTCGTCGTGGAGAAAGAGGTATGAGACTCCGTATGGCAGGAGTGAGAGGAACTGGATTGCCACCCTGGTGGGAGGGTTAGTATACTTATCCCCACTGGGAGGGAGAGCATATGGGCAAACATACAAGAACATCAAAAAGAGGCAGATCAACGAGAGCACGCGATCGCTCCATCTCCTCCTTACGGCCGCGCAGAATCGCTGGAGAAGCCACAGTAGGCCCGGGCAACACTGGGTGGGATGGGACCGCAGAGGGTGATCCTCGAGCAACACCCAGGAATACTCATCGTACTCGTCCGCCTTCACAGGCGGCTTGGTGGCCGTCAGATCGAGGATCTCGCGCTCGGTTGCAGCAGCCATCTCGCGGTCGGAAGTCGCCAATCAGACGACGTGCATCTAGAGGGGCTGTCGGGAGGGATCGACGGCAGAAGAATCCCCGGGGTGGGGGGCGATGCTGTAGCGGTGAGGATGGGATTCGAGCAGCAGGAACGGGGATGGGCGGTTTTAAAAGGGGTCGGGGTGTGACGGTGGCAGGGCTGGCTGGAAGGCACTATCCATGGTCCTGTGCAACCCTGGGATGGCGGAATAAATAAGGAACAGACGGGCGGAAGTGGTGGTCTGGGCGGATGGTGAGGGTGATGGTGATGGTGATGATGGCTCCAGAGCACGCAATTGCCGGTGGGAATGGTTCAGACGTTAGGGGAGCACCACCCGACGCCATTTGCACATCCATTGAGTCGGTCTGCGCGTCCACGGCAGCGATCCGCGCGGCGATGGGCGCTGCTGCTTCGCTTCTGATGATTCTTTTCCCATCCTTCAACCCCTCTTCGAGATATTGCAGGTGGTGGTGCAGTTCAAGTTCCGCCATCCAGGGGAGTTCCTGGGCCGGGAGTGTGTCGCGCGACTGAAGAACTTCCGAATCCCACCCTACCAGGCCGACTCCATCGGCGCTTGGATCCTATTCGACCCCCGAGCTTTTGAGTCGTGGAAGCTACTGCTGCTAAAGGGCTAAAGCCTCCCTTAACTACGGTAGCCCGAATCTTACTCCAGCCGACGAGCAGGGACATCCAATCATTACCTCCCCACCACCGAGATCAGCATCACCTGTTGGCCCATCGCGGTGATGCAATCGCTGCATGATTCATTCAGGTACTCCTCCGTGCCTGGCCAAGACGCGCAAATTCAATTTGTTCTCATTTCACCTATCGCCGCCCCTCATCGCCCGTGACCGACCCGGAGATTAACTCGACAGTTGGCTCTTGGCGCGGATCCGAGCTCCAAACATGTACAACAGCACTGGGATGGGGATCAGAAGTGCCCCGAGGCAGCCCAGCAAAGTACATGCCCATTCGACCCCGAGCTCGTTAAACTAAAGCCGCCGTCGCTGTTAGCCTCGGATTGATCGCCCGTATTCAAGATTCTTGCCACTAACCATGTAAGTCGCAAATAGCGGGAACCCGCCCCCAGCTACCGACCGCAAGAAGGTGTGTGCCGCAACAGCCGACGCGCTCCTAGATACGCAAACCATCGTCAGCTTTGGGATTCGGACCCTGGGGCCACATTCGGTATAGTGGTTGACACTCACTTTCTTTCGCGCGCCTCCACCAGATAGGCCAATGACGGCAAGAACATAGTCAGCAACCCGAATCCCGTCAGAAGCCCCGACAAGGTCGGAACGATCCAGTGGGTGGTGTGCTTGTACCCCGACCATCCCAGCCAGAATAGCCCAGCTGAGAAGGCTGCAGCTCCGGGGATAGCGATGGGCAGGCGCCATTCGGGCATGATCTGGCCTCCCGTCTGCTCCGCCTTGTGCTCAATCCACGGCTGGGTGGCGGCAATCGCAACGGCACCAAGGAGCTGTCCTACAATGATACCCAGGTAGGGTAAGCCACTGACTCCTAGGCTCATGCCATGGATCCGATGGAAGATGATGGGATAGGCTGTGAGGAACAGGTACAGGAGACCATATACAAAGGCGCCGAACAAGCTCATGCACAACACGATCGGGTCCCACACCAGCATCTTCAGAGGGTGGCTGAGATACTCCCTAGTGACCCCACAGAGATTGAAGCTGGTTTCCTCATGCTCAGCATGGAGCGACCAATCTCCAGTCTCCCGGCGCAGTCGGTTTGCCTTGTGAGCCAGTACCACGGGCGCGTAGGTCTCGTCGAGCACGAGAGCCACTAGGACAGTCAGAGCTGCCCCCAGTATCCCTGGGATGTAAGCTGTCCACCTCCAGCTCAGAGACCGGTTCATGACAATGAAACCGCCAACAAACGGTGCAACCAGCGGGCCAATGAATACCATAAGACAGAACATGACTATCGGGACACCCAACTGTCGCTGGCTAAAGATGTCTCTGAAGAGAGGGCCAGCCAGTGTAAGCGGGCCCGAGCCAAAGAAGCCGGTGAAAAACCGCAAAATGAACAAGGACTGCACATCCTTGGAAACGGCCGTTGCGAACGAGAAGATGGTAAACCCGAACATGGCAATCACCATAGGGGGGTATCTTCCCTTGAACTCCGAAAAAGGCCCAAACGCTAATGGACCGAACGCAAAACCAAACACATAAAGGGAGACTCCCAAGGTGCCAACTTCTTGCGTGATACCATAGACCTTCATCACCTGTGGTATGGCTGGCGAGAAGACGCTGCTCGCGAAAGCAACGACCATCGTGGTGATGCCTAGGGTGGCCGATGTATACACCCTAGGAATCGGAATCTGTCAGCCCTATTTGGTGCGGGATAGAGGAGAAACCTACTTCTTTTTCATGGGCCAATTCAGCGGGCTGAGGGTGTCATCTTGGCCATCGAATTCGACATGTCTTGCGACAGTCTCGGTTTTGGCGGACGACTCACTCGCACGGGGTTTCATGGTATCAATTAAACTGGATGCGAATCTACCACGAGTCTGACTGTCACAAGAATGGTCGGGTGGTCAGCATTGGACGAACCGAGTTATTTTGTACCCCAAAGATACCCATGGTGTGGCATTCATGGGATTCCAAACCAGCCCACGGGGACGTTACACCTGGCTACTTTTCTTGGTCGGGCTGAAAGACTAAGCGCTCATGTCTCGTCGAGATCGCAACCGAACCGGAAAGGCAGGACATCGAAGCCATTGTCAGATCGTCAGGACGCAGCCCGAACGGGGATATTCCCTCGTAGTCTCAGTGTGGATTCCAGATGTCAGTGCTGTATGCTTCAGTGCTTATAGCAGCGTTACAGACCCATTGTGTATAAAATCGTTGGTCAGACGCGTCCTCGGGCCTACTGGATCCAATGGACCACTCTTTATAAAGTGGAGTACGTCTGGCAGGAGCAGGATGTTTTTGAACAGAGCAAGATGTTGGACAGATCTGACATCACAGACCCGCGTCTGGAGGCTTAGTGAGGCGGAAGCTCTCTTCAGGTAAGCTCCCTGGACATGCTTTCTTCACCATGGAGCTGGAAACCTTATCGGGTCGTGGTATGACGATCAAATATGCTGGAGGCTCGACCGCCTCGATCGCCGGAGTAGTTAACCTAATTCCTGTAGCTGACTACCGTACCTGTCACCATCCAAGCATGGTACAATCGTCGGCCCTGCAATATATATGGCTGGATGGCTCGTCCGACGGACATTCTCGGCGCCCCCGACAACCTTAAGTGGACAGCGTGTCACCGGTACTACAAGCGATGGTTGGAATTGAATCTCAACTGCTTTTATTGCTCATTTGCCCTTGAGTGGGCACTTACCAGGGCTTTCGATCATTGGCAAAGGGTCTCCGAGCTATAACCTTGTATGACTGCACAACAGCCTGTCATGGCGCACTTTTTTGCAAGGGAAATCGCCAACTTGAGGCACCTTACAGGGTGCGCACCCTGACAGATCCGTCCCCTCGTGGGCATCATCCCTTCCTGTTCCACGTCCACAGGAGCTCCCCTGCCTCCATTACATGTAAGGGAGAGTGATGCACACTGTCGGTAGTCTCACGCAAAACCCTCAGCGATAAGGCCGCGGCAAACCGAAAACCCGCAATCAACCCGAGGAGGCAGTGATCGCCGCTCTTTTGCTATCTTGCGCCATCGTTCCTTACCAGTTGTGTCTCTCTCCCACCTCATCTCCACCACGCGAAATACCGATCATCCAAGAGTGTCGCATCCAACGAGACAACCAACCCCTTATCGCTTTGATCTGTGGCGCCCATGTTGTTGCTGATGTTGTGATCCGAGCATCCGCCCTAGACCACGTAATTCCTGCAGCTACTCAAGCACTTAGGCACCACCCTGGCTGCATGTCAGGTGCCACCACATGCAACCTGAGCAGGGACCCTGGATCCCCGCTATTTGTATTGTTGTCTAGGCAGTTGGGACTGCAATGTTGTCGCGTCGTTTCACAGCGTTTTCTTCATGTGTCATTGCGAATATACTGAATAGGGCAATGCGGGATGAAGCTGTGGCTTGCAGGTTGAAGTGTGAATGCCAAAAAACAATATTGCTTGACTAAAGGGTGCCTGAATACAATCCCTACGTAAGTGATGTCATGATTCTTGCAGTTAGCTGGCAGGAGATGCATCGCCAGATCCAAAGGGTGCTGAAGCCACCACTGGCAATCGCATATATCGTATTGTTCGGTGTTGGTTGACTCCTGAGCCTCGAAGTTCACTGAGATAAGTTTTCACCGATAAAGACAGAGGTCAAATGCAACGAAACTGAAGACGGGTGATGGCTTAGAACCCAGCATGCACGAGGCTACCCTCGACTACTAGATATTCGGTCTGTTACATTTGCTTGAAGAAGCCGAGTACCGTTCACCCCCTAATTGGGGCTCTTGATCATGATGTATATGATATATCCTATGGGCAGTGGAGGGAGTCGTGTTGAATACTTATCTCAGTAGGTAAGGGTAGAGAACACCAGCATTAAAAATCGGAAAATCATGATCACATTTTTTTTTCGCGCTGAAGCTGGTTTTATTATCGCCGTGACTGTTTCACTTAACTTGAAGTTCGAACTAACAGAAGACTCCAACCAATTTCAAGTCAGACAAGTCAAGTCACGGGACGTTGCTGCTTCAAGGCCTCGCAACTTCCCGATCGGGAATCGGCAACCAACAACACCTCGAGTACGAGTGGGAATGATCTCCTCGATTCTGGTCGCGGCTCAGAACTTCCTTCCCGGCTGTTAGCCAGGATCTCTAATTCCTTCAATCATCTCAGCCACAGCTATCCAGCATAGGAGGCAAATATAGCACTCTCCCACAATATCCAGTAAAAAACCTAGCCGCCCTAGACTTCCCAGCCTACGGCAGCCTATATTTCGCAGACGCGCCGATAGACTCGAGTCTAAAAATCCCTTTTGAACATGGTCAGGGCTTCTGTGTAGGCCCCAATTGCAGTCCAGTCTTTTGGAACCGAAATCCGGGGGAGCTTGAGCTCTACGGTGATGGTGATTCAAGTTCGAATTGCGGTCCTTGTCAGTCTAGGCCCCCAATATTCTACATTTCTAGCAGCAGGTTCTGACGCCGAGAGCAAACATAGTACTACAGGGGAAGACCTCACAGAGTATTGCTCAGGCCTGATATATACGGGTTTTACTCGTCTGCCAAAAGCTTCAGCCATTGATCACAAACTTCATCCTCATCAGGGATCGGTTGACGATCATATCCGTCTATTGAGAACAAGTCAAAAGGTAATTCTCAGGCTAATCGAAGACGCGCGCATTCAAACAGCTGCGACACCAACCCTCCTCCACCCCGACTTCCACAAACGGAATATCCACGTCTCCGCCGAGGATCCAACCATCATAACCGGACTGATTGACCGGCAATCAAGCAGCATTGAGCCTGCGTTTATATACACCAACGAAATTCCCGATTTTGCGGCACTTTTTGAGACCGTCCAGAGGCTCAAATCATGGCTTAGAACCTCAATGAATACAAACTCCGATGGGTGGGTTCCGAGTGAGGTGTTCGGTGCTGCGCAAGAGGCTCATCGGGTGGCGTATGAGGAGTGGATACAGACGGCGAGAGAATCAGAGGCTAGAGGGGGGGGGGGGGGGGGGGTGACTGTGTAACTGGCTAGGTGGCTGTGGAGGGATTGGGCTATGGGGGTTGTGAAGTGGTATGGATGGTTCAGTGAGGTAGTGATAGGGTTTACCAGCTTACTATCCAATCACTCACATCGGAGACTGGCTCAAAGGTATCATACAAACCAACAATTCTTAGACCGTGACACATAAGGAATAAGATAACATCTAATGAGGCTATGGAACAGGGCATACGCTTTTGCTAACTAAAAATCCCTATCAAACAGCATCCTACTGGTCCATGCGTGCCAAAATAGCCTTGCCAGCCCTACTCTCATTGAATCGGCCCAACTCCCCACTAATCCACGAACCGATCTTCGAGACCTCCTCCAGATTAATCCCCGTATGCATCCCCAGACTATGAACAGTATGCACGAGATCCTCCGTGGCAACATTTCCCGTCGCCCCCTTGGAGTACGGACACCCACCCAGCCCACCAACACTACTATCGAAGATGCGGACCCCATGCTCCAACCCCACGATCGTATTCACCAACGCCTGGCCATAGGTATCATGGAAATGCAACGCAAGATCAGTATTGGCAATGCCGGCCGCCTTCAGCGCCTGCAGGAGCTTCATCGTGCGCGGCGCCGTGCCCATCCCCGTCGTATCCGCCACCGACACCTCATCCGCGCCCATCTCCAGCAAGGTCGCGGTGATATCCGCCACCTTGGCGGGTGACACGTCGGGGCCCTCGTACGGACACCCCAACGCCACGGAGACGTAGCCGCGTACGCGGATGTTTTTCGTCTTGGCCAGAGACACGATGGGGCGGATGCGCTCGAGCGATTCCTCGATCGTGCAGTTGGTGTTGGCCTTGGAAAAGGCCTCTGTTGCGGCAGCGAAGAGCGAGATCTCGGTTGTCGTCGGCGATTGCTTAGTCGTATCCTGCTGCCCCACAGAGCCGCTGGCGTCCATGATCTTGATCAGGTTCTCGAGTCCGCGCACGTTAGGCACGAGGTAGTTGTAAGCGATGGTGTTCTGGGACGCCGGCGGGGTTTCGAGGAGGTGTGCGCAGATTTCGGCAGTGCTGGCCATCTATATAGCAAATACAATGTGTTGTCGCGGTTAGTCAATCCGTTGATTGGGATGGTACGAGGACGAGGAGCTTCCTTGGCTGCGAATGAAGCCCGGAGAGATGATGGAGATGGCAACTAGCGTACGTACCTGGGGCACCCATTTCGCAGGCACAAACGAACCCGCCTCAATTGTCGTCAAACCCGTCTTGGCCAGCTTCTCGATCAGCTGGAGCTTCGTCTCGAGCGGAATCAATTTCTTCTCGTTCTGGAGGCCATCTCGGGGCCCGACTTCGACGATCCGGACGTGGTCCGAGTTTAACCGCGCCTCAGTCGCAAGGCGGCGTCTTGCGGGAGCTGCTGTTCGCAAGGCGGAGAACAGGCCCAGCCGGGGTCGGAAGTGCATCATTTCGGGAGATCTGGTGTGGAAGGGAGGTTGAATTGGATGGGATATGAATATGTAGTCGAGAGGAAGGAAGGAGAAAGGAGGAACCAGGCCACGCGATGGCTGGTCGGAGGAAGAAGGGCAGTCGGTAGTGTAGTAGTGATGATGATCGCTGGATGGACTGACTGCGGAATGCGGAGAAGCGACCGAGGCGTGACCCCACCTGACCCGCCGCCGTCTTAGTCAGTCGCCGTAAAATATCCAATCCATCATCCCACTTTCGACTTCAGGAACAAGATCACTCTGCCCCTCGCAGGCTATACACATCCCCTTATCCTCACCATGGCTGAGTCCCCTGCAGACCCCATGCCCACGGGCGCAGGTGCGCCCTTGCGACAGCCCAAGAAGCGCTTCGTCGGACGACGCACAGCAGACGCTCAGGCGCAGAAGGACTCCTCATCCACACCCACCGACGTCGAAACCCCCACCAGTATACAAAAAGGTATGAATGGACTCACACCACACCAAACACCACCACTCTACACACACACACACACACACACACACATCCAACTCAATCCAACATAATCTCAACGCATCATACACCAACAACTAACCCCCAATCCCAACAGCCACCCCGCGCCGCAACCCACGCACCCTCAACCAGGTCCCGCCCGAAATCCTCTCTGACCCCGAAATCCTCGCCGCGATCGAGCTGCTCCCACGAAACTACTCGTTCGAGATCCCCAAAACGATCCACCGGATCCGTTCATCCAACGCGAAACGCATTGCGCTCCAATTCCCGGAAGGCCTACTCATCTTCGCGACGACGATCTCGGACATCCTCACCCAATTCTGCCCGGGCATCGAGACCCTCATCATGGGGGACGTGACATACGGCGCGTGCTGCATCGACGACTACACGGCACGGGCACTGGGATGCGATCTGCTGGTGCACTACGCGCACAGCTGCCTGATCCCGGTCGACGTAACCAAGATCAAGACACTGTACATATTCGTGGACATCAGCATCGACACGACGCACCTCCTCGCGACGCTCGAACGGAACTTCCAGCCCGGGAAGACGATCGCCACGGTCGGCACGATCCAATTCAACGCCACCCTGCACGGACTGAAGCCCGTTCTCGAACGCGCGGGGTTCAAGGTCCTCATCCCCCAGATCACCCCGCTCTCCAAAGGCGAGATCCTAGGCTGCACGTCCCCCACCCTCTCGGAGAAAGAAGTCGACGTGCTCCTCTACCTCGGCGACGGTCGCTTCCATCTCGAATCCGCCATGATCCACAACCCCGCTATCCCCGCCTACCGATACGATCCCTACTCGCGCACGCTGTCCCGCGAGACATACTGTCACGATGAGATGCACACGCTGCGCCGGGATGCCATCAACACCGCCAAGTCGGCGAAGAAGTGGGGGATCATTCTGGGGTCGTTGGGACGGCAGGGCAACCCGAATACCATGGCCATGATTGAGAGGCATCTGGATGAACGCGGCATTCCCTTTGTCAATCTGCTGCTGAGTGAGATTTTTCCCGGCAAGTTGGCCTCCATGGCCGATGTCGAGTGTTGGGTGCAGATTGCTTGTCCGCGGCTGAGTATTGATTGGGGGTATGCGTTCTCCAGGCCGCTGTTGACGCCGTATGAGGCGTTGATTGCGCTGGGGGTAAGGGATGGGTGGGACGAGGAGAATGGGGGCGTGTATCCGATGGACTTCTATGCGAAGGATGGGCTCGGGAGGACGAAGCCTCAGGTTCTTGCTACTTGAACTTGAGTCGGTTCCGATGAGAAGATGGGGAGGTGGCGACTGAGATCAGGTCAGGCCAGGCCTTGTAATGATGTCAAGTGATTTTGCATGATGCATATGACTATAGAGATTTATTTTTTTTATTGTTTATATCTTATATCTTATATCTTATATACCAGCTGCCGCGGGGGGACTGGGTGATGAAAAAAAAAGTTTATGATCATGAAATGTCAGGACACTGATTCCAAAATTCATGCAAGGTTATCTATTTTCCTTTTGGTAATCATACATCAATGGAGTTTTAAATCATCACAGCAGTAGGTCATGATCCCTTGACTTCGTCCGCACTGTCCGTGTTCAGGTCACTGGCACTTCCTCGTCGGAGCGAGAGGATGCTTTTGCTGGCCAGCTCGTCGGCTGTTCGCTCCGCCGCCCGCCATCTCGTCACGGCTTGTTCGACATCCTCGAACATCTCCAGTGTGTCTTTGATGATGCCGCCCTCGTCGGGCTCGGGGACCAGCGTGCTCTCCCGGGACCCGCCGTCGCTGGTCATGGGGAACGCCGGCCCGAAGCCACGTTGAGGGATGGGATTGAACATCACAGCATTGGCGAACATGCGGATCAACTCCTTCTCAAGCTGCGCGGAGTTGACAACGCCCTTGGGAGGGATGACATCCTCCGTCTTTTGCAGCATGAGGACAGCGTTCTTGGAAGGTGTCCCTACACCAGGAGCGGGCGACTCCCCATCTGCGACTGGGGTGTTCGCGGCTTCGGTAGCGGCAGCCACAGCCCGGCTGCCTTGGTGGATCAGCGACTTGATGGACTTCAGATCCTGCGGTCGGTAGATCAGATCCCGATATCCGGGGGCATCCCGCTCCGTCAAAGGCTTGGTGAAAATCGACGCATGCTTGTGTGTGGTCACATCGTTCATGATCGGAGCTCCGGTTCTAGGGAAGTTGCGTGCGCATAGCACGTACGGTGTCGACAAGTTGGGATCAAGGCGACTGAGCTGAGTGAACTCCGATTGAGCGGGTTCGACTTCCATGCTCTCGCTAGGGGCGCGTTTGCGTTTAGGCCGCCCTCTGCCAGGACGACTGACGGACGGACGTTCGGGTTCGGCAGCCTCCGAGACACCAGCCGGGGTACTGGGCACTTCCCGCTTGATCTTTGCCGTGGAATCTTCGTCCCGAGACAGAACGGATCTCCCTCGACTTCTCGACGAAGCCGTGCTTCTATCACGGTCCTTACCAGCCGACAGCGTCGCTTTTTCAGCTTTCCTTTTTGTCCCCTTGCTCTCTGAGTCGCCAGTTGGCAGGCTTTGTTCCGTGCTAGCTCCAGCGCCCTTGCCATCAGTCCGGCGTTTTCGACGGGGAGGTTCGGGTTCTTCTGGCGTGGCTTCACGGGAACCCATCAACGAGGGCGCCTTCTCACTAATCGGACTGATCTCCTCGGGGCGTGGCCGATCGGGGGAGCGAGGCGAATCGGGAATCAACAACCGAGGGGTCTTCTTCCACGGCGTAAGAGAACCGCTGGTGTCAATCGAAGGCCGAGGAGGCCGCGAACTTGGTGGCCGTGAATAGATTGACGCTTGAGCAGGGTTGATCGGCGTCTGGAACGGAGGTCTTGGTATGGTAGGAAGTGGTGTTTGGGCAGCCGCAGGCACAGGAGCCGGCGTTGACGGAGCCGGCGTTGGCCGGAGGCCTTGAGGTCCCTTCTTGGTCTCGAAGGTTGGAGTAGGTGGAGGGAAAGGAGATTGAACCGGCCGCGCAGCAGGAGCAATGTTTGTAGGTTCGGGTTTTGGTTTCGGAAGCGTGGAGGATGGTTGGGGTGTTTGCGGAGGTTGATTCAATGACCATTGCTGGAAACTGGGTTGCGGCGGGAGACGCGGAGGTGCCGGGCTAGGGGTTGCGACTGATGGCACATCCTTACCAACAGGCTTGGCGGCTGGGGTCTGTTGTTTTAGGGCCGGAGGAACGGGGACATTGACGTTTGGTGGAACTGGCGCAGGCTTGACAGCAGGAGCGCGCGTAACACCAGGTGTACGTGGCGCCGCAGCGGGCGGTGGTATTTGCGGTGGAACAAATGGCACGTTCACTGCTCCTTGGTTCACAGGAGGATTTCGAGGTGCAATAGCCGGTGGCGTAGGCACTGGGAAGACCTTTCCGTTCGGGGGTTGTGGCTGCTGAGGCGGCCGGCCGGTCGCCTTCTGGGGCGTAGACTGAGGCCGAGGCAACGGCTGCGGCGGTTGCTGAGGCTGCTGAGGCAGTGGTTGAATCTTCTTCGTCTGCTCCTTCGGTGGTTGTCCGACGGGCTGCACGACGGGCTGCACGGGCTTCACGGACGGTACGGGCGGCGCAGGCTGTGCGGGCAAAGGCTGAGGTTCTTGTGGTGGGAGTATGACAGGCTGCGCCGGTGGCTTGCTTGCATCCGAGTCCTTGCGCTGCGGTTCCAGCAGAGGCGGCTTCACACCCGTTCTCGGCGCCGGTGTCGCGACAGGCTTGGGTTCTGCATGAGGTTGGTGGACAGGCTTCTCCTCTTTGACGTCCAACGCCATTGGCTCTGGCGCAGGTTCTTGCTTCGCCGGGGCAATCGGCTGCGGCGGTGCAGGCTTGACTGGGGGCACCGGAGGTGCTTCCTGTTCTTCCCGCTGTAGCCGTTCGATTTCCTCCCTAATCTCGCTGTATCTGGTCTCCTCGTTCCTAATCTCCCTCGTCATCAAATCCTTATACCTCGCGTACAAATGCGACACCAAGCCCGGTACAATGCTGGTATGGCTTAGTCCCTTGTCCGTCAGCCCTTCCGGCCGGGGACTGCTGATCTTGCGCTTCTTCGGGTTGTTCGCACCAGGGCTCTCTGCATGGTGGCCATTCGGACCTAGCGACGGGGCGGCATCCAGGCCATCGCGTATCAGTGTCGTGTAAAGGTCCTCCAACGCTTCGGGGCTGAGCCTCCCCGCATCGTAGGCGTCATGCTGGCGCACGAACGGATTGTTGCGGAGAACGTCGGAGATGGACAGGAAGTTGGCGGGGCGCGCATCTAAGGCGGCAAGGGACTGGAAGAAGAGGAGAGATTCAAAGGGAGTGTAGGCCGATAGAGGAGGCATCCCCCATTGCCCGTCTACACGGCCACTGGGGGGGAAAGGTTTGGGAATGGGGGCCACGGTGGGAGGAGTCGCTGGAAGGTGGTCGGCACGGCGAGATCAGTCGGAAGGCAGAAAGGCTCGTCGTACTACTGTTGTTATTGTTGTTGTTGCTGCGGCGGCGGCGGCGAGGAGGGAGCTGGTAACACCGACGGGTGATTGATTGATTGATCGATTGATTGACACCTGAACGCCCAGGCCACAAAACGCGAGAGGGAAAGTCGGGGTGGCGGGACAGACCATCCGCGCAGAAAAATGAAGGGAGGCTGAAGAAGAAAAAAGAGGGATCGCGGACGGCAGGACGCGACCGTGTCAAGTTGGAGAAGCCGGGGCAGAAAAGGGCGATAAAATTGGGGTTACGTACAGAGGGACGGGGTAAGGGAGCAAAGAAGGATGAAAAGGATGGGTAACCCGACCGGCTGGGATGGATGAACGGGGGTGGATGGGATGGGGGATGGGGGATGGGGATGGGGATGAGCTGGAGGGTCGCATCACTTTCTGGTGTCGCTTTCAGTTCAGGTCCCCAGGGGGGGGGGAAAGGGAAACTTCCCTCTTCCCTCCGGGAGCCCAGTCGCCGCGCGGGAGTCACGTGCGCGCCCGGAATGTCCGGTTCAAGGCTGAGGACCATCCGCGCCAGCAAACACTCCCTCCTCTCTCTCCTACAAAGTATGCGAATCAGCGCTTTAATGGCAATTAAACGCACCAACTTGGATCTGAAAGATAATCAATCAAATTGACAACCACGCTAGCAGCCACCCGAGATTGCGATAATTTCCACATTAATATTACCTTGCACCAGCACCTTGAACCCTGCTTCTACTCGCATCAGGTTGGACATCCTTCGTCCACCACAGCTCTGGTTATCTACCTGTCCCTGAAGCGGATCTCGCATCTCTCTTGGTGGACATTGCCAAGAAATAAACCACCACTACCAACCCTAACTATGACGTGTAGGAGGAACTGTGTCAGCATGTTGTGTCGAACAAGCCCCTGGTTGGCAGAGCATCTACGGCGCCATGAGGGCCCGGGAACGAGCTCCCAATCAGACGTCACATGGCCTAAATAATGACCAGGATGGAGGGCTATAGGATAGTCAAATATATCACAGTCAAGAATAATATCCGTCAGATCTCGCAATAACACTATGAAGTCATCTCAGGGTCATCTCGCTATTTCCTGAACTGTCAGTCAGGGTCAAGCGTCATAGCACACCTAGCGCCGGACTGGAGATGCTAGCGCCGGCTCAGTCTCACACCCGGGCCATGGTGGCCGGATGAAGCCCTAAGAATAATATCGGGCGAGTTGGATATGCTGGTAAATCTTAACTTATGTCTTCACTCACGGTTTCCCATTTTTCGTTAGGGTTTCTCCTCATTGTATTAATACATATGCGAGGGGTGCAAATACTACATTTTTTTTACTAATATATATAGCGTGGAACTATAAGTGGCTATCAAAATAGATCACCCGGTAAGTTAGCATGGATATCCTCAAACTAATCATATAACTTGATTGCCAAGCAAAGATAGTAAATATGTACAGAAGGAGACGAACACTAAATACTTACCTGTCATGTCCCTTACAGTCTTCAAAATTATTTAGTCCCATAAATCATTGTGCTAATCCCACGTAATAATCCGCCGGTTATATGATTGATATGCTTAGAGTTAGATGAACTTTGACATTTCCACCACAGATCCAAACCCCACAGCTTTAACTGATCCTCTGATATCTCTGGTACTATACCCTACAGCTATCCTACCAGCAGCACGCACTAGACACCTTCTAAATCCACCCCTCTTCAACCCTCCTACCTATATAATAACCTCTCAGACAAAGCACCCTACAATTCTTTCTTGTCCTTCTTCCAAGCTTATCTCTGAGGCATCAATATCTGGCAGTAGGCAGGTAAATATCTTGACTCTGGATCCTCCGACTCCACATCTCAGATAACTCTATCCCGGATAGGGTGTCGTGTATCTATATACTTTGAATTAACCCGCGCCTCGATTTCAGAAAAGAGTTTAGATATGTCGGTCGGTGTTTACGGCTATGTCCGCCGAAAGTCCGCACATTAATATTGGGTTAGGGTGGTTTGGGACGGAGATCGCCGGTCAGACTGGCTAGTACTAGTGTTGTTGTGGGTGTTTTGGGGGATTTAGTGTGGGGTCCGCTTCGGTGAGGCGGGTCGGGGAGGGGTTGGTTTTGCCGAGGGGAAGGGAGGGTGAGGATGAAGGGGAGAAGGGGATGAGGTGAGGTGAGGAGGAGAGCGTTGGGTGGTTTGGTCATCGGTTCTTGCCTGGGTTGAAGGTGTGGGTGGTACTCCGTACTATGTATGGGATTATAAGTAGGAAGGATACGGGAATTTTACAGGATGAGGTCATATTTCTTAGAATGTATGCAGTCATGCAATGGTTAAATTTGCTTCATATATACTTATGTTGCTTTTTAAACGCTCAAGTGGTACTCCGCAGTTACAGCACAGCTCTGGAGCCCACGCATTACTTCGAACAATCGAATCACCCTTCGACTCCTCCCTACAAGTGCTCTTTGAACCACTGAACAGCCTGCAGGAAAGCACTTTCCTTGGCGTACTGCACAGTACGTTTCTCGGGGTTACCACGAACCGAAAAGCCATGCTCAACACCACTGTACAGGTTGATCTGGTACGGGAAGCCCAGATCCTTGAGAATAACCTCGGATTCGTGACGCTTCTCGGTGGGGAAGATCGCATCAACCTCAGCCGCCGAGATAGACAGGGGGCCCTTGATGGCCTTCAGCTCTTCCGCCGTGACGAAGGACGGGTGAGCGGTGTATCCGGCGTCAATCTTGCCCTGTTCGGGGTGCAAGTGACGGACGACGTACTTGCCGCCGAAGCAGTAGCCGACGGCGCCGATTTTCTGGTGATATATATGTTAGAGTCTGTGGTTTTGGGAGAGAGGGGTGGGAGACGCTCACCTTGACACCGTACTTGCTCCTCATCTCGGTAATGCAGGCCTCGATGATAGGGTCGACGTCGGCGGGCAGGTGACCCTTCTTTTCCTTGTGGTACTCTCCCCGGAGCCAGGCTTGGAGGTCAAAGCCGGCGGGACGGTTGAGGGGGATGGCATCGCCGTCGAAGAGGTCGGGCATCATGACAAAGTAGCCATTGGCGGCGAATTGGTCGGCAATGAGCTGGGCGTTGATGAAGCGGTGGCCAATGACGTCTGTGATGCTATACAAGTCCGGTTAGGATCGGGGGTCGACCATGGCGAGTGGCGTGGACCTACATCAGGATACCGTGCTCAGTGGACTTATCGGCGGGGTAGTTTGTGTAGATCTCGAAATCGTTGAGCGTGGAATAGCTGCCCGTGGCTTCTCCCTCGTGCTTGACGCCCTGGTAGCAGCAACTTCTGGGGGGGTGAGAGGTCATGATGGCGGTCACAAGGTTGGGGACTTTAAGGAGGAGATGCGACTGTAGATCTGGCAATTGAGAGAATCGGGGTGATGGCGAAGAGTTCAGTGCATGGGAGAGGAAGGGGGAAGCCGAGCTTATAAGGGCGGGGGTCGGAGATGGCGGGGCACCCGATGCCGTCGGAGCTAATCCGTTATTTCCGATGCCTCCATTCGCCGAGTCAATCGGATAAGCACTAGTTTAGTGCACTCGGCCGTTTGTTTGTTTCCCTTCGGTTTAAGGTGTCTCTTCGACATACGCAGGGTCGTTTATCCCGAGATGTAAGTGGGGACCGGGACGGGCTGGATGCATGGTATCCGTGCCGTGGCGGCGTCGCCGGCGGTGTCGAGCTGGTTGGATAAACAATTGAAGACAGGAGTCCTACAGCAGCAAAGAAATGAGGCCGTAGGACTGTTGCATTGGTGGGGTCTTGGTGGTGGCTAGCTAGAATGAAGAGAGAGGAAGAGGACGCCGTGGAGCAAGTCACTGCAGGCGCTAACCTCAGGCAGCAACCGCTGACAGATCACTCTATATATTTTTAACAACAATTTGAAGAGACAGTAATAGCAACTTAAAAGATGTTGACTGTAACTCAAAGAGGTATTGATAGCAAGTTGAAGAGATATTAATCAAACATGAAAATATTGAAAGTGCGTTGCAGAACATCATTTCAAATTAGTACATTAATAGAAAATAGTAATTCGAGCAATAAGAGCATATAACTTTCATATTGCAGCCAAGCAGAGCAACAAATATACTTAATTTTAGATCTCACATGTTAAAGACCGCATAACTGCGGCACTTGGTTGGCATCAGTGGGTAGGTCATGATCTATAGCATAGAAGAGTAAAGACCATGCAGCCCCCTGCCTGCTGCAGCTCACAGTTCATGGCCTTGTCTTGGTATGGCACCCTTTCCTCTTTGCACCAAGCGGCAGTGAAGGACCAGCAGTGAATGACGGTGTCCACCCCCACCCTAGAAAACCACCCATCTTCTCACATACAGGAGCGAGCAGGCACTTCCCAGCAACCTCTCAGTTGCCTGATCAAAGACCCTGCAGAGGTATCTCCGGCTGATGATCTGACCTGATCTGGAAGGCTTTGCAATCTCTGATCAAGCACCAACCTTGACGCGAAATCGCGGCCAGTAAGTATCCCTCGACGCGTTTTAAAAGCGAAGAGCAACAGCTGACGCGTCTGAAGCGCGCGAGAAGGAACAAGATGAGCAAGACGGAGGAGTCTCTCCCGCTTCCAGGCGTGGGACTGACGCAGGGGTTCCAGCTCCCCGACCAGACCGAATGGAATGGACACGTGCTTCCTGTCGAGTTCCCGCAGCTTGACTCGCTCCCCCGAGATCTGCTACTCCAGGGATTCGACAACTACGAGAACTGGCGGTTCATGGTCGAGTCCGTCGTGAAAGCCCACAACATGCCTCAGTTGCTCAACATGTTCATCGTCAGACCCACCGCGGGCTCTCAGCACTATGGACGCTGGGCCGTGAACTCGTCCCGCCTTGCTGGATGGCTCTTGCTTCAGATCGACAAGGATTTCCTTGAACGTCATCGTATTCGCGAGCATGCGCAGTTGTACGCGGATGACACCTTCGAGTGCATTCGCAAGGCAATGCAGCGTGAAGGCGTCTTGAGAAAGCGTACGGAGATCATCCGCCTCATGACCATGTCCAGAGGACACTATGATGAGCTCTCCCAGTACGTGCGTGCTTTCGAAGAGGTCGTTCACGTTACGGACCGTCTTGACTGTGGAATCACGCCTTTCGCTGCTGCGACCATGCTCCTCCACGAGGTTCGTCATGAGTTTGGCAATTGGGTCGCAGCGATGTCGCTGAGAATTGGTTACGACGAGGACAACGTCTATTCCATGAGTGATTTCGTGGCTTTGTGTGACGATGTCTGTTCCTTGAGTCAGCGTCTTGATAGCTAGGCTGTTGCTCATACGGGTGCTATCATCGAGGAGTGCTTGGAGGACAAGAGAATCCAGACGACAGAATTTGGACAAGTGAAGTGAGAGCCCAACGGAGTCTCCTTCCAGTTGCTGCTTTCTAACATTCTCAGAACAGTTAAGCCCTCGATCGGGTCTGTGTTATGCCTTGAAGTAGCATAGATCGGGTGAAACTTGGCTTGATATTATCGTTCAAGATACCAGGTCCAAGAGGGTAAGAAAAAAAAAACCTTGACTACAGCGCGGAACGGGCATGTCGAGAAACGGGGGTATCTGGAATCCTGGGTTTGATGAATTTGTTATTATGCAGGCACCACTTGGATGTTATGTACCAGTTGGTCTTACCCAATGTTGGGTGTCGTGCTAGATGCTGAAGGTCACGTATTGAGTATGCTTACGAGATAGCCAATCGATCCCCGTTGATACCCGCTGAAATGTGTACAAGCTCGAGTGGCAGCGCTGACTGACAAGCCAGCCCTGGGTTGGCGTTTAACCCTGGCCCTTCTTTGTTTGCTTTTGCCCAGAGCGGGGTAAATAGATAGATAGAGTCTTGGTGCCGCCATGACAGCGCAAGCCCAGCCTGGGTCGAGCCCATTTGGCTTCGTCTGCGGTCCTAAAACAGTATTTAATTTTAGTATTGCCTCGCAGGGCTCCCATCTTACTTGATATCCAACGGAGTACGAAACACCCTCATCTGAATAATTCACACCAGCATGGCACAGCCTCAGCAAACAGTTCTCATCACCGGATGCAGTGACGATGGCATTGGCTATGGTCTCGCCTTGGCCTTCCAACAACGAGGCTACCATGTCTTCGCCACGGCGCGTAACACAGACAAGATGTCCAAGCTCAAGGATCTCCCGAGCGTCACTCTGCTTGCGCTCGATGTCACGGAGAAGTCCCAAATCGGTGCTGCCGTTGACGCGGTCAGGAGCCACACTGGCGGCACACTCGACTATCTGATTAACAATGCCGCACGCAATCACTTCATGCCCATCCTGGACGAAGACCTAGACAGGACTCGAGCCTTGTATGAGACCAACGTTTGGGGCCCCGTGGCAGTGACTCAGGCCTTTGCGCCACTTTTGATTCCGGCAAAGGGTACTTTGGTTTTCATCACCTCCATTTCGGGGTATCTTAACGTCCCGTATATGGGTTAGTAAACCGGGCCTTGGTTACTGGGTGTCTCTCTACTCCGCTGATACGGTAACAAGGAACGTACGCGGCATCGAAGCGATCTATTGAGATCATCGCAGAGACCCTTCGTCTGGAACTGGCGCCTTTCGGCGTGGGTGTCTTGTCGGTGGTGACTGGCGCGGTGAAGACAATGGGGCAGACCTACTTCGGAGATTTCAGGCTCCCAGAGAATTCTCTCTATAAGTCCATCGAGGAAATCGTTGCTGCGATGGCCCGTGGTGAAGATGGCGTGGAGAGAATGGAGCTGATGACCTACTCAAACGAGGTGGTCTCTAGAATCATTCAAGGCGCGACAGGAAAGGTTTGGTATGGTTGCCACGCCGAGTCGACTCGGCACGGGACCAGCCATCTTCCGACTTCGGTTCTGGTGAGCTGAGTTTGGAGTCCATGTTCTGGGCTGTTGAATAACTACGGATATCAGACTAACAAATCTGGGTTTAGGATGCCGGGGCGGTCAAAGGTACGGGGCTGGACAGGATGTAGGTAGGAGAATGGAGTGGGTGGGACAAAGGAGGTCACATATTGTGCCATCCATCCCACTTGATCGGTCCCGATTCGAGGGCCCAAACCTGTTCTGGATGAGTGACAGCGTGTTGGTTACACATTACCCAGCCCCCGTCCGAGCTCCATGAACGGATGAAAGGATACGGAGTAATTGGGGGCGATTTCCAGCCGGGAGTTTGCCTGTGGACAAAGCTGTTGGAGGCTTAGACTACCTATTTAGAGCTTCTGCAGTGCTCAGCTCCATAAGTCGATAGATACGGAGTACTCCGTACATAGGTAGTCCAGGAAACCGGAATGGCTGAGCTCACATTAGACATGGGCTCCGCTTCACTTTTACTTCGAGATTCTTTTCTTAGAAGAAAAAAGAAGCAAATATAAGGAGGAAACCAGAAAGGCTACGGCGCGTACTCCGTACAGTTGCATGGAGCAGCCACTGCCGCGATGATGTGCATAACGCCGATGGGCTAACGGCATGGTCGAGTCGTCTTTATTATATTGCTTCTGCCGAAGACGGTGTCTACTGAGATCTCTGGCTTTCATTTATTGATGGTTCTCGCCAATGGCGGCTTTTGTGTCATTGCCTCGAAGAGCATCTGGAAGTGAGATATCAACAGTCCGTGATCACCGGCATGATCACCATTGACACATGCCCAGGAACAGCAAAGGCGACGGAATGTTATTGATGCCCTAACGGTCCGGGAAGCGCTCCATGGATATGCCCTCCCAATAATACAGACGCAGGAGGAAATTGTAGTGGAGCAGAGCGGAACTCGTAAAAGGGGTAGGCTAACGATTGAGATGCGTGAGCCATGAAGGCTTGAAGTGGACGGAAGGATAGGCAGGATAAATTAATAACGGCAAATCCAGCCTATGGAAGGCAAGCAATGCAACCGCGGGCGGACTCTATAAGTTAAATGAATAGCCGGATGTTCTGTAGAATTGCAGCGAATAGGGTGGGTGGATGGCAATGCTGTGAGGAGGGTGAGGATGTTTCAGGGATTTGATGTGACGGGACAGCCACTCTCGGTGGCAATAGAGCGGGCCGAAGTGGCAGTAAGCTAAGCAAAGCAGGTGGGGGCTGACCTCACGTGACGGGCAGGAGCCTCTCGGAGTCGCAGGCTCAGTAGTGTGAGTCTCGGTCAGGGGCACGGCTCCATCGCCAACCACTCCGGAACGACTAGTGACGGGGAGGAGCTGCGCTATTTGCCCTCCCGGGATGGAACATCTTACCTAAATGGTCGGCATCCTGGGCTAGTCCCTCAGCCATGCGATCCCCCCCCCTCCCCCTCCCCCCTTCTGCCTCCTCCTCATCCTTCCTCCCTCCTCACCCTCTTTTGGTTGTTGTATCGTACTGCCTTGTCCTACCTATGATACACACTCATACTTCACATTGCTCTTAGCACCATAGAAATTAATCCACGGACTTTGCTGCAAGCCTGCAACTCATCTCGCTCCCCCCCCTCCATCCAGCCATCGTCATCCCCCGCCGATCGTGCAGCCCCTGTCATTACTATCCATCCCCATCGGACTCGATAACTCAAAAGTGGTCCCTCCCTCCCTGGCCGATACCCAGTAGTGTGCGACAGACACCTGCCTGCCAGCCATCGGCGATTCCTGCCTGCCTGCCCCCCCTTTCTCATACTTCCTTAGATTCCCAGCCTGGCCTTGGTCTCCGTCGTCATAGCTTCTATAATTTCTGGAACCCGTCGGTGATTTTTGTACCTCAACTCACCTATTGTACTCATCATACCCAAGGCGCAAGGTCCACCCCGTCCGTCCGTGCTATCATATCCACTTAATAACCCCCTGTTCCGTTCTCGACGCGCGCGCTTCCAATCCGCCTCCCTCCACGTCTTGAACCTCATTTCGCACTCTCCTTTTTCTCATTCCTCCCCCATCTTCAGCCCTTCTCCCACCCCTTCCCTCCACCTACCTCATCTCGCCACCCATCTCCTACCACAAGCGATTCTCAAGCATCCACGAGCAAGATGTCGGACATGGACCAAGAATGGAAACCCAGCGGTCGGCCACAGTCGTTCGTGCTCCCGCTTTGCGACCCCTCTGGTCTCAGAATGTTGGCGTTGACCAAGACATGGCAGGACCATGGCACAGGCCTTCTCGTCTGCGCTGGATAGCGCCTTTTCGCTCGACTCCGATGTCAATCATCTCTCACAGACCATCGATCAAAAGTAGGTTCCACCTGACGGGTGCCGCTGCCCGGACTTCCTCGACTCCCACGGCGGGAATGCCTGAGCTGACGCGCCGGTGCGCTATAGGAGACACCAGATGATGATCCAGAATCGCGAGTTGGAACAGCTCCAGGCCAAGATCCGGGAGGCTGAGGAACGCCTCAAATCCCGACAGTCCATCGCCGGACCGCCACGTGAAAACCGCTTCTACGGGTCATCAGGTGAGATGCCGTCCTACCACTCTCGCTCTGGTCATGCGTGCCCCTAACAGCTCCCTCGAAATTCTTTAGCATCCACTTCCGCGTCGACGTCCCCCACAGATACAGCAGGTCAATACTCGAGCGGCGACGAACAACATAGGCGGGGTCAGGGTCGCAACTCATGACTGCACACCACGGGCCAGGGTTGGCTAACATCAGCATATAATCTGGGTCACGGTTTGGGATGGGAGATTTCACTGGATTCGACTTCACTGCTATTCTTTTCTATATATCCTCACACGGCGAGCAGGTCTGGAGAAATCGGTTCTGTTGGCTTGTTTTCCCGGTCATGGTCTTCCCCCGCCGCATCGATGCCGGTCTGGTATCCGGTGGAGAGACCATGTCGGCTCGGCTCTCCTGTCGTTCCTCCTCTGTCTGGCGTACTGGATGGCGCATCTGGCCGCATCCAAGCATGTGCGATCCCGCAGGCCAGGAGCGACAGCGGGGCATTCCCCGTCAGTTGTGGCGTTTCATATTGCTATCGTCTATGTAGTCAATATTTGGGCATTTATTTGGTTTTGGACTTTTTGTCGTTCCTGGGTGAAATCTAGAGAAAGAGAAAGAGAAAAATGGCCACGTAACGCGGTAGGTAACATATTAGGGTCTAGTCGTGGGCGGAGGGACCGGATTCGTCCTCTATTTTTAGCCCCATGCGTTGCACGGCATTTTGCGACAGAAACGCGTTGACTTGCAGTTGGAATGAAAATCGATCAGTGGATAGGCACATAGCTTTATCGACGGGGACGATATCTTGTGTGGGGTGATCTGGGGTAAACGCAGTCGATTAATATCGAGCGATCGATCCATCGATAGCGACTCGCGACGAGCCCGGAGGCTCACTTACCACCTTGCCTTCAACTCAAATCCCCCTTGCCCTCGCACTGTTCACTTCCTGCTCTTTTCTGTGCGCTATTCCCCAGTCCCGGGTATAACTATCTTATCTTGGTTTAGTTATCAGAGATGGATTCGAAGATTAGAAGCGTCGCGGGCAATCAGTTGTCCAACGCCTGGCTGGGTGGGTAGCTTGAACTATGGCAATTGAGCATTTGTTAGCGGTTGGGTTCAGTAAGTAGTTCTATTCTCATGCTGGGTGCCTGTAGCACATCTCTGGAAATGTTTTACCTGTGGCTGGTACCCAAAGACATAGATAGTACGTTAGCAGAAAGTCTCACCAAAGGTTTGCATTCGGTCAGGCATAGGTAACTACGCTATCTAAGTAGTCCCTTCCCATAGCAGCACCCCCATGCCATCCATTGGATATTCAGTATTTTATTATCACATTATCTGCAGCGCATCGCGTCATGTCTGTCTGAGATGCTAGCCGGAAATGGCGATTCCGGACTTACCTGACCATACAGTACTGCGTAAGTAGTACTGAGGGTTGCACAGGCTGGTGCACCACTAGGCCGGTGTCTGAGAGCGAACGGGCATCAACCAACATGTACTCGATACATAATGGTATTCTGCTGCTCTGCGATACGGTGCCTACTACCTACTACCTTACGTATATGAGCGCCCCTGTTAGAGAAAAGCTAATTGCAGCGCAAAAGCGAACGAGGAGGGATGATGTCAGAGCGCCCCCCGCGACCTTGGAAAGGCCGACGAATCCCCAGGAAATAAGCGCCCGAGCGGCGGTCCAGACCCGCGGGTTACTACTATTACATATACTATTATTATCAGGTAGCAGCAGTACCAGGAAATGAAAGTAAGATAAGAGAGAGAGAGAGCTCTGAGCTGTCCGGCCTGGCCTGCAGGAGCTGTCCTGTCTATGTCGGCCAGACGTACGTCCCTGAGCTCCCGTCGGTTCCCTGTTTCCCTGGCTGCCCCTCTTCGTCCTCCTCGTTGCCTTCCTCCCCTCCCTCCCCTCTCTCCCCTCTTCCCTCTTAAACCCGTTCCCCGACCCTTTTTCTTTCTTCTCCGCATCTCTTCTCCTCTCGTGGTAGGCACCCCCGTACAGCCAGCCCCATCCCCCCACCATGGTCCTCATCGACAAGCACGTCTACGAATCCAAAGAGGAGCTCCGCCTGAAGGAAGACAAGGAACGCACCCGCTACTGGAAAAAATGGGGTCCCTACGTCGCAGAGAGACAATGGGCCACCGGTATGTTCTGCCTTCGTGCTTGGGAGGCAATGGGACTGACGGATGACCTCATTTTCCCACCCCCGCAGTTCGGGAGGATTACTCGTAAGTCTTCCCAGCCAGGATCACCAGGATCGGAACTGGAGACCCATATGGACAATCACTAAACCTGTACCTTAGAGAGAATGGAGACGCCTGGAGCTGTAAGTCCCTCCTCCCTCCGCCCTCTTCACAGGCTTGCCGCGCGCCCCACGGCTGACCATCGCGCGCCTAGACTTCTCTCATGATCATGCGCGGTCCAGGACCTATCGCTGGGGTGAGGATGGAATTGCCGGTGTCTCGGATACCCATAACCTGCAGAATATTGCTTTTGCTTTTTGGAATGAGAAAGAGTACGTTCTTCTCGATCTCCCCGGGGCGATCCCGATTACACTACACTAGCTTACCAGGCAATAGCGGGTTCCTCAAGGAACGCCTGTTTGGGCTATCCAATCCTCAGGGAAATCACGGTGAAAGTGTCAAGGAGGCTCATTTCCATGTGGACAATACCCCGACGGTAAGTTTCCGAGTTGGCGAGAAGGGGCAGAGACCACAGATTGTCTGACTGTGTCACGCCTTTAGCATTCCTACATGAAATACCTCTACAAGTATCCCCAGAAGGAGTTCCCTTACAAGGAGCTTGTCGATGAGAATGCTAAGCGTGGGAGACTGGAGCGTGAGCACCAGATCCTCGATACTGGGATCTTCAATGAGAACCGGTACTGGGATATCTTCATTGAGACGGCAAAGGAGGAAGATGACGAGGAGGAGCTTATATTCCGGGTCATCGCCTACAATCGAGGACCCGAACCGGCCAACTTGCACATCATCCCTCATGTATGGTTTCGTAATACCTGGGGGTTCGGCCAAGATGATAAGAACGAGAAGCCCTCGATTGAGAAGGTCAGTGATATGATTGCCAAGACCTCGCACCACAAGCTGGGGCAGCGGTATGTACGATTCTCTCCCTCGCCGCCGGTTGGTGATAGCGAGGAGGATGTCTACCCCAAGATGATGTTCACTGAGAACGAAACAAACAACGAGTTCCTGTGGAAGACCAAGAATGACCAGCCGTACGTGAAGGATGCCTTCCATCGCCTCATTGTCGATGGAGAGAAGGATGCAATCAATCCTGACAACAAAGGTACTAAGTTTGCTGCCTGGTATGCCTTCAATGAAGGCAGTGGTGTTCCCCCTGGTGAATGTGCTGTTGTGCGTTTCAGGCTGTCCCGAAAGGTCGAGGACGCTATTGACGAAGAGGTACTGGACAACGTCATTGACGATCGCAGAGTTGAGGCAGACGACTTCTACTACCATATCAGCCCTCTACCTATGAGCGAGGACCTGCGGAATATCCAACGCCAGGCATTTGCCGGGATGATGTGGACCAAGCAGTTCTATCACTTCGTCTGGGACAAGTGGTCAAACGGCGACCCTGGCATGATGCCACCTCCTCCGGGAAGGAAGCATGTTCGGAACCAACAGTGGAAACACCTGTACATGGAAGACATTCTTTCGATGCCTGATTCATGGGAATACCCGTTTTTCTGCGCGTGGGATACCGCTTTCCATTGCATCCCGCTGGCGATGATCGACCCTGAATTTGCGAAGAAGCAGCTGGACCTCCTCACTCGAGAGTGGTATATGCATCCCAACGGGCAGCTCTCCGCCTATGAGTGGAACTTTGGCGATGTGAATCCTCCGGTACACGCATGGGCCACATTCAGAACCTTCAAGATTGAACGGAAGATGTATGGCCGACAGGATCTCGACTTCCTGGAGCGGGTTTTCCAGAAGCTGCTGATCAACTTTACCTGGTGGGTCAACCGTAAGGATTCCGACGGCAAGAATGTCTTCGAAGGTGGATTCTTGGGGCTGGACAACATCGGACTGTTCAACCGATCCGAGCCTCTCCCTACCGGAGGAGTCCTGGAACAAGCTGATAGTACAGGCTGGATGGCCTTCTACTGCCTGTGCATGCTAAACATTGCGCTTGAGCTGGCTAAGCACCGACGGATTTATGAAGACAGTAAGCATCCCCATCAGCGATATATTTTCCCGCTAACCGATGTGTAGTTGCATCGAAATTCTTTGAGCATTTCATTCTGATCAGCGATGCCATGACTTTCAAGTCCGGAGGCCAGGAGACTTCTCTCTGGAACGAGGAGGATGGGTATGCGAGCCTTTTAGTCAGAAAGTAAATGACTAACTTCCGTCAGATTCTACTACGATGCCATCTCCTATGGCGAACCTTGGACGCAGCAGCTCCCTGTGCGATCCCTAGTTGGTCTGATCCCGCTGTATGCGGTACTGACGCTCGAACCCGAGTTGATCAACAAGTTCCCGTCCTTCAAGAAACGACTGGAGTGGTTCGTGGAAAACAAGCAAGATGTAGCCGAGCGTAACATTGCCAGCATGAAGCATCGCGGTAAGGACGAGCGGCTACTTCTCTCACTCGTGAGCAAGGACCGTCTGGAGAAGATCCTGAAGAGAATGCTGGACGAGACCGAATTCTTGTCCGAACATGGTATCCGTTCCATGTCCAAGTACCACGAGGACCACCCGTACTCGATGGAAGTCAACGGGCAGATGTTCCGAGTCAACTACGTCTCTGGGGAATCTGACAGTGCTCTTTTCGGAGGCAACAGCAACTGGCGCGGACCGGTGTGGCTGTGCGTCAACTTCCTGCTCGTCGAGTCCCTACTGCGGTTCTACATGTTCTATGGCGATTCATTCCAGGTCGAGTGTCCCACCGGCTCCGGAGAGTACATGCATCTAGGACACATTGCGGAGGAAATCCAGCACCGACTGCAACACCTGTTCGCGCGCAATGACGAGGGCCGTCGCGCCGTCCACGACGGATCCGATCTACTTGACTTCGACGAGCACTGGAAAGACTACATGTGGTTCCACGAGTACTTCGACGGAGACACCGGCCGGGGTCTCGGAGCATCCCACCAGTGCGGATGGACCGGGCTAGTCGCCAAAATCATCCATGATACAGGGTAAGCCATTGATCTCATACCCATTCCAAACACCACTCACTAACATCACAACCCCTCAGAATCAACTGCCGTCTCCCCCACACCCCCCGCTCCCCCCACGCCGCCGCATCCCACTACTTCGATGACAGTTACAGTCGCTCTGCCCGCTCCCGCGGCGGCAGCCGTCGTCCCAGCATGCTCCGTCGTTCCTCCACCAGCCGGTCGATCGGCAGCCGCAGCGACTTCGAGTCCGCCTGGGGTGGACGCTCCACGCCTGGACCGGAGTCGGCCTTGGACGATGACGAGAAGGACAGAGACGAGGAGCCCGATGAGGACGAGGAGCACGTGTCCCAGTACATATCGAGTCAGTTGCAGCGCGTCGCTAGCCATGCGTCGATGGCGGCATACGAGGATGAGTTTGAGGCCCAGGCAGATCATATCCCTAATGGGCATCATTGATTCAAGGTTAGAGTAGACAGTTCGTGTTCATAGAGCTGGTTGAGCAGACGGATAGTTGGGATGAGAGAATGGGTGGGAGTGTGGTAAGAGGCATCGGATGATGTGGTGATGTGGTGGATGGCGAGAGGGGAGGTAGATATAAGGTCTAGATCATGTTCGCATTTCTTCTTTTCATCCATGCTTGAGAGAGATGGATTGGTATAAAGTATAAAGCAGTATTACGGGCTTATTTACATACTACCTACCTACCTCGTACTTACTCTGTTGTCGCGGTTCCAGGAATTATCATTGTTTGTCTGTCTGTCTGTCTGATACAGTAACTTGGGTGTGCATGCATGCATTCATCGTGGGAAGAAGATACTCTTCACTTGCACACACCTAGGAGAGTACCTAGCTAGGTAACTAGGTACTTACTGGAGTACCTATGTACCTATGTACCTATGTACCTATAAATGTACTACCCACCACCTACTATATACTATACAGTGGGTACTGGGAATATGCCCAAATAGGATATGCAATATACTTACTTACTCCCTCATCCGATACCGGACAAGCCCGAACACACCCACCCCTACCTACCCTACTGAATGAACACATTAGGTCTTCCCCAAATTAACCCATCCCATCCCTTTCCTTCCATCATGTACATCCCCATCCCTAGAAGCCATATCTCTCCATCTCCATCTCCATCTCCATCAACAATTACATCTACATCTACATCTACATTTACACGAAAACGTAATCTCCACCCTATCACCCGAATAACCACAATCTTGTCTCTAAACTAGAGCCTAAACCAGCAACCTAGCCCAGCAACCCACAGGCAAAACAGGACACGGATGTGATGGTGTGGTGTGGTATGGGGTGGAAGGATCGATCGAACAATGCAAGAATGCAATTCAATCGGATAAGAATACAAAGACAAGAGAGAAAAAAAAGTCGAGTATTGAGATAGAGATAGAGATGGAGATAGAGATAGAGATATAACAACGGGAATCCAGTTAAGATGTTAAGATGTTATGCTGCTATGTTGCGGATGGTTATGGAAAAGGGTGAAAGGTAAGAAGATAATTTACAAAGCGTCGGTGAGGGCCTTGTTCAGCTTGGCGATCTTGGACGAGACGCTGAGGTCGATGGTGCGGTCGCCGATTTCGACGACGAGGCCGCCGACGAGTTCGGGGTTGACCTGGATTTTTTTTTTTGTATTAATAAGGTGGTTGTTTGCTTGAGAGGGGGAGAGAATGGGGACGTACCTTGGTGACGACCTTGAGCTTCTTGCCCTGGCTGTACTCGGACTTGGAGACGGCGCGCTCGAGACGGTTGATGGTCTTGGTGTCGAGTTCCTGGATTATTGAACATTCTTGTCAGAAATCACTTTCTTGAATCGTTTTCTCTCTCTCTCTCTCTCTCTCTCTCTCACTCTTCCCTATAACAAATTTCCCCAGACAGAAAAAGCCGTTGGAAAAGGCAAGGGGAATAAATACCTGAGCACTGGTAATGTTCAACTCAATCTCACCGCGGTGAGCACCCATGAGGGTAGCGAACTTCTCGCAGACGCCCTCCAGCAGACCGAGACGGTTGTTCTCGGCGAGCGTGTTGAGGAAGTTCTTGAGGATGTCACCCTTGTCGGCGCCGGCGACCTTCTGCAGCTCCTGGACGATCTGCTGCTTGTCGGCGGCAGTGAGCGTCGGGGCGGACAGGATGGCGAGCAGCTTGCGGTCGGCCTTGAAGGTCTGGCCGAGGGTGGCCAGAGCCTTGGACACCTGGTCCAGGTTGGCGGACTTGGCGGACGCGGTGTACTATATCAAATCAAATGGATGGAGTGGTTAGTGATGGGATCAATTTGCATGATGGGGTTGGGGTGAGGTCTGTTTCTGGCGTTTCGGGTATTGGTTGGCGTTGCTGCTTTTTTTTGTCCTTTCTTTGTTTCTTTGGCTTTTTGTTTTCTATGTATATCTCTCTTTCCACCTCTTTTCCAGCCATTCTTCCGGAATTGTTGAGCAGCGCCCTGTTGCCAGCTCACAGCGCTGCACACCAACCAACCAACCAACACCTAGATATGTAATAGGATGGATGGGTATATAGACAAGTCGCATACCAGGGCAGTAGCATAGGTGCCGTCCACACCGAACAGGGAGACAGGAGGCTTGACGTCCTGGGCCGGGGTGGCATAGGTCCTCAGACCGTTGAGGGCGGCAGTGCGAGGCACGGAGAACTGCTGGGCGGAGGCACGGAGGCCGGCGCGGGCGACGCGAACGGAGAACATGGTGTCGAATTGAGACGGAGGGACCTCGAGGGGACAGGAGGAGGAGAGATTGAGACGGGGGGACGTCGGGGGGGGGTTGGTGGAGGGTGTCTGATCGAGCAGCAACGGGCTGGTTGGATGGAGGTTGCTGCTTGCTGCGAACCCGCCAACTTCTGCGACCCGGCTAGCGGTCACGTGAGATCCCGCACACGCCGGGTTTTCGGCTATCCGCAGTCGTACACCACCACTACGGTCTGTCTGTATTCCGTACACCACTACTTCAGTTCTCAAGAAAGAAAGAAAGATCATTCATTCATTCATGCAGATAATGCGACCAATTCCCAGTCACGTCACATCCTACTCAACGCCGGTCTGCCTCTACGCGTGAAATGTGTGCCCGCATCAATGCCAATACCCGAACGCCGTCCTCTCGCTGCCGCTGCCGCTGCTGCTAGCCTGCCCTTCCTTCCAGCCGACGCATGCGAAAAAGAAAACAACCCATTAATCGCTGCGCAGCATACTATCCACCAGATCGCCCAACGGACCCCAGAAATCCTTCCCACTGGCCAGGCGGTGCTCGTCGATAAACAACACGTAGTGTTTGAAGCTGGTGTTCAGATGGGGCTCCAGACCCAGGTGCACCACCACGGGGTAGTGGTGGCAGTAAATGTGCGCGTACACGCGGTACATCCGCTTGAAGATCTGGCGCACCAGACTCGGGAAAACCTTGGGGAACGGGACGCCTGGGGTGCAAAGTATGTCACGTTAGCAACTCCGCGTATTGTACTCGTAGTTGAGAGGAGGATCGCGTAGCTCGGAGGATGGACACATACCAAGTCGGCTGGGGAAGATCTGTTCGTTGTCAACGCTGCTTTGCACCCAGGCCATCAGGTGTTCGATGTACTCCGGGGCTGACATCTTCGTCGGTCGCTTGAAGTTCTCCGAGTCTTGCCAGAGATACTCGAACCTAGGCGGTGCGGTCAGTTGGAGTGAGTTGTCGGGCGCACCCGGGGGGGAGGTATCCTACTCATCGGTCGCCTTCATTTCCGGACATGACTGGGGCGAGCAGAACTCTGTGATCGCGCCATACAGCAGGTTTATTTGGTTGTAGAAGTCGACGACTGTGGCGCGTGCACCGCTCCCATTAGTATCTGTATCGGTGTCGCAACATAACACGTCCGCGCGACGTACCATTGACTGCGAGCCACTCGTTCAGATCCTCGCCTTCGGGGAGCTTGACAGCCTTGCGCAAGCTTCCGCTGCCCAGGGTCGCCTCGGCGAACTGTCGTAGTTGGTAGCTGGTGGTGCCCTTGGCTGCCGACCGCGGTTTGAAGGGAGCCCGGGTCCGAGCATTGCTAGGAGGGGTCAGTCCAACGGGATCCTGTTTCAGCGCGCGCACTACCGGCGACAGGTACGACGGGGGCTCGGAGAGAGGGGCACGGGACGTGTGGATGGTGCTGTAGCGGACAGAGGGGGAGATGGAGATGGGGAGGGGGATGGGGATGGCTGAGGGTGGCGGGGCACCACCACCCGACGCGGCGGGCACAGCAGAGGAAAGGGTGGGAACAGACATGGTGGTGATGAAGGACGCCATCTCCTTCCGGGGATTCCCTTCTCTTCAGTCTCGCGTCAGTCGAAGACAAGCCACACACAGGAGCTTGTGCGGCGTGCTGATCTCAACGAGGCGTTGCGTGGTGGTGTTCAGGGAGAATGCGCCTAGTACATGCCGATGCGAGACACGCTCGGCGTTCGTCAGCCGGGGGGATTGTCCGAATCGTGGGCAGTGGTGGTTGTCTGACTTACCCTTGTCTGATATAAATCGCAAATTCACTGCGAGAATGCCACGCGCCGCGAACAACAGAGTCGAAGAGTCGGGGGAAGAGCGGAGCAGAGCCTGGGGATGGGAGAGAAGAGCGAAGGAGGGGGCGAATAATCTTAATATCAGCGGCGATCGAGCCGCTCGGATGAGAACCGATCAGACGCAGCGACGACAACAGCACCTCTCACGGCGCACTGCAGGCAGCCCCCGGGGAAAACACACCAGCCGGCCGAACAACACGACACGATCTATATCGAAAGTCCAGCGTCGTGCTTCTCCACGCTGCCAACCCCCCCAGCGGACCCAGGGAACCTCCCCAAGCCCGGATCCATGGATGCTGCAACGTCCAGAGTGGCAATCGCCCCGTCCGTTGCCCGGGCGACCCTCTTCGGCCGCAAGGAAACTGGTCTTTATTACATCGTCGGCGCTGGACTGAAAATTGCCATTACGTAGGGAGGGGCCCAACCTGGCGAGACTGAAAGAGATAGATAGATAGATACAACAGCAGCAGATTGCAGAAATGGATTGTTGTCATCGAGCAGCCCTATCGCTAGCTCCAAGGCTAAAAGACTACTAACAGTAAGACTCTGCAGACGTCACACAACCAGGCCCCCCGGAACAGAACAGCCGTGTGAGGCTAGTAGGACATTATCTATCAATTAATTACATGGCACGAAAAGAAAAAAAAAAAAAAAAAACCCCCCCCCTCATCGTTACCTCCGCCCGGTACTACTGTGTAGGCGGGGATTCTTCGTGACTTTTTTTTTTTTTGGTTCACCCATCCCATCTTCATTCTTCTCTCATATCGAGTATCCTTCGTTCTCCTCCGGCAGTCGCTCGCGCACTGTCTCCCCGTAAATCGTGATCGGGATAGAGATTTCAAATGACTCACAGCCCAAGTTCTCCAGGGCGGACATGATGCGCCCGCGGTCATCTTCCGACACGGCCTCTAGCAGGCGAGCACCGGAGGGGGCGGGCCCGTCGTGCATGCTACTGGTCACAAATTCGAACCGCAACTCCCACTCGTGGTTCACACCGGTGGTGATGATGGTCGGCGTCGCAGAGACTGGGATGGCCGGGCTGAAGACTACCCGATTCGCATACAGGGTGTTTTCGAAATACGACGCGTGGATCTTCCGCGTCGCACGTCGGATGCTCGCGTTCGACCGCACCGCGAGAAGCGGCGAGACCCTCTCGGAGCTCTCCAACGTCGCCCGAACGGCGTAGCAGGGCAGGGCGGCATCCGCGAAGTTGATGGTTGCGATGATGGTCTCACCGAGTCTGTGCGCCGGGCGGTTGAGCACAACCACGGCTATCCGGCGCCCGTTCCGAGCAATCTCAAATCGGTTGGGACTGCGCGAGGAATTGGGTGCCTGGTTGCTCCGGAGAATTGCCAGGTCAATGGCATCTTTGCAGGATAGCAGGTCGGTGGATGCGTCGCGACTAGGGCGCTTCTCGAACGTGGCCTCGGGAAGTTGCAGCGAATTGTTACGACAACTCTGCTCGAGGATCTCGTCCACGTACGACAGAAACTCCGGGGCGGAGGTCCAGGTCAGCCCGCTGATGCTCTTGGGCTTGGCTGCCACGGGCTGGGCAGACCCGACCTTCTGCACTCGCGCCTCGTCGCGAAGGAGAACATAAGGACACATTAGATCATGCCCAAGGACATCTCCATGGCCTGTAGTCGTGTTAATGCCGATGCGGGCTCGGATTAAAAGATGACGAGAACTCACCATTGACCCCGCTGAACACGCGGAACGGTATACTGATGCGGTTGACCCGCTGCGGTTCGTGGTGCCCGCTGGGGCGTTGTGTTCCTATAACAAGATTGTAAGAGATCTTGATGGCCTTGCCCTTGTGACTCGCCGGAAGACCGCTCGGTAGTGTAAAAGCAAATGAGTATGACTGTTCTTCTCCCGGTGCAAGTCGCAAATCCACAAAGAGAAGCGACTGGGTCGTGGACAGCAACGGTATAGATCGCGAAGAGGACACGCCTCGCATGTCCCTCAGTCCATCCAGTTCATTATTCGAAAGAAGTCCAGTCAAAGACTCCTCAATCGCGTTCCATTTGAAAGCACCCCAGAACCCACCGCCCTTCCGATTCTTGTCGCCGCCCGTGCCCGGCTTCCCACCGGACATGCCCCCCGCACCACCAACGACTCCTTTTCGCTTCACCTCTTCGAAGTATGATTGATGAATCAATGAGCCATCAACGGTGAACGAGGCGCTGATCTGGGCATATCCCATGAGCAGAGTCTGGCTGTGGGGCGATAACCCCGGCGAGTCGACGTTGGACATGTGCCGGGCATGACGAGGGGTCTGGCGCGGAATTGCCATCGAATAGTTCGTGTACTCCGACTGGAGGGTTTCCTCGGAATTGTCGCTGACAGAGTTGTACTCCCCGCTGCTCCGATGGCTTCCGCTGAGACTGGAAGTCGACATGATCCGCGTGAGCTGGGGTAGATGGCCCGGCGCAGTTAATGTCGATGCGTCCTTTCCATTTGGCTTCACCGCACCGGGGTATTCCTCCACAGGCGTCGTTAGAGGGGATGCGGATATGACAGGACGGGTGTTGGTGTCCGTTCCGGGGGAGGGGGGGAACTTGAACTCGATCGGAGACAATTGAGGTCGGCGCGACTCTGTTGGGTAATTAGGGCCCGACCCGCCTGGTATAGAGCGCCCGGCGCTGTTCACTCCATCGATGTCTATTCGGGGGGTTCCGGGGGATTGGCGGACGGGGGACTCTGGCGGTGGGATGCCACGGGTGGAATTGCGTCCAGCTAGAGGTCGATTGTGATTAGCTTTCTGGTCAATCAAACTGGCTATCCGTTGTAAACGGCGGTACCTTTCGCGAATGAATCTTCATAGAACTCGTTCCTTCGGGGTAAAACTTGTAGACTCGCAGCACGCCCATGACCCCACGTCGGCCTGGACCGACTGTATTGTGAAGATGTCCTGGGAGTCGGCTCGCCGGTTCCCTCGCTATCAATGGACAATATCGAGACCGATCGCTTGTGCGTGCCACTGGGGGGTGGGCCATTGCGGGGGGAGGAAGTAGGCGGGAAGCTGTGAGATCCGATCAACGGCGAGCTCACGGACGAGGAGATGCGGTGCGACGGGCTTTTCTTCGGAATATTCGGGTACGATCGGCGGTGCGGACTGAAGAAGAACTTCTGGGGTGATCTCAGGGAGAACAACGACTCTGAATGGGAGCTGGTGGCTCGCGATGGCTGCCTCTGATGCAAGGTCTGGCCCCCAGCCCGGGGCTCGACGTTGGTCTCCGCAACGTTCTTAAAGGTGATGATGCATTCGACATCTTCCCCCGCAAATATGGTCTGTTCCTTCCATTTGACAAAAACCTGGATGTCCGGTGGCATGGCGGCGCGATTGCAGGGTCACCATATGGGCGGGCGACCGCAAGCAAGAATCACGGAGCTTGGGGTAGATGGCGGGTCCCAGCCGCCACCTGAAGGGGTTGGATCGGGGACTGGCCGGTATAATACAGAATGAGAGAATAGATCGATGCCAGCTAGGCCATACCGTCAAATCGCATGAGCCATGATGGGGTGGAGGGATGTAGATGGAGGGGGAGGGGGGATAGAATAGAGTGGGTGAGCGAGGCCCGGCCAGAGGTCGAGAGCCCGCCGTTCGTGTCGGGGACGCGGTGGACGACTAGCGGTACCGCCGACGGAGCGGAAATGCGACCCATGGGGGCAGCAGCCCAGCAACTCCACACGGATGGCGGTCTACATGACATAGATATATACCAGCAAGCCTGGCGTTGGCATCCGACCGAAATTCAGTTTGCGGCCAATCTGCAGAGGAAGTCCATCTGCGAGTCTCCTCCACCCTCCATTGTTGGATCTCTCCATCCCCGCAAAAAGGTCCCTACCAAGGCTCGGCTCCGGATCACGCTATTGGGGAGAAAAAAGAAACGATACACCAAAGGCAACAAATACCCTCCCATGCTTTTCACGCAAGGCCGTTTGAGTTGATTATATGATACATGGTCTACTTCTAATATACACACTGTGCACAGCACTCCCCACATGCTAGTAAGTCTCCTCCTTCTCCTTAGGCGCCTTCTTCTTAGGAGCATATAGCAATCTGTTGGCGTCAAGTAAATCCTGTTGGCGCTTCCTAGGCGGCCGTAGACCCAACTCCGACATATGACCCCAGATCCGATCGTGACGTTTCTCCCACCGTTGCCGACGGTCTTCGGTTTCCTCTGCAGAGGGTCTCCACTTGCTCTTCAGTATCCGACGAATAGCCTCGGGCGACACCTTGAATTCTTCTGCGAGGACGGGTGTAGTGAACTTCTCCGGGGCAGTCTTGTGGAGGTGACGGATCCCCTCCAGGGCGTCTGGGGAGAGTTTCTTGGGGGGGTTCCACCCTTGCTGGAACTTTTCCTCCAATGCGTGCTTCTGGATTTCCCATTTCTCGGGCTTTCTCTCGGCCTTGGAAGGCCGTTCTCGATCCCCGCGTGAATCCTTCTTGGTCCGTTTAGACTCCACCGGTTTTGTTTCAGATGAATCCCCCCTCTTGGTCTTGAATGTCCGGGCATCGCTTCTGGGTCTGCCGCGTTTGGTCTTGGTATCAGCACTCTCTCCTCTCGCGTTCGAGGCTGCCTTGGTAGACTTCTCGCCACGCGGGGGTTTCCTTGTGATGTCCGATTGTGGTTCACTGGAGACGTCGGGGCTCGTGGAGGAAGGGTCCTGCGCCGACGACAGGCATGTTGATTGAGAGATCTGGGCACTCAGGAAAGAGCTAAATTGTCGTTGTTGGATTCCGCGGTTATAGGATGGTAGAGGCGTTATCAAGAGACCCCGATGGGTAGAACCACGGTGGGCGTCAGCGGCGAACTCGGAGCGAAGAGCATTGCGCAGAAGATTGGGAAGAGATAGTTTGAGGGACGAAGTGCAGATATTTGTCATGGTGACCGTCAGACAAGACGCAGGGCATGAAAGACCGGTAGAGAGTCGAGATAGCAACGTTGACCTGGGGAAAATATTAATCTCCCGGGCACTAGAATCGGCCGCGCCTTCTCGAACGGGGCTAGAACATTTGTAGCCTGAGGTGTCAATGTCATGTGATCCCGACGGAGCATCCACTGCCGGAGCATCAGCTGAGCTGGCACCCGCATGACCACTTCAATAGTAATCAGTAAAGATTGTAATAGGACAATGTAGACGGCCGTTCCCACAGACAATCAACCTGGTCAGCTGGGATCATCCCATTCATACGAGGGGAAGGGGCACGAAGACGCCCGTAAGCGACTGGAGGGAATTGAAGATTCACATTTCTAGATACTCAGGATGGGGCGCCTGCACTACCACAGCCGAAATGAAGCATCCCGGCATTCGCTGCCTTACTTCCCTTAGGCATCAGTACTAGTGCCCGAGTATCCCTGCTTTGCAGTAGCACCGTACAGTTAGTTACCGGTAAGCTAGTACATAACCGTAGTGGCAGGTCCCTTTGTCTAAAGTCTGAAGGGACTACTCCTCCATCCCAGCCCCTGGACCTCTCCAATGTTTTAATTTTAAGTATCGCCAGCGATAGGACCCTGTATACTGTATAGATCCTCCCTCACCTCTTTCGGGCCCCTTTCTCTCCGGAGGGGAGGGGATCACCGGTTCCGCAAAGCAGGGAGGATGAATTGGGTGTGCGATGGACCATTCCCAGCAGTCAGAAGGATTGGCATCCCCACTGCGCCGGGGCCAGCAGACGCCCCGAGAGGCACTGAACAGGCCGATCAGCCACTCGTTCATTCCCAAAACCCGCCGGGAGGTTGGCCCGATCAGTGGGCAAATAGGGAGGGAGGCGATGGAGCCGCGGGACGACGGGGTTGAAAATGAAATCAATACACCCTTCTTTTTTTTTTCCCCATCTGCTTGTGCCAGGGATCGATCGTCCTGGATCTTGATCGCCTTCCCACGGGCTGGAGCATCCCGATTTTTAGGCCGGCAGGCAGTCCATCCCATCCATCCAGGGTTCGCCCATCCTTTCCCTTCCTTCCCTCCCGCCCGTCACTCTTCGGCTCTCCGCCCGCCGTGGAATGTTTATGCGGCCTTGAGCTTGGAAGCTCCTCCGATCATCCTCGATTCACACCTTCGCTCACATTCATTCTGTCTTGGCTTCATTCTCATCGTTGGTCCTTTCCCTACATTCTCTCGTTTTGTCTCTCTCTCTCTCTCTCTCTCTCTCTCTCTCTCTCTCTCTCTCTCTCTCTCTCGCTCTGTCTCTGTCTCTCTTTCTCTCTTCATTTCCATTTCCCCTGTTTGTTGAAATCATCAGTCACTCGTTTGGTCCGCTGTTTCTGTTCTGATCGCTCTTTCTCCTTCTCCGTCCAGTCGCTTTCCAGTCTCCTCCGCCTTTTCTCCCCCTCCTCTCCAGCCTCTGCGCCGCCGACCACAAAGAGAAACTGGCACTGCAAGTGCCTTTGCCTTCAACCCCCCGATCTCCGCGACCTTTCTGGCCGAAAACCCCCTGCCACCTATATAAAGAAAACCTCCGCCATCCCGCCCGTCCTCCTTCCCTCCTCACTCGCGGCCTCCTCCCACCACACCAGGGTCCGATGTCGATTGAAGGGTTTGCTCGTTCTTAGCAGACCTCCAGGCGAAATATATCGTCGCAGTTTGCAAATGCGATCGAAACCTTTCCAACTCAAGGACCGTGAACCATTTGACTGGAGCCGACCTCCCTCCTAATTGTGATGGCGAACAACTCGTTCAGCGTGAGGAGCAAGGCAGCTGCCCCGGGCTCGTCGCTCCGCATCACTCCCTCCAACTCGCCCATCCTGAGACCACCGACGCGCTCCTCCGCTCACAGGGCACCACTGCACCAAGCGAACTTGACTCTGCAGACGGTCATCGGCACAACCACAACTACGCCCCATGGGTTCGCCTGTCATGAGCAGAGCAGGTCGTTCGCTCTTTGCGCCGGGTCAACGGCGGTCTTGGCCGAGCTGGACGATGAGAACCGTATGAACCAGCGCTTCTTCAAGGCTCGACCCTCCGCCACCAGCGTCAATCCAGTTACCTCGTTCTACGGCCAATCCACTCCTCCGAGCACGCCCGACAGCAGAGCTAAATTTTCAGGAAGTGCAAGATCATCCGCCCCGCCGAGTGTGTATGGCACCTCTCCGTCCAATGACCCTACAGACAATGGTAGCCCTCGAGGATGGTCGTCTCGGGAGAGAGTGAAGGCGGTCACCTGTACCGCGATCAGCCCTAATGGAAGGTTTCTGGCAGTGGGAGAGGTGAGCCCAGCAAAGTCTCATGCCAATACAAGCAGGCGTACTAACTCATGTTAGACGGGCTACAGCCCCAGGGTCTTAGTTTTCTCGACGGCCAAAGATGCCTCTCCCGAGGTCCCACTCTCAATACTTACTGAACACACGTTTGGGGTACGAGGTTTGGCCTTCAGCTCCGATTCCCAGTATCTAGCCACTCTTGGTGATGTAAATGATGGGTTTCTGTTTGTATGGTCTGTCAATTTGAAAAACGGCTCCGCCAAGCTCCATTCCACGAATAAGTGCACTACTTCTGTTCGTGACATGTGCTGGATGGGACAGACTTTGATCACGTAAGTTCCAGTAGACTATCCCACGATTCACGCAGAGGGGAGACTAAAGCTTTCCTCAGGGTAGGGGTTCGACATGTCAAGGTTTGGAGGCTTCCAGATGCGAGACCGGGGTCTCCCAGATCTCGGTTAACCGTGGAAGCTTCCAGCAGCTCTCCGAATCAGGCTCCCAGAGCATTTTCGGGGAGAAACTGCTTACTGGGCTCACTGGTAGAAAGTACTTTCGCCTGCGTAGCTGGCATCTCCGATCGCGAGGCGGTGCTCGGCACAGAGACCGGGGCTCTGTGCTTCTTGGATGACAGTGAGGGGTCTCAGAAATTGTGTGTCGTTCAGCATATGGAGTTCGGTATAACTTCTTTGGCGGTCGATTCAAGCCGCTCCTGTATCTGGATCGGTGGCCGTGGGAGGCAAATCCAGCGACTGACATTTGAGAAAATACGGGCTTCGACTATCCCTTCTTCTCCCACACTTTCCGGCAGATCCTCAGCTGAACAAAGTTCCAGGGGGCCGGCCGTCATCGGCATGGGATCTCTGGGGTCCCATCTCGTGGCGGTTGACACGACAAACAACATTGATCTATATCCAAATGACAGATTAGGAGACGACGTTGACCAGATGGATGCTGAAACCACTGTTTCCGCGCATAGGGATGCAGTCCTTGGGATCTGTCCATTACAAACACCAAATGAGCTTGAGGCTGATTTCTTTACATGGTCACGCAAAGGCGCCGTGAACTTCTGGAACATCCGAGGGAAGTGCAAGGCTTCCCATGCCATTGCCCTTGAGCACCCTCCGGGTTATGATGAAGAGGCTTCCAATGAACTGAAAGTACTTCGCACCACACAAGATATGGAAATGTTTGTTTCTGGTGACAAGTTCGGTGTTCTCAGGTATTTTGTCACCATTCCATTCAATATTTGCAAGCGCTTACTAACTCGCTACTATAGAATCTTTCTAGGCCAATCGTGGAAATCTGTTCATGAAGTCCGAGCTCACGGGGGAGAAATTATGGATATTGCCATACATATGACACCTGAGACCTGTCTAGTCGCGAGCTCCGGTCGTGACCGCATGATTCAACTATTCGAGAGGACGGACGACAGCCTGCAATTAATCCAAACCATGGATGATCATGTCGGAGCTGTGGGGCAGCTTCTCTTTATTGACAATGGAGAGAGGCTCGTCTCATGTTCTGCTGATCGTACTATCCATGTCAGGGACCGGGTTAGTCGAGAGGTCAATGGGACGACCATCATGGCCTATATGATCTCTAAGGTGATCACAATGAAGGCATCACCGGTGTCCATGACTCCTTCTACGGATGACCCAGATACACTGGTCGTATCCACTGCCGATCGGTGTATTCATCAGTATGACCTGGCGTCTGGCCGTCAACTCGGTTCCTTCCGGGCAATTGATTCGGATGGAACTGACACCGTCGTCATGAGTTCTTTGACAATGATGTCCCAGGGCCCGAGGAAAAATATTCCTAAGCTGATAACTGGGATGTCTGGCACAGACAAGTCAATCCGTGTTTATGACTTGGACCGCGGGGTGCTTCTCGCCGGGGAATTTGGACATACGGAGGGAATCAGCGACGTGTGTCTCCTTGAAAATCACCCTGATATCCCTGGAAATGAGCGGGTCCTTATCAGCTCTGGTCTTGACGGACTAGTGATGATATGGGGCTTATCTGTCTCTTCCCAGTCGTCCCACGATTTCACGCAGACCATCGGTAAGGCCGATGACGATGTTCCGGTCAAAGAAATGACCGTTGCAAAGCCGCCTCTTCGCAGAATACTGTCGAGGAGTGAACTCGCCGGGTTTCAACGACAGGAGAATGTTACGGTTACTCCAACTCCTGCCCGTGGACACTCACCGACATTCCTGCGAAAGTTTTCCAAGTTCACTCTTTCTCCCGCCCCGAAAAGTGGGAATACTTCACCCACAACCCCTTCGTCCGCTTCGAACCGCCGTCCCTCTCCTACCTCTAGCGCTCGTCGAGAGAAGACGCACACATCACCTTGTCCACCCAGCTCTAAGCCAACCAGCACCAGGAAGGCTGGGAGCAGCCGAAGTGAGTCCCGCCGCTCATCTCTCGACCTTCGAGCCCGGGCTAGAAACACCGCGAAAAGCGACTTAGGGGGGCTGAACACCTCCACTGAGCAAGTGTGTCGTCAATTAAAAGCTTTTAGAAAAAGGCTTAACGGCTCAACTGAACATATTCATGCTCAAAGGGAGCTTGAGCGAGAACTTGGTCTCACCCTGCGGGTTCTCTCCTCCCGCGGCAATAATAGTGAGAGTGCAGAAACCGAAACCGATAGCAGTGGCAAGGAGAACGAAAAGCTACCAGCCAGCCCTTCTCACAATGCCGTACACACAACAACTCAGACCTCTTCCCAGGACATCGAATTGAAAGAGCCGCCTAAAATTACAACAAGCATCGCCCCCAATATGGAAGAAGACGGCGCATGCAGAGGGTAAACTGCTAGCCTCTGCCTACAACCATGTGTTCGGTTTCTGTTCTCTTTCGCTTCCCATTATTATTTGTTCGTCTTTTGCGCACTCCCTGATCCAGGCGGGAGATTATATTCCTTTCTCTCTTTTTTCTAGCCTTCCTTTTTAAAGGAAATTTAAGTTGCTACACTGATTTCAAGGCAGTTTTCGCATTTTGTTGAGCGGAGTTCTGTTCGAGGCATTCGCATCCTTTTCCCTTGAGCATTGCAGGTGTTGGGTTAGTCGTCAACTTTCATCTCATTGTTTGCATTTGATTCTCTTGCATTATGTTAAAGGACACAGGAGCCCTGAGTGCATACTTCCTCGGTTCCTTTCCCAGAGGATACTTGATATATTCTGTTTTCTGTTACTTTCACATTGGGCCTCCTGAAAGGGTTACTCATTATCATCAGCCCTGCATCTTTACTTTTATCCTGTTATATTTTTCTCATGCTCATTTTCATTCTTCCACATTTGCCCTACAGCCTGGATTTTTGTTCTACCTTTCTTTCTTTCTTTTTCCTTTCCTTTTCTTTTCTTCCAACCGTCACTTCTTCTTGGACCTTCTAACTACTCACTTTCGAAATGATACCCAAACTTGATCATGGCCTGTGTGGAAGTCCTCTTTACTAGGGCTCACAGGTTACCATGCTATATATTATTTTTGAGTTTTGTGCTCTTTCCTATCTGATTCGTTCTGTAGAGCCTTGCTTCACTTTCTTATGAAATTCAAATAAACATAATGATTTAACCATTGTTGCATGCTGAAAATATAGTAGTACATGTACTGCACAGCACTGTACAATTTGGTCCTCGGACGTAGACCTATCCCCTCCCCCGCTAAATGCATCCATAACCCACCTTCCCGAACATATCACACAACCCCAGATACCCACTCACCCACCCATCCAGGCCCAACTCACCTCAACTCAACTTAACTCAAGAAGCCACCAACATCTCCAGCCTCTCTCTCAACAACTCCCCCAACTCTCCCCCATCCCCGCCAACTCCATCCACCCCATCCGCCAACACAATCGCCTTCCCCGCCCACCGTCTACAATCCTCATCCCTAGCCACGAGATAAAAGTCCACCGCCCGGTTAAACGCCACCGTCGCCAACCACCGCACCTCGTCACTGGGATAAAGCGATGACGAGGATGATGACGGATCAGGTCCCTGATATCCACCACCACGACCACCGGGATCACGAACGAGGACGATTGCTTGATCGAGAACGGACTCGGCGAGGGGGTCGTCTGCCGCGGAGAGGGAGAGTTGGAATAGGCAGCGGATGTACCGCGGGAGGGTCTGGCTGATGGTTTGGTGGTTGAGGTGGGGGGAGGGGGATGCGTGGAGGGTGCGGAGGAGAGTCTGTTTTGTTTTGGTGATGAGAGAATATGTGGTTAGAAGGGGGGTCGGGGTGTTTGGGTTTGGGCGTGTGGGGGTGGGTTGGTTGTATCAGGCAGGGTATTTGAGTGTCAAAGACATGGGGTGAATGGGGGCTGGGGGAGGGCGTACCTTAACAGCGCGCACGATATCAGAACTCGGAGATTCAGCACGGAGGATACAATCTAGGAAGACTGAGCTGAGTTTGTCGTCTATGATTGGGCTTGTGGATTCGATGATCTGCGAGGCCTTGGGCCAGTCGTTCAGGTGGATGGACGCTTCGAGATGGAGGGAGAGGATAATGCGGTGTTTGGAGAGGTATGGTTCTTGGAGGAGGGTGGGCTCTGTTGTCGCGAGGGGTGATTGGTTCTGGTTTTGAAAATTCGTGATGGTCTTGTAGGATTCAGTGTAGAGCTTTTCCTAGAGGGGTATTAGTTAAGGAGGTGACATTTGAGTGGTGTGGTTTGTTGTATTTGGGGGACTGGGGTTGGAGGGGGGTGCTGACCTTCTCTGTAGGGTTGGTTTCTCTGCGGGCGTCTGCTGTAGTTCTGGTTATTTTGAGGAAGTTGCAGAGGAGGTGGTGCTGGGACACATTGGATGGATCGTTAGGGTCGGGTTGGTTGTGTATTCTGCCAGAGAACTTTAGACGGTAAGTGAGTGTGCCTAAGTAGGCTATTGGGGATGCCTGGGTACACTTATGGATAGATCGAGCAGGCGTATAAGAGGCTCTAGCTGGGCTGAGTTATGTAATTTTACGGCAGCATTGTAGCTCATTCTGGCAATCCATTCAAGCTCCGAAGCGGAGAAGATATCGTTCGGCTCTTGGTCGTTGACATTGCGCAATGCTACTTTCCTTGCTCAGTATATGGTGCTTTTAAACGACCAGTAAAGACTCACCTATTTCGAGGACTGATATGATCTCGTTCAGTATTCCTTCATTCTTCCAAGCACATTTCTCGAGTTCTGAGATAAAAAAGTAGATGATAGTTATGCGGTCACTGTTAGCTGTTGGAAATTTATCACACCGGGGAAATCATACTGAAAGAGCTTCACAACACATCCCTCCAGCCGGTCAGTTTTAGAGGATTTCAGGATCCACTGTAGGCCTTTCATTGCGTATTGTGCTCTTTCAAGGCGAAAAGCTTCTGCTACACAAGCTAGCATATATGGCATCGCTTCTGGGCCTTGATTGTGAAGAGATTCGAGATATATATATCCTGTGAACTGTCAGATGTAGCTTAATGCATGTTCCTTGACTTCCTACCTGTTGCAGGATCGCTATCCTGAAGGGCTCGCTTGTACATTAAATATAATGTCAATGGAGAAGTCTGACGATCTTCAGGTAGTTGATGAAATATATCGTTCACTCTGGGTGAGTTCGAATCATTTCCAAGACAGATAAGGAGATTTCTTTGGTGCATGTGAGGTTATATACAAGGATTTTTCCAGGAACGGTGCTTGTACATACCTAAATAGCTTGCCCTTGTTCTCAGGAGAAATTTGTAGGATTGGGCTTTCGAGTAGAAGTTGAGACCACTGCCTTGCTAACGACAAATTTCCGTCCGATCTGACTTCGTTGATGAGCTTCCAGATGATCTGCGTGTGTATTAGTCCAGTTGAGACAATGTCCATCAGGCGACCTAACTCACAATCAACGAAGCATCTGTTGCCTCCACACTTAGTGCTTTCTGATCCATCTTTATCAATTCGACAGTTATTTCTTCGAAGATATCAAAAGCTCGCTGCGGGGAAAACCCCGAGCGTGTCAATCCACAAACGAGACTAACAAATACTTGCTCCAATAACTGACTATATTCTTTATGACAGGATGCAGCAATATTTCCGGTTAAAAGATGCTTGAGCGCTTGAGCGTAATGTTCGGGGCTATTTAGGTTAGATCGGCGCAATTGAATGCAGGGATCACCTAACCTTGAATACTGGAGTTGCTGTATGTAGTGGAGAATTCTATCCAACTCATCAGAGCCAGCAATAGTCAGACAATACCCTTCAACCTACCCTTTTACGTTTATATCCCGAAGCTCAAACGACTCGATAGCATCGTTCAACACTATAAACAAGATATCAGCTGCATCATAACCACGATAGACTGTAGTTCCAGCGACCTTGAATATAGGCGCCCCAGTTCAGCTCTCTGCTGAGAACCTCCAGCTGAATCAGCCGAACAGGAAACAGACAACCATATTGCTATTTGCTTTTAGTAGCTTCACAAATTGTACATTAGCCTTGAAGTCATAGCATACCACTTTCAAACTCTCCAACGTCCGAGCCAGGGAAACCTTTGATTCCGCTGTATCAAGATGGAGATTGGCTCGAACTATACCAGGTCAGCTACTTATAACTCAGCCAAGACGTGGAAATACCAAACCAGAAGCATGGAGTATCAAAAGCTCCTTATCTTTAAGCGCTATCGTCGGCTGTTGAACAGCACCACCGATCCATTCGCATGATTCCAGTGCTCTTCCCAGCCACTTCGCCGCAACATCATACTGCTTGCGCGAAAGTGCAAGACTGCCGACTTTATAACATATATCCATCACAAATCCTTGGCCCTCGTGACCTGATTTCGGTATTTTGGAAAACAGATGGTCTGCGATATCAGGTCGTCCCTGGAACCAAGACTGGATCCGAGCGGTCAGCTTGTTCGTGACTTTCTGTGAAATATAAACCCTACTAGATAGACTCGGAGCATGTAATACTCTGTATTAAACTGCTGCAGCTTGGATTTTTCTATGTCGGATTGTGCCTTTTCGAGTTTGTCCAGCCGCACAGCCACAGTTTCGATGATCTTCTGGCTTAGGTCGAGACAGCTTTGTTCTATAACTGGTGTCAATGGGAGTTCTTAGCTAGTTCTCGAGGGGATTTATGCCTATGCAAGTCATAGCCAGTCGAAAAGCCGTCTCCAAAGCTCTGTTGCATCCTTGAACGGCATTAGCCTTTTTTGAAGTATCCATATTATGTCGAGGTATATGATATACCCGGATCCCGGATTGGCGCGGCGGCCTCTATCATCACAAACGCAAGTGCCTTTACTGTGTCTGCTCAGCAGAGGATCAAGCATCCCGGAAGGATTAACCGATACCTTTGCACCGGACCATTGGACCATCGCCGGTTTCCCCCATGGCCATGAGTCGCACGCAGTTGTTCCATAGTTTTGTCCCTTCGTGGTCGAACCGAGGACGGGTCACAGGAGTCAATGAGCCTGCAGGCAAAGGAAATAAGTTCAGGTACTGGTCGATCTGCTTGCGGATATTGTCATCGGAGATTAGATGTTGCTTTTCTGGATGATTTATGGTTTTGCTCTGTAGTTTTCCTGCAAAGTCTGATGGCCAGTTCGTCAACAATAGTCACTTTTGAGGTGAAGCTTCGAACGTTAACAGAAGGAGATGCAGATGCCTACCTAGTATAGCCTCAACTTGTTCTTTAGGACTTTTAATTGCCATTATCGCTGTTATATAAGAGCAAACTGTCGTGATCGGTTGACATTCGGTAGATTAGCCGCACTTCAGGTGAGGCCACCGGTTCGTCTTCCTGGGAAGCAAGCTGGACATTACTACGTTGGGAAACCGGTTCACCTGACCAATCTAGTCCATTTCTGTCGGGTGTCAAATACACAGTCGCCCCCTCCGAAAATATTTTGATCCTTGAACATGTTATGGTACATTTTTGAGTAGCTCATATACTTAGATGACAGAAAGGGTATGAAGAGTGACTCCTTCAGCGGGTAAAAGAAGGATGAAGCAGAAAAAGAGAAAAAAAAGAAAAAAAGAAAAGCATAGGCCTATGTTGCTAAGAATGACTGATAGATCGTTAATCCGTGGCTTTGGTCATCATTTGGCCTTCCGCTGCGATGGCAGAAAGTTTCCAATGATAAGAGATGGACTAAATCATCTGTCAGTGTCATGTAGGTATTCCAAGGAGTCCATCTTGACTCACATGTTATGGTTATCTCTCCGAATGGTGAATGAGAAGCAACAAGGAATCCCATCCCCAGGTGAGTTGGAGTTGGGGTTCTTGAGAGTGCAGCTTGTGAGCATCGCCTTCTGTGTACTATCGAAAGCAATGGCCCCAAATTTTTCCCAGTAGCTCACAAGTTGATCCTCCACGATAATCTCATGGATGGCAAGCTTTCCCTAAACACGACGACGATGTCAGATAATAACATAAATGGCAAGAGATAGATCCGAGTTGCTTACGTCTCTCAATGTTTCAATCGGGACACCGATCAGTTCTGCCATTTCCTTGTTGCCACGGAATATCTCGCCCGTTCGTCTCCAACAGCAAGCAGGAATGGCCATACTTGCGAACACCCGGTCATACTCCATCAAGCTTCGTTCGAACCACATCTCCACGAGGATGAGTTCGATATCGGTCAAGCTTTGCATTCTCTCCCGGAACTTAGGCCGGAACTTGTCCAGTTGCCGAAGGATCTTCTGTCGCGACGCTTGCTGCAGGTGCCTTTCCATGTATTGGTTCAGTCTGGCGTATCCCTTGACGTAATTGAACGGCCGGAGGAGACCAGCATCATATTTGGCTTTGAGGAGCTTGTTCATCCGCTCTTCTGGAGGGTCAGACCCAGAGGGGTCTGCTGCGGTCATGTAATACGTCTCTCTTGCCTTGTCGTTGCCCACCGTTGGGACAGGACCTTGAATGGGATCGCCCTGGGGCTGTTGACTTGGCTGAGACGGTGAGATTTGCGACTGCTGGATCAGTGAGGCATTCGGGCCTCCCAACGTAGACATGGAGTTCATCAACGCTGGGTCAGAGTATATTCCCTGTAGATCATCGTTCTGAAACGCGGCCCCATCGTCGAGAAGACTGCTGCTGAGGAAATCACCAAGAAGATTGTACTCGTTGGTAACCTCTGGCGCGTTGAACATATAGGAAGGGTGGAACGTGTGCATGTCTTGGAACTGACTCTGCCCGCCAAGCCACTCGTTGTAACCAAGGACTGCATGAACAAGTTAGTGCGTGCTTTGAAAACATATCGATTCAAGATTTACGTTGCTGTGTGTTGGCGACGAGGTTTTGACCAGAAGAAGAGATGTTGCTAGGCTGTTGCACCGAGGTCACAGAGGTGGTCGGCAGACCGGTGGGTTCATCGGGGAGGATTTGCTGACCAGCAGCATCTTGGACATCGACGTTTCTGGGCATTCCTTGGATATTCGGGTACTCATTGTTTGAAGATCCCTCGTCATCTGCCGCCGAATGGTCGTTTTCACTCCGCGAGCGTTTCGAAGGTTCCCTCGGTTCATCATGGCACAGATGGCCAATATTGCGCTTTATACATCGCGTGCAGGGTCGCTCCTACATTTTCCACCAAGAAATGGTCGTCAGCAGCTGATTTCTTTGGAAGGGGGGGGGGAAGCTGCGCAATATGTTTCACAAGAATGCACTGAGGGGGTAGAGTTCAGGAAGGTCGTACCGAGTCACAAGTCATATGCTGTGCCACGTGAGCAAAAGCTCTTCCGTTAGCAATAATTTCCTCTGGCTATTGAACGTCGCAGGAAGTAAGGGAGTTCCGTCGGGATAGGCCAGATGAGGGGCAAGTGGGTTGCCCATTCGGTATGGAGGGGAAGGAGGGACCTTACCGATCGCCGACAGTAAACGCATGCTGCAAACGTGGCACCCCAATTAGCAACGTGGTCTAAAAGCGACGAGCGAAGGAGCGAGGCTACTACCATCATCCTTGCAGGATGCGTGGCAGAGATTGTTCCCTTACCATGATTGACCTTGCGACGTTTCTTGGGGCTGGAGTGAGCCCCCGCGGCAGCACCTTCAGGCTTGAGGGCCGGCGAGCCCTGCGAGTTATCCTTCGCATTTATTTCCCTCGCATTCCAGTCTTCCTCCGTCATGTCCGGCCGTGGTTTCTCGGTTGTCCCATTGCTGGGTTGGTGGTCTGGGCCTGTACCCGGTCGCGCTGCACTTTTCTCCGTCATTGATTGCTGGGCGCAAAGCTGTTGCGCAGAGTCCGGCTCGCTGCTGGCGCTATTACTGCGGACTGGAACACAGATGGCAGGGGAAGTGGCAAGATGCAGACATTCGATGAGGCCTGAGTGGCCTGAGGTAGGGGGAAATTCAACGGCAGCGGAGCTGATCTGTAACGCGAAAATGTGAGATGTGAGGAGGGTACGCGCGATGCGATCGGCTCATGAACGTTTCCCCGCCAGAGCGGGACTTGGTTCACTCATCTCCCGGGCTCCTCCGCATTGGCGGGCGGCAGCCCTGGCCCGGCTAGTAGTAGCCTCGGAAAAGCTGTGGACCATGTGCTATCTAATACTCCGTACAAACGGTGTCAACCGCGATAAATTGGTCTCGATCGGATCCTGTCGTCAGGAGCATTATTTGATGATATCTCTCAGTCTGTCACGGTATCTACAGAGTCGTTACCTCGGTTCTCTCTCCAGCATATAAATAGCGCCCCTTTGTAGGAGGCTCCTACAATGTACGATAAATAGGAAATTTCGTCTCCTATCAAAAGTCCGGTGTTATAGCGAGATATCGAGAGTGATAGAAGCGCTACAGGCGACCATAGGTAATCCTCCGGCAAGCCGAGAAGTAGAGGGCCTTTATGTGCCTAGCAAAGTATTATTGGACATAGGTATTGTGTTGTGTTCCAGCACAACTTCGCCCTCATGTCAAGTGCGTAGAGAACAAGCTCGGCAACTTCCACTCCTCTTCAAACATGCAGCCAGCAGTGTGCGAGAGCTTCCCATCTGAGCATTCCACCGATGTGAGCTAAGACTCCATGCATCACTGGTATCGTGTACATGCACAAGCGATGCATGCCTCTGTCATGTGGTGGTCTTCTGACATGACCAGCTTGAGCTTGCAAGGCGTCCCTGCTAACTCACCGGATCGGCATTTCATTTGTCGCGTGGGTCCAGTCTATCTTGGATCGCGTAGATTTGCATACTCGTCGTAGGACCACAAGAGACGGGCAACGATATGGCGGGTCCTAAGTATTCAACGCAGCTGCATGGCATGTTCAGTCCTCAGGCATAAACGTCAGACTTAGAGCTGCATGAGATCTGGCAATTGCGTCTGTCAAGCCAGTGAGAGGAGTAGTGTTGTTCTGCATTGACCGTAGATGACCATTGAGTTGTTTCAGTAGACTCGAAACATCCGGATCGTTTTCAAGCTGAAGAATACCACGTCATAAATAAGCCTCGCACACAGAGTGATAGAACAGAAAACTCACCTCGTCAAACATTGTTTGAGAATCCTTCCCGTGTGAAAGGCTGAACTCGACCTGCTTCTTGTCCTGATCACTGGGAACTTTGCTGAGATGTCGAAGAACAGGGTGTTCCTGGAAAGCATTAGCATCGGCCCGACACAAAATCAGCATCAAGCCCACCTTCTTCGATTGCCGTTTCCTATCAGTCTCGGCCCGCTTTGCATTCTTCTCCATTTCATGCAGTTGCTTCTTCTCTCTCTCAAGCAAGGCTTCTTCCTTCTCAACCTCGGTCTTCAGAAGATCAATGCTGTCGGTCATTGTGGCCAAGGTCGCCTCTAGGGAGCACTGTATTTTAATCAGTGCCACTTCCAAAGAGACCAAGTCGGACGCTGCGTACATGTTCCTTAAGCGCGGCTTCATACTCAAACACCGAGTCTTTTGTAACCGGTGGGAACGGCATGCGAGGGAGCCGCTTCCCGAGACTTCAATGCAAGAGATCCAAGTTAGTTACAGTGGACTTCCGAGGTCGAATAGAGCAGAAACCGTACTTTTTCACGACCGCCTGGACAGCCGCCTGCGCCTCGATCCGCTTGTTCTCATTCTGTTGCCGGACTATGACAGGACGCTCGAGAGCCCGGAACATATCGCGGACCTTGTCTTGCACAGGCTCCGGAAGCGTAGACCACTTGGACTTGATGGTTCTCTCGGAGACCTGCCGAACCTGAGGCTTCAAGTAGGCGTAACGCTTACTGCGCACGTTGCTAGCTTGCTCGGGCCCATTGCTGGAACGCTTCCGTTTAGGAGGCATGTTCTAAAGTGTAGATGATAGAAATCGGGGAGGTCTTAGATGAAGGATTAACTGGTTATATAGGTTTTCGATCACACTTGGTGTTGTTACGCTCACATGCCTGAGCCACCCGTGGGAAGCGTCACAATAAACGAACGCGCCGTTGCTGAGGAGATCACGTGGGGAGCTCGAAATCGCGCTAGCCCATCCTGGGTCTGTGGAACTGCCCCGCCCCACTTCCCCTCCCCTGCCATCTATTGGAAGACACTATCAATTGTTTTCTTCTTCCCTCAATACTAAATACTCTTCACAACCCTTCCCTATCATTCATAGATCAAACCACGGATACTCGACAACCTGATCCGCTGACAATCTCTCCTCAGGATCCCACTGCAAAAGCTTCTCCAAAAGATCCGCAAAAGCCATTATTCCCTCATCAGGGATGTAATCAACCACACTTTCCCTCCAGAATTCATCTCATACCGCCTTGAAGCGCCTCCACGAGTGACTGATCCACCTTTGCTTCTCTGTCAGGCCCTTCTTTTCTCACCGTATGGCCATCCGAGTCCAGTTCGTCTTCGAAGTACAGTCCTCGAGTCTCCCACGTAGTAAACCACCATGGCTCTGGCAGCGGCCCGAGTAGCAAGACCAGCACATGAAGCTGAGAATTATCCTCATCATCGAACATATCGAATAGTTCTCTTCCGGTTCGGATCTGAAAAAGTGTACAGGCTAGCGCCCAGAGATCACTGCCGATGGTGACCTTCTTTTCTAAAGTCATCTCTGGGGCACAGTAACTTCAGGAAATACCTAGCTCTTCCTGGAGACTAGAGGTTGTCAAAAGGTTGCCCAAGATCAATGATGCTTATTTATGATAGGCTGATTGGGTGTCTTTCGGTGCAGTCTCGACAGCTAGTGGCAGGGCAAGAAAATCAATGGATTTCTGGGTATGAGAATGTTCATAGAGCAACTAGCAATGCCTAATAGTTGCTCACCTTGGGCTTGCATCCTGCTTGATTATCAAGACTATCTACCTGGTGTTCCAATACAATCAGTAATTAAAAGTCCTGAAGAGATAAGTACGACAGCAAGTCTCCGTGTGGTATTTTAAGAAACCTATTACAGCCAGACCAAGTGGGTATTATGAAGAGGTGTCACAAGAAGGGAAAGAAGATTATAATGAGCCACAAATTGGGGCATCAAAAATTTCATATGCAGAATAAACAAGACAGGTGGCCGTCAAGATCGAACCCCCTGCATTTTCGGCTGTGATGCACATCTTGCCAGAAGACCGCTAAACTGTCCCGATATAAGAGTGGGGGGCTAGGAGGGAGGAAAGGGGGTGTCATGATCGCACAAATCGAGATGTTTACCGAGGCATCACTAGGCCATTCATATTCATGGCCTTCACATCCTGCAGCTGCTTTTTGAGGAGATCATTCCCATGTAGTATCTCCTCCAGCCAGTCAGCGGCCTGAGTGAGCATAGCACTTTTGCTAAACCCGCCCCCTTTTAAGCCGGGAACAAGCCTGCACAAGTCCTCAAACCCCTCCTTAATGAGATTTCGTCGCTTTTGCTCGGAAATTATATGATTATTCCTCTTCTGATCTTCCGTCAGATTCTCACGTGCTGCTTTCGGACCCTGGGACAGCCTCGGTTTCCGGACGGCATCATGTGACAGTCGCCTTGACGAGGCCTTGGGTTTCTTCAACCTCTGCCTTGAAGCTTCGTCGGAGGAGTTTTCGTCATCTTCCTCTTTCACAAAGACTCTCTGTTTCTTTTTCGGCTGGGATACCTCTTCCATACTTTCCCTATATCCCCTCCGTAGGCTGTTGAGTTGCCCCGCCGCATCCGCGTCCGCCCAAGCTCCGTCATAGCTACCCGTTATGCGGACAGGGCTGGGTGCACGGGTGTTAGCGGTACTGGATTGGGTCTCGAAACAGACCAGGTGGCCGAGCAGCTCCTTCGTCCGGTCCTCTTCGTTTGGCTGATCGGGAGGCGCGATATATCCCTGATCCATGAAGCTGACATCCGATCCCCAATGAAGTGGGCGAACCTTCGCAGTGGCTTGCTGCTCAGGGGATATCGGCTCATGCACATCGAAGAGCATCTCTGAAGTATGAAACCCCACGGGTGCGCGCGCACGGGGGGATGTGTTGGCCTGTTTTAAAGGCCCGTGATTATGATGCAGCTGAACCTTGCCGCGACTATCCATTCTGAGGTTGTTGTAGTCTATGTCTGGTGCAGAAAATGAGTGATGTCCAAAGTTAGGGTTGAAATCGGGCCCGTTCATCCCATTATGGTACAGCATGGATGCGGCCGCAAATATGTCCGAGTGAGCCATCATATCCATGCCAGTTTTCTCCATGCCACGATGGGAAAGTGCTGGTTGTGAAAGCGAGGTTGTGGAGCCTTCAAAGGTTGGAGGCAGGTCGTCAGGCCAGCCAAAATCGGTCGCCCCGAGGGATTTATTTGATTGACCGGGTAGCCAGAAATCGCTGGACATGTGATTAGAGTTCATCGTGGTAAAGAAGTTATCGAGCATAGTCGATTCATTATCATCCAAGATGGCTGGTCCTGGGGGCGGGGCAGGAGCGGGTTCGTATGGTGTATCCATGGGGGAGAGGAAGGAATCTAGAGCGTCGTTCCCGTTAGACATGCACAGCAGCATCAAGAGATCAACCGATATACCTACAGCCGAAGGGGCCAGGTAGGGGCGTATTCTGGCCATTCTGCGCCTCTGTCCTATTCTGATCCATGATGGCGACTATATATGAAAGAAAGCGATGTGTTTATGTCGGCAACCAGCCTCACCAGCGTTTGCTACTCTTGGTGGAGAGCAGCGCCGGGAGACAGTATAAACATGCCTTGAGCGGCGATGTGAATGAGATGACTTGATCCGTCTAAGTACGGCGACTGGCACGAGCCCGCGCGAGAAATGAGAGACTGTATGGATTTGGGAGGTGCCGTTACTATTTGGAGGTGGAGGCGAAGGATATCCTCGGAGGTCTAGGATACGAAACTCCGTCAAGACCAGATTGACTTGACCGAGACAGCATCCCCCGCATTGACGCTGACGGGACGACGGGAAGGTTGACGGCGGGAATCCGGGGAATGTCGACAGCGGAGTGAGACTCAGAGGGTTGCCGAGACAGCAGCAGTGGTAGTGGAGTTGGTAGTGGGAATGGTGGTGGTGGTGGGAGTGGTTGGTGGTCTGTCGCATGGAATCCGTCGGCCTTTTCAACCTCAATCACATGCCAAAATTCTCGCGCTGCGGAGAGGTCGCGTGACGTAACTGGAATACCAGATTCAATACCTAAATTACGGCCTTCCGCCCGGGAAGGGCCCGCCCGCCCGTGTAATGTTTCGTTCTGAGACTCTCGGACCAATTTCCCAGTCCGGGGAGGTCTTGTCTTGTCTTGTCAGTTGTCCATGATCCATCCAATGCGTTCGCATGCATTTCCATCGCAAGCTTTCCTGCTTTTTGCTCCCTCCCCCGCCTGATGGGGGTCGATGTCCTGGGTCATCTGTCGATGCTCCATCCGTAGACCATCTATTCCCAATTTCTTTTCTCCATCAGCAACAAATTGCGCCCACTGGTGTTACAACCAACAACCTCCCCCCCCCCCCCCCGCTGGACTGTGCTCGAGCCCATTTCTCCGGGCGATGGTTGGTAGACCCCAACTTTGGACCGTGGCATAACTGGGGATCGTCGCCAACTGCTAAGACATTAAAATATTATTGTTACCCCTGAACCAGCCTTAACGGCTGTTTCCCTCGTGTCTTCGACCACCGAGGCCAAATCCAAATTGTACGTCGCACGGATCCACGGCTGATCGATCCTACATACAAAAGGCCGCTCCGGAGCACGTCCCACTCTGGGTAACGGCCACAAACCTAGGACGGGCTTTGTGTTAGTTTCCTATTCTGTAGCTCTTGGGCCGATGGGACACCTGGATTCCCCGGTGAGTGTCGTCCAATTCTACTCTCCGGTTGCTCCAGAGACCAATCATCCTATCCTTTCCCGTGGATGGTCGTTGTCTGTTGATTGGTCGTCCGACGTTCGAGATGGTTTCTGACAGCAGCAGACAGGTTGAGCTGGGAAACATTCAACTTCTAGAGCAGGGTCATGGGTTAAGTGGTCGTGGGACACTATGGACTCTGTCACCATTGCCCGCGGGCATCGCAGCCGTATTCGGGTTCTGCAGCCGTAAGTATATGTTCAGCTTTGGAATGGCATGGAACACCCTATCTCACTCTCACGGGGTCATTTCCATCCGGAGCGCCATGCTAACCTGTACAGCATCATACGCGCTTATGCACTTGGCTATTTGTCTTCGACTACACCCAGGGTCATCGCCTGTCTACGGCGAATCCAGGGTCATGACCTGAGCCTAAAAGAGAAGCTCACGGAGGTACAGTATCCTGTTTTATTCTGTCTGGTTACCCATGCATACCCCATTCCTCATCCACTATGCGTTTACGGATCTCTGGATACATCCCTTTCTGAACACTCATTCCCCAGAAAAAGGCGGGCTCACTAAGGCTCTACAGTTGTTCAATGCATTGAAAAGTACAATACGGCTGGAAAGCTTTTCAACTTTCTGTGCCCTCTTTGTTGGGGGATCAACTCTCATTCCATTCCTTCTCTTACGATGTTTTGCGCACATGAATCGTAGGCTGAATCTCACGGGCAGTCCCCTGAGGTTCGTGTGGCTGACCCGGTTTGTGTCTGCGTTTATGTCTGCGTGGTTCAGTTTTAGCATCATAAATCGACGGCCCATAATACTGCAGGGAATTCAATGCGAGCCTCAGGGTGGAACGGATCTAAAGGGAGTTGCCGTGAGCCAAAATAAAGGCAGACTTGAGCCGCATAGTCGTCCCCAGTTTGCTGGTAGAACTATGGATCTTACCCTCTTCACCCTCACAAGAGCGGTGGACTTGATGGTCTGCATAGGGTGGTCGCAGTGGCAGCGATGGAGGAAGGCCAGAAACCGATGGACTTTAGCAGAGCGTGTCGTGCCTAAACTCGCAGACTCGGGTCTGTTTGCCGCCAGCGCAGCCATCGTGATGTGGGCATGGTTCTATGCACCCGAGAGGTTGCCCAAATCCTACGGGAAATGGATCGGGGAAGCAGCCAGCGTGGATCCCCGCTTGGTCGAAGCACTTCGTCGTTGTCGGAGAGGGGTCTTCGTGTACGGGAAAGACACCGGACAAGCATCACTGCTGCAACCGATGTGCGAAGACTACAGCTGGCCTCTGGAGTGGGGAGACCCCTCGAAGACCGTCCCAATCCCATGCGAAATGGTCCACATGGGCTGCGGTCCTAGCTGCGAGAAACATGCCGTATCTCGATTTGCTCGAACGTTTAAGTTTGCCTGTGCGACCTACATTCCTCTTCAGGTTGTTCTTCGCCTGCGGTCATTGAAATCAATGGCATCCCTCCAACAGGCCATTACCACCGCCCTGCGTTCCTCCACTTTCCTCGCTTCGTTTGTGAGCATCTTTTACTACTCCATCTGCCTTGCCCGGACAAGGCTCGGGCCCAAACTCTTCCATCGCGACACCGTAACGCCCATAATGTGGGACTCTGGGCTCTGCGTGGGCGCCGGATGCCTGATGAGCGGGTGGAGTATAGTTGTCGAGAGCGCGCGAAAGCGGCAGGAAGTCGCATTGTTTGTGGCACCTAGAGCGGCCGCAACGGTCTTGCCGAGATTCTATGATAAACAGGTATGTGCATCTGATTCGATAATGCTGTATGACATGGGGATGGTTACACCGGCTCCGGGTCTCTTGTGCTTCAGTTTCTAACCGATGTGGCTTATCATCTAGTATCAATACCGAGAACGCATTGCGTTTGCTACCAGCGCCGCCATTCTCCTCACCTGTCTCCAGGAATGGCCCGATATGGTTCGAGGCGTGTTTGGCAGAATCGGTAGGGGTGTTATGGTCTGACCGTGTACGAGCAAAAAACGCCGTGGATGTTCCTTTGCTGGGTGGGGAATTTTAATGATTTACTCATTTTTAACCTCTCTTTGGCCTTCCTGCATATAGTTAACGATTTCAACATATCTGAATATAGCACATTTAACCTGTATCTAGTGACTTCAATCTGCAAAACCAATCCGCCTGCTCATGCACAATTAAGTCACTTATACATCCATGAAGCTGCTTCGATCTTCCTGCCCATGTAAGGAGGAACCGTCGCGTAGACAGTAAATACATCGTGAACCAATTATAACGGCCGGAAAAGCACCACTGTAAACGGGCCGTACCAGGATCGGCTACAAGCATACGACTGAATTCAGAAAATAGTTAATGATTAGTTCGTACAACAAATTGCGTAGTTCCATGTATTGTAGCAGGATAAGACAGTGTTCTCGGCCTTGACCAAGTCTTATGTGGATCTCTCCTTTTCATTTCTCACTCTACCTAGTTGCAAAAGTCGACACGATTGTCAACTGCCAAATAAACAATCCCGTACATGAAACACGTCTTAGGCTTCAAGAGTGGAGACCTATTTAGCCCAGCTGTGGCATGAAGAATCTAGACAAGTTCTATTCCATGTCTGAAACAACAGCCTTCAATTAGCATCGTAGATCTGCGAACCTACGATCGTGGGTAGTAAAATTAAAATTACCCATATTTCTCCCATTTTTGTGAAGAATCCAGGATCGTGCCCTAATTTTGAGTCGGGCCGAGACTACAACCTAGAATATTGACAGTCGGATCAGATCTAGCACTAGAATGTAGAGGATAGAAATAATCTTGGAGGATCTGGACCCTTGCAGATCCTATTAACATAGATTACTCTATTTTAAGAGCGGAGAAGACATGCGGAAATATTTTCTCCTGCCTATTTTATGGATGATATTCAGGGCACTTCCTACTTGGTATAGAGGCAATCGGCAACCCCACATCTTTATGGTTTGAAGGGGATAATACAACCGACTCGTTGTTCTTAGAATGTTTGAGGAAGCTTTATCTGATAATATTAATATTACTTGAGGGGAAAGAACTTGTTAATGAAAATGATTTTCATAATAAGTAGGGAAGAAGACAGAGCGCAAATTTATATGTGTAAGCACCCACTATTAGTAAAAAAGGGAGAGCCTCTTGGATGCAGAGTTCTAAAATCATTGTATATACTTTGGTGCCAGTTCTATTGTGACCATTCCTATATATCTGAAGCTTCCAGGCCTCCAGAAATGCGATGTTCTTCGGCATGTATGATCCTAGAAGCTAGTCCAGCCATTGTACACCTGAGATGTATTACAGTGATCTGTATCTATTGATCACCGGTCTGGGGGCAATTTCTGTAGTTGCTATCAACACAGCAAGAGGCTCGACGATTAGTTCGTCGTCAAGCAGCATGATTTTCTCGAGTATGTCGTTGTTCCTTCCTGCTATATATTCCTCGGATGATGGCATCATTAGCCAATACGTGGTCATATTCATCTCGGTAGAACTAAAAGAATCATACCAAGAGCCTGTCGAGTGTAGCATTCCACTGTAGATACTGTACACTGGTTATGATACTACTTAACCTACTTGGACCCAACTTCCTAAAGGAGACATGACCGGCTACAGCCGGATATGCGATGCAGTGCCGACTAGAAGCGGTAAACAGAGGCGGTCGGGAAGGACGGGCAGAATAGTCTGCGGACATTGCCTGAAACGCTAAAATCGGCTGCATCACGTGCTCCAGGTAGCTTATCCAATTTGGAGTTGAGGGTCATATCTCTCCAATCTCCCCGCACCACATCTAAACCTGTGATGATGTTTTCGCGCCCGATTTCTTCGTGCGGGCGGCTCCCTCTATCTGGACTGGGCTTTCGCCTGTCCAATTCTACGAATTCGAAATGTTTCGAGTCAGGGAAGCGATTCTTCACGCGCAATTCATGCTTACGACAGAATGCCGAAGCGCCTTTCAAAACGCCCCAATCGCAAAAGCGGAATACTTCGACGCTGTATGTATGACGAGCACAATGTGGTCTCTGGCCCTCTCTGACGAGTGATAGGTACTATACCGCTAGCATGGTTCTCGGGACGGTTGCCCTGGCTTATGGTTCCGTTCCTCTATACAAGATGGTTCGTACGCTCTAGCTTGTCGCGAGTTATATCCTGATGCAGACGCTAACTGCTTCATTTCGACAGATCTGCCAACAAACCGGCTGGAACGGCCAACCAGTACTTACACACCGTGGAGGAGACAATGATACATCGTCCCGAGTTGTCCCGGTCACAGACTCTCGCCGCCTCAGAATCACATTCAACGGATCAGTCTCGGATGTCTTGCCTTGGAAGTTTACGCCGCAACAACGTGAAGTTCGTGTTTTGCCTGGAGAAACAGCACTGGCATTCTTCACCGCAACGAATCAGGGCCCGACGGATATCATCGGAGTAGCAACATACAGTGTGACTCCTGGACAGGTCGCTCCATACTTTAGCAAAATCCAATGTTTCTGCTTCGATGAGCAGAAGCTGAACGCAGGCGAATCGGTTGATATGCCCGTGTTCTTTTTCATCGACCCGGATTTCGCCAAGGACCCCACGATGAAGGGTATTGACACTATCACACTCTCATACACCTTTTTCAGTAAGAGAAACCCGGATACGAGTTTTAAATGTTTTAAAGATTGCTAACTCATAACAGAGGCGCGATATGATGACAATGGTGTGCTGAAGCCATTGCCATCAGGCTAGTGGTATCAATATAAATGAGCCGCTATACCTGCCGATGGTTCAGGCACTGCGAAACTGAACTGTTTTTGCTTTCAAACTCACTGGATATTGTGCTTTCTAGCAGCTCTAGACCCAGTATGAGTTTGGGTCTGCGCCATCGAGTGAGACATCCAAGAGACTTGTTTTGCTCTTGCTCCACTCTCCGGATAATACCGGAACATCCATCTCCTCTCCAAGGGAACTAACGTGACTGCGCCATATTGACAGGCTTAAAGAGCCCTTTGGCGTTCATTTGTATCATAGAGCATGTACATACAGAGATTTACTGACGCTACTTGTATGGTCGGCGGGAGTTTCAATTCGGTGTATATTATTCAGGCGTTCAGGTAGTACCTTGGTAGAGTGTGAAAGTACGATACAACTCTTTGGTATGCGCTCAGTCCTCAATCCTACACGGTTCCCTATTCAATCTGTTGGATTATTCCAACTCAATCAATCAATTGTACTCTGTAGATCCAGCTGCAATGACCCTGCATACTTGATCCTCATTGGTGGAGCCGGAATCCAGTCAGCATCGTGCACGGACCACCAATTAAGCTCGCGTGTCGCCCGACGCGTCTGCGCTCCAAGCTATCAGCTAATAATCCGGGCGTTCATGAAGTAGGGCCCATACGAAGCTGCTTTTTGATATTGACCCAACCTCCTTGGACTTTAACCTCCAGTCGGCAATATGGCTCTACTAGTTGACAGACTGCGACCACGCTCGCTCGATACTCTCACATACCACCCCGAGCTTTCTGCGCGGTTGAAATCATTGGTGAGCAGAACCAAGCATATACCAACCAACAAGGGCATATTCTTACTTATCATTCTATGCATTAGGCGCAAAGCGGCGACTTCCCTCACCTGCTTATGTACGGACCATCCGGCGCTGGCAAGAAAACACGCACAATCGCGACGCTGAAAGAACTGTACGGCTCCGGAGTCGAGAAGATCAAGATCGACGCCAGAGTTTTCCAAACGACAAGCAACCGGAAGCTCGAGTTCAACATCGTCTCCTCTGTATACCACCTGGAAATTACGCCGTCGGATGTTGGAAACTACGACCGTGTCGTCGTGCAGGAACTGCTGAAGGAGATTGCACAGACCCAGCAGGTCGATCTCTCGGCGAAGCAACGCTTCAAGGTGGTTGTTATCAATGAGGCCGACCACTTGACTCGTGATGCTCAGGCGGCACTGAGACGGACGATGGAGAAATACAGCCCGAATCTGAGGCTGATTCTGTTGGCGAACAGCACGTCGAATATCATTGCTCCTATCCGGTCTCGGACCCTGCTGGTCAGGGTTGCTGCACCGACCGAACAGGATATTTGCTCGGTTCTGAGATCTGCGGGTAAAACGCAAGGCTGGCCTGAGGCCGATGGACTCAATCAGAGGATAGCGAATGAGAGTGGGCGCAACCTCCGACGTGCGCTTCTTATGTTCGAAGCCATTTACGCGCAGAAGTATGATTAATCTCCGCAGTTGGTAGTCTAGTCCTGACTAACATAACTTGCCTACCAGTGAAAAAGTTACAGACAACACGCCAATCCCGCCCCCAGATTGGGAGGCGCTTATCTCATTGACCGCAGATGAGATTCTGGCAGAGCGCTCACCGGCTCAACTATTGAAAGTCCGTTCACGGCTATATGACCTCCTGACCCATTGCATACCGCCCACGACCATAATCAAGGTCTGATAAACCTCGATCACCAAGCGAAGAAGACCAGGCATGCTGACAATGCACTAGACCCTCACTTTCAGGCTGATCGCCAAGGTCGACGACGCTCTAAAACCCGACGTGATCATGTGGTCGGCATTTTACGAGCACAGAATAACCCAAGGCAGCGTAAGAGTTTTCCATCCGTATCTAGTTGCTAGATGATCTTACTTACATCCGTTGCAGAAAGTGATCTTCCACCTTGAAGCATTCGTTGCTAAATTCATGCGCATCTACGAAAGGTTTGACCACTTTCCACAGCCTGAGAATATCGATCACTGACATTCTAGTAGTTATTTGATGGGCATGGATTTTTAGACCATGAAGCTAATAGTACTCGATGATTAATGACTTCAACTGTACACTACCCATCAGCAGATCGGGGACATCGAGCCTGGACAAAAAGGCGGGCTCTTTGTAACTCTGCACCAGACCTGATCTCTTGATTTAGTGCTCTTATCTCTCCCACAAGTAGACCTGTATTTGTCTATGCATATTGTATCAAGCTCAAATGAAAAAAAAAAAATTCATAACTGCTAGCGCCAATTGCATCGGTATGTGGAGAAACAAAGCAGTTCGTCACAGCCATAACCTGGGCTTTAAGCCACCGATTTGGACACGATTGTATGACAGCATGTAGTTTATTAATCAGATTCTTTCCATCATCTCTGCACCCGCAAACATATGTGTAGGCCACCAGGTACGCTGTCACCATCAACCTTGGTAGGTGCATCTGATAGACTACGTCATACTCGCTCATTCTACCTCCTAGCGGGACCTCAACCAACCTGCTACTAGTAACCCCAGTCTCTCAACCCCTCGGACATATTGTAAATCCCACTGATCTTATTCCTGATTCTTAAATAATTCTGTATCTCACACAACTGTCATTATGTCTAACCCCAATCTCATGGACATTGAACCCGGTGGCGAAAGCACCCAGTATGTGCGGCTCCGATCTGGTTGCAAGGCTCAGACATGATCCGACTACTCTGTAGCTAACTATGTTCGCAGATATGAATCTATCCGTCTGTACACTGATACACCAGAGAAGCAAACGGGACAGCTGGGCGGTGTGTTCGATTTCTTTATAATGCGCAGTTCCATTGGGAATGGGAAGCTGACGCTGCTCTAGGCAGCTCCCAACATACGACGAGTGAAATGAGAACCACTCTGGGAGGCAACGGCAACAACAATGGTAATGGCAACGGTAACGGTAATGGAGACACTCCTCTCGCACGGAAGCTTGAACAAGGAGAGTCTACTTCGGGTCTCTCCGGATTCACAGACAAAGGTACAGTTGATCTTCGTTTCCTAACTCCGCGTATGAAGACATCAACACCGGGCGATAATCAATCGGAAGACACAGAATCTAAAGCTGATGATAATATACACAAGACCTGAAGCCCGAAACCCCGGAGGAGGGTGCAGCGCTGGCGGCAAAAATCAGGAGAGAACAAGGGTATGGGCCTGGTTCGGACGTCGGGGCCTAGACGTCACAAAAACAAAATTGTTGTGAATAAACCGTGGTAATGGGCATGATTTGAAGTTGAAATTGGCGCGCTGGATTTATTGGGAAGCAGAGGGGCTGGAGGAGGTGGAGGTGGGGGGTTTCGGGAGGTTCTCGGTGCCCAGGGCTGGGCTTCTGCGTGCGCGTTTGAGGGTTTCCAAGGTGACTCCGTTGCCGAGTTTGGTTATTCCGACCATGGGCGGGTCGCCCTTCTTGACGAATTCCCAAAGGCCTAGATTGTTGTATGATTAGTTGGCTGCTTATTGAATGTCGATGCCTTTGGGGCGGAAAACGTACCGGGCAGCTTGTGACCCGCCAGACGGAACGCCTCCCTGGCGACCTTCTCGTGCAGGTCACCCTGGAGCTCGAAGACAATTCTGCTCACGGCAACCTTGGCCGTCCAGTAGTCGAACTTTCCCTTACCCTTACCCATACGCTGTTCATTTCCCTTCGTGTAGACACCGATGTTCGCGCTCACTCGCTTGTACAACTGGTAGTTCATACCCCTCAGACGTCTCTTGATCGTATCCTCGGCGATTTTCAGGGACGAGGCCGGCAACCGACGGTCGTGGTCCTTCATCCGCAAGCCATACTGGCCCCAGACGACCGTTGTACCGCGGGAGGAACCACCAGTCGCGACATGTGGACGACCCTTGGGGGACTTGGATCGCTCGGCGACCTTGGGGGTAAGCCAATCAAGGGCAGGCGAGGTTGTCGAAAAGCATCGTGATAGTGGGAAGGCCGAGAAGGGCGTCGACAAACCTATGGGTGCCGCATCGAGTCAGGACATAAAAACTTTTCCGGTGGGAGTTGCGGGAGTCTCACAGGACGGCCGGAAGAAGGCCATCTGAGGGCCCGAGAACATTTTCAGTTGCGGACCCATTGCGATCCGGGTCAATCCGCCGTGCTTGTTGGGGATTGAGGGAGGGGGAGAGCGACTGTTGGATAGACCGCAGAGTTTCAGGCCCTCGGCGTCTCTGCAGGGCCGATTCCACTTCCCGAACGGGACGAGAAGGCCTACGCACGTGCCACATGCGCGCCGTCTTAGGTAAGCCAATTAAGTCACGTCGCCCGCCGGAGCTTCCAGGCAGGCGCGTCGTGTTTCCTGCCTGCTGGTCCAAAGTGGTGTGTACTAGTAGCCTGGGAGTGCTTCGGTGCATGCTCTCTTGGTCGCAAGTTTTCATTTCAGAGCCATTCTACACCGGGGCATGCTACACTAAGCCCCCATCATCATGCCTGCCGATATTCGGAGCTTTTTTGGCGGCAAGTCCAGTCAAGGCTCGAGCGCATCGCCCGCGAAGCCGACGCCGAAGAAGAAGGAGGTATGTTGATGTCGAAATGAACATTATACTCTCCGATATCTTCATCCGGAACTCCATTGCTAACCACCAGGCACAAACAGGAGCCTGCGACTCGAAAAAAGCGTAAGTAAAATAATCATCCGCCTCCAGTGGGCTTTTCCATTGACGTTGAACCTCTAGGGACAAGGAAGGTTGTCGATGACAGTGACGATGAAGAAGCCGTTCCAGCTAAACCTGTGACTCCGAAGAAGGCCCCGAGCAAGCCGTACGTTCGACCAATTCTGTCTCTACTACCAACGGTATGCTGATTGCACAACCTCAGAAAGCCAGAACCGTCGAAGGGAGAACCAACGTCGACTTCGGATTATTTCGCGTCCAGTAAAAAGAGAGGAAGGCCCGCTAAAACCACCGCTCCAGTAACCACCAAAGAGTCCAAACCGTCTAAGCCTGCCCTCGCCGATGAACCTGCTGCTCAACAATCTCCGAAACCACAGAAACCCACGGAGGCCGAGAAGCCCGTGAAGAGGGCTAGCCGTGGGTCTACCAGGAAATCTACGACCGTTCTTGATGATGAGGAACACGGCGATGACGATATCTTTGCGACGGAATACAAGAAAACAGGCAAGGGCGACGACGATTATGTCGAGGAAGAGGAGCAAGGAAGTGACAGTGACCTGGAAGAACTGGCAGTAAAGCCAGCTAGCGCTGCATCTGGGAGGTCAGGGCGTAAGAAGCCGGCGCCCGTTCCCGATTCGGATGACGATGTGGTTATGGAGGATCTGCCTAAGCGACCGTCCAGAGCAACCAAGTCAGCGACCTCCCAGCCAGCACGGAAGCGGAAATCCGAAGCTTTTGAGAAGGATGAGGACCCCGAGTTCAAGACTAGCCCTAAGAAGGGTGATCAAGCCAAGACAGCCTCTCGTGCGCCAAAGAAAGCAAAAGCGTCTCCTGTCAAAAAGGATCAAGCTGAAAGTAAGGAGATCCAGGATATCTTTGATAGTATCCCTATAATCCGGCCACCATCACCACCAGCTGAGACGGGAGAAAAAAAGAAGTTCAACTTTGCCGCTCAGGCTCAGCGCTCACGTTCTCCTGTGGGCGGGAGCGCTGAGATGCCGGAAGGAGAAGAAAATTGTCTTGCAGGCCTTACCTTTGTCTTTACCGGTGTTCTGGATTCCCTGGGTCGCGATGAAGGGCAAGCATTGGTGAAGAAGTTCGGCGGCAAAGTAACGGGAGCTCCAAGTTCAAAGACCAGTTACGTTGTCCTAGGATCTGACGCTGGGCCTAAGAAACTTTCTACCATCAAACAACATAATCTGAAGACGATCAACGAAGAAGGTCTCTTTGAGTTGATCCGGCGACTTCCAGCAAATGGTGGCGACGGGAAGGCGGCAGAAAAACACGAGGCAAAGAAGAAAGCCGATGAAGAGAAGATTCGGGCGATGGCTGCTGAGATTGACCGCGAGGAGAAGCGTAAGGCAATGGCCACGCGCAACAACGCTCCCTCAGGATCTCAACCGCCCTCGAATTCTCAAGCCGCCAAAACCGATGATCGTCTATGGACCACGAAATATGCCCCAACTTCGACCAGCATGATATGTGGTAACAAGGGAGTTGTCGAAAAGTTACAAGCTTGGCTCCGTGAATGGCACAAGAATGCCAAGGCCAACTTTAAAAAACCAGGCAAAGATGGATCAGGCCTTTACCGTTCTGTCATGATCCACGGTCCACCTGGTATTGGCAAGACGACTGCAGCACATCTGGTCGCAAGAATGGAGGGATACGATGTTGTTGAGACCAATGCGAGTGATACAAGAAGCAAGAAGCTTGTGGAAAACGGCCTTCTTGGGGTCCTGGATACCACGTCACTCCAGGGCTATTTCTCAGGCGTTGGCAAGAAGGTTGAGAGCGAAAAGAAGAACCTGGTCCTCATCATGGACGAAGTTGATGGGATGTCTGCTGGCGATCGGGGTGGTGTCGGCGCGTTAGCAGCGATTGCTAAAAAGACCCATATACCGCTGATTCTGATATGTAACGAGCGGAGGCTTCCCAAAATGAAGCCGTTTGACCATGTCACATTTGAGCTTCCTTTCCGCCGCCCGACAGCCGACCAGATCAGGGCCAGACTTTCGACCATTTGCTTCCGCGAGGGCTTGAAAATCCCTCCTCAGGTCCTGGATAGCCTGATTGCAGGGACCAACGCTGATATCCGTCAAGTCATAAATATGCTCTCGACCGTAAAGTTGGACCAGAAAAACCTGGACTACGAGAAGGGACGGGAGATGTCGAAGGCCTGGGAAAAACATGTGATCCTGAAGCCGTGGGATATCGTCAGCAAGATCCTCAGTGCCCAAATGTTCTCCCCGAGCTCGGGTGCTACTTTGAACGAGAAGACCGAGCTCTACTTCAACGACCACGAGTTCAGCTATCTGATGCTTCAGGAGAACTACTTGAAAACAAGGCCAGCGTTGGCTGGCGGGTATCAAGGCCGAGAACAGAAATTGAAGCTACTTGAACTGGCAGATAACGCAGCTTCAAGTATTAGCGATGGTGATCTTGTCGACCGAATGATCCATGGAACCCAGCAGCAATGGAGTCTGATGCCGACTCATGCCGTCTTTAGTTTCGTCCGACCTGCGAGCTACATCTACGGAAACATGGTGGAACGGCCCGCGTTTACGAGCTGGCTCGGTCAGAACAGTAAACAAGGTAGGTCGGATCTTTTGTGGTCTATCCAGAACTTCACTAACACGCATTGCAGGGAAACTGTGGCGTTTCATGAAGGAAATCCAAGGTCACATGCGTCTCCGCGCTTCTGGAGACCGAGATGAAATCCGACAGCAATATATGCCGCTCATCTGGGACCGACTGGTTCGTCGGTTGATGGTAGAGGGTAAAGACAGTGTTGACGATGTCATTGATTTCATGGACAGTTATTTCCTGACGAGGGAGGACTGGGATGCTCTTGTGGAGCTTGGGTTGGGCCCCATGGATGAGTCCAAGGTCAAGCTGGAGACTCAGACGAAGGCTGCCTTCACGCGCATCTACAACCAACGCTCTCATCCCCTCCCCTTTATGAAGGCCAGCAGTGTGACGGTACCGAAGAAAATGCCGAAGGAGAAGCCCGATCTTGAAGATGCTATCGAGGAGTCGGACGACGAAGCGGCTGTGGAAGACGATTCAAAGGACAATGACGAGGAAGAGGAGCTTGATCTGAAGAAGGACAAGTACGTTCGCGTGCCCAAGAAATCGGCCGCGAAGGGCGGCGCCAAGGGGAAGAAGACGAAGAAAGCTGCGGACGACGATGATTTCATTGACGACGATGAGAAACCCAAGAAGGCCCGAGGTCGAAAGCCCAAGGCGAAATGATTGTAGAGCGATGCCACCCATTACCATGTGCTATAGGTGTATTTATTAGAATCTAGCGGACTGCTACTGTCTCAAATACAATGCGAAACTAGTTCCCTATCTACAGTGCTGCATTTCTACCCCGCATCAAGTCGGGGCCATACTTAGTTCGCGATCACTCAAACTATAGTAGATACCACCATGTGCAGCGCGGAGACAAGTGCAAGCCGCCAAAGATCGACTCATTATTCATGGATGGCTGTCCCTCCCGGGCCTTCCCGGACAGGCACTGGATGGAATCCACCACTGCGGCGGTGCGGAGATCGGCCACGGACGGGGGTTTCTCTCTCCCTCCCGCGCCGAGCGGCTGAGCCTGCGAACTTGCTTCCCATCATTCCCCACACCGCAGCTGCTGCAGCACGCACCGCTTCCTCCTCCGACTTCCTGTGTTATTCTCCCTCTTTTCGGACTCCAGGCTGGTCCTGGTACGCGTCGTGGTGGCCACACTCATTTCTCCTTTCTGTTTCGTGGGCTGCTCGAGCTCAGCGCATATACCCCCCCCCCCCTTTGTTGCAACATCCCAGGATCATGCCCACTCGAACCCCGATAGCGGTTTCGCTTTTTCGGGCATAGATGATTTTCGTTTCTGATCGCGGCGAAATTGAACTGTATCTCTTACTACACGCATCCTTTCTGGCGGTGGCTGCAAAATGTCCCTCCTTCACAATGAAGAGTATGCCTCCAACCCGCGACTCTCGCGTTCCCCTCATTTCCCCCTCCCCTCCCCTCCTCTCCTGGTATTCCCGTTGCCGGGTCGGCTCAGCAACTGACTCTCTGCTAGTTTCACCATCTGGCAGTTGCGCACTTCTTATCTGTCGACTATCAAGGATGGCATCGGCGATAGGCTCATCAACGTGAACAATACCGTGCTCAACACGCCCGGATTCCGCGCGGCCGGCTGGTCGTCGGCCTCCACGAACCCCAACGCTGCGGCCAACATCAAACGAACCTATTCACCGCCGATCCCTACTACGGCTGCGGTTTCGTCGGAGTACTACCAGCTGGGTATCGCCAGAGACGCGAACGAGACACAAAGGCTTGGGTTAGTGGATGAGGGCGAAGATGACGAAGGAGGCATGGTCACTGGGAAGAGCCACGTCGATGTGATTGGGCGCCGAAACCGCGGGAAACGACCGCATCGAAGAGAGCGACAGCAACAGGATCATCAGAAACATCGCGAGGCCGAGGAAGACGACAGTAGTGACTTGAGTGATGAAAGCGATGATGACGGGGACAGTGCTCGAAGGTGAGTGACAATCATGGATCGAGGAGTCGGCTGCTCACATACAACAGTGCTGCGCATCAAATCAAATTCACGAAGATGCCGATACGGACAAGAGCCGGCTCGTCTCCCATACGTTCATCAAGTCGACAGGAAAGCCCCCAGGTCATGGTCACGTCTCCGTCTCACCCAACCATCGGCACCCATTATCGCACTGGCTCGCTGGGGACTGCGGTTAGTAGCATAAATGAGCGCCCGCGGCGAGATACAACTACGACCGCTAGCAGTGATATCTCTTCGGACAATGACCTGGATGCATCGGCCTTCAAGAGGCGGCAAATCCAATTCTCTGGCCAGGATCAGGTGATAGAGCCCGCGAGGAAACGATATGGGGGGCCGGGCACAGGGGATCTTGAAGAACTGAACGAGCAGGCTGAAGATTCGGGCGCTGAATCCGTGGGTTCGGCCCTGTCCTCGGAATTTGACGCAACAGCGGGTTCAGCATCGCTTCTGGGTCTAGGAGGGGTCGGGATAACCGGTAGCTTGAATTCGTCCTCGCCGATGGCTATGATGCACAAATTGCAGAATGGCACCGGGTCACAAACGGTATCCCCGAGGAAGCCCAAAACCCCAGCACCGGAATTACAAGATCTCCCTCCGCCACGTCCGATCAGTACGGTGCAGCCCGTCAGTCTGCTCTCAAAGGCGCTCAATGCGCGCAAGCAGGCGCCAACGAATCCAGTCGAGAAGTTTGCGGTGCTATCTGGCGCAGGCTTGAGTGACGTCCTCAACATCAAGCTCTACCTGCCATTCTCCGCCGACCCCGACGAGCCACTCGACCTGCCCATTACTCGCGAGTCGAAACTCGCTGAACAACCATCCCCAGCCACTGTCGTCGAAGCGATCGGCTTGGCCCTCTGGAGATATACGGAGGAATCCCGCGAACCGTCCATCGACCGCAGCAAGCTCACCGTCAACATGTGGACGCTTCGAATGGTGGAAGATGGAGAAGTCGAATACGATTTCCCCGCGCTCGGTCGAGTCTCGCCCATCGCAGACTTCACATCGAATAACAATCGGGCGGCTGGGCGTCGAACTCGAGGGAAGCAGTACGACGAGTTTGCCCTTGTGGAGGCCACCAAGGCGGAATTCGATGAAAACGAACGCCAGTTCCCCATGTTCAGTCTGGCAGGCCCCTCGGAGGATAGCAGCGAACCAGTTACGGCGTCACCTGCTCTGCCCGGCCAGTCGGTTCCTCAGAGCAAGACGTCCCGCCCGAATCCCATCCTGGGACAGCCCTTCTCGTCGGCTTTGAACGACAACACGCTTACGCCTGCAGACCGGCCTGCCATGCCTACGTCCCATGCCACCCCCCGACTGGGCGTGTCCAAGACATTGAAGATCCGGTTCATCACCCCGGATGGTTCGGCGCAGATGATGAGTCTCAACACATCGACCGACAGCTACATCGCGGAGGTCCTCGATGCCGTGTGCAAGCGATGGGGCCTGGACAAGGGGAACTATTTACTCAAGGTGATGGGATCGAACACGATTGCGCCACTCGACCGGACAGTGGAGGCGCTGGGCAACCTCACGGACCTGGACCTGGTGCGCCGACGATTCGGGCCGTTGACGGGCTCGCCCGGCAGCTCGTCCCCGAACGCGCCGCTGCTCGTGGACAGCACCCCGGCGCCCAGCAAGAAGGGGAAGAAGAGCGGACAGCGGATGCTACACCCACTCACGCAGAAGCAGGACCTTATTGGCGGGTACTATCGGCGGTACTACGTGTGGCGCAAGCAGTCGATGTCCTTCACGGCGTCGAACCACCGGATCCTGACGTTCGACAACGACTACATGCACATGATGCCGGCGGACACGGGCAAGACGGGGTCGGAGACGAAGACGCGGTCGATCAGCTTCAGCGACGTGGTGGGGTGCAAGGTGAGCCGACGGCACCCCAAGAACTTCCGGGTGGTGGTGCTGCGCGGCAACGATGCCAACGAGCAGAAGCGGTATGACTTCGAGGCCCGCAATGCTCTGGAGGCGGTGGAAATCGTGGACGAGATCAAGAAGAACATGGCGCACTATCGCATCTAAGTCGGGTTCGGGTTAGGACTTTGGGATTTTCACTACTATTATGTTGTTCCAGACGGGAGTGCGGCGGCGTTGCGCGACCATTCCGGTTAGGTTGGGTTAGGTTAAGTTAGCTTGGGTGGGCGGCGACATTTTCTTATTATTGCTTGCTTGCTTTCGACTGGTTGATTGATTGATTGATTGATTGGATTTGAGATTCAATTTGAAAGAATGAGGAAATGGCTACGGCCGCGGAAGGTCGACCACCTTCACCGTCTATCTATTTCTCCTGGAATTTCGCGAGGACTAGACCACTGTACACGCGGTAGCTTCAACGTAGCTAGGGTAACTAGATAGTAAATACTAACTACAAGCAACTACGGTGGATGCAAGCGTCGCGATGGACCTCGAAGCACCAACGAGCGTCGAGGCAACCGGGCGTTAGTCGCCTCCCGGCGGCGATGATAGGCCTTCCGGGGGGGGCTTGCAGAGGAGCAAAATCCCCGAGGCGGGGCCTCCCTGTTCCCACCATCCGCCCCGATCCACCGGGCGGTGATGAAGTCACCGCGCAGCTCTCTCCAGCCTCCAGCCTCTTCGCGACTATCTACTCAAGGCTGGCCCAAGGGTATTATTTTGGACGGGTCGACTGGCCACGTTGGAGGGAAGCGTGGTAGTGGTGGTGCGTTTATCCGTGGGCGGAGACAGCGCAACTAACTGCCCAACATACACCTGCGTGCGTGCGTGCGGATGGTGGACGTCGACCGGTCGGGGTCGGTCGGTCGGGTGCGTCGAGCCACGGACGGGGCACTCACTGGGCAAGGACAAGGGCAAGGGAAAAAAGTCAAGCCTTCGCAACTAAGCACTGTTTTCACTGTTTCACCCGCAGCTAGACAGAGGACTGTTCCAAGTATCTAACAGTAGATACTCCGTAGTAGTAAGCTCCGGGTAAGCAAAGCATGGCATCGCATGGCGTCTCATCTGAGAACGGCCGGTGATGACCTCATCGGGGCGAAGGCGAACCGGAACTGGGATTTCGCGATCAACAGATGATGATAACTACTGACACCCCCGGTCCATGGATCGTGGGTGTCCGCTGCTGGGTGAGATCGGCTGAACCAAACAATAGTGGTGTATGTAACCCAGACATACATGATCGATTCCCGCGATGGGATTCCCTCCAGGCGGTCATCGTTTGTGATGAGGGCTGGCTGGGCTGGCTGGGCTGACTGTGGTGGTCATTGTGTGGGAAACTGGGCTGGACGCGGACAGAAACACTGGCCCCCCGAGTCCGACAAAGTATGTTTTAGTGTTGTGGTCAGTGGTGGAGTCGGTTGGGTTTTGGGTTTGGGTTTTTGGGTTTGGGTTGCTGCTGGTGATACTGTGGACTTGTGTACTGTGGCCAGAGAGAGAGGGAGGGAGGGAGGGAGGGAGCATGGCTGCCACTCCGTTCATGCGGTGTCATTATTATTCGGGGGATGGTCGCACTGCTGCCGTAACTGCTAGATAGCTAGTTATTGCAGTAGAACCATCTACTCTAACTTAGGGCACTGGAGACAATGAAAGACGAGGAAGAGGGACTCCGCTAGACCCAAAGCATACCGAGGGACCGCCATCCAACCCCGCCTCTCCTCCTCCTTTGCTTCCCTTTTCCACCCCCCCCCCCCCCCCAATTTGCTCTGGTGTTGTTACTGCTAGTACTCCGTAGTAGTAACTGCTCCCCTCCTCCCCTCCCCCTCTCTCTTCCCCGTCCGTTATCTCATTCAGTCATCCGCACACGAGCAATCCTACCTCACCTACCGACTTCCTTCTCCCGCCCGTCCCAAGCCTTCCCCGGTCTCTTCCCGTCCCTCACATACATCTTCACGCTTTCTGCTGTCCGCTCTCGTCCTCGCCATCCACATCCACCCCCAATTGAGTTTCCGTTGACCGCCCTTCGGACCAAACCAGCTTCTCTTGTGGCTCTGGTGGCTCCGCTGTATCCGCGCCCGAACCGGCCGCCCTCAGAAAAAGCTCGCCGCTCTCACTGTTGCTCTCCCCTCTCTAAGGAAGCACTCTTACAGAGGGGTTGAGCTGCTCGTCTTTGCACGCTGTCCGTCACGCAGGCATTTGTATGCTTTGCGGTCTTTGTGATTTTTTACCCCCAGTCTCACTGCCGTGTTCTCAATGCCTAGTCTAGGAGGCCTGTTGAAAAAACGGCGGACGAAAGATTCGCAGACCCTCTCCAAAGAGCTGGAAGCCGGTTCGGCCCAGACGCAGACGTCACCAAACGCTGCCGAAGACCACCACCACCACCACCTTCTTCATCATCACCACCACCACCATCAACCCGCCACCAATTCTGGCACCACCACCACCACCACCACCACCACCAACCCCGCGACGCACCCTCAACAGCACGCCACCAACCAGCCCAATCAACCCTCCGGAGCAGAGAAATCCAGCGAGGATCAAGCTGCCTCCATGCAATCCGTGACGCACGCCTCGCCGACTGCCCACCCTAGTACTGGCACTGCCAATGCGGCTAGCATTCAGAATATAATCCACTCCTCCCAGCCAGCCGGCGCCATGCAATCGGGCGCCAACAGCCATGCACAGCAGCAGACCCAGAACGCCAGCCGTGATGCCCGCACCACCAAGGGCAAGTACTCGCTGGAGGATTTCACCCTCCAGCGCACCCTCGGCACCGGCAGTTTTGGCCGCGTCCATCTGGTGCAGTCGAAGCACAACCACCGCTTCTACGCAGTCAAGGTGCTGAAGAAGGCGCAAGTGGTCAAGATGAAACAGATCGAGCACACCAACGACGAGCGACGCATGTTGAATCGCGTGCGGCACCCCTTCCTGATCACGCTGTGGGGCACATGGCAGGATTCGCGCAACTTGTACATGGTCATGGACTTCGTAGAGGGAGGAGAACTGTTCAGTCTGCTCCGCAAGTCGCAGGTGGGTTGCGCTCGTCGCTCGGCACCACCGTACAAGCTGACCCCGTGGATCTTGTCTAGCGATTCCCCAACCCGGTCGCCAAGTTCTATGCCGCCGAAGTCACCCTCGCGCTGGAATACCTTCATCAGCAGCAGATCATCTATCGCGATCTGAAACCGGAGAACCTGCTGTTGGATCGCCACGGTCATCTGAAGATTACCGACTTTGGATTCGCCAAGGAGGTCCCCGACATCACCTGGACCCTTTGCGGTACCCCCGATTATCTGGCCCCCGAGGTGGTTTCCTCCAAAGGCTACAACAAGTCGGTCGACTGGTAAGATTGCCTGTGTTCCAGTTCCGATTTGACCTCGGGCGGACTGGCTGACAACGTCAAGGTGGTCGCTAGGAATCTTGATCTTTGAAATGCTCTGCGGCTTCACACCGTTCTGGGACAGCGGCTCCCCAGTCAAGATCTACGAGAACATCCTGCGCGGGAGAGTCAAGTACCCGCCCTACTTGCACCCGGACGCCGTGGATTTGCTGTCCCAACTGATCACGTCCGATTTGACCAAGCGCCTGGGCAATCTCCATGGCGGTTCCGATGATGTGAAGAACCACCCTTGGTTTGCGGAGGTCACCTGGGATCGCCTCGCCCGGAAAGACATCGACGCTCCGTATGTGCCTCCGATCCGGGGTGGACAAGGAGATGCCAGTCAGTACGACCGCTATCCGGAAGAGACCGAACAGTATGGCATGACTGGAGACGACCAGTATGTGCTCCCCTTGACACTTTCCTTGCTTATTTTCATAAATTCGATTACTAACCGCAGCTGCTATGCACAGGCATGGTCACTTGTTCCCCGACTTTTAGTGCCGCTATGAGTTATGATGGAATGATTGTCTCGATCCAGACATGGGATCGAATTGATCGACGACACTGCGAGTCTTGAAAAAACAGGGTTTCCTCTTTCTAGACCTCACCTGGGCTACCCATGGTAGCAGTGGTTGGAGCCACGTCCGACCATTCTTTGATTTTCTCTATACGTCGGTTTTCTCGTTGATATGATCGCTGGCCGACCGGCCTTGGCTGCGTTCGACGTAGAGCATACATGCAAGGGCGCCGTCGTTGTTGACGGCTTGCCCCGGGTCATCTCTTCGCAAATACGCCATGGGTTCCATCTGCTTTGTTTTCCCTCGTTCCAACTTTCGCAGTCTGCATATATGCTTTGTCCATGTTCCCGCGCACGGGGGGTTCTAGAGTGGGATGACACGACTCGGATCTCCGGTGCCTGCGTCTGGTTGGGCTTTTACTCTCGTCTATATTTCATCGCTTTTGGCCGGGCAGGAGGGGTGTTTGCGGTGGTGTTTGTGCTGGAAAGCTTCGGGGGCTCTGTGTTCTGTGTTATGTATGCCGACCGAATCCGCTGTTGACTGGTGGATTGCGGGTGGTCAGTTGCGTCCATCATTTCTTTCTATCTCCTGCTTATTGAGAGTCTCATATTGTGCCAATATCGGGGGGCTACTTCTGGGTCTCTTGATGTCTTATTTTTTTTTCATCCCTTTTATCTTTCCCACCATCGGAGGCAACTGTATAATGTACATACTTGAGGTTTTTTTTTTTTTCTTTCCCATTTCAATAAAAGTAGGCATTGAATCCTTTCACTGTACTGTAGCAGTTGATGGGGCTCAGCCATTGCAGTATAACCGGCAATGGCAAACCCGGAACTTTTTTGTTTCTAACATTCTCCGTAGAGTGACTCCCCGAAACCCAAACTGCCCTTATTATACACAACACAAATATCATGACAGCGGACGCTTCATAGTAAGAACAAAAAGTGAAGAACCCCCTCCCCCCTCCCCCCTCCCCTCCCCTCCCCCCTCCCCTCCCCGAACTTCAACGCGAGGTGAGTCAATCATCATCTTCATCATCCAACATCCAACAGGACAGGCAAAAGAGAAGATGTGAGAGGGAAGAGAGGAGGAGGGAGATAATCCTCCACTCGATCCCCATACACAGATATGGTAATACACTACTACTCCAACCCGATCGATTCATCGACCGGTTCCCGGTTCCAGTTCCGGTTCCTATTTTGTATCTCCGTCCGGTTTCTTGTTTACTCGGAAGAAGGCGTCCCGAAGGCGTTCATGGCGGCGACGTCTTGCCCGGCGAGCTTCTTCTGTTCACTGGCGAGACGAACACCGTACGTCCGGCTGGTGGTGTTCCAGAAGGAGATGTACTTCTCCATGCACTGGGACAGACAGGTCTGGTCGCGGGAGGTGAGGGAGGAGCCGGGCCGGGGGATGCAGTGCGCGAAGCAGTGCTCGTTCACTTTCTGTGGAGCAATTGTTAGATACCATGTTTGTTGATTCGTTTCTTTTGGTCCCGCGGGGGGAGGTGGGGGGGTGTTCAGGGATTCAGGGTTGAGTTGCTCGTACGGAGATCAGTTGCCGGGCGTTGTTCATGGCCGCTTCTTGTTGGATCTGATTGATCAGGGCCACCTTCTGGTTCGCCGGGGCGGGCGCGTCGCTGCCGAAGAGAGCCATTGTGCGGTTGTGTTTGTGTGGGTGTGGGCGTGTAGCGGGCGTGTAGTGGGAGAATAGATGACGTTTGAGGTTCTGAATGGCGGACAGGATCTTTTCGAGCTTCTCTCGCCGACGGAGGGAAAGGCATGTGGCTGGAGAGGGGAGGGAGTGCCGGGCTCGGCGCCACACCTCGGCAGCTGCGCCACACCAGCGGCGATGTGGACACTTGGAGTTCTTCCCATTATTATTCCCATGTTTATACTTGACGTCGATCTCTGATCTGTTCCCCTCCACTTACTTACCTTTCTTCCCCGGTGTTCCGCTCTTTCTTTCATTCTCCTCCTCCGCCTACCCTTTTCTCACCTCGCAATTGACCGCTCGTCCTGCTTCGCTTGATCTCTGGTTGATGTCCCGGTGACAATTGACCATCCCACCATCCCGCGGTTCTACACGTACAGCATCTGGTTGACTGTTGGAGAGCGAGCGCCCTTGCTTTTGTTAGCTGCAGTCTATCGTTCCCATATCGCGGACAGTCATCAACCCATACGTCTACGTTCTTTTCGCGATCGTTCGTCTTGAATTTGTATCGAAAGCTTTCGCCGCACCGCAACCCCCTCCCACGTCACCTCGATCCTCGTGAATAATGCTGCTTCCGCGGCTTTCGTCCCTCCTGTGCCTGGCTGGCTTGGCCAGCGTGCCTGTCGCCAGCGCCTATGATGGCGATGACATCAAGAGCATTCCTGTATGTACGCTCCGGTTATTAGAGATGGGGCCTTGTTGCTAATCAGTCGGTAATAGCTTCGCACTCACAGTCTTCAACCGGTGGGTTCACCTGACACTCACTTGCTTTCCTTTCCCCTATCGCTCAGCCGATGGAGTCGCCGTCCGTGCAGTCCCATTAACGCTCCTAACAGCCATACTTGGATTCCGACTTCCAAAGCCGCTGGTTCGATTTTGGTGGTGACACGATAATCCGTGCCGACCAGTACGTGGCCCTCCCTCTCTCTCTCTCTCTCTCTCCCCGCCCGCACCGCATTCGGGGGCTTCCTGCTGAACTATCCGTCCTAGATACATCCGTCTTACGTCCGATCGGCCATCGCAGCAGGGATGGATCTTCTCGCGCGTCCCTCTTACCGCGACGAACTGGGAGGTTGGTTGATTGATTGATTGCCGGAAACTTAACGGTTCTGATATTTTGCGTAGATCGAGGTCGAGTTCAAGATCGAGGGCTCGGGCAACTTGCATGGCGATGGCTTCGCCATGTGGCTCACCAAGCAGCGCGCCACCCAGGGCCCCGTCTTCGGGTCCACGGATAACTTCGACGGTCTGGGTATCTTCTTCGACACCTACAAGAACAACCGCCCCGGTACTTCCTTCCCCTACGTCATGGCCATGATGGGCGACGGCCAGACTACCTACGACCAGGCCCACGATGGAAAGGCTAATGAGTTGGCCGGATGCTCGGTAAGTGGAGCGGTGTATATCATTTCATGTCCTGTAATGTCTAACGGTTGCATAGGCTCGCGGTCTGCGAAGCGCCTCGGTCCCCACCAAGGCCCGTCTGACCTACTTCCAGGACAAGTCTCTCACTCTGGACCTGCAGTACAAGTCCGAGGAAAGCTGGATCAACTGCTTCGAACTCACTGCTCCGGAAACCAACATCGCCATTCCCTCCGTCGCCTACCTCGGCTTCTCCGCCGAGACCGGTGAACTGAGCGACAGCCACGACATCATCTCCGTCAAGGCCCAGAACCTCTACGGCACTGGAGGCAGCAACGGCGGTAGCGGCAAGGGACGCCCCAAGGATTCGAGCCGCGTCAAGCGCCGCAAGCAGAAGGGCGGCAGCTGGGGTTGGTTCCTGTTCAAGGCCGTGCTTCTTATTGCTGTCTTTGCCGCTGCTTACATTGGTTGGACCGCCTACCGGACCAAGACCCGGTACTCGCGCTTCTAGTCGCTGTCGGTCGGGGTAAAGTGAATCAGAAATCACAAATCAGAAATCAAGAAAAAAACAAGAGTTTATTATTCTTCTCTCCGCATTTTGCATAGCCGTGTCCGTGTCCGTGTCTGTGTTTTTTTTTTTTTTTTTTTTTTGTTTGTGTTCGTGTTCCTGTATCCATGGGGCTTCCTTCCTTCGTTAACACGAATCAAAAGTTGATGACCCATGATCTGTTGTAGTATGTCTGTGGAGATTAGGATGTATATGCTGCCCAAACCCTTATCAGCCCACTCTGTATAGTACAGCAGCGCCTTTTCCTCGCGTAGTCGATTAGTTTGGGTCAGCTTATGTGACGAGATAATCAGATAGGAAGGTGAGAGATATACTGCATAGTACTAGCAAAGCTGACCTAGCTCATATAAAATAACAAAAAGGGTGGGTGGGTATCATATAACACTAATAACTCCATGCATGTGCGTGCCGAATGCCCGTCACTGTACATCCCAGACCAGGATATATCAATATCAAACCATCAAGATGGCGTCTGCTTCTTCCGCTCCTCATTCCACATATGATCCACGATCTGAAATACCTCCGTGACACTGCGCATGACGGCCTCATCGATCCCCTTCCCCAGCCCCCCATACCGATGCTGGATCTTATCCGGATGCCACCGCACCCGCTCCGTCTTCAAGGTCGCCAACAGGCTCCCCTCCCCATCGCCATCCCCATCAGCACCCCTAGCACCCGGACACCGTCTCAAAAACTCCTCCACCTTCTCCCTACAAACATCCCTCCTCTTCCCCGACTCCACCGGCCAAAACACCAACTCCCGAAACCCATCCCCCTCCTCTTTACCCCCCTCCCTCCTAGCATCCAACCACGCCCAAGCCCTAGCATATTCCACCCAAGCCTCCCCCAAGCCCTCCCCTCCTCCTCTCCCTCCCCTCCTCAAACTCCCCTCCACCTCCACCTGAAACCTCATCCTCTCGGCCTCCCGTCTCTCCTCGCGCCTCTTCTTCCGCATCCGCTCGCCCCGCACCCGCTCCTGCTCCGCGAGCATCCCCTCCCGCGTCCGCTCCCACATCTTGCTCCGCACGTACGCCACGTACTCCTCCTCGTCCATCATCTCGAGTTCCCCCGTGGCCGGGTTGGGGGTCGTGGGCACGGCGTACGTGTGGATCGGTTGCCCGTAGACGGATTCCCAGTATGAGGCGCCTTCGTCGTCGCCGAGCGCGTCGAAAAGGCTTTCGCGGAAGGCGGTGCTGGGGGATATACGGCCGGTGGGGTTGGATGGAGGATATTGGGGAGATTGGGGGGTGATTGAGGGGTGTTGGTGGCGGTGGTTGTGGTGGTTGTGGTGGTGGGACGAGAGCGTTTGGAGCGGTGGGGAGGGCGAGGGGGCGTGAGCTGCGCGAGTGTTTGTCGGTGTGGTGGGAGGAGCGGTGTTTGCGTTTCGTGGGGTCTTTGAAGCGGAATCTGCTAGAGCGGGAGTGGTGGGTTTGTGTGTTTTCAGCGGTGGTGGTGGTGGTGTTTGTAGTTGTGGTGTGGGTGTTGGAGGTTGCAGGTGGAGGGTCCCTGGGGGTGGTTATCCCCGGGGAAGTGGCTGGTGAGGCCATTTTGGTCGTTCGCGGTGGACGGCGACTGAAGAAGAATTGTGGGAGGGGTTATGTTGTGATTCAGGGCGTCATTGCTGGTCTGAGTGATGACTGAGTAGGGTTGTGATGGTGGTTTCGCGCAGGAGTTGGTTGGTTCGCGATCCGCTAACCAGGAAGGAGGGCAGGAAGAAGGATCGGGGAAATTGAGCTGGTTAGTCAGCTTTTTCTTTATCTTATCTGATCATCTGGGGTTGGGCTTGATGATGTCACTTGGGCTTCGATGGGGGGGGGGGGGGGGGGGGAAGGATTGGTTTTCATGGGGGTTTACTCCATATTGATTGATTTAATCAAGAGTTCAAGAGTCATATATCTATCTCCATGACGATGAACGATGGAAAGATAATTGAATGAACGGTGTTTCCTATATTGATCTGATCTGTGCACGAAACATACGCACTATTACTAATCCGCATAACCTCCCCTCGCTCACAGCTCCGTACCGCCGCAAATCACTGCTGTAGTACGCCGTACGGAGTACTGACTGACATCGCCGCATCCCAATCCCCATCCCATCACCAAACACACTCAACACCCAACCACCCGCAACCATGGCCCTGGTCGCCTACTCCGACTCAGAAGGCTCCGACTCCGAGCCCGAGACCACCGTCCCACACCCCCCTTCTCAAAAACCCACCTCAACACCCTCCACCACCAGCACCGCAGCCTCCACCAGCGCAAACTTCCCCTCCATTGTCGACCGCAGCAACCCGCGCAAAATCCTCGTCGCCCTCCCGGACATCAAGCCCGACCGGAACGACAGCGCAGATGGTCCCGCGCCGAAAAAGCCCCGGCTAGGTGGCGCGGGCGGAGCCTTCTCGGGCTTCAATTCGCTGTTACCTGCGCCGAAGAAACCCGCCGCCAGCGCGGAGATGAAGAAAGCGCCGGCTCGCAAGATATTCAGTCTGAAGACGGGCGCGACACCGGGATTCGATCGGGCGGCTGATGCGGAGATGCGCAATGAGCAGGCGTTTGGGATGTTGGGCGCGGAGGGTAAGGGTGGTAATGATGGTGATGGTGATGATGACGAGACAATACCGAAGGCGGGGAGTTTGAGGGAGGATGGTGATGGATCGAAGGAGGCGGAGGTTCAGATGAAGAAACCGGAGGAGGTCAAGCTGAAGGGGAACCCGATGATGTTCAAGCCGTTGTCTGTGGGTCGGGCGTCGCAGCAGAAGAAAAGGAAGATAGTACCGGCGAAGCCGGTGAGCGAGACACTGCCTGTTAGGGAACAGTCTGCCCCCGTGCAGCAAGCAGCTCCTGCTCCCGCTCCAGTGAAACCGAAGATCAGCCTCTTCTCGCTGTCGGCGGAGGACTCCTCTTCCACCACAACGGCGAGCACCCGAGCGACGGACACGACCTACGAACCGCTGGTATACACCGCCAACCCCGGCGCGGCGCCTGCCGGCCCTGAGCCGGAACCTGAGGGCTCAAGCTTCGCCGAACAGCCCGCCATGGCGTCTGGTCAAACGCTTGGTAACATCGCAGATGACCTGAATCTATCAAAGGCACAGCGCCGGCATCTGTTCGGACGGGATGGCGGCTCGGCCACCTCGCGCGTGATCCAGTTCAACACGGACAAGGAGTACGCGGCGAACCAGGAGATGGCCCACAGTACGGACATGGCGGCTGCGCAGCATAACCCCGTCCGTGCGATTGCGCCTGGAAAGCATTCCCTGCAGCAGCTGGTCAATGCGGCGCATTCACAGCGGGATGCCTTGGAGGAGAGCTTTGCGGCTGGGAAGAGGAACAAGAAGGAGGCTGGGTCGAAGTATGGCTGGTGATTGGGCTAGCCTGATTTTGTGTTGTTGTTTAATAAAGTTGCCAACGTTGGATACCAAAGGTGCAGTGTATGTATCTTGCGGTTTGCATGGGAATGGGAGTTTGATATGCTACTTCTGGGTTTTTTTGCAACATAGAATTTAGCCGATTGCTATCGTCACATTGGTCTACAAAATCGTACATGGTGGTGTAAAGCTAAAGAAAAGGCGATGGGTAAAAGGCTGCATGAACTAAATAAACGATCTATGAATTCTTTTGTAGCCATCTATACTTAAGGCTCAAGGCTGCTATATACAAAAAATCAAAGAAAATGCTAATCCAAACTTTTCTCCCACGTGTCACATAGTCCCGACCACAATAGTCTAAGACGATACATCAACAACCTCCGCAAACCATTGTTTCAACGCCGTAGCCAAAACAGCCGGTAACTCCCTAACATCACGCACAACGAGATAGTAAGGGAATGGGAATCCTTCCAGATACTTCTTCATCTTCAACTTCATCTCTCCCGTGCCGGACTCATCAGGCTCGAAGCTGGCCTGACTGAGGTCCATGATAGAGCTGCCCTTGACGGCATCGACGATGATGAACACGATCATGATGCGCTCCTCCTGAGCCTGTCGCACAAGACGCTGGATAGTCTCGTGGTCCTCGCAGATACCATCGGAGATGATCAGTTCCAGTTGCCAGAGGTCCGCGTTGCCACCTGCGGGCGACTGCTTCCAGCGAGCTTCCCGGAACAAGGCGATGGAATCCGCAATCAGCTTGCGCACGTTGGTGCCGGTTTGCTGGTAGCTGAAGTGCTGGAAGACTTGGGTTCCAGCCTCCGAGGAGAACGGTTTGCCGAATTCGTGCGCGACCCGGACGTGGTCTTCACTACCGAAGCCGAGGACGCACAGGTCTCCGACTTCGAGCATGCTGAGACTCTTCGCGACCAGGGCGAGGGTCTCGAATGCGAGCTGCCCACTTCCACTCTCCAGCATGGACTTACTGTCGTCGACAGCAAGCATGATCTGGTAGTTGCGCTTCGAGGGAATAGAGCGGCGCATCCAGATCTTGTCGCGCTTGTACTGGGAGGCGATGTACGGGATAATGCGCTTGATATTGAGGCGCTTTCCCGTACGGAAATCACCCCGGAGCTTGGTGGCGAGCGTTGGCGCAAGGATCAGGCGTAGCTGTTCGGTCAGAGAGAGAGACAGGTCGGTGGTGGCGGATTCGTAGTATGACCAGAGACGTTGGGCTTCGTCGCGAGGCGTGAGGGGAGGGAGAGTGGAGGATAGATGGATGGCTGCTAGATGAGCGTCGACCTCATCCAGTTCCTCGTTGATCTCCTGCTGCCCAACCGCATCGGTTGTCCGTTCCTGGGTGTGGGAGCTACCGGGAATCATGGCTCCGGCCGTCTGGGATTCTGAAGGAACGCCCTGGTCCAACTGCATCTCATCCTCCAGCTGGTTTTCGGGAACATCCTCACGGTCGTCAGTAACATCAGGCAGCATGTCATTGCCTTCAGGTTTGACATCCGACTCAACACCCTGTTTCTGATCGAGAGCCTTTGCTTGGTCTTCGCTGGCCTGACCTAATGCTTGGGTGTCTGCCACGTCGTCTTGGTCCGCAAGATGTTCGAAGTCGGCATCCGCCATGTCCGTGTCCTGGGGCATAGTTTCCTGAGACTCGTCCTCCTGTTTCGAAGCCTCCATGATCTCCTTCTGTCGGCGATGCCATTGTTCGAGAACATCGCCCAGCTTCTTGAAGGCTTGTAACTGAGGATCTTGGGAATCCGCATCGTCGTTTGCGCCACCGGCATCCTGGTGCCTTTGGTTTTCGTCTCCATCTTGGGCTGCGCCGGTCTGTTGTTCTTTGTCGGCAGAAGGATCTTTCGAGCCATCCTCTTGCTGTGCATTGCCCGACTCGCCCTTCTCTTGGTTCTGGTCTTGATCGGCTCCTAGTCCGCCATTTACAGCCTCGCTAGGGGCCACTTCTTCTCCAGCCGCCTCAGTCTCGTCGCGCTGGGTCAGGAAGTCGTCTTTCTGCTCTTCCTCTTCCTCTGCCTCCTCGCCAGCTTCATTCGCTTCTTCGGTGCCCTCGCCTTCGTTAGTCTCCATTGCCTCCTCATCCGGCATGCCCTCCTCCGTCTGTTCGGGCTCCTGATCCTCTCCAGTTTGCTCCATAGCATCGTCTTCGAGAGCATCCTTTCCATCCATCTGCTGATCATCATCCTCTGCAGGAGGAAGGTCGTCCATGTCATCAAGACCATCATCACTCTCACCACCTTCCTCCTCGCCCTTCTCGTCGCCATCAAGCTGCATCTCATCTGGAAGCTCAAGGGCGTCTTCCTCCTTTGCATGAGGGTCCGTCACGTCCATATCCTCACGTCCCACTGCTTCACCTTCTTCGTCGGGGTTTTCTTCGCCCTCCTCATCTTCCTCCTCCTCGGCATTCTCATCCTTCTCCGCGTTTTCACCTTCCTTGGCCTTTTCCTTCTCGGGTGCTGCGGTCTGTTCGTCAGACTGAGTCTCGCCCTTGCCTTCTTGCGTTTCCGTCTCCTTTTGCGTCTCATCGCGTTCACCATCCCACATCTTCTCATCGACCGCCGAGGCATCGAGATCATCAACGCTGCCTACCTCCTCGTCCATATCACCATCCTCTTCCTCAGATCCGCTTTCCTCATCTTGATCATCCCCTTCCTTGCGCTCGCCCTCCTCGCCTTGCATTTCCTCTTGATCCATGTTCACCGCATCTTCCGAGTTTTCAATGTCATCTTTAGACTCGCCCTTCTCCTCCTGAGCAAGCTCTGTCAGGTCCTCGTCATCCCCGACATCCTTGCTGATGTCTTCGGCTCCCTCTCCTTCTCCCAATCCAGTTCCGCTCTCGAGCTTTCCAGACTTGCTTTCTTCCGTAGATGCTTCACCTGGAGTGCAGAAACCTTCCGATGCAATTTGACCGAATGACTTGGCGAGTATGTAAGTCATTTTGCATGCCTCGCGGTGGACAGTCAGGTACCGTTCCACGATGTCTTTGCAAATGTGGTGATACTTGTTCATGATTGGTAGCAAGCTCGCCACGAATGCAATAGCAAAAGGCATGCTCGGGGTGGAACGAGTCTGGAGATGCTGGAGCTTCTCAAGAACAGATTCGAGGGAAGTTCTGATACCCGGGATATGGAGAGCCTTGAGAGCCTTGGTGAAGAACTCGTCACTACGAGACAATGAGCCAGGAGAGGCAAGCAGTGAGGGGATGTCCTTCAGCTTTTGAAGGCTGACAAGAATCCTGTCGACTGTGGCAACAAGTCCGGCATCGAACTCTTCAATGGACAGGGTAGCCTCGTCAAGTTCAATGTCAGACGACATAGCATTGACCTTCGCCCAAGGAACAATCTGGCCTAGAACAAAGGATAGATCCGGACGCTCTTCGGCCCAGTTTGTGAGATTGGCGCCCAACTTCTCCAAGGATGCAGAAGCCTCCTCGAGTGTTCTCTTGTGCAACTGCGAGGAAACTCCAAGGGGTAGTTCGGGAAGGCTGCCCAGAGACGTCCTGAGACGATCGAACGTGTCCTTCCAAGCCTGCAGACTTTGGGAGATGCTTGTCGAGTTAATGCCAGAGAACTTTGCGTGCAAACCAATGACTGTGACGGCGACTCCAAGGATAGGTGCCAACCATGCCACGGCCCTAGCTATCTCCTGGCTCTCATTCGGCAGTTCTGGGTGGGCCTTGAAGAATGAAGAAGAGTCGGAGGTCCATAGGTTTGAAACCGTGAGAAGGGTCGATTGCAGTGCTGTTAGATCAGAAAGCGCAGGGGAGATTGAAGCCCTCTGTTTCCGGGCGAGAGATAGCAGGTGTTCGATGGATCCCGAACTTCTGGAAATTTCCACGTTGCTGAGGTCCTCCGAGTAGTTGCGCGCTGCGAGGCGAACACGTGGAAGCAAGTCCAAGAGCCTGTGGAAGTAAAGGTCAGAGTTTCTGACCAAGCCTGATGCTGCCGTGCCGGCTTCAAATGCCGGGGTGGTCGCAAGAATTTGCGCAACAGAGGCTTGGGTTTCAATCAAGGTGGTACTAGCGCTCCGCTTCACACCCATCTCCAGCAGCTGTCGCAAAGTATCCGCGTATAAACGACGCTTTTGGACCTTGAGATGTTGAACATCCTCTTTGTTCTCCTCGGTCAATGTTTTCGGTGTCTGCGACTTGAGTTCCTGAATACTTTCGATGACAAACTTGACAAACGCATCGAGATCTCCGGCAATATCAAATTCAGGGGGGATCGAGGTATACAACTGCATCATGCTGCTAGCGGTGGCATCCGGGTTCTTGAATCGAGGCGGTCTGTCGGCCCAAGCCTTCTCTTCCTTATGACACATGGCGAGTGCTTCGGGGAACACGGTGGAAGCCAGAACAACATCGTTCTGGGTCGAACTGGAATCCTCGTTGTCATCCGGCATATCCTGTTCCAGGATAGGCTGCGCGGGTTGTGCCAATGCCGCTCGGTACTTGCGGACAAGGTTGAACAATTTGTTGTGAGACTTCCGAGCACTTGCTTTGAGCGCGACAATGTTAGTGTCCTTCCAGCTAGCCAGCTGGATCTGCTCCTTGATATCTTTCTCAAGAGCTGATCGTTTTTCGGCCAACGGCTTCTGAACAGAAGGCTCAAACTGTCTGTAGTGCACAAGGAAGTTGTCGAGGGCAGAAACAAGCAGACTCAAAGACGGGAAGTCTTGGACGTAAAGCGAGAGCAGAGACTGGAAGTTCTTCACAAGTCGAAGGCGCTCACTGTATTGGCCAAGAGTTGATGAGTTGAAGAATTGCTCCAGCGTGGCAGTGATCTCCTGGACATGTTCGGACAGCTCCATTTCGCCCGATTCTGCGATTTGGAGCGGAGCCCGAATCATAGCCTCGTACGCAATGAACCACCAAGAGCTCACATCTTGAGTGCACTTGTCATTCTCAATATCCAGAAGCTTTGCCCAAGTCGTCAGCTCAAGTCGCCGCCAACTGATAGTCAAGCTTGTGATTTCGTCGTACAAAGAAGCCGCCGAGAACTCCCGGCTTGCTACAAGCTGCCATTCATGGACAAGAGCATGGAGTTTTTCAAGCTTAGTGATGAACTTCGCGACAGGCTCAGAGTGCTTGAACTTGAGAATCTCTCCACAGCACAGTATGACATCCGCGAGCACTGCGTGGTCCGGCCAGGACTTCTGGATTTGGGCAAACCGAGCCCTCGTAGACAGGGTCAAAGTGACAAGCTTCTTCGCTTCACCTAGGTTGGCGTCCACATAGAAGTTGTATTTGTCTGCAGTGGGAGTGTCGCCTACTTTGAGAGAGTCTTCCAGAAGCAAGAGAATACCGGAAAGCTGGCCATTTGGATCAGCATCCGACACAGAATTATTTTTCTCCGACCATGTCGAACCCAGCAACAGGGAGGCCTGCTTGACGTAGCTTGACAACGCCTCCTCGCGGTGTTCAGACTGGAAGAGTTTGGCATGCAGTGATCGGAGTCGGACGGAGATTGCCTTGGGATCAAAGCGACCAGGCGTTTTACCTTCCTCTTCTTCCTCTTCGGCAGCGTCATCTTCGTAAGTGGGGAAAAGCTCGCGGAGCTCGTTTTCGTCAACTTCTTCGCTATCCTCCCAGGAGCCCTTGTAATGGTATAGTTCTGACTTTCGAGCTTCTTCCTCTTGGTCTTCCCGCAGCTTGGCTTTCCACAGAACGTGGAATTGTTCGAACAAGTGGCGAAGGGTCTCCCGCCCAGCCTGAGTGTGGATGATTCCCTGATCGGCATTCTCTGCTAATTGCAGGGTAGACAGTTCGTGGAACCACAAATCGGTATCGCGGACTGATCCGGTCTCCGATCTTTGCCTGCTGGCTCCAACAATGGGATGGATGAGTCCTCCAAGGAATGGCGTGGTCTCCCTGATAGCGTTGAGTAATTGTTTGCCGCTTGACTGGCGAGATTGGCTGGAAGAAAGGTAAAGTCCCAAGTCGAGGATCTGGAGGAAACGGACAACAGGTGTCGTGATGTCGTCGTAAGACCGATAGTTTGCACTGAGACGATGGCTGAGCTGACGAGCGTTATCACGGAGCAGGTCAATCATTCGCTGCGACTCTGCGTTGCCTTCGCTTGCTGCAACCACAATCTCTTCAGGGCGCCGATCAAGGACCGACTTCACCAGACTTGAAAACTCTCCGTGAAGAATATTGGTCTCCGAAATTGTCGGTCTGGTGACAGACGAAGGGGGAGGAGCTGAGCCAAGATCGTGCAACTCTTTCTGCAGCATTTCAAGACGTACGCTAGACGACTGACCAGAAAACCCAACCTCAAAGGAAGATATGGCGTCGGACTTTTCTGTAAGCTCCAATGAACGTTGCGCGTGTCTCTTTCTCCGTACAACGAGGCCCAAAGACGGATCGAATGGCTTGTCTGGGACAAATAGCCGCAGGAAGATGACAGCCAGCTGAACAATTGCTGCTCCAGTGGTTTCCATGGGGGTTGCCCTCTGCTGCATATCAACTGCCAGCGAAGAAATGAGTCTTGGGAGATACTCTTTCGCGAACTTCTTGAAGTAATGATCTCCGGGCAAGCTCGTTGACAGACGGATTTCTGGCAGCGTCGGGCCATCGTACAATCCTTTCTCTTCGATAATACGCAGAACATTAACCAGCTGCTCCAGTGATTGTGACTCAAAAAAGTCTCCGTGGAGGATGGCAAGCTCCAGTGTAAGCTTCGCCATGAGCTTCCGAAGGACCATAAGTTGATCCATACCAATATCCCGGCTCGTTAGAGTCAATGCTTTGGAAAGCATCTTCTTTTCAACCTCGAGGGAATCCATCTGGCCCAAGCTCGTAGAGCCGATGAAAGTCAATCTCTTCAAGAGCGATAGCGATACAGTGCCACTAATAGCGGAGCCGAGCACTGACGAATGCTCGGTGCCCGAAAACAGAGAAAGCTTATGGAGGATATTGGGGATTTGGCTCTGCAGGCTCGACCCATCCAAAGGTCGGGCGACACGACCGGCAAGCAATGGCAGGATTGCCCGAATGACCTCGTCGCCGCAGGTTTGGCCCTTGACTAGAGAAGATATGTCATGGTACTGACACAAAGCCTCGAATTCGGCCGAAAAGTAAGGGCGCGGTGTCGAATCAGCGTCATGCACGGCGGCTGCCAATTCTGCAACTGTTTGTCGCAGGCCCTAAGAATTGTAAGTATTAAAGATGAGGAGCTATACGGAAAGCCACAATGAGAATACTTACTTGAATGGGATATCCTTCATCAGCGCCACTCAGAAGGATAGCTTCTTGACCGCCAATCAGAGAATCGCGCACCTGACTCAATTGAGACAGACCCAGGTGAGTCTTCGTGGCAATTTGTGTGAAATCAGACGCGATGCTCTCCAATTCTAACAGGGATCTCAACTGGTCTTGAGTCGAAGGAGTCGCGGGTCTCCATGATTCCCAAAGTCTTTGCATGCTCAGTCCTGTCGTCAATGCCCAGTTTTCTTGGAACCGACTAAGAGCTTGAGACAGAGCAAAAGCCAGTTGCTTTAATGGGGCCCAGGATTCAAAGAGCGAAGCGCACAGCTCCTTGCCAACTTGGAGGTAAATCTGGAATTCGCCCTGATCCACTTCAGTTGCTGCCGTCAATTTGAAAACATCGGTGGTGAAGTCGACAATAGCTCGAAGGGCGCGCACGATGTCCGGGGTCTGGAGGGCATCATGACCCAGACTCTGGATGAAGTCGTACACTGCTTGGCCACAATCAGACAGGAATGAGGCCACTGGCTGTGTTGCATCCTTCATCAAAGAGGGTATTCTTCCTGAAGCCAAAGACCGCTCTAACCGACTCATCTGGCTTGGCTTGAGCAATTTTCCTGATTCATCCGCTCGCAATAAGCCCTGCCTTAAACGATGCAAATCAAGCTTGTACTCCTGTAAGTGCGCCAAAACCATGAGCCACGCTAGAGGTACGTCTTGATGCAAGATTGAAGCCAATGGCTCGTTGACTAGAGGATGAATAGGCTGCAAGGTTCCCTGCATGGAAAAAGAAGCATGGCCTACCACGACTTCTTTTTTGGCAATCTCGAAAGGTTTGCATGCAGAGTTATCATGTATCGCGGACACATACCGATCCAACGCGGAAGCAAAAGAGTCCCTCGCGTTCGAACCATACTGCGGCGTCAGACTCAACGCTCGCTGCAGATATGACAGGTCGGCGACCGAGAGATGGTCCAAGGAAACCTCATGTAGGATGTCCGTGATTCCTTCGCTGCCCGCGGAAAGATCGAGTTCCCAAACCGACCTGAGACGGTACAGAGAAGACTGTGAGGTATAAGCGGGCATGGATGGGCTAACAAAATCATTGTTTTCCTGCGGCAATAAGCATATCTCGACGCATCGATTACGCATCGCACGAGAGAGTTCACCATGACGAGAGTCCATCGTAAGGAACAGCCTGAAATTGGGATGAGGCCTAATGACACGGGCATTGCCATCCTCAGTACGTTGTTCGTTGAGGATGAGGGTTCCATTCGGTTCTGTAAGAGAGTTCAACCTGTCAAGAACGGACGGGTTGCACAGATTGGCATTGTCAAGGACAACCCAATGCCCATGCTGGACGGCGCGTGTCAAGACACCCTCAGTCCATTCAAATCCAACTTTCATATTATCAGACTGCTGGGTAACCTTCAACAAACGTTGTGTCCGGTCGAAGAGCTTCTCAAGTGCAGCCTGAGGACAAGATTGGCACAGCGCTTGGAGTGATAAACAGATAGCATCCAGCGGAACATCTGAGGAATGCAACTGTTCATACAGCTGGAGGAAAATCGGGGCCGTGGTCATCGTCTCTTCCCCTGCATAGGCAGAAATGACGTGCTTTCGGAGAAACAGGGAAATATCGTGTACAAGAGACGAAATTTCCCTTCTGTAGTCAATCTGTTCAAACCCACCAACCAGGTCCATGGTATCAGTATCAGCGCTGAGAGCCAATTCCACTAGGCTTGCCCCATTCACGGCAGCGAGCTTTCTGATTAGGGTCGTCTTGCCACATCCAGACGGGCCGACTAAGATACTCGGCCACGCCTGTTCTATGCAAAGCATGAGCGACTCCAAAATAGAAACGTCGCCTGGCAATATCCTCATCTGCGGGTCTGCTGTCTCCTGCAAGAGCATGTCCCTTTGCATGATACCCAGTCCAACCTGCAGGTGGTCTGATGTGAGGTTGTGGTAGTAGCTTTTGGCGTGTGTCGAAGCGTTGCTGAAGACCTGCTTATACAGACGAGAAACCAACTGACGGTCCTCCTCACTCCTGAATCTCTGGGAGATGACGACCTCGAGGAAGTTCTGGGTGGGTATCTGCAAGCTTCCACGATCTGCCAACTGGAGCCATCTTTGGATATCTCGCAGGTTGACTTCCCAGGGTCCGCCAACAGCGCCTAAGCGTCGGTTCTGGATAGCCTTGTTGAGAAGAGAAACAAACTCAACTAGGCCCTCAGTCTGCTCGGTGGAACTACCGGGGAAAAGCTTGGCGCAGATTCTCTTCAAGTCAGTATCCGTGAAGCTGTCGGCATAAACCACGGTGAATCTGTTGACGAAAGATGCGGGAAGTCCCTTTCTGCCGCCACCTTGATGGTGTGGGTTTTGCGCGGCGAAAAGAACAAAGTTGGGATGTCTTTTGAATGTTTGGTCAAGCTCAGCGACATACACCATCTGGCGGTGATCTAAGCAAGCATTGAGACCCTCGAGAACCGACTGGGATGCCAAGTTCATTTCATCTAGTAGAACCCAGTCACCACGTTGCATTGCTTGCAAAAATGGCGCATCTCGCCAGGCGAATTGGCCAACGTCGCCGCCTTCCACAGGGACATCTGAACCAAAGAGATCCGTGAGGTCCGTTTGCTCTGAAAGATTGATACGTGTAAGGGGCTTCCCAAGGGCTCTCGCAATTGCAGTGACGAGCGTTGTTTTGCCGACACCGGGGCTACCCTCGAGCAGAATTGGCTTTGGCAACTGTAAACCTCGAGCAATCCTGACAGAGTTGGCAATGGTAGTAGGTGCATCCATAATGAATTCAGGATCCGGCATCGAATCGCTGTTCATTGGGAGATGGAAAGGCCCGACACGCAGGGAGGAACCTTCAATGTCGACTGTTGACTTCTGGAGATAGATTGCCGAAGCGTCAACATCGAAAAGCTCATGGATCTTGTCCAGGCACAGCTGACGGTTCCCTTCAAGGTTGTGCAGCGCTGTTGCAAGCATCGCCGCAGGGTTCGCACCAAGTGTGTCTATGAACACCATCGCAGCACCCTGAACTATCGCAAACAATGGATCTGAGTTTTGGCACCTATTGACAAATTCAACCCAGGCAAGGAGATCACGGAGAGAGAGCGACGAAGTCGTGGAGTTTTGAAACACCCCCTTGAACCACTTTGCAAACTGCAACATACCCCGAGGGATGTTCTCCATGCCCACATTAAGCTTGCTTTGGAGAATCGGCAGGATGTCCTCATCTTCTGAAAGCTGGGGCGCCCATATTTCGGTCATTCGGTTTCGAAGAGCGGCAGAAAGTTCGCGCTTTCCATAGTCTCCTCCAGGATTCATCGTAGAGAGAAACTGGAAGCCCTCGTCGGCAACGACCATAGAATCGATCGGCCCTTTTTCGGCAAGAAGAATGGACCGATGGGGCTCCAGAACACTGTTCAGTCTTTCCAAAACAGAGTCATCTGCGAGAGAAATCTCATCAAGAAGGAAGAACTGGCCAGTCTTCATCGCCGTGATTAGACTTCCATCGGACCATTCGAACAAAGCATTTGAGCGCGCAATGTTCTTTTCGATGCGCAAAACGAGTTCAGAGTCTAGGATTTGAAGCTGGTCCGCGGTGATGGCGCCGAAAGCCTGCTTTAATTCCTCAAGGGACTTCGACTCGGCATTCTCTTCTCCAATAAGAGTTTGCAAGTCACTTAGCAACTGACCCTCAATCGCCGCCCTATTTCTTACAGGTCTTTGAGCACCTATAAGATCTCCGGTTTCCAAGTTTACATGGGCATTGACAATGAGCAGTTGCTTTCTGCAGATCTCTGCAACAGCTTGACAAAGCTGAGTTTTTCCGCAACCAGTCTCGCCAACGAGCAGAACAGGCTCGTTGTTCTCAAGCGCAGTTGAAACGAGTACGAAAAGTCTCCTCATCGCCTGTGTCCAGACAATACCTGGAGCTAACTGCGAAAGATGAGGTGCACGTTTCTCCATCGCCGAAGAGCTATATATGACATCTTCGTCGATGCGAACCTTCATCACCTCTTCAATCACACCCTTGACAGCGGCCCTTTCCTGTGGATTCCGCACTCGCTCTGCAAGCAGCATGAATCCATTGATTGCCAATTGTTCACGGTCGTCAGCCTGTCGAAGAGCCCATCGGAAGAGATCACGCAATGTAGCGAAGCTGTTCTTTTGTTCAAACAGTCGATTTGACTGACGCAACAGAGACAGCTTCCGGTAAACCGAGACAATTCTAGTGCAGAAAGAAGGCGCAATCTGAGAACGCTCTTTCAAAATGAATTCGAGTTCGCTTTCTGGTATGTCGTCGAAATGAAGCTCCAAGAATCGATTCCTGAAAGCGCGCGACAACACCTTTCTGCCACCGTAAAGACCAGCAGGATTCTGGGTCGCAAAGAGCATGAAGCTGGGGTGCGGATGCACTACTTCCTGTGTCTCCGGTATAAAAAGCTCACGGTTATCATCTAGAAGTCGGTTCATGGCTTCCAGAACGTCCGAAGGCGCTAAGTTAAGTTCATCGAGGACGATCCAATATCCGTTTCTGAGTGCCTCGACTAGGACACCTTCCTGGTAGCGAAGAGTCCCATCGTCGCCAGAAACATACGTTCCCAGATATTCTTGGAGGTCGGTATGCTCGTGGTTGTTGATCCGAACAAACTTATTCCCAGACACTTTAGCAAGGTACTCGATCATACTTGTTTTTCCGGCGGACGTCGGGCCCTGCAGCAAGACTGGGAATCGGCGCGTGGAGCTTGCTCTGACTAGGTTCTTCAAGTTCTTCTCTATGAAGGGAGTGATAATGTAGTGCGGCTGCTCTTCGGAAGTCAAATGGCCTCGACGCATCCAGTAATGCTTGAACTGAACATAGTCGTTGCCATCGTCCGGTGGTCTGGGCGTTTGACCGAGAAGCGCTCTGGAATTCTTTACGTTGCTAAAGATATGCCTCTCTATCAGAGGCATCAACAGCCTCTCCGACTCTTGACTGAGAACGGTCAAAAAGCTCATAGAGAATCCTTCGTATAATGCGCGCCGCAAACCGTAAACATGCGCATGGTCAGTGACATAGACGAGTGCCCGGACAAGAGTTCTGATGCTGAAGTGTGGACGTTGTCCAGCACCATCCGTCAGTTTGTTATCGTTGCTAAGCTTCTTCGTCTCCATGTAGAGTTGCGCAAGATCTGGCACGGCTCTGGAATCGCTCAGCGCCAAGTCACCGAGGTACTTATGAATCAAGGACAGCAAATCGTCCAATTCACTATCCGGAGATTGCACGTAGAATTCAGTGAACCGTGACCGGAGACCAGGGGGCAGGTCCTTTTTTCCTGCGTCTGTTGCGGGATTCATCGCACCAAAGATGCGGAAGTCGGGGTGCCCAAACACGCGTTCAACATCACCAGCTTCAGAAAGCAGCACGGACGGAGAACCCTCGCTACCGTGATGCAGAAGACTGGCAATATTCTCAAGCGTATCAGGCGACGCCAGGTTCACTTCGTCAAGCAAGACCCACTCGCCGTTTCGTAGAGCCCGGACGATTTTACCCTGGACAAAAGCAAATGCGAACTTAGCATCCCCCTGAGAGACCTGGGACTCGAAATCGTTCAGCTGCGCCGCAAATCTTTCCCACCGCTGCCGGAGAAACTGATACTTGGGCGAATCCAGTTTTCTCTTCTTTGTGGGCTGCTCCTCTGCGCCTTCAGTGGAACCTTGTCCCGATTTGAACACACCATCGGCCAGTCGAACGGCCTCATGCCACAGATTGACTAGACGAACCCAGTTTGCTGCGGCAACACTCTTCGCAACGGATACCAAGAATTTTTGGTTCTTCTTTGCGGAGAATGTGAGCTCGAACAAGGAAACGAACTCGTCGTGCATAGGAACAGCCATTGTCCGGATATTGACGGGTTTGAAGCCTCCCAACAAATCAGTGCTCTCACTCTGTTGCGACAAGTTCACAACTGTCAGCTTCTGACGCATAAGATTGGCGAGCTGCTGGATCACGGTCGTTTTACCGATACCAGTTTCTCCGACAAGGAGGACAGGCTCAGCCATCTGCACAGCACCAGCGACCTGTTCCATCAGCCCTAGAGCAGCCCTTGTGGAAGCGAAGCGAGATGACGCAGCAGCAGCTTTTGAGATAGACCCACTCGGGACCTTGATCTTTCGGCAAACTTCTCTCCCAAGGGTAATGTTGTTCCCTTGATCAGAATACAAAGGTGTCCGCTCGTGAAGGCAGAATCGTGCTCGCTGAGGGGAGATCTGGAGAGCTTCCGCAACAACCAGAGCTAGGGTGTCCGCCATATTCTTTTCTGGTATATACTTCAAGAAGATATCGACAAAATCCAAGAAAATTTCATCCTCAGCGCCCTCTGTAGTAGGCTCGTAGCCAGTCTTTGCGCCGAGTCGCTCCAATCTTCTATGTAAGCGGCTGCAAAGTTTGATTAGATCACGGAGACCTGGTGTCCGTCCTTGAGAGCTTTTGATTGCAAGGCTGCCGTGGAAGGAGGAACAAAGTCTCTGGTAGACATCCATGATGGTAGGAACCCGAGATTCAAGCAGAGGAAATTTGCTTCTGATCACCTCTTGAATCTCGTCTATTGTGAGAGAGTCGACTTGCACTCTTTGCCAGAGCCTGCTTCCCAGCACGGTAGTGCTTGGAGCTATCTCTTCACCGGCGATATTGTACGACGATTTCATGGTTGCAATAATCTTGAACCCTTCGGCGCACTTAATTTTTTCTCTCCTGCTGGCTATTGTCAGCTCTCCCCGCTCAATGATGGGGAGGATTAGACCGATAACCTCGGAGGGGGCGCGGTCCAGATCTTCGATCAAGATCCAGCGACCTTCTCTGGCAGCCTTGGTCAAGACACCAGGCTGCCACGAAAAGGACCCTGTGGCAGGTGAAGTGGAGTACATCCCAAGAAGACTTTTAGCATCGGTTTGTTCATTCAAATGCAATGTGACCATAGATTCGGACTGGCCCATCGTCGCAGCAACATCATTTATCAAGGTGGTCTTCCCGGAGTTTGGCAAGCCTACCAGTAGAATAGGCTCTGGGGAGATCAAGGCGGCGGCAATCTTTCGTAGGTTACCCACGGCGGTGGGTGTTCTAACAACGGAAGACGGGGCAGGCTGCGTGCCTTGTTGCCGAGGAATAAGGACACCACAAACCTCGGCGGTTCTGTCGGTGAAGTATTCCCTCAGCATCTCAACTTGCGACAGGCTTTCCGACAGGGACCTAGCCGATCGTGCGACTTGGGCCTGCTTCTCCAAGATATTCCACCGACGTTCTTCCCACAGGCCGAGGCAGCGGTAATCAATTGTGATGCCTTCCCATTCACCTTCAATAATGTCATCTGCGAATTTCGCCCTAATTATATCCTCTGTAGCGGCATCCGCTGCGCGCATGTACATGGCAAAGCATCGAATCGCCAGATAACACACGGATGGGTCTCGGTGTCGGAAGAGAGACTGGAGGCGTGACGGCGAAACGGCTTTCGAGAAAGCCTCGGTGTCGTAAGAAAGAAGTCTAAAGATTGCTAACAGCAGGGCGCGGATTGTAGCATCGTTCATTTGTAGTAGCGTCTGCTCGTCGGACGCAGCCAAAGCCGACAGAGGTCCAGCCCGAGACATGGCATATTGGCTTGCAAAAGACCGTAGATATGGCGCAAGCGGTAGGACTCGTGAAAATGCGGAAATAACATCGACCTGGTCGACCTGGGACTCGGACAGGAGCCACCGTGCGGTCAGATCCACGAAGATCGGTTCGTATAGGCAAAAGAAGCCTTCTGTGCATCTCGGCCTCAACGCGCCAACCGCAAGCGCATTCAAGTATTGTGTTCCGGAGGCCGTACGAATGAGTTCCGCAATCTCATTCGGAACCTGTGCAAAGAGTTGGGACTCGTTAAGAGTCCCCTCGTAGGCCGGTCTAGCATCCATGCTGAACCCAACCGCCAAAGGAACCCTGGTGGTGAGTAGGGAGAGAAAAGAGCTCGCCAATGGCTGCACTTTTTTTTTCCTTCAAGATCGTTTTCTGCCACCGCATTTCTGGCGCGGGCCCCACCGTGAGCCCCTCACCGCCTTGGCCGGCCGCGGAGGTCAGGCCAAGGCTCTAACCGCAGTACGACATAGAACAAGTCCTCCAGTTGTCAGGAACACTGGGGAGATTCCCAATTGATAATAATGAATGATTGTGCTCAAGACCATAAGTCTTGTATCAAACTTAACACAACCTCAAAGCACATGTGTTTCATATCGCTAATCAATTAGCTCAGGCCATCAAGAAATACAGCAGAGGTTATTACGGTATTCACTGGCAATTTCTAAAATTAGATGTGGTTGTGCTATCTGGCACTTCATACGTTCGTGATATAGCTGTATTCTCAGGCTGCTTCTCATTTTACTTATAAAGCATGAGCCTCTCTTTGAGTTCTAGGTAAATGGTTGTGTAGTCCTCCAATTTACACTAAATCCTTGTTGTATATATTTTGTTTGCTTGATTGATTTCTTGCAAACTCTAACTACTACTTACTACTATGATCTTCAGCAGAAATGCCAAGTTTCATTTATTAAGCTCACAAGCTACTTGCTAAGTCCACTGCATAATTAGCACCCTACTACAACTGGTCAGTAATAAGAATCGCCATCTGTATGTCACAGGTCAAAAATCCACATGGTAAATGAACCCCACACTTTCTGCCCGCCTTATCGAATTACACCGCCTTAATCAAGACCAATCGGAGTTCTCTGTTCGCCCATATAATTCCGCCAGCCGCGACGGTATGCAGCGATCGGGGAGCACTGAAACCTCATCTTACCGGCTCCTATTCTCCAATACGCCCTCATATTTTTATTTAGTCGCACCTCAAAAATGATGGCCGATCCATTTGAGGTGCGCATGCGCTTTACCGCGCAACTGCAACACCTCAACGCCTCTGTCACATCATCCCAGAAAGCAGCACACTATGCGCTCAAATACCGCGACATGGACGAGGATCTCCACTCCTGCATCCTCGAACAACTCGAGAGGGTATGTCTCTCTGTCATCACCTGTCGAAGTTGACCCTGACGCAGTTTTTAGAATAATATCAACAACAGAGCGAACATCATGTACTTCATCGAACAGTTTTGCGAAATGGCTACGAGGGAAGACCACGCTCCCTATGTCCGGATGATACAGAGAGATATCCTGCGCGTTGTCGATGCCGTCGCTCCGCCGGATGGTTCCGGTGCCGCAAACATTAAACACGTCCGTCGAGTGCTCAATGGACTGCAGACCAAGGAAATTCTCTCCGCAGAGACGGTAGCGGAGATCGACGCCGGGCTGAAGGAGCGGGAGACTCACCCGGCCCATCTGGACCTGGAAGCTGAAGAAGTGGCGGAGGCTGGCGGAGGCGGCGTCAGATCGAAAACGGGAACGCCGAGAGGGTCGAAGGCGAACGGCATGCGAGTGGACAAACGACAGATTGAGCAGAGAATCGAGGAAGACCGCGAACGGAATAAACGACTACGAGAAAGCATGTGGACGGTCAGTGGCGATGATATTGATGAGCAAGGAAGGTTCTGGGATGAGGCCAGTGATATTGGCGAGGACGATTTCCTGACTGCGAACGAGGAGCTCATGGAGCGCAGGCAGATGATCGACGCTCGGTGATGCGTATATACAAATATACGAGACCTCGCTTCATAGATTTACGGTTTCATGTTGATCTCAGGCGCAACGATTTACTTGATCGCAAGTTTACCGGGATAGGACGGTGTTTAGGGGTGGAATGGAGCTAGGTCTTCAAAACTTCGGAGCATCCGGGCACGGCGTTTACAATTGTGCTTTTGGGGGGATATTTTTGAGTGCATTCACGACGGAGTTCAAACAAGGCATTCTGGGATAGCCGAATATCATGAGACATTATTGAATCTGCTAGTAAACCGTCACCGACTGCTGAATATGTACCCCATACTCCGTGCAGCGCATACTACCTCTGGCGACCCACTCGACAGGCCGCCTTCGGATAAACATAGCGCCGGCCAAATTTGATGGATCTGGATTTCCTAGTTTTTGAACCACTTTTGGGCGCAATAACATTTCTCCAGGGAATTACATGTCACACGGGGGTTTCTCTGATACTCTATGTTCTCTCAGATCGTAACGGCGGCAAAGGGGCTATTTTCTCGACAGGAATCCGACGACGCTTCCTTGGAAAAAACTCACGCTACTTCCGGTGCCTCATCAAGAACTGCCAGCGCCAACACCCGGAAAATGGTCACGGCCACGAGACAGCGGAAATTTACCGCTGAGCAACCATCCACCGAGCCCAATGCCAACGGCTCGATCGAGACAAGTGGCAAGCGCAAATCCAAGCCCGTCAGCTCCGAACCTACCGAGATGCAGAACAACAAGCGGAGGAAGAGGGCCAGCCTAGAGGCGGCGCCAGAGACGGAGGGCAACCCCTCGAGTAAGAAGTCGAAGACGACGGAGGATAATGAGACGGAGCAGCAGGAATCTTCGGCGCCATCCTCGAAGACCAACCACTTCCGCTTTGGTAGCGAAGAGCCAGAATTACCGGAGGTCGCTGCGACAGAAGATACTACGGAGACGCAGCAAGAGGTTCAAGACAGTGAAGATGAGAGCAGTGATGACGAAGCCCCAGAGACTATCGACAATTCTGCACAATTGTCGAAGATCAGACTAGAAGCCAAGAGACAGGAGAGGGCCAAGCAAATGTAAGTGATGAGACAACCGTGAACTTATCGCCGAACTTCATTAACTTTTTTTTTTATAGAGAGGAGCAACTGAAGAGGGACAAAAGAAAACAATTGGACGATCTGCGCAAATCTCAAGCGAAGCTATCAAAGAAGAAGGACGCCGACTTGCTGTCGGAAAGCACAGAAACCCTCCAGGGAACCACCACGCAAGACGCTCGCCGGTCGGCTCTCCCGGCTCTCCTTCCCGATGACATCTTGAACGCAGCACCTGACGTGCGGCCTCCGACGCCTCCTGCTGAGGAAAGGAGCATGATGCACACAAAGCCCAACAAGCTGAGGTTCCTGGACAAGAAGGAGAAGCTGCCGAAGGATGTGAGAATGGGTGATGTCACCATCCGTGTTCTGGACGACACCGTATCGAAGAAGCACAACAGGCCTGCTCTCCCACCCAAGGCCTCGAAAACTGGGCGGAACGCCAAACAGAATTGGCTCAACAAATCCCGCAGCACAGGCAGCCTGAACGGGCTAAGACGAACGGCGGGCACATCTTCGGGATTTGTGCGCAAATAGCAGGTCTTTGGCGCTTTTCCATACCACCGCGAGAATCGATTTCAGTCTTCTAATCAAAAGTTCGCTTAGAATGCAGCGAGAGATGTGGTTCATGACATATAGAAACCAGCAGTTTGCTTTCCTGGGTTGATAATGCCCGCTCCTAGGCTAGATAGATAGTAAAGGATCCGAAGCGATCTGATACGTAGCTTCGCTTCCTCGGTACCTTTCGTCCCTGAATTGAAAGCATATTTGACCGGGGTTGTACAATCCGGCGAGAAAGAGTTGAGGGGAGGAGTGACTAGCCGTCCCGTCTCCTGCAGTAAGGAAGTAATTGCTTTTCCCCCGGGACTGCTCCCAGTTGGACCTCGTATTGTACAGACGAGCATATGCAAAGGCGCATGCCCAAAAAAAAGCCAGCAGCCCTACAACCTAGGTGCTAGTGGGAATCTAGTGGTTTCTGTTGCGTGAAATCCAAGCAGCAGGAGCGGATGGGATTGGGCAGAATGGCAGCAGCCTCTGGCGGGCGCACGTGCGGAGCTTGGAGCTCTTTTTGATCGGCTCCCTCCAGTTCCATCTTGTCTTTTCTCCTTGTCCAACCTTCAGCCACACCCCCCCCGGAGACTTCCCCCCTCCGGCACAATTCGTGCTTGTCCGCAGAGTAAGGCATGCTCTAAGCCGTGTCTTGTCCCCCATCCCACCCACCATGGTTCCGACAACAGAATCCTCTCCCCTCCTCCCCCAGCATCGCCCGGCTGCCTCCAATACGTCACCGCGAGGAGCCCGTCCCCCGCGAACAGTGACTTTCAACCCATTGGCGACAGTCAGTACATACCATGATACCACCTCCGCAGACCCTACCTTCAGACCGCTACATTCCGCCTCCTCGTCCGCTCCGCATTCTCAGGAAACTCAATACCGTCCGACTGGGCTCTCCGCCCTGAATAGCAAGCTCCGGAGACGCAACAGCCATGGAGCTCCCTTCAGCACCGCCAACCCTTCGATTGCTGCAGCTCCCAAGGTCGGACCTCAGAGAACAACGAAGAAGGCACAGAAGCTCAAGCTCCTTCCCGATCCCATCGCTGCTGAGGAGGAGTCCAACGAGGATGATTTCCCGTCCGATGTCTACTCGCAGATTGCCCGAATCAAAGAACCCACGGCCAGGAGTCATGCGGCGCGCTTAGGAAAGGCAGACAGGGATCGATTGCCGCGAGTGACAGCTTACTGCACGGCCAATTCGTATCGACTAGAAGGCATCATCCGGTTTCTCAAATCCCGCTCGAAAACCCGCGGAGCCAATCCAAAGCTCTACGACGAGTGCGTCTATTCTCCATACGACTACGATTATGAGGAAAAGCAGAAGAGCACATGGGTCGCTACCAACAATGGTCTCAATCTTTCGGATAGCCGTCTTCCTCAACGTCCGTCCGGTGAACGCAGGTTCTCAGACAGTGTGGTTGAAGTTCAGGATAACAGTGTTCGACGGGAGGACCTCATTGACCTGCAAGACTCTGTATCTCATCCAACCGACATTGAGGAAGTTGCTAGGAGCGCCGTGTCGGAGCATCAGGGGGAAGCGCATCCCGATTTCGACACGACAATCCATACCCCCGAAGTATTTCTCTTTGACTACGGGACAGTTGTTATATGGGGCATGTCTCCTGCTCACGAGTCACGATTTTTGTCGGATATCTCCAAATTCGCGACCTCCATTCTGAGTTCCGAAGACACGCAGGTAGAGAACTTCAATTTCTACTATGCTCGCGAGTACCAGGCTCGGATATACAATGATTTCATTTCGCTGCGTGACCCTCGAAACCACATGATCAAGCTCACGATTTCCCATGCACTGGCCCAGTCTGTCAAGACCTCATTATTCGAAGATCTCGTCTCCGAGACCATCTCCAACACCGCGCCTCTGCCCGCCCAGATCGCCCAAACCGGCAGCGTCAATCTCACGAGACGCCAGATTAACATGCAAGTCGGCGAACTATTCATCCTTAGAATCAACATCCATCTTCAGGGCTCCGTCCTAGACAGTCCAGAGCTGATGTGGGCCGAGCCCCAGCTCGAACCGGTCTATCAGGCTGTCCGCAGCTACCTCGAGATGGACCAGCGCGTGAGTCTCCTGACGGAACGACTGGACGTGATAGCAGATCTTCTTGCGGTCTTGAAAGACCAACTAACTCACCGCCACGGTGAGTACCTGGAATGGATCGGTAAGTCCCCTTGCTTCTCACCCTCTGCCGCCCTGTCACTCGCTAACGTATGACAGTCATTGTCCTTATCGCCGCCGAGATTCTCGTTGCCGCCATCAACATCCTGGTCGACCTCTACGCTGGCGTGGAATAAACGTTTTATTTTCTTCTTTTTAGCCTTCAAAGATCTACCTACCCCTGCAGTCTGATGGTCAATTCCTCCCCCCCTCCCCCCAAGGCCGGCCTTGAACTTGTCTTGTCCATCCATATATGGAGTGTCTGTGTTGCTTTTGCATTTGCTTTTTTTTTTTCTTATTTTCTCTCGATTCCGGGACTGGAGTTAAGGGGTAGCAGAGTGGGAAACCCTTGCATCGCCATGGACAAGGCTCGCGTGATAGCTGTATACATACTTTGCCATTGTCATATCCTAGGCGCAGTTTCGGTGGTTGCTCAAACACACATAGTAATAAGATATGTAGTTTACTTGCTCACTCCTTACCTTTTAATTGTATGTATGTCTGTCTGTCTCCTGTAGGAATTCTGAATGAATTAGCCATCTAGATATTGTCCATCCTGCGGATCCCTCCCGCACTAGTGATTCCCTAGACTCATCTGCCATCATGTGATGCCATCTACCCTATGCACATGCAAGAAGTATAATACGTAGTAGTATCAACACTCCAATTGAATAAAACCAATATAGTATGCTTTCGCTAGAGAAACATGATCCCTATAGCATAGCATACGAAAGCCCCATCCATCACTGCCCACTGCCCACTGCCCACCCACGAACAAAAAAAAAAGAAAGAATAAAAAAGAAAGCTCACTACAGATATTACCACGGCAATAATCGAGGGAAGTAGAATGAAGAAGAGTGAAAACAAGATACAAATACAGCCTGATCCCCCCCCCCCGATCAGAAAGCATATTAGTCAATCCAGTAAAGAGAACACAATAACACCTATTAAACGGATCCAGAGGCGGCGCGCCGGGGGAGGGAGGGGGAAGAGAGATAGGGGGTAAAATCAGCCACAGACTCGAATCAAGTGAGCAAATGCACGTAAGAGGGAAGGAAAAGAAAAGTAGTAGTGTATGTAATGTATGTATGCATGGTATCAGATCAATCACGCCTCTCTCTCCTCGTCCCTCTCCTTATCCATATCCATTGGCGTCGTCGACTTCTCCGCGGCGGCCTCGCCGGCTCGCCCGGACTCGGGCTGGTTGCTACCGCGATCACTGCCCTCTTTGTCGTGAACCGGGGACCCGTTGCTGCCTGTTTGGATGCGGAACGACGAGGTCATATCTTCCTGTGACGGGGCGGGAGCCAGTCGGGGCAAGCCGGCGGCACTGTCTGGGCCGGACTCTGGGGCATTGCCGTTGTTGGTTTTGTTCTCGTTGCCGTTGTTGGTGTTGTCGTTAGTGTTGGTGTTCGGGCCTTCGTCTTCGGCGCCGGGGTCGTTGGGGAGGTTCGATTTCCGTGATCGTTTGACTCGGAGAGGGCGTTCTTGGGGCTATTGCATTATCGGATCCGTCAGTCTAGCCATCCATCCATCCATCCAGTAACATAGAGTATGGGCAGAGATAGGATATATGTGTTAAACGTACCGTAGGAGGCTGTTCATCCGAACTGCCCTCCGTCTCATCCTCCAGATACAAGCCCCCCGGATTCGCACTCGCACCCGCACCATCCGCACCGTTCTTCGCCTCCGCGCCATTCATCGACGAGATAGTAGTCATCATGGCAGCCGCGCGGGCGCGCAGTTCCGGGTTCACGCCGGCCTGAGCTTCCTCAGTCATCCCGGTGACCTTGGAGAGCCGTTCCAGCAGGATGCAGGATTCCAGGCGCATCTTCTGAATGTATTGCCAGCCGCGACGGTTTCGGACGCGCATCAACTCGTTCTCGTCTTCGATTTCGTTGAGGCGTTTCTTAAGCGCGAGGCATTTGCGCTTGTAGGCGTTTTCGACGCTGGGGGGGTTGGAGGTTGATGAGGGCTGGCGGGTCGTGGTTTCGTCCATTGTGGAGGGTGGGGGCTGTTTTTTTTTTGGTTTTGAACGAGAGGGTGGTGGGATGGAAGGTTGTGTTGCAGTTTGGTTGCGATTGTTGGGATGGGAGGTCAAGGGGTGGGCTGGGTGTTGCTTGCTCGCTTTCTGGGTTCGGAGATGCGAAACTGGTGAAGCGATTATTTGAGCGGATTGCGCGGAATGGTTTGAGATAGGTGGATGGAGAATCGGGATAGAGAGACAAAATAGACTGCGCAGGTTTCTGGGTCGATTCCGATGGCACCGACGCGGATCACCGAGGAAACGATCAAGGCTGCAGCTGCAAAGGCCGGACGAGGAGGTCGAGAGCTGAAGCCGAAGCAGAGCCACGCCCCGTTCTGCCGTCGGGGTTCCGGGCGGTGAGCCTGACACGCCGAGATGCACACTTCTATCTACGGAGTACTCCTCCCTCTCTTCTCTCTCTCTCTCTCTCTCTCTCTCCTCTACACATCGGGGAGATACAGATATAATATAATATCATTCATGGTCATTAAATTGCATTAAGAAAATTATGATGTGGTCTTCGGCTACTATGTGCACCAATCAACCCATTAATGTCCACCAGTGGTAGGCAAACCCAGGAACACCTTGAAAGAATCGTAACTAGATATCCTAGTCAGTATCACACTTAAACAATCAGGACAACAGCTCGATCAGAGCACTCACATCAACCATTGAAATCCCGTCAATGTACCCAGCATGACAATACGGACAGGCAAGCCATTCCACAGGCCCGAAAATCCAATGTTACCATAGATACGCGACACAGCGGTCATCGCGCCCTCACCCGCTGCAATCGCAGTCAGTCACCAATCAATCACTCACCAACCAAGATCAATGGACGACCAACTCACCTTTCCGATCGGCATTCAACTTGCTCACCATGACATCCGCAGGATGACTAACAATAGCGCAGAAGATACCGGCAATATAGCCACCCAAAAAGCTCACCCCCGTCTGCTGCAGACCATTATAGCTCTCTTTCGGCTTCCCGAGCGTCTTATAGATATACTTGACCGTCTCCTCGAACGTCGCGAACTTCGTCATGGTGTAGGGAATCTGCCTCGCCCACAGCGGATACAGCCCCTTATACAGACCGGAGATGCCCTCCTTCGCCACGACCTTCCCCCAGCCCTCGCGCAGGGAATGCGCAAACGGCGGCAGCGTCGTCTGCATGCGCACCTTGATCGCCTCCATGGGACAGAGGGCGATGTCGGCGAAGAACTCGGCGGAGGCAGAGGCGCCCAGGAACACCACGGTCCGGTTGGCGTTGGGGAACAGGTTGTCACCGTACAGGTACTTGAAGTATTCGTAGAAGCCGTATTTGCCGGCGCCTTGCATCGAGTAGCCGACGAAGGTGGGCGTCCAGCCGAAGAAGATCCCCCGCAGGCCTTCCTTCGACATGATGGTGCGCCATGCCGAGAGGTTGGAGGTGTAGATCTTGGGGTCGACTTGACGACGGCATTTTACCAGATCAAGCGGCGTGACGGCTGTGTGGGTTGGGCCTGGGGATGGGGATGGGGATGGGGATTAGAGGCCTGGGGGGTGAGGAGACGGGGGATTGGGAGGAATGTACTACTACTCACCGCATGCTGTTCGAGATACAGGGTCAGCTGGCTGGTTCTTGTAAATTGGGCATATTAAGGTGTATGGAGACGTACCGACAATGCCTCCGAGCGTACAGCTCGCAAAGTACCTTGCGGAATCGGGCTCGATCTTCCCCAGCGGGTAATTGGTCTTCTGTGTAGCCATGATGAGAGGGATGGATGGATTCTTATCGAGCAATACAGAGCTGGGGAGAGAAGGGAGCAGGACCAAAACCAGATCCCAAGCAAAAGGCAGACGAGTGAATGAGTAACGCAACCAGCCGTATGCTCCCCCGCAGGATATATACGGGGCCCATCATCAAGGTACAGCCAGCACAGCTCGTATGTCGTCAGCGCCACGGCTTATCGGCCGCCCAAACCGGCGCGTCCAGCCCCATTCGTGAAGTCAGTCCAGATCCAGCCAACGGCTAACCGGCACTGCTGGCCGCGCTTCCCTGCTGCTGAGGACTTGGAGGCCTGCAATTTGCAGTCTCGGTGAAGGCGCTCTTTGTGCGATCTCTGTCACCGAGGCTAATCTGCTTTGTCCTGTCCCTCGTGCTCCCCTACCATGCTGCTCTGTTGCTTCTCGCTTGCGCCGAGACGATCCATGACGTCAGGATATCCGGGGTTGCCGGAAAAAGAACACGGCGATGTCATTGGTCCACTTAGTTGCATAAGATAAGCACTATTCCGTTTGTGTACGTAGTATGGTCTAGTTTATGTACTACTATGTACTCCGTAGTTAGATAGCATCTCCAGCAAAATCACAGCTCCTACTGTGGCTCCTTAGGTGTCCCCCTTTTAACCCCCCATATCTATATATATAATTATATACAAGAAATATAGCACAATATACAGACAGATCTCGATAATGATCATAATTGACGCCAGCCAGAGATATCTCTGAAACACTCTAGCAATCACTCACCCACTGTACAAGCCCCCCCTGTACAAGTTGCCCATGGACTGTTCAAACGAGGACATATCAGGCATCGGAGGTACCTTATTTTCCATGCCAGTGTTTGCCAGGAAAAACGCCATCTTGATGCCGAGCTCAGAGCCCATGCGCGTCAGCAAACTGCGGATAATCTGGTCCTGGGCGGGCGAGGTCAATCCGCACGACAAGATAAACCACAGAGGCCACATCATGCTGTGAGCAAAGAATGCCCGGATAGGATACCTGCCCTCGGTGGAGGGGGCCAACCGATTCCCAAACCGGTCAATCTGACCAAAAGAGAACGGGATGCTTTGACACGACTCGGTGATCAGGTCTTTGCAAATACGATGACTCTCATCCACTTGTTGTGCCGCCTCTCGCTGTATTCCCGGCGAGTTGGTGACTGACACCAGTGCCCGGAATAGATCGACGATCCTCAGATGGATGGTGATTCGGCCGCACCGATAATGAGCCCAGATAGAGCCGATGATCATCTCTCGGTATGTTAGCACATCTTCACCTGTGTAAGAGCGCGTCGCGAGAGGGAGCCATTCCTCCGGCATAGAGTGGCTCCATTCAATTAGTTCTGCGTCCAATTGTCTGCACGAGTCAATCCACGAAGCGAGCTTGGTGACCCCGGCCGCATCCAAGCCATCTGGGGCCGAGTAGACCTCCGAAAGCAGCGGCGAGATCCTGGCCGCGATGATCATCAGCCGCTGTAGAGGGTCGGAACTGTCGAGGAGCTGAACCAGCCATTGAGAATTATACCGCGGCTTCTCCTTCAGAACCAGGGACTCTACTTGCTTATGCCCTATCAGCATTCATTTACACCACCCACACATCCCATCCCATCACACCAATGACAGTAACTCACCACATGCACATATGCAAACTTGAACATATCCAGCCCCTGCGCATGCACAAGCTGATTCTCCCCTCTCAGTCTTATCAGAGCCTCGAACCCGGTCGTATGCGAGCTGACAAGCCCATTGCGATCGCCCGAGATATCCTCAAACAAGGACAAGATGACCAACGTGGCGAACGTTTCATCCTTGACTGCCTCGACTGGCGAATTCAACGCCTCCTGCAGGCGACCCAGCGCCAAGCCAAACCGATTTCTCGCTTGTGCAACAATACTGCCAGACGCACCAACCAGATTGCTCATGGCGATCAGGGACGTGGCATCGACAGCAAGTCGCAGGGAGGAAGACGCAGGAGTAGCGAGATTCTGGTCCCGACAGACTGCATACAGCGACGGCACGAAGCCCAGGTGGCCCGCGCTCCCTGGGATATTGTCCACTATCGTGTACTGGTCGAAGAAATAGCAGATCGCTTTTTCTTCCCAGCTGGTATCGGGGATGCGGTACACGGACAGCGATGATGGACTGTAGTAGTGTACTCTGCCGCCAGCAGCTGCGAAAGCAGGAGCAAGAGCAGCGGGAGCCGGGTCTCGACCATTGGAGACAGCGCACAGCGCTGAACTAGTAGTATCGTCGTCGCTGTAGTCCTCAACCATCAGGTCCTGACTATGACGTTGACTCCCACCCCCACTCCCACTGCCACTGCTACCACTACCATCCAAACGACCACTAGTAGTACCCTTGGTCATCAACTCCTGGACCTTGCGCGTCTCATTTCGAAACATCACATCAGAGCGATACCCCGGACAAGGCTGACCGTAAACGGAACAGTTCCGACAACCGGGATGCCCCTCATCGCACTGGGGAGAGATGTCCTTAGCCGCTCGTCCAACCACCCTGACAGATAATGACAACTTAAACTGATCGAAAAATTCAATTTAGTCCTACCTTGATCTTGCGCCGGCGACACAAATGGCAACCTGTGCTTGGCTTTCCGCCGTACACCATGTTCGTGTTCGCCTACTTGTAAGGGAGCCAGGTGTGGGATGGATACTGCGGGAGTGGAAAAGACATAGATAGATGATTGTAAATTCAGGGGTTGTGGTTCATGGAGGAACTCCAGGAGAGCGATAGATGGGGGGAAGAAGGAACGCAGAGCCTCCTTTCTATTCTTCAGCGAGTGACATGCCCTGGCCACAGGGTCGGTCAGGTGATTTGCGTGGGCCCTCCGCTACGGGGCCAATCCCTGCAGGATTGACTATCCGAATTAGTGCTGGAAAGCTACAGAGCAGCACTGGGGCAAATGGAAGTTGTCTGGCTCGGGCCTTGACGGTTCGCTGAATATCTACGGAGTAAGGTGTGCTGGAATCTCGATAGCAGTTACATGAACAATAATAGAACTTGTGGTGCAAAGAATGGGTAAATCGATGTATTCGCTTGGGTGGACCAACCATGGAGACCAAACTCTCTGTAAATGTTGTTAAATACATCATCTCCCAATCGGGTATCCATCTAGCCCTCGAAGAGAAAGACATGTATCATATCGTGAGCTAAATACTGTTCCTGATACTCCCGCTGGCACAACGCTGTGGCCTACCATTTGCCATTTTGTTAACTCCACATCATAGTTCCCACATATTTTGAAAACGACCAGGTTGGTATGGAATATTCAGACCCAACACCCAGAATGCAAATGCCGATGTTCGATGGCCAGGCATGGTTGACGGCGCACCCCTACTGTGGTGATGCTCGTTGGATCAGCCTGGCCGTTGGTTTCAGCGCTAAAACAGGTAATATAGAAGGGAACGCTGGGATTCGTAATGCAAAAAAGAGGTGTGATCGCATCATACACCTCTAGAGTCAAGAGAGAGGAGCATCCGTCATCGCCTGGTCATCCTCATTATTGAGCGGCAGGCTTGGAGGAGGGTCTGAGAAGCGATCTCTATGCCTGCTGTCGGTATTCGTCGGATGAAGCCCTGGTGTGCTGGAAGCGCTCTCGACAATCACCGTATCATCCCCATCTTCTTCGGGAGGTGGCGAGAAAGTCCAAACCTGCAGGATATCATGACTATTAGTCCGGGATAGGCGTGTTGGAATAATATCCCTTACCTCCATAACGGTGCGACCTGATCTACTGGCCATGATGACGGCCTTTTCGTCTTCGAAGGCGACCCTCCAGACAGCCTCCGCCGGGGTCGACAACTCTCGAAGCAATTGGCCAGTCTGTAAACTCCAGACTTTGACGCGACCGTCACTCCCGCCACTGACAATTCTAGAGCTGTCGAACTGTAAGCTAGTCACACTGTTGTCATGCGCTGCCAGCCGGTGAATGGGCGCCATCTTAGTTAGCGACCAAACACGAACGGAGCCATCGGAGCCGCCAGTGACCAGAGTATCGCCCCGCATCTGCAACTGCCCTACCAGGGAGGTATGGCCTTGCAAGATAGCATGGCACTGTCCCGAGTGCGGGTCCCAAATCCGCACACTGGTATCCAAACTGCCTGTCGCGATGCGTCTGCCATCGAACGCGATTGCATAGATTTGGCTGAAATGGCCCGAAAGCGTGCGGAGGCATCTCCCTTCCGAGATACTCCAAATGCGGGCGGTGGTGTCATAGCTTCCCGAAACCACGAGATCCCCGTGGATAGCTAGGCAACGAACGCTAGCTTGGTGCCCAACCAGAACGTTCTTGCAAGTGCCCGTGGCCAAGTCCCATATGCGCAGTGTTGTATCGCGCGATCCCGAGATTGCCGTATTCTTGTCAGACATCTTAAGGCAGCGCACTGTTGACGTGTGCCCACGCAAGAGGTAGATCGCCGCACTGAAGTCATTCATCCGTCAGTATGATTAAGTTGCTCATTTCATTGCAAGGCCGTCATGCTTACCCGGTGGCCATATTCCAGACACGAACCTCGCGGTCGCAACCACCACTGACAAGAATGTCGTCCCACGGAACCATAGCCCAAACCCCCATCACATGGCCCTGGAGCGTTTTCTGGTTATCTCCGTTGGTATCATACACATGGATCTTAGCGTTGTCTAGGGCAACCACGATATACTTCGGAGTAAGATGCAGGCTGGTCACCACGCCCTGGTCAGGAGTTATATGTCTTTGGGTACTGCGCCCGCCTTTATTCCAGGCAGACTCCACCATGTACTTTTGCTTAAAGTGGGACCTGTAAGATAGCGGTCTAACCCGCTTCTTGCGTGATGGGTACCCTGACAAGGAGAGCCAGTCTCCCGATAAAGAGCGCGGGACTTCAGCGAGGCAGTCCCGAGACTGAACGCTAGACAGATTGGGTCGCCTTTGCAGTCCGCTCAACGACTGGGTACTAGACACCGCATGCAACTGGTGCCCATGGAAAGGGTCGAGGAAGTCTCGATCGTCCTCCGACATCTTCCGGGATGCGTACGAATGCTTCTCACACAAGTTTTTCCACGTGATATCGTCGTTCAACAGTTCCCGCCAGCGTCTTGATACTTGAGATGCTCTCGCCAGCGTCTTGGGGTCGTCGATGAAAGATAGAACCTAGTGAAGCGACAAAACGAAGGTCAGCCTTGTTCAAGCGGCGATATATACGGCCCACGGAAGGATCAAGCTCACCCTCAAGCACAGTTCATTCGGGAATACCAAGAACGGATCCTTTCTCAAGCGAGGACTAACGTAGCTGGATACAAAGCTCAGGTGTTGACTATCACATAAACCAAGTATCCCTTCCAAGAATCTTTGTTTCTTCGCGTTGGAGAGCGAACTGAAGTGTATCCTAGCATTCAGCAGGACGGCATCATCATCCTCGTCCGTTGTCGTCTGCCAGGTCGGAGGTCTTTGGTGAGGGGTGGGACTAGGCGCTGGGGTGGGAGGCGAAGCTGGCGCCGATGGGAGAAGGCTGGGAGGAATAGGAGTGCCGGTCTTGGTGGACGAAGACAGAGACCTGGAGTGGGTACTGGAGAGCGATGGGGCTGAGTCTCTGGCTGCTGCACATGACCGGGAATGCGCCGTCGCCATCTGCTCAGGCACACTGCGCGGACTCATCCCGCCGTTGGCTGGATTGTGAGGGTTCATGGACTGCCGTGTGGTGAGATGCGGGCTGTGTCATCCAGGGGATTGCGTAGTCCAACTAGGTAGTCCTTCACAAGGTCACTGAGATCGCCCTACGCAAGCCCTTCGAGACCCTGTCTCGATCATGAAAGAGGAAAGCAACCGGAAAACGAGAGTATGTTGATTGCTCCAGGAAAGAGAGAAAGAAGAAATAAGAAAAAAAGAAGGCGGATAGAGAGGAGGAGCGAGAGATAAGACGGCGGCAGCAGAGGAGGATCTCCGACGGGAGGAGAGGGAGAGGAGAGGAGCGAAGGGCTGGGCCGGGCTGGCTGGCTGGCTCGCTGGTGGTAGACAGGGAAAGGGGTGGGGGAGGGGGGGAGGGGGGCGAGGTTGGATGGGCCGGGCAAGAAATATTGAATACCAAAATAGCGGGAAATCAGATATGGGGGTGGTGAATAATCGGAGGTAGATGGTGACGAAGGTGATGGGGGGGGGGGGGGGGGGGGGGGGAAGAAACGGGCAAGACAGAGAGTGGCAGACAGGCCGTGCAGACTAATCAGGATGGCGGCCTTCCCGACGCCATCCAGAAGCAGCAGAAGCAGCAGCAGAAGAGCGCTCGAGATTCCGCCAGAGGAGCCACCAGTAACAAGAATAGTAGGAGTACTGCGTACTCCGTACTGTGCTGCTAATCATGCGATGTCGTGACGGGTCAGGTGCAGTCCTCTCTCTCCTGCCTCGGGGACTTCCAGGACTTTGAAGGCCTTCTCTCCGAAGTAGTCCGTTCAGGGCTTCAGTCACTGGTCACTCACACTCGGAGCTTACAGTCTAGCCGGCGGGATGATGAGGTATGTGAATTGTAAGAGGAAAGTCAAGTACAACCAACCAAGTCCAGCTCAAGGCTCAAGCCGCCACGCTAAGTTCAGCCGGCAGTCGCCTACTACTAATAGTAATTGGCGCCCGATGGCGGTGGCTGCCGCGCCCGATTAGTCGTTGGCTTGCGCCCTCACTGGGCGATCCACCCGCAGGTTCCCCCGTCGCAGCGGGCAGTCTTAACGCCCCGTTTCCTGCGGGCTGTTGGCCGCTGTTGGCCGCTGGCCGCTCAACGGGCTGGCTGGTCGCGGCTCGCGATGGCCCCGAAGCAATATGTATACTATGTATGCAACTACGCATGTAAGTAAGCCCCTCCAGTCGCGGTGGAGGTGGGTGTGTCCCCGTGCAAAGCCCTCTCGTATCGGAGTTGGTCGGTAGATAATCCGTAGATAACTAGATACTAGATAGGAGTAGGCTCAGCATTGCGGATCTTGGATAGCCGGAAGGGATCGGCTTAGCACGTAGCTAAGGTACTTTATCCCTCCATGACTCCCTCCACCTCCGCGGGACGATGGATCATGGGTGGAGTTCTTCCCCGACTCACCTTCGGTCACTTAACCTCGATGGGCCTTCGAGATGCACTGTACCTTGCTCTTCTCTCTCCCCCATCACACCACAATGATGGACGATGAATGGAAACCAGGAGGCCATACACTGCAAGGGTTAGCATAACTCTGTCGTCACAAGGAGGCAAACGGACCGGGTGGGAAATTCAATCAGATCACGGCGCGGAAGTCAAGTGGCAGCTAACCTACCGCTCGGAAAATAACTCGGAAATCAGGCACACTCACTACTACTGGCCCCGAGACTTGTTGTGTCAACAAGCTAGGGACGCCCGCGATTCCGATGGTATAGCCACGTAGCCGGTTCCAACGCGATGGCTCTGGTATAGTTGACCCGAGTCCTTGGTTGAAAAGCGGGTTGCGGGTGCGACCATGGAACAGGGTTACCTGGGAATATGATTTCAGTCTTGCCGAATAGTTTCATCACCAGTCACGCGCCTACTTTTGCGGGGGAGAAGGTTTCATTTCGACTTGGTCCAAGGCACGGCGCGTCGGGGCTTTTCGCGCCTCTTATACTATTGTAACTAGTTATATACTAACGCTGACTAACTATATGCTACGTGATTGTGATGCTGCTCTGATTGAGGAAAGATGCAATTATGACCAAGAAGCCTGGTAAACAACATACACCGCATTGTACAAATACCTCACACTCGTAGCCATGACGTCTAACGAAGCCGACAGCGACAGAAACAAAAACACAGTCCCCCGTAGGGAATATAACACAGATCACAGCATATCCTGGCTCTCTAAATAGAGGCGAGCTTTTCCTCCAGTAACAAGTATCAAAATCTATTACACTCAAGAAAATCCGTGCGGGTTGTCCAAACCCGGTGTAGCTATCTTTAAACGGGACTTATTTCTTGATTCCTAGAACCAGAATGCATCTAGGATAGACCAGAAGAAGAGACAAAAAAAAACGGGGGGATACAGCAAGGTCAGTGGGCGTGACCGATCTGTAGGAACAGCGGCAAGACCATGCCGATGACAGAAGCGACCAAGTCTCTCATGGACTTGTCAGACGCGGGGGCCTCTCTGTGGTCGCCATATCCATTGGCTTGGGAATCGCGAGAGGAGGAGTTCGGGCTATTTTCCTGCATAGTGTGCATAGCGACGTACCTAGAAACATGAGTCTCCGCCTCAAATGCGGGATTAACGGCCAGACTTACAAGAATGTTCCAGCAGAAAATAGAAGAAGAACTCCAGTCCGCCACCGGTTGCCAATGTCATCGCTGCTAGATGCCGACCCCATAATTTGCACAAATAGGAACGTCATCAATGCACCCACGGGAGCAGCAAGGCTAAAGATCAACAGATGCGCCCTCGCAGTGCGACTAGAGAGGCCCTGCTTCAGCAGCACCGAGGTGAGCCCAAAGGATGCCGGCGCCTTGTGGACCATGATGGCTAGAAAGATGATAAAACTAAGCCCGGCGTCGGAACTGGATGCACCCAATGCGATCCCATCGGCCGCGGCATGGATCACGAGCCCAGTGGTGGTTGCAAAGCTGTGGCTTCTCCTGGGAATGTTACCAGCATCCAACAAGCCTCCCTCACGCGAGGGCGACGAGTTGCGTCGCAACCCGGAACCTAGATTGTCTAAAGATATATGGTAGGGAGTCCTTTCCTGTTTGGAGGGGGATGCGAAAACGGGTAGCTTGTCAATGAGGTACATCAGGATGAAGCCGCTGATGAGAGCGATTCCAATCCAAGCATGAGGTGAGCTTTCTTCGTCATGATGCTCATCGGTTTTATCATTCGATGTCTCCTCATTGCGTTTCTGTATTTCAGGCTGCTCATTTCGGGTCGAATGGGTTGTAGTTATTGTGGTAGGAGTAGATGGTAGGGCGGATATAATCGGCGGGGATGCCAAAGCTGTATCTGAGTATTCCAATGCTTCTCTCGCAGAAAGGAAATCGGTGGCGGGTATTGCTTGGTGTTGCCAATTGATGGCTGTCGTCGACCGGGTGCTGATTTGATTCCGGTTGCGGAGCGCGTTTGCGCTGTAGAGAGTCTCCACTCCCTCTGGGATGATAACAATCAAGGATGTCCCAACCAGAACTCCCATGCCAATGGAGGATATTAATCTCAGCTGGGAGGGGGAAAGGGTGAAGGCAAGCGGCAGTGACCCCACGACGAATGATCTATGGAATCCCGATGGGTGGTTAGCTTGGACAATTGGCACCTCGCAAGACTGCCTGCCAGAGTGAAGCTAACTCACGTAATGGCCATCACAATGCTCAATGCGAGCAGCGTGAAGAGTCCCTCCATGGTCGGCCTCTCGTCCCAGAGCTTCGTCCGTGCTTTAGAGGGTTTCACTCATGGTGCCAATTCCAAACAAATACTTTCAGCACGCCCCTGATCACTTCGGGTCGCGGTGCAATCTGTGTCAAAGGCTGACGATGGACGGGAGGAGGTTCGCAGGATACCGAGGAGACCCAGGGGAGACGAGGAGAGAGGTTGAGAGTAGTACGGAGGAGTAGTTGGTGGGACCGGGAGGCCGTTCTTCAAGGCGGTACGGTGCGCAGGAGGCAGAGAACTGAAAACGTGGCGGAGGAGGACGGCCCTGACTACTGCGGATGGATGATTGCGATCCGCCGCCGCAGTGGGAAGGGAACGCCCCCAGCCCGAGGCACGGGCGGGCCCACCCGACTGGAGCTGACGATTCATTGCGCATCGCATCCATTTCTACAGGAGTACACTATTGTACAGAAGAGTATGATGAGACGCTGTGATCTTAGAAGGCATTCTCCCAAAGCCAGGCCAGGCTATGTTTCCCGTCCATCCGGCGGGTATCTCTGCGTTTGTACTCGTACAAAGTCCTTCAAACGTGCTTCCTTCTCGTGGATCTGGTCCGCAGACATGGTTCCATAGGCCTGATCCACTTGAGTGATTACTTTCTCCTTCCACTCAGTGCCCTCATCGCCCAGCACATTGACGCGCCCCTGTCCGTCCCAGACGGTTTGCATAGTTCCGCCCAACTTCTCCATGAAAGCCCGAATGCCCCCCTCACCACCCCCCTGCTGGTAGCTCTCGAACACGCCATTCCCAGCCCATCTAGGTCCTAGACTGGCCATCAATATCGTGTCCAGGTCTTTCGCACCTACTACATCTTCCTGTACCAGATAACAGGCTTCCCGTAGTAGTGCAAACGCCAGTCGATTGCCCACAAATCCAGGGATCTCTTTTCGGACCGTCACCGGTCTATGTCGTGAGCCAGGCATAGAAAAGTATTCGTGGGCAAACTCCACGTGCGCGGGTAGAGTCTCCGGCGCAGGTACGATCTCTAAGAGAGGCATGATATGTGGCGGGTTGAAAGGATGCACCACCAGCAGGCGAGTCTTGTCACGCATTTGGGCTTGTTGGATGGAGGCAGCAATCCCAGACGTGCTGGTCCAGAGATGTGCGGACGGTGGGGCTATTGCTTCGACCTGAGCCCAGAGAGACTGTTTCCAGTCAGGGTTCTCTGGCCCCTGCTCTTGGACAATGGTAGCCGATGCACATGCGGTTTCTAAGGACGAGTGAATCCGCAGGCGACCAGAGGATACTAGCAACTTCACCAAGGACATTGGCTGGGGGCTGGAGCTTAACTCGGAGTCAAAGGATGGAGGCTGGTTTAGATATATCGGCAAGGTCTTGGAGAGATAGTCTTCAAAGTCGGGCCTGGTGTCAAATACATCGACTATGTTCTGTTCACGCGAGAGGTGAAGCGCTGCCATGGACATGCCAATGGTTCCAAGCCCGATCAAAGCTATTCGCTGTGGGCCGGACGAAGACATGATGATGACTAGGGGATATGATTATCCAAAGTATGATAAATTGGCTTGACCAGTCGAATAAGCAGGAGACTCAATTGCCTGACAGTCCTGATGCTATTTGGGCAGTGAGTGGAAGTAATGGGGTAGTTACGTGTGGTCTGCCGGGGGTTTTGCCCCTTGGGAGTGATCGTTTCTCCCCGCCATTGTCTGTAGCCACTAACCGAGGCAATGACAGGGGGGAAAACTGGCTACCTTATTCCACAATCAGCCAAGTACTCTGCGAAGTGAAAGAGGCTTTAATCTAACGGTGGATAGTTTAAGTTCCTGCAAACAGGCATGGCCTATTAATTTTTGCATCGGCAATCCAGTATCATAGCTGGCTTATGAGCGCAGCAAGCCAATTTTTAGGTGATACCAATCAACCGCAGTAATATAAATAAGTACGTAGCATAGCACCGGCATGCTCTTCACAATGCGAGCACTGCTGAGACACTGACAGAACAAAAGCAATATTTGCTTGACTTGATGTACTTCGCTGCGGGCAAGGCGCTAATCCCGAAGCGGTTATACCTAGCTCCGCGCAACGCGAGGCTCCCGAGAGCAACACGCGCCCTCGCAAAGTGGTCAATGAAGGCGACTGGAGTTCCTCCGTCATCCATCTCTTGGTGCTTGCCCTCCCTCTCCCTATCTATCTCTTGATATTTCATCGCGCATAATGAGTGACGGTGACTGTAAATAAATCCCTTCCCTGTCTCATTCCCTTTCTATCCCCTCTAGCTCGTTAACTGACAGAATCGGCTTCTCATAGGGACTTGCGACGCCAATGACGCCGTCCAACTGACGATCGTCCAACCCGGCGAGCAGAAGGTCAACACTCTTTCGACCTTTCACCCTCAATTCACATATCCTATCTTTGGCGATGATGAGCAGATCTTCGGTTACAAAGGGTTGATCATCCGCCTGCGGTTTGCAGCCCATGACCTCCGCCCGCATATCCATATCTCTTACGATGAGAAGTTCAAGCCAGTCGGGGATACGGCTGCCCTCGACTTGATAAAAACAGTGGAGCCATTTGTCTCTGAAGGTGAGTAGCGAGCCCTTTCTGATGTGTGATAATAAGATGTTCGATCATGTCTAACTCAACGCGACACGCAGAGGCCTTTACTCTACTCCCTGATTACGAAAAGGCTGTCCAAGAAGACGAGCACGCCAAGGAGTTTGTGCCCCCGGGCAAACTCGTTCACAGCTACGTTACTCGACAGAGAAAGTATGAGATATGGGCCGGGTCTCTTGCTGATCCCAAGGTTCGGCAACTATTGGATCGTGCACAGGTTTTCGTCTCGCTATTCATCGAAGCCGGCACACCTCTGATCACCGATGATCCTATTTGGACGCTTGAAAGATGGACAGTCTACTTTGTGTATGCCATGACCCCTTTGACACTCGATACAATGGCTAATGAAACTGCAGGTATGAGAAGGTGGAGCCGCCAACGCCAACTGCCTCCCAATACTCCATTGTCGGGTATGCGACAACCTATCGCTGGTGGTACTACCAGAAAGATTCCATGAAGGAGCGCGCCGTCCAGAACGACCCATTCCCGGCCCCAGAAATCAGACCGGCCCAGCTCCCATCTCGGCTGCGGATCGCCCAATTCTTGATTCTTCCTCCTCACCAAGGTTCGGGACATGGCACCCATCTTTACACCATTATCCATGCGGCATGCGTCAACGACCCAACAATCACAGAGCTGACTGTCGAGGATCCAAATGAGGCTTTTGATGCTCTTCGCGACACCGCAGACTACCACATCTTGCGCCCGGAGTTCCTCAAGCACAAGGTAGACATCAACCCTGATCCTTACGGGACACAGTCCAAGAAGCAGCGTCCTCGGCGTGTCCCTACTTCCACCCTCATCCCAACCAAAGTTCTGCATGATATCCGCTCGACGTTCAAGATTGCCTCAACCCAGTTCGCCCATATCATGGAGATGTTCCTTCTCGGTCGAATCCCCAGCAAAAACCGCCTTGCTGGTGGGGCCAATATGTCTCGGCTGCTCATTAAGAAGTACAACGCAGAAGACCCCAACGATCGTCGGTATTACTGGTGGCGCATGCTCACCAAACAGCGTCTCTACAAGCGTCATCGGGATGTGCTGATCCAACTGGACATGAGTGACCGCGTTCAGAAGCTGGAGGAAACCGTTACGAATGTCGAAGAGGGGTACAACGCTCTGCTCAGTGTCTTCGACGCTCGCGAGGATGCCTTGAAAGCAAAGGAGGACGAGTCAGATGAGCTCGCGGCATCAGAGTCAACTGCCGTCGTGGGCGAGGACAGCGCAGGCCCGAGCGGGAAAGAACAGGGGGCTAAGCGAAAGCTCGTGGTTGAGGATGAAGATGACGAAGAGGAAAATGATGACTCGGCATCCAAGCGGGCAAAAGTGTGAAAAATGCCGTCACGCCACGCCTTCAATGCTTTCTCCCCCGGTCTATGCAACAAAATTCGCATTGTAATAATAACCGTTATGAATTCCCAAGTCCACCCCACCCGCCCATTATGACCATAATCATATATCCAACACCCAATTACCATTATGTTACACACCCTAATTACCTAGGAGTGATAGCTAGGGGGAGGCAAATCCGTAGTATCCAACGTCCCCGACGACTTGCAATCCAGACTCTTCAGACTGCTAGTCCCCGCAGACATCACTGTCGCTAAACCAACCGTCGACGACGCCGCCGTATCTGACATCGCACTTCGCACTTTAACGAGACCCGTCTCTTCACCCCCCTTAGCTCCCCCATGATGGGCAGCAGCGCCCTCCAAATCACGACCCGGCATCCGGACCAAGTCTCCAACAAGCTCCAGGGCATGCCTGAACCCCTGTATCTCCGTCTGCATATTAACCGGCTCAGAGATCACAACAGAATCAGCATCAAACCCCTCCGGGTCCCTTCCCGGCAAACCCCGCACTAGCGGTGCCATCGGCACCAACTCAGACTTCGGCTCAGGGTAGGAGATCTTGCCCTGCCACCATTGTCGCCATTTGAGTCGTCGCGCTGCGGCCTCATATGCCCTTCGGGCTTGTCTCTCTTCGCGCCGTGCAGCTCTGTCTACCCGACACCGTCGACAGTGCATGGTGTTTTGGCAGATGCTATATACAAGCACACAGATAGTGATGATGCAAACCAACACTGCGAGATTTAGGAAGTAATCTCGCATCGTGAGTTCGGACAGTCTCCTGATCAGCGCGGCGATCCCGAGCTTGGATGTTGACCATGATGTATCTGGATTTGAGTGTGCATCTTCATGTTCGAGGTCTGGTTGGATGTTTTTAGAACTTGGAGACGTTATGTTGGTTGTATTGGGTGGACTAACTGGTATGATGTACAATTGAAATTGAAGGTGTCTGTTGTGGATTGCCATTTTTCTTGATGGGGGCACCCGTAACCAGGCTGCTGGTGGTAAGACACAAGAATAATAATGGTAACTGCGTGGGCCGGTGCATGGTGATGTGAGAGCAACTACGTGTGGTGTGGTTGTGAACACATGAGACGGGGTGCAGCTAGGCTTGCTAGCGGTAGTGAGTAAATATGATAGGAGACAGATACAACGCGGGTTTAGAGGACTCTATACGAGAGTGGGATCTTCAAGAACCGGGGGGTAGGTAGTACAGTGATGAAAGAACATCGTGGCCCTCGGGCCTTGTCTGAGGCTCAGACCCGGAGGCGTACGGAGAGCCGACTACACTAGTAAGTAGATCGAGTCATGCTATTGATGGACTGACTACTCGTTACGCTACCAGGATGATAAGCCGGCCAGGGCTGGCGGATCTCGGATCTACCGTTATTCCGGGCCTCGCCGTGGTTGCGATCACCGCCGCTGGAAGCTCGCGCGGAGAGCTTGCCAGGACCATAATCACTCTGACATCGTGACGAAGGTTTCATTTCCCTGCAAACCTACCTTTTCTTGCCCGTGAACTCTTGGCGACTCCCTTTGAGCATCGCCATCCCCGGTTTCTGATTCTCACGAGACCGATTCCATCCTTCTGCCTCTCCCCCGCCCACAACCTCGAAGAGCCCGCATTGATCAGTATACATCACAAGATGGTAATATAGTCTCTGGAGATTAGCCCCCTACCCCTTTGTCGCATCTTCTAACCAGTTGGGAAACAGTTACCTCTGGGTCTACTCACCGCGGCGCAAGGCCACCCCATGCTCGTCGAACTCAAGAACGGCGAAACCCTCAACGGACATCTTGCGAATTGCGACAACTGGATGAACCTGATACTCAAGGAAGTCGTTCAGACCAGCCCCGAAGGTGACCGTTTCTTCCGGCTACCGGAGGTCTACGTCAGAGGAAACAACGTCAGTGGAACAGACCCCCTCCCCCCAACCTGGCTGCCCATCTAACCGGCTGTAGATCAAATACCTGCGGATTCCCGAGGAGATCATAGAGTTGGTGAAGGAGCAACAACTGAACCAGGCGAACAACCGGAGCCGCGGACCTCGTGATGGCGGTAGAGGTGACAGAGGTCGTGGTGGTGGCCGTGGCCGTGGACGGGGTCGCGGCCGCGGTGGCAGGGACGCTTGAGCTTTGAAAACAACTTACACACGAAAGAATGAGAGAGATTTACGAGAGATACCCCGGGGAGATTGAGTAGGTAGTTTCGTTAGAGAAAGTCGGTTGGGTGGGTTAGTCGAGCATGGCCTTGGAGTATCTGGTTGTATTTGTCAATGGGAAGACGTGCCATCTAGTGTTTTCTGATCTCCTACTCCGTACATCATTCTCAGATTCTGTTCATCTAGTTAAGATAGGGGTCATCATGGGGGATTCCTTTTTTCCCTGTCCTGCTTTTATGTGGCATGCGCCAATCGGACAAATGAGTATCGCCGCGGGTCACGTGATCATTTCGTATCCGACTCCTCTTTTAGTCCGTAGATTTGGCGCTTGTGGAGAATCCCCCGCGCCGACAAGGCTCAGGATGCCCCGACCGACCGTTATACTCGGTGGGTTGTGGTCTTGTCTTTGTGCTTCATCCAGTGTCGCTACCCTGCATTGTGCCCGATATTCTCTACTATCTGAAAAACGGCTACTCAAACGCAGCTCATCGGTGCTCCGCGGCTCACTATCGAGCTTTCCGCGAAGATGTCACGGCACCCTCTACCCCAGACCAAGACAACAAACCCTCGAAATTGTTGAAGAAGATGGGAACTACTCTGAAAAGAACGGTCATGGCGCTCCTCGGAATGATGGCGTCTCTTCAATGAGAATCAAGTCCAGCGCACCGGAATCATTCGAAGAGCTGTCTACGTCTCGCCTGGAACACATGCTCCAAGAAAGAGTGACCAAAAACCCGAGTATTCCCGGTGCGATGCAGATATTGCGTTATCTCATTCAAGTCCGCGGCGTCAATCCCGAGACGCGACACTACCGATGTTTAATACTTGCCCATTCGGACCCGAACTATGGTTCACCACAAGTCGTTCTTGATTTGCTAAAGGAGATGGAGGGAAATGGGATACCGGCCGATTCAGCTACACTTCATGCGGTTCTTCAGGTATGTTGGGGAATTGAGTCCTAACACCGGGGAGAAGGCGCTTACTGACGCGGCTCACTCACCACAGGTTCTTGCGGTTCACCCGGATTACTTGCTGCGTCAAGATATTGTGCGCACTCTCCGACACCGATGGCTTACCCTGAGCCCTGCCGGGTGGCATTTCCTGGTTGCTGGTCTGATCAGAGAACACCAGTTTGAGCTGGCGCTGGATCATATCGAGCAGATGGAAAGGAAAGGTAGCGTGGTTGAGAACTGGCTTCCCAGCCTCTTAATCTATTATATATGCGATTACAAGGAGTTTGACGAGGTACTCCGGCTGATGCGCTCACGGACAAGCCGTGGCCATGATATAAGTCTGGAGCTGTGGTCGTATGTGCTGGATATGGCAAGCGCTGCTTCTCATCATGAGACCACACGGTACATCTGGAGAAAGATGGTGGAATTGAAATACCTTCAGCCCAGCGATCAGACCTGCGAAAATGTCCTCAAGGTGGCGGCGAAAGCTGGGGATGTCGTACTCGCGGGATCGGTGATGAGATTCCTGGTCGATGCCAAGGTTCCGCTGAAGCTGGAATACTACGAAAGAGTGGTGAAGGCCCACGTCATGTCTGGGGATCTGCGTTCTGGATTTCAAATTCTCTGTCAGATGCACATGACGGGGATTTCGCTGGAGCCCAGCTCGACGCTTGCCATCTATAATCACTTGACCAAGCATAAGACCACCCCCCGCGACGCATGGCGCATGCTCAAGGACTTGAAAGCCTCCAAACGAGACATACCAATTGAGTGCGCAGAGGTCATATTCGAGGTGTGTGGGCATTTCGCTTCTGAGAACCCCCACTGGGCACTCGAGGGGATTGCATTGTACAAGGAACTGTATGCGCTCTGTCCCGACAAGGTCAATGTCTCTGTCTACAATGTACTTATCGACATGTGCCGGCAAGCCCGGAATGTCGATGCCGGGATGTTCGTCGTGGAGGAGATAGCCGCCTTGGGCGTGGTGCCCGACCAGACAACGTTCGAGTACCTCATCATGATGTGCTTGGAAACAGGCAATTTCGAGTCCGCATATAACTATTTTGAAGACATGTTGGCCCATGACGCGCTCCCCCGCCCAGAGATCTGCACAGACATCCGGAAGATCTGTGGTAAGTCGCGGGATCACTTTGCGACACGCTTGAGGTATCACTCGCGGATCATGGACGGCGCGCGAGACGACGGGATCAATGACACGCACCACGAGTCCCCGAGAACGGAGCATTCTTCGTTTGGTCGGCACAGGAGACAAGTTGACAGCCCAGCGATGTCCCAGGATCTCTCTTCGGTAAAGGGGCCAGATTCGCTCACGCGGCAGGGGAGATCATTGGACACAGGAGCACGATGGGCCAGGGAGAAGGAGCAAAAGAAGAAGACGAGACGAAAGATAGCCTGTGAGCGGGCGCAAGAGGAAGAAGGGTGGCTGGACTATGAGCCCGGGGGCCTGATCCCCGAGGACCAGCTGGCCGCCAAGAAGGATGATAAATAAAGAAAGTCGTATCATAGCTTCGTGTACATACTTACATATTTTTTATACCCCTGCTGTCATTATTCAGAACGTTCAGAGCGTGGACACTCCTCGGCCCCTACCTCAGGTCAACATATCACACCCATCGGCCCCGCCGTCAGGAAGAAATCTTTCCCCTTTTCCCTTGACAGTCGCATTCTTAGACCGATTAATATCCCGTGGCCGAGGCTTTCATGCTTCACCACTCACCACTCACCACCCACCACCCACCACCAACCACCGTAGAGACAACACTGTCCGGAAGAAGCACAGGATCCCGCAGGATGGAGCCAATGCGCGAAAACCTTGAAGCTCGGAGGGGGCTATCTGAGACCGCGGGCGCAACATCATCAAACCGCCGTTGGGGGGAAACCCCGATTTTCAGCCCAGACCAGCGGTTTGGAGCCGGAGGTTCGAACTCTGCCGGGTTAATTTGTTTCAAACGTAGGGAGCGCGCCCGGATGGGGAGTAGTGTTCCCGACTTTCCCCTTGAGGGACGGTTCGTGGGTTTTGGGAACTGGGAACTTGGGGGACGGACGGGGGAGGGAAAGTGGTGCCCGTTTCTATTAATACTTTCCGTGTGGATTAATTGGGATCGACCCCGACACACAGGAAGTATCAACAGACAATTGGAACTGGGACTTGGACTTTGTCAGGAGTAGCATTGAACCTGCATGGAAGCCGGGCAGGCAGATAACAATAGTAATGGGACAATTCATTCAGCGATGACTGTTATTGTTATGATTGTTGTTATTGTTTGTTAACCCAGAGCAACAGTGTAACTAACTGGACAGAAATGGTGGCTGTTCTTGTTCAAGAAGGGATCCTCGTCCGGAATCCGCCAATGAATGAGTCTCGCCGTCCGTTTCACCCGCAGATCCACTGTTGGGTTGGATGCAGGTTGGGGTCGAAATTAGAATCCTCTGCTGCAGGAACCTGTCTAGCAGCAACTGTACGGAGTATCTAGTGTGGCAGGCTAATAGGAACCTTCTCCGTGTTGGTGATGCTTACTGGGACTGGATTGACTCCTGATCGTCGTCGCCACAGTCGGACTCAGTCCACCTTCCCCCAGCCGATCCGGTATATCTATTCGCCTCGTCGCTCCCTGCCTCTCGGGGGTTTTTTTTTTCTTTCGGGTTATCTCATTCATACGTTATTCTCCTACTCGTAATTATTAATTGATTCCTCACGACTCTTGGATATACCTCCGTCCATACCACCTCTACTATACATACTATAACCCTAATACTATCTCACCACCACCAAGACCACACAACCACAACCACCCAAGATGCAATTCCTCACTCTCCTCCCTCTGGCCCTCTCCACCCTTGGCCTCGTCTCTGCCAGTCCTATCCGTCGCGAAGAGAGCCCCGCCCTCACCTGGCACGTCTCCAACTTCCATGTGTTCCACGCCTCGAACAACTTCAACTACACCTTCAACATCTACGGCGTGGGCACCGCCAACACCCCCGGCTTCAACACGACCTGCACGGGCTCCAATGCCACCACAGACCTCACCTCCTGCGACGATCCCCTGATCAAGTCGCGCATCCTGTCGGAGCAATACCCGCTGTGGAATGTCCGGGTCGAGCACGAGTGGATTAAGGACGGCGACATGGAGTTCTACACCTACGGAGAGCACAATGTCACGTCGGCGACGCCGCAGTTCACTATCCCGGTGACGCAGGAGTACGGTGTTGCGTAAATTGATCGCTCGACTGTGGAGTGACGATATGGTGTTGACTTGATGTCATGAAAGTGTACACAATCTGGGATTGATGAAAAAGGATGAGGCGGTGGGAAGGACTTTTTTTTTGTCTCATATTGAGTCCATGATTTGAACTATACCTGGCTGGGCTACTTGGGCTATTGTTGTTATTATTGTTCTGTTGATATGGGTAATGGGGAGGTGGAATGGGCTAGTCCCTTATGGCTGGTTACCGGATCTGATGATATGAGGTTTCTATGCCAATCAATCGATGATGACTTGAGTCTACAATTGAACTATAAATGAGCATGATGATTTCTTATTTCTCTTTCTCTTTGCTATGTTGTAGTATTGTTGTGGCCTGAGACCCGGGGCCAACAAAACCGAGGGCGCGCCCGCGACGGTGACATCATCCGCACGCACGCCAAACAGCGTTTTGCTTTGCTTCCCCACGACTTGCACTGCCCTCTGCGTCCCTCAGCGCCATATATTGCGGATGGGATTTCCAGTTCCTGACAGCTAGATCTAATAAACCCCTTGCGTGCAAGAAATTAATTCACATATTCTGGTCCGTAAGAATTCTCCGAGAACCACACCACCTCCCCGTTGACCCGTGCGTCATTCCTGGCAACAGCTTTGCCGCAGATTAATTCTACATCACTATATCTGTTAGTAGGACGCCACTTGCTGAAGAATCACCTCATATCCGCAGCGCCCAACTCTCTTGACCCCATGGTAAGCATTCTCCGCCTCCTTTCCTGTTCCTGTTCCTGTTCCTATCCGCCGCGACTGACCTGCTGCGCTTGGCTTCCTGCCAACACAGGCGTCGATCCTCCGGCAGATTGTGGCCGGCCCTCGACTACAACATCCGGAAGCTGGTCTAGATCTCTGCTATGTGAGCGATAACAGTAAGATAATAAGCCCCCCCATCCTCTCGCCTCCGCTCCGCCCAACTGACGCTTTCCCGCTACCGCAGTCATCGCCACCTCCGGCCCCTCCTCCAACTACCCGCAACGTGCCTACCGAAATCCCCTCGACGAACTAGTCAAATTCCTCGACTACAAGCATGGCGCCGACTGGTGCATCTGGGAATTTCGCGCCGAAGGTACTGGCTACCCGGACTCGGAGGTCTACAATCGCATCCATCACTACCCCTGGCCGGACCACCACCCGCCCCCGTTCGCGCTCATCCCCGCCATGATGGGCAGTATGTATAACTGGATCCACAGGCTGGATGAGCCAGATGCGAAGGATAAGAAGAATCGAGTCGCAGTCGTTCATTGCAAGGCTGGGAAGGGCCGCAGCGGGACCACCGCATGCAGTTACCTGATCAGCCAGGAGGGGTGGAAAGCGGAGGATGCACTGCAACGATTTACCGAGCGACGGATGCGAGTCGGGTTCGGAGCTGGGGTGAGCATCCCCAGCCAGCTGCGATGGGTGGGGTATGTGGACCGGTGGGCGAACCAAATGGAGAAGAAGTATATCGAGCGGCCGGTGGAGATCCTCGAAGTGCACGTTTGGGGCCTGCGAGATGGCGTCAAGGTTGCCGTGGAAGGGTTCATCGACCAAGGGAAGAAGATCAAGAAATACCATTTGTTCCACCGGAGCGAGCGGACGGTAGTGGACGACGGGGAGTCGAAGACGATGCCCACGGGCTTCACGACAGACCGTAGTAATGGAAGCAGTCACAAAAAGCAGCTTTCATCCGCCGCGACGCTCCCCACCAGCACCGATAGCCCTTCATCGGCCACCGACTCGCCCGTCACACCTCCCCCCGACACCTCAGCAAGAACAGACTCGCCCCCCAAACACACCTCCGCCGTGATCTACCGCCCCAGCAAGCCCATCATCCTGCCCTCCTCCGACATCAACATCGACTTCGAACGTCGCAGCAAAGCCGCCTACACCGGTTGGGCCATGGTGACCTCGATCGCCCACGTCTGGTTCAACGCCTACTTCGAAGGCGGCGATAAGAACGACTCGGGCGTCTTCGAAGAGGAATGGGACGCCCTAGACGGGATCAAAGGCACCACGCGAAAGGGCGTCCGAGCCCTCGACCGAGTCAAGGTCGTCTGGCGATATGCCCAAGAGCCGGGCACGCCCCAAGGCCAATCCATCTCCGAGCCCAAACCAGGTGAACCCATCGTAGAAACCCAACCGCCCGACTGGCACATCCACAGCACCGACACCCCTCGCGAACAGTCCCTTCACGGCCAGGAAAACGTTCCATCGCAACCCGACAAGAACAAGGACAAAGACAAAGACACAGACACAGACTCCGCTCCATCATCATCATCAAGACATAGCCATGACCACGACCACGACCACGAGGAGCACACCCTCCTCGCAAACATCAGCACCGCCGCCACCGTTGCCTCCAGCGCAGTAGCCGGTCTAGGCCACCAGCTCGGCCTCCGCAAACAAACCGATGAAAGCAAAGACGTCAGTCTCGCGGGCAGCGAAGACGAATCCCAGGGGTCGGCGAGTAGCGGCTCGAAGATGAAAGCCAAGATCAAGCACAAGACCAAGACAAAGACTGGGTCATCGTCCGTTGAGGAAAATGGCGGTGACAAGGGTCCTAAATAGAACTATGGCTCCCCCTACCTGTTATCCTTTTTATCTTGGGATTGGTGTTGCACATTATTATGTATGAGTAGGAAGGAGTATGGTGATTTGTTGTTGCTGTTGTTGTTGTTGTTGTTGTTTCTTATTCATTGTTGCTTGAGGATTTGGTTACACATATACATACATACATACATACATGTATAGTAGACAAAACAGACAGACACGGATTCGGTGTTCATTGTACATAGTATTATACACGATTATACACATACACATACACATACATCCATACCGAAGAGGTACCACGAGGCTTGATACCTATTCCCGGCTGAGGGGAGACAGACTGTGCACCCACGCGCAACGAATACTCCATCCAAATAGTACGCTGTATCACCCCACCCCCACCGAAGAAGTCGAATTAATAAAAACAATATGTCAAGTATCTCATTTAAACCAAATCTTATATAGCTCTGTCTGTTTGTCTGTCTGCCTATCTGCAGTCTGTGGTCCATTATGAAATCTGTATGTATGCCTGTAAGTATTTATGCTATTTATGCCGTATGCCTAACCTTCACCAAAAAACTCCAATTACAATTAATTTACCAATGGATGGCATGCATCAGTTCATACCATCCATCCATCCATCCATCCATCCATCCATCCATCCATCCATCCATCCATCCATCCATCTACCAACCACCTACTCCCTTTCCATCAACTCACCACCTACAAAGGCACAAACCCCTCCATCCGCTGCCTAGCATCCCTCTCCTGCTTCCTCAACCTATCCGACTTCTTCCGCTCATACACGGCCCTCACCACCCTCTTAACCCGATCCTCACCCTGCGCGAAATTGGCCTTCGCCAGCCCCACCACCGAGTCGATCTGCTCGGGCGTGTAGACGAAGTTCCAGGTGGAGAGGAAGTCGTCGACCTCGGGGTTGATGGAGCCGGGGTGCGGGAATAGGGGTTTTGAGGTGTCGGTTGTGGTAGTGGGGGGTTTAGTAGCCGGTGATGGTGGTAGTGATGGTGATGAGGATGGCCTTGGACCGCGTTTGCGGGATAAGAAGCTGTAGGAATGGGTGTGAGGGTGGGAAGGGAAGTCCGGGGCGGAGGGGTTGGGGAGGAGAGGGAAGTAGACGACGGCGATTCCTGCGTCCGGGCGCATAAGGTGGAAGTCGGATTCGGAGCCGTCGGTGTCGTGCGGGTGGAAGAGGCGTTTGGACGGTGGGGGTTCCTTGCCCGAGACCATTTCTTGAGTGGTGCCGACCCAGATGTTGCAGTAGTCGAGGTCGGTCGGGGGAACGGGCTTGGTTCCTGGGGGGTTGGTGTCGGTGGTTGTGGTGTTGAGGTGCTTGCTCCGGTCTTGGGCCTCGGTGATCTTCTTGTCTAGGGCTTGTTGCGAGATGTTTTGGGGCTCACGCAGCGTTTCGGCGGTTTCCTTGGGTTGGTCGCTCGCTTGGGGCCAGCCGGCGCCGACGGGCCAGCCTTTGACGCCGCGTTGGCGGGCGTAGCCGTCGACGACGGAGAGCCAGTTCTCTCGCTTGATGTCTGCGGATGCGTCGAAGGCGACGATGACGTCGACGTCTCGGCCAGGTCGGAGCAGTGGGTAGATGGGCAGGTTGTTGCTCATGCCGGCGTCCATGAGTCGGAGATGTCGGCTTTGGAAGATGGACTCGGGGCAGGATGAGGGCAGCTGGTCTTTCATGCCTAGCACGTAGTTTGGTATGGTGGCTGGGTCGATGGGGTGGACTCGGACGAGATCCTTCGTCTTGCCTTGGATCAGGGAGTCGATCCCTCCGAGACCCGTGATGCCCTTGATTAAGGGACGGATCTCTTTGTAGTAGTGAGACAGTGTGGCGCAGAAAGCACTACCCCAAACGCCCATCAACGCGGGGACACGCAGCTCAGGGATGGGAGATATCTGCTCGGGCTTGACATTGACTCCGCCGTCGAAGTGTCTCCCCAGGGCCCACGTCGGTATACCAGCGCTGAGCTCCTCGCAGAAAAACTCGTACGGCGTGAACTCGAACCATTGGAACCATGCTTCACTTTTCGATTCCTTGATGAGGTCCTCGGGCTTCCCTCTTTTCTCGGCGTTTTCCAAGTTTTCGACCACTGGGATCTCGTGGCGCACGGCCGTATAGATAGGGAGCGGATGAGCCCCAGTCGCAAGATTGTACCTCTGGTTCGAGAGTTTCAGGTCTCTATCTGAGACTCCTAGCTCACCTTTAGGTACCAGCAGTCGGGCCGCCAGCAACATGCCGTAGATGTCCACCAAGCCAAAATCTGCACCGGGATCACCCTTAAGCTTTTCAACTAAGCCACCAAGAAGGTACTTGTTGGTTGGGGCATTGGTGAGCAGTTTGAGTGCTGCGGGTGGAAACGCCAGATGAATGCCCAGTCGATTCTTCAAATGGTCAACCTGCTTGTGGAAATTGCGCCCAGTAATGGAGGAGTGGTACAAGGTCTGCAGCCAGCAACTGCCGCTGACACCAGCTGTGTATGTGACACAATCCCATAGACCAGCCTCCTGAGCGGCCAGATATGAGCCGGTCCCGGCCACAAGTGCACGAAGCCCGCCACCGGAGCCGCACATGGCAATGATTGGGACATCGTCCGGGTGTATGTCGGTTTCGGGGATGTCTAGGTAAGAGGCCAGGGCCTTGATTGCATATTTTTGCCGCTTCTGCCTGTACGCCAGTTCTTCATCACAGAGACTATTTCCAACACGAACCTTAGCGGTTTGCAGTATTTCGGGATTAAGGTCTGGATCATGAGCCTCCTTCCAGATATCGTCCGCAAGGGAGCCCGGGGCCATTGACAGCTCGCGCTGGAGCTTTTGCACCGACAACGGAAGCAATCGGGTCCAATCCGGAGTGATATAGCTCTTGATGTGTTCCAGTTCAATCCATTCGGGGGAGCCGACAGCCTGCTTCACCTCTTCGAACTTTTGCAGGACATTGGTCCAGATTGAGGCCCCATCGCCATGGTGCGAGTCTGTCTTGGATTTCTGGCTCGAATTGCCCCGGCCCGAGTGTTCGGAGAAATTATTGGACAGGTTTTCAAAGGCCCGGGCTGGGCTCGTCGAAAAGAGGGCTTTTGGCTCAGCCTGCAGGAGCAATTCCTTGGTCGACTGGGCTCGGCCAGTGTAGAGTAACCCACCACCCAACGCGATCAGGACGGTCGGGGGAACAGTCCAGCGTAGACGCAGTGCCGTTGCAGCACCCATGTTGAGACGGGCACCACGTAGGGTCGGAGGGGCAGCGGAGGGCAGCATGCAAGTGCAAAGGCCATAACGGGGTGGCCAGACCACGACGATCTGCCAGTGCACTTTAAGTAAAAAAGGGCAAAGGCACGTTCCGACGGAGCGCAACCAAGCTTTGGATGGCCGCATGAACATGACGACATGTCACGTGGCCCAGCAGCCTGGGGCCTCTCGGGGCTGCAGACGGGCCGAGCCTGCTGTTTGGGGACTAGCGCGCATGGCGGAGACCCCGAAAAGGCCAAATGCGCGCCGCGGTTCGTCCGGGGAGATGAAGGAGCCAAGGAGGCATCCTGAGTCCCGATTGTGTCCCCGTTATGCTTGCTTCATGAGGCCCGGTGCCTCACCGGCTAGTTGTCCTTTCTCCCCCGCCCCCCTGCGCACTGCGTCCACGATCGAGATCTGTCCCGTCGGGCAGAAGACATGACATCACCTCTTTTGTCGCAAGTGTCTGATTACGAATCCTTGATTGCCTGACACCCTGATTGTGGGACCTGCCGATCGAAGTTCTTCCCAGCAATAGCCATGGTCGCTCCTAGGAATGCCGCGTACGCGGAGGAGAGCGCGGAGGTGGAGGTGCTGTACGCCAACCTCGAGAAGCTCAAGCTCCTCACCAAAAAGATCCAGGGCTCCATGAACCGGCTGGAGACTGGAGGGAACGTGGTGAAGCATGCCATCGGGCCGATTTACAGCAATACCCAATCACTCCAGATCACGAACAGCAACATCGACAAGGTCAATGAAGCGATCGAACGCCTTCGCCAGCCCCTCGATGCCAAGGGTCAAGAGGAGGGCATCATACATGCTGGGTATGCACTTTCTCCGTCGACGTCTGAACAGGGGCTGCTTCCGTTGCTGACTTCCGCGAAGACCCCAGAGCGCTGGCTTGTCGCAATATATCTCGGCCGTGAAACGGATCGAAAAGGCCCTGACGGACCTGAACGCAACCAATTTGAAGTCGAACCAGAAGGCTACCTCCGAATTCAATACCTTATTAGTTCTCGGAAACTCCAAGCTCCAGGACATGCTTCGCAACACGTTGAGCGACCATGTCAGTCCTATCGAACCACTACACTATTTGACGAAAGGTAGACTCCTCGGACACATGAACTAGTCAAATTTCAAGACTGACGTTCTTTGATTCACACCAGAACTTTCATTCCCATCGCTGCCTGACGAGACCATCGCGGAGTTGGGAGCTGTATGCGCTGCTATCGCCTCTGCAGCCAGTCACGGACCACAACGGGGTGAGGGCGGGAATCCCGCGCTCAAAATCTACGCCGAGATCCGGGGGCCTTACATCACCTCGAGCTTACAGAACCTTGCCATCGCATCGCTCAATACTGTCAAGCGGCGGGCTGCGGACGGCCCCTACAGGCAAGGCACCAACGGCATTGGGATCTACTCCAATGCGCTGGAAAGCTTTATATATACAGAACATGATATCCTGGTGCGGATTTTCACAGGTGACCAGCGGGGACTTGCTCTACAGGCAACATGTCGTTCGGCCTTGGCCGAGTACTCGCAGACACTGCGGGAGCTCAACCACTACATCAAGGCGAATCTTATGACGGACTGTTTCCTGGCCTTTGAAATCATTGAAATCGTCACGGCTATGTCCTACCGTGTGGAGTCAAAAACTGGCGAGCTCAAAAGCTTGTTCATCGAGGCTCTCCGGCCGGTCCGTGAGACGGCGAAGTCATCGCTATCCGAGCTGCTCGAGGAGACGAAGCGCAAGGCTGGGGGCATTGCCGTGCTCCCACCCGATGGCGGATCGGTGCCTCTTGTCGGCGAGGTCATGAGCTCTCTTACTACACTTACTGGTTATTCCGGACCGCTAGCATCAATTTTAACATCTCTGGGAGATGGCAACTGGCGGTCTACTTCCAGTGCAGCGCCCACGGCTCCCTTGGATGTCAGCCCCGATAGTTTGACGCTCCTGTCGCACTTTATCCTGGACATGATTGAAGCCCTCATGATTGCGCTGGAGGCACGTGGCCGGGCGCTCCATCGCTCCAAGGCAGTGCAGGGGGTCTTTCTATCCAATGTCTTCTGCACTGTTGACCGCTCTATACGGCAGAGTCCCGAGCTAGCTCGGTACCTGGGCTCTGCGGATAGCATCGCCCGGATTGACACCTTCCGGAAGCGCGCCACTTCCACCTATCTGGATGCGTGGAAGGAGACCTCCCATTTTCTTCTGGATGTGCAGTATACGTCTCGGGGCTCGGGCGGCAGGCCAGCCTCGGGCGGGGTGGTCGATTCTAGTGCCATCGTCAAATCCCTCTCGTCCAAAGACAAAGATGCCATCAAGGACAAGTTCAAGGCGTTCAACGCGAGCTTCGATGAGCTGGTGGCCCGTCACAAGGGCATGTACATGGAACGGGAGGTCCGGGGGGTTCTCGCCCGGGAGGTGCAGGCGGTTCTTGAGCCGCTATATGCGCGGTTCTGGGACCGCTACCATGAGGTTGACAAGGGCAGAGGCAAATATGTCAAGTATGACAAAGGCAGCCTGTCCGCACAGTTGTCTGCATTTCTATGAGAGGATGCTGGGCGTCAGGGGCGCAGGAATGCTGCCGATGATGACGATGGGGTTGTCTTGGCTCAGGCGACCGATTAGATATACCTTTGGATATATTCCTAATGTTTTAATATGAGCTGCTGTTGCTGAAGGCTGAACCTGTGCTATATAAACCGGAATCGTGGGGGAGGGGGGTCATGTGACGATAGCCCCTCCGGATGCGACGAGAACGTGACTGATAAGCGGAGACCCCGCCTGCGCTGCGCTGCCCGGCTTCAGCCCATCCCATACTTAGTCGCAAAATTTCCTCCTGCCCCCTCCTCCGCCTCACTCCACCCTCCCCATTTCTCCTCAATTCCCTTGGGATACCTCTCAATTCCATCTTCGCCAAGATGTCTTCCAGCAACGATGTCTACCAGACCCCTCTCAACTCTCGTTATTCGAGTGCGTCATCCCTACCCCCTCCAGCACCTCCAGCACCTCCGGCACCCCCTGCACCCCCTGCACCCCCGGGCCACCTCCTGCCCAGAAGTGCGATATCGGACTAACAGTGCTCGCGAATTTAGGTGATGAGATGAAGTATCTCTTCTCTCCCAGAAACCGTTTCTCGACCTGGAGACAGTTGTGGCTGTGGCTCGCCGAGTCGGAGAAAGGTATGGTGGTCTCCGCGGCCTTCGCCATCCATCCCCCCTCCACCGTCTAACCCGCACAGAGCTCGGTTTGCCCATCTCCGACAAGGCCATTGAGCAGATGAAGGCCCACCTCACCATCCAGGATGACGAGTTTGCGGTTGCCGCCGAGGAGGAGAAGCGTCGGAGACACGATGTTATGGCCCACGTGCACGCCTACGGCCAGGTCGCTCCCGAAGCCGCCGGAATCATCCACTGGGGTGCCACCTCGTGCTACTGCACCGACAACGCCGATCTGATCTTCCTCCGCGACGGTCTCGATATTCTCATTCCCAAGCTCGCTGTCGTCATTGACAAGCTGTCTGCGTTCGCTCAGGAGTACAAGGACCTTCCCTGCCTGGGCTTCACCCACGGACAGCCCGCCCAGCTGGTGACCGTCGGCAAGAGAGCATGCCTGTGGATCCAGGACCTGCTTATGGACCTGAAGAACCTTGAGCGGGCCCGCGATGACCTGCGCTTCCGTGGTGTCAAGGGCACGACCGGCACTCAGGCCTCTTTCCTCCAGATCTTCAACGGAGACCACGGCAAGGTCGAGAGGCTGGACGAACTGGTCACCGAGAAGGCCGGCTTCAGCTCGGCCTTCATCATCTCCGCCCAAACCTACACCCGTAAGATCGATGTCGACGTTGGTAACGCTTTGGGCTCTTTCGGCTCGACCTGCGAGCGCATTGGCATTGACATTCGTCACCTGGCGATGCTCAAGGAGGTCGAGGAGCCTTTCGAGAAGGACCAGATCGGCAGCAGTGCGATGGTGAGACAAGAAATTTCAAGAGCCAATGGGAGGCACAGGAAATGCTAACGAAGCTGGTCTGTGCAGGCTTACAAGCGTAACCCCATGCGGTCCGAGCGTCTGTGCTCTCTCGGAAGACACCTCCAGAACCTCCCCAAGGACGCCTTGGACACGTACTCGGCACAGTGGTTCGAACGCTCGCTGGTGAGACTGCCTGCGTGTTTCTTACTGTCAGGGACAATTGCTTAACCATGTGAATAGGACGACAGCGCCATCCGCCGTATCAGCATCCCCGAGCTGTTCCTTTCCGCTGACGCCTGCCTCATCCTTCTCAGTGAGTGTTTACCCGGCCCGTGTGCCCCCTGGGCCGGTCGCTGACCTTAAACACAGACAACGTGACATCTGGCTTCGTTGTCTACCCCGAAGTCATCAGACGCCATGTCAACGATGAGCTTCCCTTCATGGCCACGTAAGTCATTATCATACTTCTACTTCCACACTCAAGCTCTCTACTAACCACAATCACAGTGAGAACGTAAGCGTTTCATCACACCCTCCATTCACACTCAGACACCTAAAACTAACAACCCCAGATTATCATGGCCTGCGTGGCGAAGGGTCTTTCCCGCCAGGACGCCCACGAGGAGATCCGTACGTCCTCCACTTCCAGCCCCCTCACTGACGTGCTAGCCCTAACCAACGCCCTCTCTTCTCTCCAACAGGTGTCCTCTCCCACCAAGCCTCCGACAATGTCAAGAAGCTCGGCCTGAACAACGACCTGCTCGACCGGGTCCGCCGCACCGCCTTCTTCGCCCCGATCTTGGACGAGCTCGACGCCCTCCTTGACCCCAGCACCTTCGTCGGCCGCGCTCCCCAGCAGGTCGAGAAGTTCACCGCCACCGAAGTCAAGCAGGCTCTGCAGCCGTACGCGGCCCAGCTCGCCAAGGCCGAGACCTCCACCCTCCACGTATAACTGCACATCAAGTTAGCAGTAAAGTACGGTACCTAGGTAAGGTAGGGTCCCATGATGTTGTCTAGATACACAACAGAAGTGCAAGAAAGAAAAAAAAAAGAGTCTTTTATCAACAAAAAGCGATGTCGGGAATTGCTGTATAACTCCCATCCCCTTCCCCCAAATTTCTCTTCCACCTTCACTCCTTTCCCTGCAGCCAAAGAAAGAAAGATACTTAGAATCTATGTACAAGCGAGACAAACAAAACTTTTTTCGGCTTCCGGAACGAACATAATGATGTACATATACGATGGTCTTTGATGATAAACAACCAGGTATGCGTGGAAATGGAAACAGTCAGTCAATAAGGTGCCTAACCACCTAGGTACTGGTAGGCCTGAATGCAATGCAATGCGGATGCCATGCGATGCTATGCGGTCCGAGTCCTCTGCATGCGGACTATGGACACGTCTAAGTAGGTACCTAGTACCTACCTGCCTTAGGCTTCTTTAGGTTATCTTGACTGTATACCTCCAATCTACCTAGCATGCCATCCATACAACTCTACAGATTAACCATCCCGTAACTGACTGAACCCGATCCAACCCAATGTGCCAAGTCAGTACCACCTACCTACATAGATTGGAAGTAAGTATGTTACACAACAACGGCCCTCCCTCCCACAGGCAAGAAACCCCAGATCCAATAGCAAGCCCTCCCCTCCCAATTACCAATCGGAATACACTCTTCCAGGCAACCCATCGCATCGCATCGCAGCGCAAGTCCAGTCCAGTCCAGTCCAGTCCAGTCCAGTCCAGCCCATTCCATCGCATCGCATCCCGCCAGAACAAAAACAAAGCCACTGACCGCCCCGCCACCCAATCCCTTCAAGGACCCTCCCAAAAATAACGCGAAGGTTCAGCCATAGTGGAGTCCGTCATCTCAAAGAAGTAAAGAGGGGGGGGAGTGGTGGGTTGGGCTGGGCATATTGAAAGAATAAAATTAATAATAATAATAATAAATCATTATTATTATTATTATAACAAGAACAATAACACTAATGCTGAATGGCATTGTTGCCGTTTTTCCCGTTTTTCCCGTTTCCCGGATTTGATACAAGCACAACAACAACCGACAACCGGCAACCTAATTACGACCGCACCACACCAACGCGCACCGCTCCAAACCCCCCAGCCACTATAGTACTAACCCACCCACTTACTAGTACTAGTCGCCCCGACCAGACCGGGAAATATTGACGATCTTCTACGGAGTACGGATACTGATATTCGCTTTCGCCGTATAGTAAGTAAAATCCCAACCCGGGACTGTATAGCAGAATATTAATTACTAGGTAGGTTAGGGAGTTAGATTAATTTTGGTGTTGTGTTCCGTATGGTATAAGTGTGTGAGTGAAGATGGGTTTGTTGATGATGGGTGAATCACTTAGGGGGAAAGAGGGGGGGGGGGGGGGGGAACGCCTTCGCCAATTTATGCCAGTCAAAGGGGGAAAGGAAAGAAATACGGAGCCGTTGGGATATATAAGAAACAATAAGAAGAAAGAAAGAAATTTGAAGCCACGTCATTGTTGTTAAGTGGGGCAACCCAAAAAAAAAAAAGCAAAGTAGGAGCCGTTATATGATCCATCCATCCAAGACAAACTATCTGATTCTGGAACTGGAATGATACTTAACTTAGTATGAGGACATATAGCGTCCACCACGGGGTAAGACAGGGGAGGGGAGTGGGTGATAAAGGATGGATGATATATAGGCGGAGAACACGGACGCCGGTCATCCGTGGGACGAAAACAGGTCCAGAGTCGGCTAAACAGGAAAAGGAGCAACAAGGGAAAAGGAAAAGGAAAAAGCAGGTGAGGCGGTTTGAGGCGGACGTGCACACGTCCTCCCGACACCAGACGTATAATACTGAGCCGAGGAAGATTGCACGACACCGCGGCTTATCGCCGTACAACCAAAGTGGCAGCAAAGAATTTGAATTTTTTTTGGCATAGTCTAGAGGGTAGACAACCAGTTGAGAATCTGGAGCAGTAGGTGTTAATGCACCGCACATAATTTGAGGTATCTGTAGGCTGTAGGAGCTCACTCACCATCATCGCCTCCATCAAGGCCACCTTTTCCCCGTAGCGCTTGCCGTCCCAACTATCAGCCTGCAGGGTTGCATTGTACATCCCCAGCGCCTCCATGCCCCTCGTGTGCGCTTCTTGGATGGAATCTTGGGAATACTGCCAGCTGGTGGCGTGGATGTTGTCTCCCGAGTCCTGCTGGAGTCCAGGGGCTGTGGGGCCCACCCAGAGAAAGGGGGCGTTTCGTCCACTGGACTGAACCAGCGTGAGCCACTCGTCCATGCTACTTTTGGCCGTGGACAAGGAGTACGACGTGGAGAGGGAGACACTCAAGATGACGGGGACGGGCTTGTTCCGGCCAGCGGCTCGCGTCACTATACGGCGAAACCTCTCGTAGGCGCTCTTAGGGGCAGGGGAGCCGGCTATTGGGAGGAACGCATGGGGAACACCTGCCATCGGGTTGAGAGTCAGTGTTTCAGTCCATGAACGGCCGGTAGCCGATGGAGGAGTTGATGGGGGGGAGGGAGGGGGATGGACAGGTGGGCTTACGGGATGGACAGGTATAGGGCCGGTGAGCGGGTTTGCCACCGTTCGCGGCTGAGAGCTGATCGCTCGAAACGATGCGTAAGGGGAGACATGCAGGACTGGTGAACTGAGAGTCACAACGGCAATATTGGCCCTGGTCCTTTTTTATCTCCCACTCTTTCAGGGATCCGGTCGCCAGGTCCTCGCGCAGCAGAATGTTGAATCCGGCGTAGGCATCGGCCAGGGTGTCATCACCAATGAAGACGATTCCATCGAATTTCCGCAGAATGTCGCACACCTCAGCGCTGGTGAACCAACGGTAGGAGCAGCCTGCGTTATGACGGTTAGCCGTGCGTGTTACGAGAGGGGGATGTGGGCAGTTTGCCGCCCAGACGGAGAGGCCCGAGGCGACCCGGACCGGATCGAGGGCGGCACCACTTGCCTTGCGAGGTATACGCCGCGTCGAAGCCATGCCGGCCACCACTGCTCATGGCGTCAAGCAAGGCCTCGCGAGACTCGCAGTAAGACTCATCCGCGGACTGCGGCGGGTTGTAGAGGGACAGGGACGAGATGCCGCACTCCTGGCGGCCCACGTAGGAGGCCAGCAAACTATGTGCGAGACGGGTCCGGATAAGTAACTGTGGCCCCAGTGACGGCAGTGGAAAAAGCAAAGAGGGCGTCGGGGAAGCAATCCAGGGACTTACTCATGCGCGGATCCGGGGGAGGGAGGCGAGGGGGGTGATGGTGGTGGCTGCTGGGGTTGCTGGGAGGGGCGAAGGGGTAGTAGAAGACGTCTCGGATGAGCCAAACGATATAGAAGACGCCCAACACCCACAGGCAGGCCATCAGTTTGTACGTGGAGGATCGCCAAGTGACCCTACGAATCAGCCTCCGTCCGTTGGGCCCTTCGATCGGGCCGCGTCGCAGTGGAGCATTGCTGTTTTGCTGCATCCCGGAGAAGGGATAGGCGAGAGACTCGTTCATAGCGGATGATAAGCCCAATGATTCGCTGTGTGAGGCACGACGGCGAGACATATTGGGGTTGTTTACATGAACATGCAGCTGGGGAGGTAGTACAAGGAGAGAGATGGTCAGGGAAGATGCATCTGCTGCTGCTGAAGTAACCCTGGGTCCTTGTTTGCTTTAGGGGAGAGAGTGAGCGCCTGTTGGCCTGGCGTGGCAAGGAAATGGCCAGTTATGCTCGGACTGGACTGGATTACCAGGCGTGATCGATGGGTCCAGCCAGGGAGATCCCGAGGGGCTTCACAGATGAGGGGTGATGCCAATGGGGTCAAGGATAGTGGCGTGGGAGACGACGCTGCCTGCCACTGGGAGGGAGATTGGAGAGGGGCACGACTGGCGGCGTCTTGTTGGATGAATGGATGGATGGGGATATTCCTGTCTGTCTGGTCTTGTCTGACTCGACTCGACTGGACTGGACTGGACTGGACTGTGACCGTGACTGACTGACTCTCTCCGAGTGTCTCTCTCCTTGACTCTAGAGTCCTGTCTTGTGTCTCTGTCTGTGACTCTTTCTCTCTCTTCCCCTCTGTCTGTCTGTCTGTATGTCTCTGTGTATCTCTTTCTGCCTCTGATCTCTCTCTAGAGTCTTCTTTCTGTCCGTCTCCCGCTGGTTCCTCCTCTCTGCCGGTCTGTGGATCGAGATGCTGATCCCTCTTGGTAATCTCAGTGTCCTTTGACGAACCGACGTCTACTTCCCACGCGTTCGCGCCGGGGTTGTCCTCCGGGTGCGGTCTTTTCCCTTGGATCTTGGCTCCCCGGCTCCGATGGGGAGGGTCTTCCCCTGAATATTAACCAATACGAGGGGGTCCAACGCCTTAGCAGCACCGCGCGAGATTATAGAGAGGCAGGGAGATAGGTAGGGGAGGGAGGGGATTAGAAGAGGGGCTAATTGACCGGATCCGGGCAGAAGTTCGGATTCACTTCAGCATGAGTGCGAAAAAGGCAATGCTGGGAGGTGTTGGCGGATCCTCTCTATCGGGACCTGCCAATGAGTGAGTGCACCGCTCAACCCAGCCAGATAGTAGTGGTAGTAGTAGTAATGCGAATGGGACGGAGAAGCTGTGGCTCTCAGAGAGGGGGAATTAACAATAGGAATTGTCAAAGAGACCCCATCAAACACACAGAAAGGAAAAGAAACACTCCTTGAAACTCTCTCGATCCGTCTATAGTTGAGCCACACCACACAAGTTTTAAGTGTTTGAAAAGGGCCAAGGGAGGGAGCGAGGAAAAAAAAAAAAAAAAAAAAAAAAAAGACAGAACAACCCCTAAAAAAAATTTACATAGATAAAAAAAAAAGATAAACAATAAAATAAAATAATAAAAAAAAACCTTCTAGAAAAAAGAATTTCAAAGCCAAATTAGACAGAAAAACTCAATCAACAAATCAATCAAAAATCCATCAGCGAGCGAGGGGTTGAAGTTCATGCAGCGCAGGTTTGCATCATCCCCCCCCGATTTTTTTCGGGTTAGGAAAACGCCCACAGGGCAGCGGAAATAAAACACGGCCAACTAAAACCCAGCAGTGCCTCATTTAAAGCTGGGACATCCTGGGAAAGGATCCTCCTCTGCATGCAAAGTTGGAAACACACTGGTGGATGGGGCCCTCCGATCCATCAGTCCACAACAGGCATGCGCTATCACCATCGGCATCATCATAGTACATAAGAATGGCACCAGCCCACTTCTGACTCCCGCCCACACGCGCGCACGCACAAATAAAATAAAAATAAATGGGGGCTTATGGGTTTTCGGAGGAAAAAATTGGTCCGTGATATCAAGCCGGACGCTGTCCACTCACCTATTCTGGCAAAGCCCGTCCCTCACTAGTCTTGTCTGGTTCTGACACCGGGGAAACTTGTCCGGTCAGGTCAAGTCGCACGTTGCTCAACATCCAAGGCTTGCGAACAGCGAACACAGTTACACACACACACAGCATGCAACTATGGAAGAATAGCACGGAACAAAACCAAGGCTAAAACATAGAAAAGCGAAAGAAAAAGAAACGGAAAAGCAAGACACCAGAATCCCAGCCAGCGGTGTCGGTGCCCCCCCTCGGAGATTTAAACAAACACTTCACCGCACGGGGTGGTGGTGGTGCGGTGACGCCCAGTCAGAGCACCTGGCGCACGAGATACTCGAATTGACAATTAGTGCTCCGGTTGGTGGGCCAGACAGGTGTCAGAAAAGTTAACGAGACTCCACTGGCAAGAAGGTTTCGGGCGGAAGACGTGCGAGCAGCTGGACTGGAGAGTAGTCTGGAGACTGAGAATGAGACCAGGACGGGGTTTGGGAATGTAAAGACGTTGCGAGACTGGGAATATCCCCCAGCTTTATCACTCAGAGCACCGCCCGGGGGGGGGGGGAGCGGAGGACGGGCTTCAGCCATCAGGGCCCGTCCATCGTTCTCTCCAGCCTAGGGAGGGGGGGATTAAAGGGGTAGGGGTAGGGGCAGGGGGAAGGGGAGGGAAAAAGGTCGGTAAGCCAGGCAAAGTCGTCACATCGAATCGGGCTCTACCAACGTCAGAAGTCGAATGGAGAGAGCACGAGAAGATCGAAGATCATGACGACGCGATGAGGAAGAAGAGCCAAAAACCGGCCCGAACAGCTGGAAGTTGGGCATCTTTCTCATTTCTTTTCTTTTTTCCCACTTCCGCTTATTTTTTTCCCCCAGTCTCCGCTCCTGTTCTTGTTGCCCTTCCAGGCCCTACTGTGGATGCAGGAGGATGCGCCGTTTGGTGGTTGCTCTCGCTCTGGCTTCGCGTCTTGTCATCATCTTTATCAGGACGCGGCCTAGTATGATTGGCCCTCTATAACGGTCAACTAAGGTGGATAATAGGCAGACCGCGAGGATCTTCGCTGGTGCGGCCGTTATTTAAATATGTATTCCCGCCGGTGCCTCGTTGCTTTTTCCCTGGTGGTCCCCGGCGACCAACCAACCTTACTTGACCGTCGCTCCCGAAGTACGTACTTTACGGCCTCATATACGACTGCTGCTACTATATCCTACCGCGTGGGAGTGGTCGTCTCCATCCATCCCTCCACCTTCCATCAAGATAGTCGTCGTCCCCGGGAATTTCTATTGTTCCGCATGCAGGGACAATGCAGAGTAAACGATGGAGAGACACCAGTTCCATAATACAATGGATTAACTCTTCTTTGTGACTAGCCCGGGAAGCTGACTGGGGTCGACATTGTCCGGGCCGGCTTCTAGATGAAATCCTCGTGGAATCCTGATTCAGGGACCCGACATATACACCCCTACCAGTACCGTGAGGAACCGCGGATGCCTGGCGAGAACCGCGGGCGGGTGAACCTAGTCAGGTCGGTCGGTCTTCTTCGAGTTGAGTGAGACAAGCAACAGCGACATGACACGCTCTTTATACTGCTACCTTACTCCGTACATGCACAAGCACCACGCTGCCAGACGGGCCTGGAGCCCGAGCCATGCTTCCAGGCCTCCAGGCCACCAGGAGGCTGGTAATGGCTCCTGCCTCATGGGTCCCTGACCACTCACCACTGGCCAGTCGGAGTGGGCGCGTGCCCCGGGTTTGAACCATCCTCGGGCGAAGGGGAAATCCGGAGAACGGCTAAGTGTGCCAACTGTTGACACCCTGGTAGTGACTGGACACCGCGGTCCCAACCTGGGCATGCTGGGAGGTCAGACGGTCGGGTGAAAGGGTAGAAGAGGGTCTCATCTGATATCTCGACTAGTAACCCCCCAATCTAGATAACAGCACTGCATGCATCTCCCTCCCGGACGGGTTACGGAGGTGCTGAAGGCCGAGGACTGAGTGGTGCGATGCTGCGCTGGGGTGCTCCGACGCGGCGGAAGGAGCGGCTGCCATTGGTCCATTGGGCCATCGGCTCGCCCAACGGCGGCTCGGCGACGCACGGGATTGCGCGCATGCCTTCTTTTGCAGGCCACCACGGCACTGGGGAGTCTTTCCTTCCCCCACCACCACACGTGACTCCCCGGGAATTGCGAGTCTCCGCAGGCCAGCATCCAGAAGCAGTCATAGTCAAGTCAATCAATCAGTCCACCGTCCACGCCCACTTCCCTCCGCCCGTCCTCTTCTCTAACCTCCCTCCTCACCACCCACCCCCTTCTTCTCTTCATTCTCTCATCCTCTGCCTCTCGGGAGAGAACACCAACCTGTCGTATGGCCGATTGAACTCTACCCTCCCTTCTTGTGTGAGTCCTCGGGATCGTGATCCTGGTTGCCACTCGGTCGGCGATCTTCCTACAAAAGACTACTCCGGGGCAGCGTACCGCCCGCCGTTCCGAGCTCGCCTACGAGCGGAGAGGTCTCCTCCAACCTCGGTAGTCCCCCTCCCGGCCATCAACTCCCTTCAGACCCCCAATTGACGGCTCGACTCATCTAACCAACTGCTCTCCATCCAGCGAACTCCCTTTTGCTGCCCATATTGGTTGTATCAAGTGCGAGCCCAGGCCGCCCGGCCTGAATACCCGTTGACAACATGTGGAAACCCTCGAAGCACCTGGTGGACACCATGAGTCACTACGCCAGCTTCCCGGCGACCGGCGTCTCTCTCCGGCAGATGGTTCAGTTTGGGGACAGGCCTTCGACAGGTAAGTCCCTACGGTTTGAGAAATGGAAGACGAAGGATAGGGTCGTTTGACCATCGAGTGCCCAGAATCCGCTAACCTCGTGACCTCTTCCCCTATCAGGCACCCTCTTTCGCGCCTCCCAATTCCTGTCCGAGGAGCTGCCGATCCGTCTCGCTCATCGAGTGCAGGACCTTGGGGAGCTGCCCGATGGTCTCAGCGAAATGCCGTCCATAAAAAAGGTGCAGGACTGGTATGCCCAGTCGTTCGATGTATGACTCACCCCTCCCCTGGGTTCTGCTCGCCGTGGGAGCTGCTGACACGCGGAAAAGGAAATTATCACCCTCCCTCGCCCCAAACTGTCTCAAGAGGTGAAGGAACGTCTGCTGCGTCCGGGCAGACTCAATGGGGGATACTCTAAGGTCCTCTCCGAGACAACGCAGAACCCCAGCATCCGTGAAGGGCAGTACCGCTCGTCGCCCACCTCTGTGTTGAACGGCAATGGAAACGGCAAACCCGCGGCATCAGGACGCCGATACTACGCCCCATCGGACGACCAGGGCGATTGGCCCCCGATGTTGGATATTTATAACGAGCGCTTCGCCCAGACTCTGAAGGGCATCAAGCGGAGACACGACAGTGTCGTGACCACTGTAGCTCAAGGTATACTCGAATGGAAACGCAAGCGCCAGCGCCTGCAGATCGACTCAACTGTCCAGTCCTTCCTCGATCGATTCTATATGTCCCGGATTGGTATACGAATGCTCATCGGTCAGCACATCGCTCTCACAGAGCAAACCCGTCTACGGCAACCTAACTACGTCGGAATCATCTGCACCAAAACCAACGTGCGAGAAGTTGCCCAGGAAGCAATCGAGAATGCCCGGTTCGTCTGCGAGGATTACTATGGTCTGTTTGATGCTCCTAAGGTGCAACTCGTGTGCAAACCAGATCTGAACTTCATGTATGTTCCGGGTCACCTGTCTCATATGCTCTTCGAGACCTTAAAGAACTCCCTGCGCGCCGTGGTGGAAGCCCATGGCGCCGACAAAGATAATTTCCCCCTCACCAAGGTCATTATCGCAGAAGGCAAAGAAGATATTACCATCAAGATCTCCGACGAAGGCGGTGGCATCCCCCGTTCTGCCATTCCCTTGGTCTGGACGTACATGTACACTACCGTAGAGCAGACGCCGAACCTGGATCCCGGGTTTGACAAGAGCGACTTCAAAGCCCCGATGGCGGGTTTCGGATACGGTCTGCCCATCAGTCGGTTGTATGCGCGATACTTTGGCGGCGACCTCAAGCTGATCAGCATGGAAGGGTGAGTCCTGGCCTGGTGCCGCAGTATAAAGCCTGGATTAGCAAGCTGACTTTTTCAGGTATGGTACGGACGTCTATCTCCATCTCAATCGACTCTCGTCGAGCTCGGAACCTCTGCAATGACAATTACCAGTCATGAGGGATGGTCGTGTCCGATTTTCTACTTCCCATAGACTTCATCCTTTCTACACGGAACCGGACCCGCCACCATCCCAAGGATTGACGCCCATGAACATACAAAACGCTCGCGCTCGGATGCGAACACGGGAAATTTCCGAACGCAAGCAAGTCGGGGATGCAGCCAGCCTCCTCAACGCCGAAAGGCTGGGATAGGTGACTACTGTATAAGTCCGACTAGATACTTGCCGTGTCTGCAACGATGCGTATGTGTGGGGAATATTATAAGGTCTGCTCGAGTAGCCTTGTGTCAGTAGACCCTTGTGGATGGAGACATGCCCATCTTTGGAAAGAAAAAAAAAAAAAAAAGAACGAAAGAAAAGAAAAGCAAAGTATTGGTTTCCCTTCTTGCGGGAAATCGATTTCAGGGCCCGTTTTTTGGTCTACGAGATACCCATTTGGTACGATTGACAGCAATTGGAAGAACGCAGGAGCTCGGGCTGTGGTAGGTTGGAGGCTTCTACCTGGTATAGATGAGCGTGTGTCCTTGCTTCTTTGGCCACCCACTGTCTTGCTTTTTTGCGAACGGCTTGCTGTTTTTGCCTTTGGCCTCGGCCTCTTTCTGTCATTCTCTTGCTCGTTTTGCGCGTGATTTTGGACCCTCCTTGTATAGTATGGTATTTTACGGATTGACGGGATACGTTTGGTATGGTTTGGATGTACACAATGCAGCGATTTGGTATGTGAATATTACTCTTGGACTAGGTCAAGTAAATAGTAACTGTAAGTTGTGCTGCGGCCGCCGCTGCCAGTGGGCGATTGCCATTTTGGATACGGTACCTACGCTGGTGGTTGGCCGAATCCCACGCCTTCCTAAACGGGCTATCTCTGCATCACTCGAAAGGTATAAACCCCCCCCCCCCCCCCCCTCTCTCTTCTCGCCTGCCTTCCCCCCCCGATTTCATTTCTCAACGAGACCGACAGCATCACCTCCTCCTCCTCTCCCTCTCCCTCTGCGACCCCCTCACTCCCCTCGCCGTCCCCGCCCCCCCAACCCGATCCGGCGTTCCCACCCTCCCCCTCATCTTCGCCGCCGATCCCTGCGACTGCAAATCCCCCGCACTGCCCCCTCGACTCGCACTCGTAGTAGCCCGCCGCCACCCCGCATCGTCCGTCTCACAAACATCGACCACGCGCCGCGGAACGATCATCGGGACGGTCGATCCGAGCCCACCTCCACCTGTAGAAGTAGAAGCTGAGGCTGAGCCAGAGGAAGGAGCAGGATGCTGCACGGTGAATCGATCCGCGCGGATCGCGGCCGCGGAGTCGGGGTCTTCTGGGGCGAGGAGCTTCGAGAGGAAGCGACGGCGGGATTGCGGGAGGGTCTGGTGGTTGTTAGGGAATGTCTTTCTTTCTTTCTTTGTTTTTGCTGGAACAACGGGGGGGGGGGGGGGGGGGGGAAGGGAAAAGGGAAGGAAGGAAGGAAGGAAGGGAGGGAGAAAGAAGGGCGAAAGCATGACGTACCTCCTGAGCAGCCAATGCTTGAATCGTGAGAAGTTCTCGATCCAGCAGGACGCATAACGCGGCGTGGCGTTCCTCGCGCAGGCGACTGCGGATCTTGCGATCTGGCTCTTGCGGCGTTTGGTAGAAGGGGTCTAGATGATTGCTGCGGTGGTGGTGATGGTGATGGTGGTCAGAGGGGGATGTAGATGGGGGGTAGGCTTTTGAAAAAAAAAAAAGTTTTTATTAATTTGTTAGTATTGATAATAATTTGAATATACTTGGTGAGTTTAAAGAGTGTTAAATCAGGATTGGGGATTGGGAATGGATTCTGCTTGGTTGATCACTCGATGCATCATCGATGGATGCTCGCTTCGCTCATTGGGGGCACGATGGATGAAGAACTAACCATAACCCATGATCCCGGGCTGAGGGCGCTGATGGATCGAATACTCCATTTGCATGCCGGAGTCGGAGTCGGAGTCGGAGAGCTCTTCGTCTTCTTCATCTTCATCTTCTTCTTCTTCTTCCTCCTCTTCTTCGGCGAGGATGTCATCGTTTTCGTCGTCGTCGTCGATGACGATTGGGTGGTGGTCCCGGTGGCCCGGGGTGGGGATGTTGGGGTTGAACATTGCGGGCGTGTTGCGGTTTGGTGTGCGACAGGGATAGTGGTGGTATGCTGTGTGTGTATGTACGGTTTGGGTGTGGGTTAGGAGGGAAGTATGGATTGGGTTGAATGGATTGGATGGATTGGATGGATGGATGGATGCTGGTCAGGCTTGGAGCATGTGATTCACGTGGCAGGGTGAGAGACAGCAGATGGGTGTGGTGATTGGGTCAGTGGGTAGTTGTGTCAAAGACTGATGGATATTTGACCCAAGTCAGTAGATACTAGGTAGTAGTACTTAAGGAGCACTGCTGTATAAGATGCGCGACGTCGGCTTCTCTGGTATTTTTACGTCAGAGTGCTCCGGATGGCCTTTGTGTTCCGATTTCTGACAAGAACACTCGGTGGAAGTCCAGAATAATTACCCACGTGTGCGTGAAAATTGGACACAGCAATAGTATCAGCCCCTGTCCGGCAGGATCGCAGACTAAGGCATCCGCGGGCTGTTCGAGAAGGATGGAGAATCGCCGATGGTCGCGGAGCTGTTGGAGAACGAGAGAGAGAGAGCCGCGGATGACGAGGAGGGAGGAACAGGCACGGGCGGCTTAGTCACCGCCTCGTGCCCTAGGTTGGGTGATAGGTCAGATGACAGACCAGCAGCCCCAGAAGAGCCATGGATTTTAGTATTAAGTATGATTATGAGCTCTCGTTCGTAATAAGTGGCCTCTATCATGAATTCTCGGCTGCTTGGTCGCAACTCTAACAGTACTCGAACATTTGCCGCCCCTTCTTCAAGACTCCAGCAAACAAACCCCCCCCCCCCCCCGTGCTGAGACGGGTTGGTCACGCGAATGAGAACACCAAGGAATAAATCAGACATAAATGCGGCATAAATGTGGTCAGATCGGTAGATGGGAAGGGGGAAGTAGAGTTGGAAAAGGTACAGGTGAAGATATCAGAATCAAAATGCAAATAACAGAACCCCCAGCCACCGGCTCCACTATAATCAATCATCATCAAAGTGCGGAAACGACGCCCTTAACGCCAAAGCAAAATGCCGCTAAAAGGACTCACATGCGCCGGTAGCCGACATCGCGGCACGGGCATGGCGCGGAACTCGTACAACTATCGCCATGGTGCGGCTGGTGCAAGTATATCGAACAGCTCCAACAGTGAGACTGGAGTGTTACGAATCAGCACCCGTGCATTAACGAGTTCTTGGGCCAGTCATATCCAGCAGCGGACCTAAAAAATCAGTCAGCAGAGTCCTCGTAATGGAATCGAAGATGAGAAACATACCAGGATGTTTTGTTGTTGTTTTGGTATGCTTCCGGGTGCTTGGAAATGTACTCGGTCGTCTCGAATCCCGGCGGGTCGCAGGTGACGCTGATATTGTCCGGGTCCTGGTATATCCGAATATAGTCGAAGCGCATGATCCCGGGCATGTATTCCCTCAGAGTATCGTTGATCGGAGCAAAATTCCATGCCATACCCAGGTTCATCACGATCGACATCGGTTCCAGAGGAATCATCCGCTGTCCCACGTTGCCGTTGGGCCCGATCGCTCGTCCGTCCAGTGTCCATGTCTTGTCCTGGCCAACGAACCACGTCACGTTGCCCACCGCGCCTGGGGTATATTCAAAAGCATAAGCTTGATACTCCGTGCCATTGTACCAGTGGTTATTCAAGTTGGTCATCCCGGACATGGCCTGCTGGTATGGTCCTCCGCGATAGGTGTTGATGGACGTGATGTGAGGGTCGTACACCGCAGTAAAATCTGCAAAGGTCAGACTTCAGTTCCCTACCACATTCTGTCTCACTCTAGGCTACTTACCGTAATCTGGCATATACCATATATCAAAAGGTGCCATTTGCAGACTCTGGGACACGGTTCCAATATAGGCGTTCTGGTCACCGTTCAGAGCGCCTACACTGGCTTCGATCACATCGATTTCCGGTGCGCCCCGGGATCTCCCAGGGGAGGGGTGGTCTGCGCCATCACAAGTGCAAGCAGGCAACCGCATACCGGGGAGGAAGTTGATGCCATCTGGAGAGCTTTGGTTGGGAGTTATTCCCGCATCGCACCCATCGTGGTAACTGTATGGCCACATTCCCTCTGTGGTTGCAGCATAGCCCGGTCGACCCAAGTTGCCCATCGCCCAAAAGCCCGGCCAGAATCCCGACACATCACCGGCTCCAGGCAGTGATATGCTCGCTTCCAACCGACCACCCGAGAAACACAGCTTATTCCAGCTTTGCACCATTCCGGAGCGGTACCCGACTTCGTGGTTCTCGAACGCATCGAACCGGATCTCCATGGTCCCATCTTTTGTCGTCACCGCATCAGGGTCATACCACTACGCACCGTCAGCCCCAGCCACGTAGATCAGAAAACGTGGTACTAACCTCGAGGTCCTGTGTCACACCGTACCATAGATCGATGGCTTGGTAGTAAGCGTCATCTCCATCATAGAATGACCGACCGGGCGTTTCAAATTCGTCGGAAAACTGGCAGATGTCAGTTGCCATTCAACGGCAATCCCCTCTTGTGCTTTTATGTTGCATACTAACCACTAACTGCCATTCCTTGCCATCCACCGACTTCTTCTTCATTGCCGATTCTGGTGTGTCCGGATCGATCAATCCTCTGCGCAGATTGGAGAGTATCGGACGCTCCCCAACATCCAAACATAAGGTATCGCCCAATTCGCAGGTCTCTTTGACTGGCTTTTGCACCTTCTCCACAGCAGATCTGGCAAGCATGCGATTAGCACTCTGTTTTCATCCCACCCAAAATTGGAGCAGAGCATACAAGACCGGATAGACCACAAACAAGGCCACAAATCCCACCGTCATTAAAATCAACCCGCCCAAGTTCGCAATCCCCCGACGATTCCAGACATCACACTCTATATCCTTATCATTCGGATCTGGATTATGCAAGTAATCATCCTTCTCCACGTCCTCCGGGAACAGCAACAGCCCCTCCGTTGGCATAATATTATATTTCTCCGTGACCGTTTGCGTATTCACATCATTATCATCACAACTTTCGGCACGAGACGAGGCCCGGGATTCATCGAAATGGGCGTACGAGTAGCCCCTAGCGTCAAAACTCGCCGCAGAGGAGCTCCAGCTCGTCCGGCGTGATGAGCGAATCGATAACAGCTCCGGAGACCGAGACTGATCGAGCATCTCGTCCCGGTGTCGGTAAGCCCGCGGCGGTATTAAAAATTCCGTGGACTCTTGTGGGGTGGGCGAGCCCCATGCTGTCTGTACTGTTCCGTCGGATGGCGAGCGCACCATTCCTGGAGTCAACGCCCGGCCGATCTGCTGCGGCTGTTGAGGGAATGGTACGAGAGGGGGGGATGTGGCTTCGGAGTCAGCAAAGGGATCCTGACGTCCCGAATTCAGACGGATATGGGGCGTGGCCCTGAGACCAGGGTTGTCGGACATCCTGTAAGTAAAATGTCCGTCTCAAAGAGACTGGACTGGGTTAGATGGTGTGATATCCAGAGCAGTGGTGTGTAGATTGAGCGCTGTGGGGTTGATATTGCTGGTGAGATATCCACTACAGATTCTCTTGTCTTGTCCTATCTTTCCCGGTTGACGCCAATGACGGGATCAATTGTGCCCAATCTCTACTGGCCTGGGTCCTGTGCACGGTTGAAGAGTATTCCCATCCAGATTTCGAGATTTTCGCAGTCTAACAGGGAGTCTTATTGCAATGCCGTGAAAGGTTTCCGTTGTATCATAGGGTGGTTGTCGGGTCGGGGTTGAGGGTGGTAAAGAGTGACAATAGACGCGCTGGGTCCTCGGCGCGAAGACGCGATAACGACTGGACGGGCAGGGTACCCAAGATGTAAACCCGGCCTATGGCTGATACATGGACACGTACACTGCTGATGTGATTGCTCGGATGTCTCAATGATGAGGCGTGGATGGTGTCACCGGGGACAGAGTGGATGTATGAGGCAGGGTTGAGGAGGAGGGAGGGGAGGGAACAAAGGCGAACCGCGAGATGGCGCGCCGAAACAAGCTGGGGAGAGGAAAAGGACAGTGGAGGGGAAACCGAAAGGGTAAAAGAGAGACAAACAGGCCAACAGAGGGCGAATGAATGTGGGTGACAACGGACTCGGCCCGGGACTCAACCAAGGGATGGGATGAACAAAGGATAGGCAGAGAAGAGGAAGAAAGAGGGAGGGAGCGCGAGAGAGAGAAAGAGAGAGAGCAGAGCAACGAACCAACCAGCAATGCCAATCCCTACATGCACCAAAGCTTTTTTCTCTCACCTTCTTCCCCTTCCAGCATTACCATCTCATTTGCCGACTGACGGCGCGGTGTTACACATGCGGGTTTGATGATTACAGGAGGTGCCTGACCCAAACAAAGGAGCAAGCAGGCATCGGCCAAAACAGGGTCAGACAACTCCCCCGGGAATGCATGAAAATAGCGGGTGTCGCCCACTGGCCCCTGTGGTCCCTGGGGGGTGGTGGGGACTAGGGCCTGGTGGCGCCTGCATGGATGCTGTCTCGAAATGAGGTTATACTGGGGTTCGCGCCCGGTGATTGGCCTGTAGGCCGCTTCCATGTGCTGCAGACTCGGCACACCATCCCATGTTCCATCACTAGATAGTACTAGTAGATAGTGGTAGCCAGCAGAGCGCTCCATCCTCGTACCTGCCAGGCAACGGATTCCTGAATGCTGGGAGGAATCTGGTTGCCGGAACCCAGACGGAATGACGGGCGTGATCCACGGATTCCGTTCGGGCTTAGCCTGGCCTGGCTGGGAACGGCCACTATCCCCGACCGGGTCTAGCCCGTACTGGAGGTGTTCTGCGACTAGCGCCGATCATTCCCTGCCGCTGCCCGTCCATCCAGATTACATACAGTTTCTCCCCTCCAGTCCCGTACCGTACGGTAAGCGCCCTGTTGCCCGCCCGGCCTTGATTCGCATTCCGGTCTGGCATGGACAACCACATTCCGCTTCTCGGCTGCCTGGGTGAAGCCTCAAGCCTCCTCAAATATAAAGGGTTTGGAGGAAGCAGCAAATCTCAGGGCGACGGCCCTGCCAACCTTATCAGCGGGTTGCTGGCACACTAGCGAGATTGTGCCGCCGGTATTGATTGCCAAGCCTTGGGAGTGAACCAAACTCTTTCACGTCCCCAAGGAGCGAGTTCCCAGCAGATAGATAACTAGATGGTGACGGCAGGGCTTGCGTCATCAGAAGGTGTCTGTGTTTCAAGCAAATCCCTCTGCATTACTCCGTACGGAGGACATAGACTGGAACACAACTAGCTTCCTCACGCCACGCCAGAATCGCAATTCTCGGAGCAACATGGATCCCGTGCATCCTGTCAGACATGCTAGGCTAGATGTGTATCTGGTCGATGAAGAAAACTGAGTAAAAGAAGGAGTTTCGGCACAGGCAACTTGAAGACGTGCCAGCAAAAAAAATCACTTACATGGATGTTTAGATAATTCAAGGCTTACCAAGTAATGTTTGGTTCGTACGGGTGCTATGACCCGAACCCCTGGCCTGTGCTTGGCTTGGCTTTGGGGGGGGTTCAAAGTGACAGCTTGTAGATGGAGGACTCGACTGTCTGCACTCGACGATTGGCCACGCTGGTTATTCAACGCTGCCAAGTAGGATGAGTTTCTCCTCGGATTGTTTGCGGTTGATCCTTGTACCTCCAGGATGTTGCACAGATCTGACCCTCAAACGACTGGGGTACATGGTAGATGACAGGGGCGGACAGTGCGAGGAACGTAGAATTAAAAGGCCGCTTTCATATTCAGATGAGATGCTTTCCGCTGATTGCTTGTGTTAGCTGCCTGGCTGTCAGTTTCAATATTCGCTAGGTATCAAGATTACCGAAGAGGTTTCTTTCTGGTCTCATGTAATTAGAAGGCGGCAAAACTATCCAGCCTGTCATAGAAACAGTGGAACTTTCTTTTCCTACTTTAAAGCATGGCAATCTCAATCACTGATTAATCATAAATATTATTTTTGCTTTTATAGTTGTGGTGGCTGAAGTGCGTCATACATGCCACCCTCACAAAGTACCCAGGTAGATAAATATATGTAACCTAGAGGGGCACCCATCCACCTTAAGTAACTGTGTGAGATCAAGAAAGACATAAATAAAAACAGTACCAATGAACATTTCTTATTGAAAACCTCTTACTCTCTCTCCCTTCCAACTTTCTCAGTGGTATTATATTTTACTTCCTCTATAGTTCTGAGTACCTAGTATCAACCACTGGTATATCATATCTAATTATCCTACGCATCACCACCCTTCCGCCCACCCATTCACTTCCCTTGTAAAAAAACCAATTGTAACACCTACTAGGTATAAACCGGTATTCCCTTTCCGGTATTCCCTACTAATTACATCTCATGGCCTGTGTAACTTCCCCCGCACGTGCTGTAGCTCTCTTCCCCCTCCCCGCCCCCCAGCTCCCTGCTATGTGTATGTAAGTCTTCCGCGCGCCGCGCCGCGCCAAACCTCACCTCCACAACAAGCACCGCACCGCACCGCACCGCACCACACCACCACCCTCCTAAGTACCAGTGTGAAACCACCACACCAGCCGCTCTCTATCTTCTATTTTGATCATACGGGTGGGTGGGAGGGGGGGAACATTACCATGTTTCAGCCACACGCGCGTGTGATCTAAGACAAAACTTCTTTTTACAAGCCAGGACACCAAGGTTAGTAGTCTCGGCGGCAGGTGGGTGGCTGGATTGTATGAGACTTATTCCGACTTGCCTGCCTGCCTGCCTGCCTACCTACCTACCTACCTACCTACCTACCTACCTACCTACCTACCTGGGGGTTTGAGTTGAGGGGACAATTCTAACTATCCATGTATAGATCACTAGGACTGGTTTTCAGATCGGTCCATTTTGCGGAGAGACCAGTATTGTTGTCTGAAGACTTGATAGATACTGAGTAGGTGATAGCTAAGATTACGGTCGAGGAAGTGAGGACTACAAGACGAGACGAGTATGTGCGATCCATTGGCTATCCACAGGACGAGTAAACTAGCAACAACCGAACTGACCTCCTATTATCCAGCGCCCAAGTTTTCAAATCCCGGATTCCGCAAGAGAACGCCTCAGCCGTCGCCGCGAAGGCCATAGAAAGGAAAGACAAAAGAGAAGAAGAAGAAAATATTCGCTCTAGATCTTTTCCGATCGAGCCTGTCCTGTCCCTTTCCGTTTACGCCGCGCCATCAGTCCCGCAAGTAAGTAAGATGAACTCCCCTTCCCCATTGCAGCAGCAGCAAAAGATGAACCATGATCGCTAACCCACGAGGGAAACAAAGGAAGATAAGAAGAAGAAGATTATCGCTCAAGATCATTGTAATGATCGAGCCCCGGAAGCAAGTAAGAGAAACGAACACCACCCATCGCAGCAGCACAAAATCAACGCATGGCCGCTAACCCGCGAGAAACAAGAGAGAGAAAGAAAGAAGAGGAAGAAGAAAAAGAGAATCGCTCAGAATCCATGATGACCGAGCTCCGTCGAGAGAGTCCAGACCAGAGAGACCCGCAAGTCCAGAAAGTGAGTCAATCATCCGTCGCGAATCCCAGGCGAAACAGCGAGCCAGTGAGTCTAACCTCCATGTCCTGCCAAGTATCATGGCTGCAACCCCACACCGAGCAGCGGAAGGCCTCTCGGTCGCTCGCCTTCAGATGTAGCGCGGTGCTGAGGAGTTGCAGCAGATGACCGGTCTGCGTGATTGGGATGAGTCCATGGGCAGTGGACACATCGAAGATCACGAACCCGATGTTGTGGTCGCTGGGGATGGCGCGGCAGGCCATTCTCCAGTTGCGAACCACATGGTCGATATTGGGCCAGGTGGTTGGGCCTTCGGGGAGGGGTTCGGTCACTCTGATGATGGGTTGTGGGGCGGGCTGACGGTGGGCCTCGAGGTGGGTGAAGAGGATGAGGCGGATGCTGCGAGCGTGACGAGTGACAGCCTGGTAGACGTGCTGGTGGTGGAACGCGCACCACAGATGGTAGAAATTATGGAAGACGAAGATGTATGCGCTCGGGTCGTTTATTATGTCTTCCACCTGGATGGTTCGGTTGGTCGGGATCCCGTTGATGCCCTTCCAGCAGAGAGGGATGACGCCTTCTTCGGCGGTGACTATGACCTCAGTGGCCATTCTGGTTGGAGAGTGTGTGGATGTTGTGGTTTTGAGGGATGTGTGGTGATGGTAGGTGGGGTGGTGAGGATGGTGAGGTGAGAGAGGTATGGAGGAAGTCAAGTCTCGTGTTGGGGGGCATGGGCTTTATAGCCTCCAACATGGCAGTTCGCTGAGTCGTCGTGTTACGCTGGACCTGCCAGGACGAGGTCGCCCTGCCGGGGGTGACCTCGTCCTGGTGTCTGGTGATAGGGTGGGTGAGGAAAGACAAGACGATGCGAAACGATGCGAGACGATGCGATGGGAGAGGAAGTGAAGAGCAGAAGAAGCGGGTCTTCTCAGCTTAAGTGTTAATGACCAGGACGCACGTGATTGCCTGGTTTGCATGAGATGGTGAATGCAGTCCTGGTCTTGCACGGATTTTCTTTTCTTTTATTGATTTTGATAGCTAAGGCAGAACCCATAGCAAAAACCGAATACAATGCTGGCTCATATGTGCATGTTAATTGCTTCAAAGTCAGAGAATGCATTTCCCAGCACTATCAAAAGAATACACTATACCATATCATAAGCCACATTTATCAAAATAGCTAGCAACAGCAGCATAAGCAGCATAAAGTGCTCAACTTCAACAAAGGAACAAACATACTACCAAGATATCAATCCCCATCCCATCCCATCCCATCCCACCATCAGCCCAAACCTATTAACAAACCACATATTATACCCCCCCCCCTAACTAAACTCACATCCAACCAACCCAACAAACATCCAGAGAAGAAAATAAATAAGATCCCATTTCATCTTGAAGAAAAACCTACGACTCAATAGCCTTGGCCCTCAGACCCAAAACCAACCCCCTCTCAACATCGAGCGCCAAAACAAAATACTCGACCCTTGACGACCCCACCTCAACCCGATAAACCTTGATATCAACCGCCGACTCATCCACACTGTCCCCGGAGCCCTGCGCCACCGCAGCCCTCACGGCCTTGAGAGCAGATGCGTACTGGTTCCTGGGGTCGAATGACGCGGGTGACAGGGTCTCGATTGCCGAAGATAGGTCTTTGTTTGGGGAGATCAGGCTGGAGAGGCGGGCTATTCGATGAATGAACTGGTTAGTATTGTGACGATAACATTGGTTGTGATTCGTGAGAGAAGGGTAGAGAGGGTCGGGGCTTGGGGAATGGGGATCTAAGAAGGAGGGTGGGATTATATACAAGCATCAGGCCAAATCCCCCGGGATGCGCCGTCCCATTTCAGCGCGACGGGTTCGAACGGCTCGTCTGTTTCGGAGACGTAATAGGCGTCGATGGAAGTGAGGGGGGCGGGGACGCGGACGTCGGTGTGGATGGTCTGGGTGCCGGCGGCGGATGAGGAAGATTGTGCGGTGGAGTTGGATTTGCCGGCGTCGAGGTCGGCGTTGGCTTTGTCCAGGAAGGACATGTAGGCGTCGTCGGAGGACATGGTGCGGGTGAGAACGGTGGTTGTGGTTGTGGTGGGGTTGGGGTTTGGAGTGGTGGGGGTAGAGAGGAGGGAGGATGGGGGTTGAAGACGCGTTCGTGACGGACACAGGTGGTGGTAGTGGGTGTTGTGGGTTGGAGGATTCCGAAGAGGATGTTGGTGCAACTGGGTGGAGCGGAGGAAAAGAGAAAGCGTAGGCGAGGAGATGGACGGAGATGGAGATGAAGCCCAACGCGAGATGGGATCAATGACGCAATGCCCAGGGCGGCTGAGCGCCCACCGTCGTAGGGTCACGGAACTCATCTGATTATCTGATTGGTGCCGGTTCAGGTGCTTCTAGAAGGCAGTAGTGTGACGCAGAAGGAATCGAGGGACGACTCAAGTCGAGTTGAGTTGTCGCCCGCCTGGAACGGGCTAGAATAGATACGGGATGGATCCGATGCGGAAAATTTGCAGGCGGATTTCCCGCACACCAGCCGCCGCAAGAGAAAAATCTCACAGGCGGTTTGTGAAACATTCTACAGGGAGTACAAGACACGATGATGAAGTTCAATTAAGTCATATTGCCGTGTAGCTACGTAAAGACGGAAGACCTGCCGGCCTATCGGGACAGACGTGAAAGGTATTCTTCGCTTTTTATTGAAACGTTTAATAAATTGCACTACACCGAACCGACATTTCCATAAACACCTTAAGCAGAAGTAACAAGGTCCTTCTTGAGGGTACCCAGGAAGGCGCGCTTCTCCTCGGGGGTCTGGAAAGCACCGTGACCGAACTTGGAGGAGGTATCGATCCACTTGAGCTCGACCTTCTCGGTGGCCCTGCGGTTGGTCTGGGGGTACAGGGTCTTGCGCAGGGTCATGACACGCTTCTTAACACCGGGCACGGAACCCTTGAGGAGAAGGTAGTCGTTCTTGACCTCACCGTAGCGGACGAAACCACCCATGCTGTTGCATCGTTAGCCAAAAGTTTCAACCCAAATCAGTTGAGGGTAACTTACGGGGTGATCTGCTTCTTGGAGATGTCGAACTCGGTGGAGGCGTTACCCTCGTCGGAACCCTTGCCAACACGGAAAACCTTGTGGTTGCAAGAGGTACGGTGGTGGTAACCCATCTGACCAGCACGGGCGACAGTCCACTGGACGTGGTTAGGGTGCCAGGCACCGATACAGGCGACCTTACGAAGACCCTTGTGGGTCTTACGGGGGAGCTTCTTGGTGCCCCAACGGCTGGTGACACCCTGGAAACCGTGACCCTTGGTGACGGCGATGACATCGATCATCTCGTCCTTCTCGAAGATGCTGTCGATCTCGATGGGCTTCTCGAACAGGTTGCGGGCGAAGTCAACCTTGTCGGCAACGGAGCCACCGTTGACCTGGATCTCCATCAAGTGGGCCTTCTTCTGCTTGATAGGGGTCTTGCGGATCTGGGTGTGGGCGAGGACACGGACAACAGTGCAGTACTTCTTGACGCGCTCGAGCTCGCGGGTGATAGAGGCACCGCTCTCCTCGGCGTGCTTCTTGGCGTACTTGGTGAAAGCCTTCTTCTTGGACTTGTACCAGTTCTTGTAGAAACGACGCTTGACTTCGTCGCTCAGGTGCTCAGCCCAGACGGTGGTGAGAGAGCGGAGACCACGGGGAGTCTCAATGTAACCGACAACACCAACAGCGACAAGCTAGAAGACGAGACACACTCCTGTCAGCCATGGTACTGGATAGGAGGCGGGTCGCTAAAAGGAGAAAAAAAAAATTTCGGATCACATACGGGAGGGGTCTCGATGACGGTGGCAGCCTCAACGACCTCCTTCTTGTGCATCTTGGCACCGGGTCTGTCAAGGTCACGGACAACAGTGGTCATACCGGCCTTGTAGCCCATGGAGGCAGTCAGGTGGACGGGCTTCTTGGCGTCATCCTTGGGGAAGCTGTCGCACAATCAGTATTTGGCCATCCAAGGCGCCAAAATTTTCATGTATCCAAAAAAGACTGACCTCTTGACCTTTCCGCGGTGACGGGCGGCGCGCTTGCGCGGCAGGTAGGCAAGAGAGCCTGTGGCAATCCAAGTCAGTTAACTTGTCCCTATATACAGAAAGACCTCCATCTGCAAAATCGTTCAAGAGGTGGATAGCGAGAGGTTGACGAACCGTGCCGAGGGGCTTCGTACTTCCGGTGACTCCTGCAAAATAATTCAGATCAGCGATTCAGTTCCCTTGACGAGGCAATTGCCATAATAGCAGCAGGTCGACTTACATCTTGACCCTGTTGTCGTTAGTCGTCGAGGTGGTGAGTGACAGTGTCTATCTCTGAGTTTGCCGGAAGTCATATTTTGCACGCTTAACGAGTGTGGGCTGATCTAAGCGAAGTCTTGGCGTGCATTTCCCGTTGCGGTTAAGCGACTCCGGAGGCGATCCACCATGGCCTGCAGCGGCCTGAGGCAGAGTGGCAAGATGGAGCCACGGTCACGGGATCTTACGTCGCGTGATCAGGGCTTGGTTCTCGGTCGGCGAAGGGCAACAATTGCCAATCAGGATTGACACCCCCTGTTGCCCTATCGGCCCCTATTATTAATTGGCAGTCCTAACTACCAGCCCAATCCGGGTTGGTATTCTCGTCCCTGATCTACATACCTATGACGGAGTGCTACTCCAAGTCGCATGGGCTATATTGTAGAATTGTATGGTTGTGTTCGACCTGGATTGCCAGCGTCAAACCCCGATGTAGCAGCCCCAGAGCCCAGGGCCTAGTGCCCTTCCCCACGAGTGAAACGCACGGTAACGCTTGGCATCGGTAGCGTCGAAGCCTAGGTACTGTGTACTCCGTACTGTGTAACAATTTACAATAATGGACATCTACAGCGTGCTCTTAACGTATGTACTACATGATCTCATGACTAAACTAGCACATTGATGGCGCAACTTTTCCAACATGCAGGGAGATATCGAGAGCAGAGATAGTTTAGGCTCCAAAAACGAGCCGGATTTCTGGTCGGCACAAGAGCCAACACAGCGCCCTGAAGGGGATACATGCATGCGGTCAAAAGAATGGAACACGAAAATACGTTGGCCATGACATCCACACCATACAGTGCCAATCCTACAGTACAAACAAAGCTCGGGTGGTAAAACAGCGCAAGAACGGAACTGCCACCGAAAAAGCGGACAAAAAGTATATAGACGAAACCAAGGAAAGGGGGCGTGGAAGTAAAACGAGGGCAGAGATTTCTCGTGAAGAAAGTTTCATTCGAACTGTTCTTTGTGTGGGCCACGGTAGACCTATCGATCCATCCCAGATAATACATCAAGTGGTGCCGCATCACCACGTTCCTAAACCGTAGAATCGGGCTTGGACGGGGTGGTTTGGTTGCCCGCCCCCAAGACCCCGTTGCTACTGTTATTGGCACTGCCCGATCCACTTCCGTGCGGGCTACCCTTCACAACAGCGCTTGCTCGTTTCTCATCATCGCCATCATCATCATAGTTCTCGTCCACGTCCATCTTTCGTGCCGCAGGCTCATGCGCCGGGGCTTGTTCACTGCGAGCAGGCTCCTCCTTGACTTGGACCTGGACGGTGGGTTGCACCGACTGCGGGCCGTTGGAGGCAGCAGCGGAGCTTTCAGCCATTGGAGGAAGGCTTGGGCCACCAGACGGATGAGGAGGCATGTGTTGAATGGAAGGCAGGGTGGGGGGGTGGTGGGCCGCCTCAGAAGGGTGATAGGTCTCGTTAACCCGGCGCTGGTCCTCCCGCCGAGCCTCCGAAGAGCTGCGGCGCTGGATCTCCCCAGGAGAGGGCATGCGATTGGGAGGAGTGACGCGTCGAGACATCTGATCCTCGAGGCGTGCACGGCTCTCCTCACTAGCAAGCTTCTTGATAGGTCCAGAGTCTGCCTCCCACTCTCTACCGCGCTTCATGGCCGAACCAGGGCGCTCCTCACGCTCGCGAGCCGCAGCTTCAGCAGCACTGATAGCGGACGCCGGAGGAGGTGCACCGCCGGCGATACCACCGCTGCTAGCGCCCTGCAAAGGCACGCTGGGGCCATGGTGGTACTGCTGGTGCGGGTAGACAGAGCCGGGGGAGGAGGGACGCTCATCGCGCAGAGGCCGGACCTCCGTTGGTGGGGTGAACGGGCGATGGTAAGGCGGCAGAGCATTTGCAGAGGCAGGGCCATTAGGTGGGCCGGGAATAGCAGGAGGGGCGGGAGGGGCAGGTGGCAACGGCCCGCGGGTGGCTGGGGAGAAGGCAGTAGCACCAGCAGCAGCGCGGTCATGTGCGGGAGGCGGAGGGTTGGCAAGTTGGGGAAGTGCGTGGACGGGCGCGTAAACAGTCGGGCCAGTGAGGGTGGTCTTCGGAGAGTGAGCTGCGGTTGGCTGTGCGCGCACAACCTCGGGGAAACCTCTTCCAGGCTCTTGTCGCGGGCTCGGTTGCTGGATAGAGCCAGGGGCACGGAGCGTGTCGCGGGGATCAAATCCATTGGCGGCTTGTGCCTGGACCTGGGACTGAAGTTCATTCAGGCCACGGTTCCAGTCAGCTATCTGTCTTGGGGGGGCCGGAGCCTGCGGGGGTGGACCACCGGTTGGCGCTGGTGCACCCCATTGGGGCGCCGGAGGCGCTCCTACGCCAGGAGCCTGATAAGCCTGGGGGTGGACGTCTTGAGGCTGAGGAGCGGGACCGTTGCTCTGACTGGAACCTGACAACTGGCTCTGGAGAAGCTGCAGACGCGCCTTGATATGGACATTTGTCGGGTCAAGGTCGGCAGCCCGACCGTACGCATCAAGCGCGTCCGCGATTTGGTTGTTGCAAGACTCATACTGTGACTGCGTTAGCACCCTCCATAGCTCATTCCGGCGGTCGAGTCCACTTACCAGAGTTCCCAGATCGTACCACACCTCCGAGATGTACGGGTTCAAACGGATCGCACGGGAGTAGGCGTCCAACGCGTCCCGGTACTGGTTGATTTGGTAGTAAAGCACCCCAATCGAGCACCAGAAGGTCGGGTTGCGGCCGTCGCGGTACACAGCTTGCTGATAAGCCTCGTACGCCTTGGGGTACTTGGCTTGCGACATGTAGCAGCGACCGAGAAGATACCAACTTTGGGCATCGCCATTGTCTGAATTTCGTCAGTACCACGTTGCGATCAGATCGAAAGAAACCCAGAACGTACCTGCGCCGACGGATTTTTCGAGGTATTCGATGGCCTTCTCCTGGCTAGCGTAGTTGTTGCTTTGTTGGTGGTAAAGCCATCCAAGCTGTTGCAACACCTTCGCATGGTTGGGATCGCGGTCAAGAACCCTCCGATAAGCTTTTTGCGCCCCCTCGAACTGGAAACTTGTTAGAACCTAAACCCAATGCGCATTGCCTTCTGCGGATTACTCACATCCTTTTGCTGTTCGTGGACATGACCGATCTGGAACCAAATATCCTCTTCTGTCAGAGGGCGGGGAGGGTCGGTAACAATATATTTGAAACACTGTAAGAATCAGCAACCGCTAGAAGCCCAATCGCGACAATGCAAAACATACCTCCAAGCTTTGGTTGAACTTAGTCTGCTGCTTGTATATGATTCCCAGCCTGAAGTAGATTTCATTGGCCTTCTCGAAGTCGGGGGCCATGCGCATCACCTGAGAGAAGGCTTCTTCGGCGTGGTCGAGCGAGCCGTAACGATCATAAAGTATACCGATGCCGTACCAGAGCTTGGGTTCCTACAAAGAACATCATGGGTTAGATTTCGCCTGGACTATAAATAGTGACTTGGTTCCACTAACCTTAGGATCGCGCAAGTGGTAAAGCGCCTGCTGGTAAGAGGTGTATGCTTCCTGCAGATTATCCATCATCAGATGACAATGGCCTAGCGCAAAAGATTAGCTCATCTTCCCGGATACTATCGGAGCTGGTTCAAGTACCTAAGCTGCCCCAGGTCTCTCCACTTGCCGGGTCAAGTTTCAAGATATTCTGGAGATACTCAATCGCCTTCGGATACTGTTCTTTTGTCCGCAAGATACAGGAGATCGCATTCATGGCGGGGATTGACCATTGGTTGTGCCGTAACGCTTGCTCATATGCATTCATGGCACCATCCAACTCGCCCATCAGTTCGGTAAGACTCCCTGTAATACATTCATTAGCCGCCATCCCCTCGTCGGAGAACCGACGCGCCCAAGTCGCGACGCGCAGGTGATCTTTCACATACCGATCTGAAGCCATACTTGCTCGTTAAGGGCGGCGATCTTCTGAGCAGTGTTCAGAGGAGGGCCCTTCTGGCTTGGAGTCGCCAACGGCATGTGGCCATTGACCTGCGGGTGAGCGGCGAGATGACCATGGTGAGGAGTGACGCCTCCCGTGGGAGACGGCTGAGTATGGGCCATAGCGCCGACTCGTTCTTAGCCCAAAGCACAACGCAGCCAGGTGTCGAAGGTGCTGAAGCCTTTCACTCTGTTGTACTTTGCGACACAATGATGCAATGAATGCTCGTGTCACAGCGAGGTCGCACAGTCCCGATGAGGGTAGTCGCGCAAGCCAGTCACCCAATGATCTTTACACGAAGCGCGACTGCGTCCGGGTCAAGTTCCCCAGGAGGATTGCCGCGCACGCGAATCTAGAACAGACGCGGCGGAGTGAGGGAACGCAAGAGTTGGCAATTCCTGTCGCTCGGGGGAGGCAGGAACACAACTATGCGAAATTGCAAACAGCAAAGAACGTGGACACCCCAGCCAGGCGAAGACGCAGGGAGATGGTGGAGATGGGGATTGGGGAGGGGGGGGAGGACAAATGTGCGGAGTATAATTAGCAAATGCGGGAAGGGGCAAAGGATTGGAAAGGCACTAAGAAGAACTGGGATATGCTGAAGCACAGAAAATAAGCGGGATGCGGGTAACTGAAGGGACGGGGTGGGGGGATTGAAGGTAGAGGATAGAGTAACGGAGAGTTACGGGGGGGGGTGTAGGGGGAGCGGACGCAAAAGCAGACGGGGAAAGAGAGGAGAAAGAGAAGCGAGAGAGAGAAGAGAAGGGAGAGGGAGAGGAAGAGGAAGAGAGGGAAAGGTCGAGGGGCTGGTGGTAGAGGGCGAAATTTGCCAAGCGGCGCTAGTGGTTGTGCAGCTCTCGAGCAGTCAGCGAAAGCAAAGAAAAGCACGGAAAAGCTGAGATGGCGGTCGTCCGGCGCCAAGCCGAAGACAGGCAGCTCGACGTCCAGGAACGGCCTAGTGGGTGGGGACAATCTGGAGTCGTGTCCGCGGGTATTTACAGTTAATATTTTCCGGGCGCCGGAACTTCAGGTGAGCGCGCCGGGGGATGCAGTCGCCCAAGCAGCTACAACATCCTGCAGCGGGCGGCACAGGAAAAGAGGCAAGGTTGGTGGCCAGCCTAATTTAGGCCTGTCGACTCACTCATCTGGTACATGCATCCATCCCTCTCTGGTAGTGGTGGTGGTGGTGATGATATCTACTTGGTTGACTACTAGATCGGCTAGCCAGGGAAGAGGGGAATTTAAAAATAAATAAAATCTTCTATCAATATTAATAACCCCGTAGCATTCATCCGTATCGCGTGCTATCTTTATTTTTTCGTGTATTCACTTATTGTCCCCTAGAGTGTTGCTGTTTGAAGGAGGGGTGAAGTTGACAGTGTGATTGTACTGGAGAATCCATCTAGTCTGTGGGAAAGGGCCTAGCGCCCTGCTGGCAGGCGGGGCAAATAATGTGATAGTACTATAGAACTGAAGTCACACCCGTTGGGAGCAAATTAAAAGGCTGATGGACTATATGAGCAGTAGCCGCAATCTCACTAGGCGAGCGAACGGGGGGCATTTATCATGGGACGGGCGGGTTCAACGCGAGGTCTAGTGCGGATGGAGTCGAACCGCCCCGAAACAGGGCAGTGTTTGACGAGGATGCAAGCGCCGGAGCCAAGCAAGCACCTCCAGGGATGGGGGGGAAGGCGTGTGGTCGGTCCAGCACGAACCCCCGGCCGTGACTCGCCGAGAGGCGCATGTGGGCCATGGAACCCAGACCCACCGGACCTCTCTTCCCCGTGCCATGTATTTATTATTTAATAAATTAGTGCCATATGTACGGAGGGCCGCCAATAATTCCTGACTGCGGCAGTGGGGCCTCAACCGACATCCTGCGCTACCTGACTGGCGTATGGCCATAAGCTCAACTACCTAAGCTCCCGGCAGCCTAGTCGGGCATGAGGGCGTACTCCACACTCGGACCACCTGCAAAGGCCAAATGTTGCAGTCGCCCCCAAATCCAATGGGCAATGGCGCACCCAGAACCCGGCCGGTCTGCTTACTACTGCTGTCCCTCTCTATGCACTTGCGTACATGCTATGGAGTAGAGTACTACTTAGTAGGACCCTCTGCAGTCCACGGCCCCAACGCCTCCCCCCTCCTCCCCCCATGGTCCTATCTGGAGGCACCGAGTAACGATACTTCGGATCTGTCAACCAATACGCGGGCCAAAACCCCCTCTCCCTCCACCCCCCTTCATCGCTGCCCTTCCCTCCGCCAAATCAGGAGGGTGAGTAAGTGTCAAAACACCCGTCGAATCTGCATATTCCCGGTTATCCTCAGCGGTCTGCAAGCGCCTACCTCCCTGGGTTGTCCTCTTTTTTGTAGAGAGACAGCAGCAGAGAGAAAAACAAAAATGTCAAACAAAGGAGAATTGGCTTTCTTTGGAATCATTGTCGATCAGGTATTGTGCAAATGATTCCTAGACCGCCAACCGATAAGTAAGATTGGGGGATCGAGTTGGGTTTGCTTTTTTGCTTTTTTGCTTTTTCACTTTGCCCCTTCCGTCATGGATCGTTCAGAGGCTTTCAGCCGCGGGACTGCCGCAGCAGCGGGCTTAGATAAGCCGAGCTAAGGCCGCTAGGCCAGATCCCACGCATGGAAAATGCCACCCGTAGATACCAGCCACCACTGGCAGCCACAGATTCCTAACGGATTCCTTGGAGTGGGCCGTTCCCGATGCTGATCCCTCGGCTCTTCTGTTGGTGTCGATGATCTTGATACATCACCTGGGTGGGCCGATCCTTTTCCCTTCTTCCCACATTTTCTTTTTCTTTTTTCCCTTTTTCCCTTTTTTTTTCCCATCCCCTCCCCTCCCTGTCCTTTCCACCTTATGACTTAACCCCCTTCCACAATCTTACACTAACAGCCGCCGAGGTACTCTGTCCGGGGGACGAAATTTTTTTAATTCGGGGTAATAATAATAGTAATAATAATAACAACAATAATAATAATAATAATAATAATAATAATAATAATAATAATAATAATAAAAATAATAATAATAACAACAATAATAATATGCCACCTAACACACTCTCACCCTCTCAGCACTAGTTGTATCTATTAGCTAGGCGCTCCCCTTCCCCTTCCCTTTCCCCTCCACCCCTGGAAGTCTTGCGGTTTGCCATATCAGGGTCCCCAACGTTGGAACCTGGACGGCTAGCTAAATTTGGGTCAAGTCGGAAGGAACCTGCTCCAGTGACTGACTAGAACGGGTGGAGATGGATGGGCTTTCACTGATCAGGAAAAGACTCCTTTGGGTGGGCAACTTCGGGCCCCTATTCACCTGTCGGATCCGAGTGACCTCAGCCATTCTTAAACAGCTCCGATCGAATTCCTCTCGGGACTCCGAGGGAAATACCTACTTACAGGAAGTAGATAGACGGGCTAAGTAGACTAGAAGACAGCAGCCAATATGCGCAAAGAGTCAGAAATGATCATAACCCAATTATTATCTACCGAGATAAACACATACTTAACCCCCAATAGTACATACCCACCCGTGCTACACGACAACCCTGCAAGCATGGCATCCTTGCCGATTCAAGGTGACAGCTATCCCTCTCGGCCCCGTGTGGAGACTGGAGAGGGTGTGTGAGAGGGGGGAGGGAGTCCATCGTACTTACTGACATACCAGATCGAAAACCCGGCCGACCGGAGCTCGCATCCCACCCAACCGTTGTTGTCATCCACCCCATTCTTTCGCAGTTCGTACACGCGCATAATCGTCTAGACCTAGGTGGTACTAGATAGGTACGGTACGGGTAGGTAGGACTGATGAATGCCGCCGAGCAATGTACCTGAAACATGAGAACGGGAGCACAAACAATGCATTGACAATGTGGTCGGTATGTGGGTTACTCGGGGAGATTGATCATTGTTTGGTCTGTAGGGATTAGGGACGGGACGGGCAGGCCAGCCTGTAGGGAGAAGGGAAACTTTCTTTGTGTGTTCTATCCTTGGTTGACGTCGTACAGATTCCAGGTAGGTACGACCTGTGCGCTTATCAATTGCATCTATCCATGCCGGTCTACAGTAAAGGAGTCAACCATGCACTTTGCCTGCCCACTTACTACTACATATGTATAGGCCGCAGTACGGAGTAGGCAGGCTCTACTCCGTAGATATGGTTAGAGGCAAGCTAACAGATAGGTGGTCAGAGTTATTACTATCTATTATTGTTTTCTGTCATCTCTCATTTAGTTCCAATTTTTAGTCTTGCGCACAGGACACAGATCCTCCCCGGTCAGGATTTTACTATTGATCCCTCCCTGTTTACAGCTGCAGCTATCACCATGCACGGCGGCTACGGGGCACCCTGTCCGGACATATGCACTCTACATCCAGACAGGTAGAGAGATAGGATAAGTACATTATACGGGGAGAAACGATTTAACTTTCAGATTCCAACGCCTACCCAGTCAACTCTACCGACATGCATACATATTTTGTCCCACCGACACGACGCCTTTGACAGGCTGATCTGATGACTGCCCTGCACTGCCGATACGCCTGCCTGGCGCACAGGGCCAGCGCTAGGGAAGGGAGAGAAAAAAAAAAAAGGGAAGAAAAGGGAAGAAAAGAAAAGAATAAGAAAAAAAAAAAAGAATAAGAACAATAAAAGTAAAAACATGCAGTAACCGGCATACCACAAATCAGACACGCGCCCCCGCTCCTCCCAAAAAAAGAAAAACAAACAAATCATCTGGAAGGGAACGGACAGCAGAACTGCTGCTGTCATTTTCTTCCTTCCCCATTTTATCGGACGTTACACAACATCATGCGATCCACTCTTTAGTTCGTTCCTCTTCCGTTGCTGGTGGCTGCTGCTGCCGCCGACGCCGCCGCCGCCCTTCACATTACAATCATCGACTCTGTATCTACTTATAATCTTGGAAGTACCGGTAGGTAGGTCGGTATTTAGGGGTGTCTCCCACTTGATGGGTGGCAGTCGACAGGTCGCCATCCATCTGTCATCTTGGTGTGTTCCAGGAGGATAAAAGGCACCGACGTACCTAGTACTCCATGTACCTACCTACCTACCTACTAACTACACTGAAGAAGAGCAGCTTACTCACCCCATCGAGTCTGTAGCATTCATCATTCGAGATCCGAGACCCGAATCACCTCATTATTGAGGCACTGTATTCATGCCTCAGGCAATGAGGCAGTGAGGCAGTGAGGCAGTGAGGCAGTGAGGCACCACACCGGTTCCGGCCTAGCCCGCTACCCGAAAATGTCATTCGGCATGGGCCGGCTACGGCCTTGCGTTCGACCTTACTTGGATACTTGCCGCGTTGTACCTTACCCCTAGGCCAGCCAGGCCATCCGCCCACCAAACGCTCCACTCCACGCAATCGACCATAATCATCCTTACTAAGTGACTACTCTGCTTCTAGTTGGTTAACAGTAAGTAGATAGATAGACCAGCCTGCGGGTAAACTCAGTCAGCATGCTGACTACAGAGTCAATGACCTTACCCGTCCCCTTTCATCTTCACCTCCCCTTTATCTATATAGCAAATAGGGCCGGTCATCCTTCGCGTTCTTCACTTTCAGTCCCGGATCCACACCACGAACTTCACTTTTGAAAAAAAAAGATAAAAAAAAAAAAAGATGAGGGGGCAGAGGGGGGCACAAAAAGCAAAAAGAAAAACAAAAAAAAAGGGACGGAAAGAAAGTCTCTTTCGCCCGTTCATGACTCGGCCTGAATCCGCTTTTTCGCGGAACGCTAGATATTACTATACGCTCTGGTGGGCTGGCCTGGGCTGGCCTGGGCACTTAAGGGCGCGCACTGCGTAGATAGACATAGAAAAGAATAGCCGCGCACAATGATCAGTTATCAGTGATCACAGATTGAGGTTTTGGGGGCCGGGATTCCCGAGATTCGCCGTTCGGGGAAGCTATCCCTGAATAAGGTAGGACCGGGGATGAGGGGGGGGGGGGACAAAACTAGGTACTAGTGCTAGTCTCAGAATGATGTTGGTGATCATGATCTCGAATGATCAGGGATGAGATGATCTAGTCTACAGCACCTAGTCCGTACATCTCTATTATTGCCGGTGTTTCTATTTATCGATCGCTGCATCGTGGGGAGGGAGAGGGGGGAGATCTGTAAGGGACGGAAGGACGGGGCTGGGGGGGGGTGGATGTCGGGTGAAGTACTGTGAAAACGATCGGCTTTGCTTGAAGACAGCCTGACCCTGTCGACATGTAAGTACGATGTGCGTAAGTGGGACTGGTTTGACTGGGATCATGGGGATCCAATTTTTCGACGTCACTGGGGCAGCCAAGAGAAAGAGGGGATCAATTAGGCTTGTCGGAGGTTTTGCGGGACGATATATATCTACAATAAGTAGACGGCTGATAATTGATTGACTTTCAGGGATGAGATTATTTGTTCTTCAAGTAGATTCGAGAACACCTTGCCATAGATATGTGACTTGGCAATTTGCATGGTAACTAGTAGAGTACTTCGCGACACGTCTATATATCTCATAGCCGTAGCTGTGCCTGCGGTAAATTTAAAACCCCTTCACTTGTAGTGGCCTTGTGTCTGAGAAATTAAGTCGCTTGATGACCAACGGAAAGCGAGGTAATTACTAATTATTTATTTCAGTCAAGAAGAAGTAAGATTTGACGACGCCCCCCGATCAAATCTAACCAAGTCAATTACTTAGCAGAATAACACTCTAGAAGAAGCCCACCCACGAACCTATCGCAAGCTGACAATCTATTACGGATAACAAGTAGGAAGTCCAGCTGACTGGCCCAGTGAAACAGTGGCCCTGATGTCCCCCCTGTTTCAGCAGAGATCCCGACGATGACTTAACCTGCAGATGAGATAAAAAGCAAAGGGAGTCTGCCCAGCGGCTAGCTACTCCAACATATAGTTCCATAAAATGTGGATGTGTTACGTGCAGATCAACTAGTATATGCTGTGACACCATCTCATGAGACGCAGGGGGTACTTGGAATTGACGTGTTATCCAGGGTCTGGTTTGGTACCTCATCAACTCCTTGCAGGTTGGTCACTCGAGGATATTCTGTGATTGGGATGCTTTTTGCTTCATTGGTATCAAAAAGATCAAGGGAGGTCCTGCGATATTAGCTTGATTCAGGATACTTCATATGTACGGTCGTGGGGTACTCCGTATACAGCTACGATCCCAGCTGTCTGCAGAAACCTTTCGAAGCTCTTTTCTGGATATGAGTCATCGCCGAGGTACCCTCGTGAGAACAAGTCAGCGACTGATTTCGGATAGCAACCATTTGGTCCATGTGGCGACTGTTTTGTGTATCTGGGTTGAATAGACTGGTATAAATGGATAGATCGTGTTCTCCTGGTCAGTAAGACTTTGAAGATGAACTGGAGTCACTTTCGAGTAGCAACAACGGAAGACAATTGGTATTGAAGAGAGATGAATATCTGCCTTATATATCGCACCAAGTCTTCGGTGCAAAGCGCCTCAACAGGAGTTCCAGCAAGGTCAGCTGATCCCAGGGCACAGAAATATCGGAGTTTTGGGAGTATATATGCTCCGAATAGCGGTTCCTGTTTGATGCGAGTCAACGACGACACCAAGGAAGACAAGGAACATAACCACGAGAGAGGTATTAACCATGATGCTTGACTGTGGGGTCGTATCTACCAGCCGTCGAAGCAACCTTAAGTGCCACCATTGATAGTCGGGGTGCGTTTTTCACACCGCTGTGCATCCTGCTACCAATGCCAACTATCCACGACAGTAAGGCGTCCTACCACCTAGGACCTGGGCGTGTAGGACAGGACGACTGTGACTGTTCGTTTGTACACCAGAAGAAGATTCACATGGTTGAAGCCACCGGAGCTGTTGAGCGCTTCCGAGACACCGGGGGAGGTATAGATATGTATATAGTACCACCTTGTCCTTTATGGGCTGGCCGCGTAGTTTCACAGGGGATTTCCAGTATCATCTTGTGAAACCCGCATGGACGCCATGCATACCAGGCGGGACTGGCCTTTGTCCCTGGCCAAGAGTTGCAGGCGCAGGAAAGTTTCCAGACCCGATGTCTGGGCGTGACAGCCAAGAACCCTCTGGATCTGGCGGGAGATGATGGGCCAACGGGTGAAACGGTCCAAGAGATGGCATGCTCGGATATTCTGAGACCGGCCACACCAGGCTACTGGTCATATGTATCGATGCAGACGCACCATTGGTATTAAGTGGTCCTAGGTAACCAGCCCCGAAAGGATGAGCCACTTACTAGATAGGGATGGATAGTAGTATATCGTAGTCGCAGCCATAGTGAACCTACCAGTCGATGTTGTGGCATGCCGAGAACGCAAAACGAGGTGGTTGTTTGGTGATCAACAATGGATTACCCATTATTTGATAAAGAGCACGGCAGAGCGAGGAAACAAGAGTTGGGGACCGCCACTGAACACGGGGTTGCCCAATTTATTGATGGATTGACTGGCTGGATAGTCCAACCCAACCGGCTATACGGCTCGATGGATGATGCAGATACCGTGCGGGCGGGGCTGGCTGGGCTGGGCTGGGCTGGGCGCCACTGGTGGGTTGCCAGGTTACTGCCTGGAAGTAAGATCCCCGACCTTTAGGGTTCAGGCAGCGGATCCCACCTCGCTCAGGACTCCAGGAGGGGCTTGAACCTTCCAAGTTCCACTTCTCTCTGCCATCAATCATCAATTATCTTCCTTCTCCCCCCCCCACCCCTCTTTATTCCTCCTCATATTCTTCCCCGGGTTTTTAGTGTTGCCATGGGATGAAGGATCGCGAGGGCGGGATGTCGTGCAACAGAAGGGGGAAACGGATGGTGTCAGCGCTATGCTGGAAGTGAACTGGCCGTAATACCGCCAAGCCGACGAGCCAACCTCCGAATGCGGATCACGGACGCGGTCCTGGCCCGGCCAGCCAATCATGCCTCGGGTGTCGTTCACCATCATCCCCGCAGGGACTTGGCAGCTTGGCGGGCCGTACGGATACGGTAACATCCCTCCTGCAGGGAATTACTCTCTTCCTCTCCATCCCACCGTGAACGACGTGAAGGACTGACTGACGACCTGAGGAGAGAGAGAGATCACTATGTTTCCTCCTCGTGGCCATGACTCTCTTCAGAGTCCACTCCCACTGTTCACCGTCGACCCTTAGGTATTGTCCACAGCGGGTGGCCCCTACCCTACCCCCCATTTGTTTGCTTGCTTCCTCTTCCTCCCCCCGCGCGCGCCAGCTAATTGCCAGCTGCTGCCTGCCCACCATCCCTCTCCTCCCCTTCCTCCGCTCGCCTGTTCACGGAGGAACCACGGCATCATCCACCCTCTTGGCCACCCACACGCCCGCACACGCCTCAATCTTTTTCCCTGGACCTCACACGCCATGGTGTTGGACGTAACACTCTCTTGACGTTGCCCATGCCAAGGGCTCGGCAGCTGGGCGTCTTGGCGGCGAAAAAGTAGCAGAACCAGACATCCTCCCCCTTCCGCTGCTGCTTCTACTGCACTCGCCCTGGGACAAGACCGCCTGGTCTCTCTCTCTCCCTCTCCCTCTCTCTTGGTCTTTCTTGGTCTTTGTGTGCCGTTTCTTGACGGTTCCGCTCGTTGTCTTGGGAGAAAAACCCAGAGTCCGTCCATGGCATGCTTATAAGTGCAGTCTCGCCTGCTTCGCCTTCCCCCCCCCCCTTCCGCTCCTGTCCTCCATTCCTCCCCTCCCTCCCCTCCTGGCCTCCTCCCCTTGCCCGGCGCCCTCTTCTCCGCTTGGCCGTCCCTCTCGATCTGCCCGCCTGGTCCCTCGAGTCCGTGATGCCCCTTGCGCACGAAGCCATGCGGTGAGCTCATCCCTGCTGCTCTCTCGGTGTGTGCGTCCGTACCACATTGTGTTGCTGCTGCGGCATTTCTGAAGGGGGGGTTGACTTCCTGTCGCGCCCTTGTTTGCTCCACCGACTCTCTCCCTCTGTGTCTCCGTCCTGCCTGCCTCTTGCCCCCCTCCCCTTCTTCTACGCCGCCCGCCATGAAGCTGCCGGAAATGTCCCATTCTGCGGCCTACCACCAGGATGAGAGCCACCTCGTGACGGCATATTTTCCGGACTCATCGCCCGCTGCTCCTCCTGCAGCCCATCTCCCCCCGCAGTCTCAGTCCCTGTCCTCGTCGCACCCTATTCACCACGGGGCTGGGGCCGCCTCCCCGTCAGAACCGGACGGCGTCGAGGACCTGCCCAGCGCTTCGTCCTCGGATCCTCACCTCCAACAGCCTCACCGTCATTCTCGACAGCGACACAGTCTCTCGAACCAGCCCCAGGCGTCCGTGGAGCGCACATACCCCGAGTCTGACCCGGTATCCGCCCTGCCGGAAACGCTGGTGTCCTCGCCTTATCTCGAGAACGGCTCCATATTGACGCGGGCCTCAATAACGAGCGAAGCCGTGCGCAAGGAAGGGCGCGTTCGTGGGAGCTGGACCGATCATTCTTCATACATGTCGGGCGATAACCACCCCAATGGCGCATCTCGCGCACACAAGCGAGCGATCCAAGACGAGGTCCCCTCGGAGGAAGAGGAGCTGGATGCCCTCGTGATGCTGGTAAGCTCTCTTATCTCCCATACCAATGCCTCCAAAGCATTGTCCAGTGGCTAACCGCTTGGAACCCTAGTTTCGACTCACCGTTCCCGTCCCAATCTTCTCCTTCTGCGCATCGCTATACACCATCTTTGGCCTCATGTTCGTCATCCTCGTCTCTCCTCTGCGGATCTGTCCCTGCATACCATACTTCCGAAACACGTCCTTCCGTGCGCAGTTGTGCGGTCTCCTGGTGCCCCAGTTGCACCTTCACGAACGACTGGTCTGCTTGCGACGGCCCTCGGCTCGGTCGTCGTCCACCCAGCCAATCTATGATCCGGACGCATCATTCATCTCCGACTCGGACGAATCATACTCTATCGGCGGGTTGATGACGGTACTCCTGCTGTCGCCCTTCCTATCCCTGGCCGTGTTGCTCTTTGCGTGGACGGCAGCGTTCTTCTGGGTCTTTGCCATGGCTCTCGGGAACCCGGATGGCACCGAGCGCAAGGATGATGGCCGGACAGCCGTGCTCGGAGTCTGCAAATGGTGGCAGATATGGCTAAGAAAGGCCCGGAGACCTCTCGGTTAGCTGAACCGTGGACGGCCCGGGGTTAGTTCCCGCGTCGGCCCTCCTCCGTTTGGCTTTATCAGGTCATCTCGTTGTTTGATGCCGCCATGATACCAACGTTTGGGATATGTGGAACGATCTTCTGAGGGGCGTCACCTAGGGTTTCATTGTTGTTTTTTTTTTTCGCTTCACTTTTCCGAGCCTTGGGGATTTCCACAGTCGTACATACCATGTGATTTGGGGAAGTTCTCTCTCCGGAGTCGAAGTCGGACTATCCGCCGTCGGTGGGGTGTTTGCCGTCCGTCTCACGTGTCTCACGTGTAGAAGAGAGAGAAATCACCACCAACCGTGCGGTGGGAATCCACAGACTCGGGAAGCGAGGGAAAACCAGGCAACTGGCATTATGGGAGTTGGATTAATCGGTTTACTAGCGAGGGAGCCCGCTCGTCTTTATTTTTCATCTTTTTCAACTTTATTTTTTTTTCCTACCATGTACTCATATGATACTGAGTAAGAATTGATACCCACATTTTGTCGTTCTCCGTTTCTGTTTCTCCGTTCTCCACACTGTAGTAGTTTGCTGTATCAATTGCTCCTCTCCATGGACATCGTCGTCTGACACCGCCTCCTACAGATTAGAACTGGTCATCTTCACGACAAACCAGTACCCAAGTAAATAAATAATAACTACCTTACTACCTACCTACCTACTCCGGGCCTCGTAAAGACCTAGATAGTCCATCTCAATACCACTCAGTCTTCAAACCTCTCCTTTGATCAATCAATCAATCAATCAATCAACCAACCAACCAACCAACTCATGATATCACTGCATGCACATACTACCTCCCCAAGCTACTTAATTGCCGGTACCCAGAGTCCAGAACAACAGTTCTGGTCCCCGAACCTTGCAAGTCCCGAGTCTTCTCTCCGTCGTCATCGTCATTCAAACTCGTCCTTTCGAACTGCCAGATAGTTAATGCGTGTGACTACTCCACCAGTCCACCTTATCCATCCATCAAGCGTGGGCAGGTAGTAGTTAAAGGTGCTAACTCACTTACCGCACTAAGTTATCCAGGTAGGCAGGTGGATATGACACGCCAGATCCAGTAGCGAGAGAGAGCGAGAGACTAATCACAAAATGATACGGATGACCTGCAGCCAGATGATATCTACTAGCCACATAGGTACTAGGTACTAGGTACTAGGTAAGTACATATATAAATCTGGTCAGCAACTTCGTACCTACGGTAAGTAGTATCTAACCACTGGCAGATGCACAGCAGATAACTAGCCCGAAAGTATCCCCCGCCTCCCCCCCCAAGAATAGACAATGCGCATGTTACCTGATTGTGGAGCTTTTGCTACGTAGGTACCTGCGCTTACGTGCTCCTACCTACGTATATATGTAGGTAATATCGCGGTAAAGGAATACTAGGTACGTACTTACCTTAGGTAGTAAAGAGGTGCATGCTGGTAGTACCCGATTGCCGGGCGTTGGGCACATACATATAGTAGGTAAAGTAGGTCGTGTACTCCGTACGGATTTTACATTTACACTAAGTTGCTGCACTTAGAGTGCTTAGTCCTTACCTAGTAAGTAACTACCTAGATAGGTAGGTAGGCAGGCAGGTAGCCTAGTAAGGCGACAGGCCAATCCCGAAATTATCCACTGGTTCGTTATTCCCATTGGACTGCCCCAAAATAGGAGGATCCTGCCTGCCTAGGTAGCACTAACTAGTTACTAGTACTTACTTAATCTGCCTACAACACCGTCCGTCCGTCCGTCCTACATCCCCAGAAAATTACGAATGAATGGACGAATAAGCCGAGGAGATGGAAAATGCAACCGATATGTAATAAAGGGTATAAAGATACCTAAGCAAATAAGTAACAAAAAAGTAGCAACAGAGCTTTGCAGCTACTACCTTTCAAAACAATCCACAAGGGCAAAAAAAAAAAGAAGACATAACAAACTAAACACATCCAGGATGTGATGGCCAAGTCAGTCATGAGTCCAGTGTCAGATACAACATATGTTATCAACAGCAACAGCATTAGAATCAATCAATCAATCAGCATTCGTTCATACTCCATACGTTAAGATAATGAAAAAGATATAAAACATCGGGTAAATTCTCTTCCTATTCCGGCCGTCAAATGAGATTTTTCGCTTTTAGGGTTGGGGTGATGAGTGGGTGGATGGTTCGCTAATAGGGTTGGTTGGATGTGAGTTATTTGTTGCTGTTGCGAGAGGTGGGAGTGGCTGGAACATTTATCTCCTGCTTCCAAAACCACGGCCACTGCCACTGCCTCCGCGGCCACCTCCGCGGCCACCTCCTCCGCGGCCACCACCTCCTCGGCCACCGAACCCTCGACCGCCACCACCGCCACCGAATCCACGACTGCCTCCCCGGCCGCCGCCTCCCCGACCTCCACGAGCCGGGAAGTCCCTGCGTTTCTGGATACCGCCGCTAGGACCGTGGGTCTTGGGCATGCCGAGACCGCGACGACCAGGGGCTCCCGGCCGGGAGTTCCTGGACGGGCCGGAGGCGTCATTGTCATCGTCCACGTCCATGTCATCGCTACCCTTCTTCTTCTGGGCCTGGGCCATGCGGAACTTGCCGCGTTGGCCGCGACGGACGGCGTCAGGACCGCTGACAGCCTGCACGTAGGCGTTGATGCCGCTCTCCCCGCCGTTCTGGTCTAGACCGGCGGACATATCCACATCCTCGGAGTCATCGCCCAGGATGAGACGGCCGTCGGAGTCGAACTTGGCGTTACGCTTCTTGCGGGATCCGGGCCCGGTGTTGAGGAATCGGACGCTGGGCTTGGTGGTGGAGATGTTGGCCAGGGCGTTGGGGCCGAGCAGATCCAGGGGATTGTCCTCGGGGGACAGCTCGCGGATGTACTGCTCGCTCTGGTTGGATTTACGGCCCTTGCGACCCTTGTGAGCGTGGGTGGTGCCCTCCTCGTCGACATCAATTTCACTGGCATCGTCGTCGGAGTCGAAGTCGGAGTCGTAGACGGCCTTGTCGAAGGCGTTGCTGTAGGTTCGGCCACCCTTGTCGTCGGGCTTGGCGCCTTCCTCGTCGGAGTCCTCCTCGTCACCCTCCTGCTCGCCCTCCTTTCTCTTCTTCTTGCGTCTCTCACGCATCTTCCGGAGGTTGGTCACCAACTTGCGGTCGTTTTCACCGACCAGCTCCTCCAAGGGAGCAGCACCGAAGCGCCGCATAAGACGGTCCAGGATACCCTTGACCTTGCTGCGGAGACGACCCTTGTGCTCCTTGCTCCAGACCATCAGGTTGGGCACCAGGGAGCTGAGGCGCGCCCGGAGGTCCTCGTCTGGTAGCACCACAACTGCGACCTTCACGAATCCCAGCACGGACCGGACAATCTCGCGGTTGTTGCTGGTGAGGAAAAGATCCACGGTCTGCACGAGATCAGCGCGCACGGCCGGCTGCAGTTGGGTCTGGAAGTCGAAAAACAGACGAGAAAGGGCCGTGACAGACGCGGCAACCATGTGCGGGGAGCTACCAGCCAGACCCGCAGACACCATGGTGAAGAACTCCTCAATCGTAGCGGGAGCGTCGGGGGCGTCGTTGGGCATGTGAGGCACAAGAGAGTTGCGGATCTTGGTGCCTGCAGGGTTCTGGTCGGAGTCAAAGGTCCTCTTCGCGAGATGAATGAGGAGGTCGAACGAGGCGGTTCTGGCCTTCTCGTTGCTTTCCTTGCAACCCAGGACAACCTCGGAAAGGACGGACGGGATGAAGTGCAGGTCGGAAGTCGGCAGGTTGGTGATGAGCTCGTAGATAGCAAGCATACGATCCCGACGAGCAGAGGCCGGGGTCTTGTCGGCTGTGCTAAGAATCAGGGCCTGGAGCTCCGAGCTCCGCTCGCGCAGAGCAGCGCTTCCCGTCTCAGTCTGGGCCAGACGGGGGATCAGCTTGTAGGCCTTCTTGATCAGCTGCTGGTCACCGGTCTGTCCGTTCAGGATAGCCGCGGCAAGGGCAAACAGATTGACGAAGCTCGAACGGGGAAGGTAGATCGACATAGCGATAACCAGATCAATCAGGGTGTGGGAGGTAGGCGGCATCTTGTCACCAGAGCCGGTCTGGTGGTTGCCTTGCTTGGCTGCTTCGTGCTCTGAAACCACCGAAGACTCGAGCATAGAGGTGACACGCTCGAACGTTTCATTGAGTTCCTGCAGAGCATTAGCAAGACAGTACGAATCATATCGGGAGCGATGGACTGACCTTCTCCGGGGTGATGCTCAAGTAGGCATTGATACATTGAAGGATGTAACCTCTGTAGTGGGGAAGCGTCTGGCTGTACACGTTGAACAGGACCGCCAACAGGTTGCTGGCAAAGCCAGCAAGGTGGGCAATGTTCCTCTTCGCAGCCTCCTTGGTGGTTCTGCGCTGAAGGATCAGGTCATCGCCCTCGGACTCAAGGGACAGGATAGCCTGGTTGGACTCCACCAGGTTCTGCAGGGATCTGCAGACGTCGACACGCAGGTCCGTCTGCTTGTAGAGAACATTGGAAAGCAGCTCCGCAAAGCCCTGGTCGAAGGACTCAACCAAGTCGAGAGGAAGCTCACAGTATCCAGGAAGGGTAGCCCACGTCTGCTGCACGAGGGTCTCGAAAATCTTCACCTCGACATTCTTGTCCCTGGAGCTGTAATCCACGATCTTCTGGTACAGGGCTTCGCTCAGAGGAACGAATTCGGCGCGGAAGTGGGACAGGTTGGTGTTGGTGACATTGTCACGGAGAACAGGCAGCAGCCAAACACGGCCAGGCTGGCCAGCCTTCTGGTCAATAATGTTCAAAGGCAGGATCTCCAGCACGGCAGCAGGGCCCATGGCCTCGATTGCGCTACCGAGAACGTTGTCCGCCTCCTTCTTTCCTTGGAAGGACTCGTTGCTACGGAGCTCTCCCACAGTCCTGACAATACCGTCCAGGAAGGGGCTAGAGCGCCACTTGAAGCTATCGAACATGGCCGCGCACACGTTGAACACTTCCGCCCACGCCGCTTGGTACTTGACGGAAAGCAGATCCATAGCAGCCTTGGCCAGCTTCTCGAGCGTCTTCTCGTCGTAAACGGAGGGCTCGATGATCACACTGGCCGGAATGCAGTTGGCCAGGAACGAAACCAAGCACTCTGACGCCGACACACGGATGTTTCTCGAAGGAGACGCCAGGTAGCCGGAAACCATGTTGAACAGAGCCGGCAACTTCTCGAAGGTATCCTCAGGGCTGGTCTGAGCGGACACGTCGTAACCGCGCGACAAGACGGCGATCCACGGCGGGAGCAGCTGCGAATCGTTCTGGGCGGGCTTCAGATCCGTAATAGCCTCCAAGAGACGGGGGAGCTTCGAAGACGAAAACTCGTTTGCCATGCTGGAAAAGATCACCTCAAACACCTCGAAAGCGCCCATCGTGATGAACTCGTTGGTCGACCGGGAGGCGTTCATCAACAGCTCGCACAGCGGCTCGATCTTCTTGCTTGGCCAACCCCCGGATGCGATCGCGATCGTCTTCACCAGTTGCAGGGAGTGGATAACCAGAGGGTCGTTGTTGTCCTTGTTTTGGGGGTCATTACGGCCACGCTTGGCCTTGGTAGCCGCGGTGATGCTGTCACTCAGAGTGCGCATGGCGGTCTCCGCACACATATCGGCGGCCGGGTGATCGAGAGAAGGGCTGGGCGGGGGCGTCTTGAGAACCTTGACCAGGGCGTCCTGGGCACGCTTGCGCACCTTAGGACGGTGATCCACGGACAGGCTCAACAGGCCAGCCATCGCACGCCGCGGGCCAATCTGGGTGTGTGGGAGGTTCCAAGCCGGAACATCTTGGGCGACCAGCAGCGACTCGAGACAGCCAATCGACGGCCGGAGGAGCGGGGCTTCGACTTCGGGCAGGGAGAGAGCAGGGGCGAGACTGGTGAGGATTTGGGAGAACTTGGAGCGTAGAATCGGAGCCGGGACATAACCGGTGGTGATATCGAGCAGGTAAACGACGGACGCCGCCAGGTCCTTGTTGACTATGCCTTGGGAGGCGGAGATGGACTGGGGCAGCAGAGCGAGCAGCGCGGCAAAATAGGCTGTAGAGGAGAAGTCGGCCTTCTGGTCGCGAAGAGTGTCTTCCACTGCAGAGAGCACCACGGCCGTCTGATGGGGGGGAGATATGGTTAGAAAAGATTGAAGGGCAGTTTGCAGTCTGCAGTGCTCCGCGGGACGGGGACGAGGATTGGAGGTGGACTTCGGGGACTCACATGGTGCTGATTCTGCAGCTTGGGAGACTTGATCTTCTCAAGCCTCTCCGCCAGGGTCGCCATGGTGAGACGATTGACCGACAGGCGATATGAGAAGGGAATCCAGGAAAACCAGGACCTGTGTTTGGAGGGGGGGAAGAGGGAGGAGGAGAGGAAAAGAGGTGGTGGATGCGGAGATTTTTTTTGTGGTCCGTCGACGGCTGGAATCTTTTGGGTGAAAAAAAGGTACGGCGAACTCTTGGCGGCCTCTATCGATAACCCGATAACTGAACCACTCTTTTCGAGGCTTCACCACAGTGCCATTACAACATCGACAATGAATTGACAGACCAGGTGGGCCAGGATAGGTCCCGTCCCATTCAGGACGTGGGTTGAATATGAATAAGGAAAAGAAAAATAGAAATAAAAAGACACAAGCATAATAAGACATGACAATCGTCAACCGTAGCCTTCTTCCTTCCATACCATACACACATCCTGGCCATGACCATAGGCCATACCTTCCATTCGTACTCCTGGACCACCCAGAACACTTCAACCGTATATTCTACCGGCTCTCTAGCATCGCCCCAAGCCGCAAAGACAGACAAGCTTCCGTATCTCGGGGAGAGCTACCTCTCCCTGCACATCTTCCAATCGCCGTATCGTGTCGGGCCAGGCAGAAACAATGCCTGGCTCTGGCGACAATCCCAGAGGGAAGCACCAATTCAACGGTCCAAAGGCCAGGTGAGACTTGAACCCACGTTGCCCATCTTCACACTCAACCAACTGTCTTGTGTCATCATCTCGTCCTTGGCAGACAGCAAGGCGACATGACGGTCGCAGATGGAAGAAGGAAAAGACAAAAAGACAAAAAAAATAAGGCACGGTTCAGCTCTAAAACAGAATCTCTCCGCTGTGTTCGGGCTCGAACCCAAGCGTCTGCAACTTGCCCTGGCGCTTCTTATCCCCTCTTTTCCGCGCACTCTCCTCCTTCTTCTTCAGCTCGAAGACTTCCTGGAACGAGGCTCGTTGGACGTGAGTCGGCTCATCATCTTCCTTGTCGAGATCCTAAAAGCAGGCAACAAAAAATATCCGCATTAGCACGAGCGCAAACAGCGAAAGAATCAAATGCCATACAATTTCACCCAAAAGCAACACATTCTCTCCTCGAACGATAAATATCCCCCGCGGGACATCGGCATAGAGGTTTCCGGCATAGATCCGTTCGATGGTATCCTGGAGGACGAGGTTCGCTGTATAGGGAAAAAAGAAAAGCAGATCGCATGGTTAGACCGTCCACGTTTCTGGTTTTTTTTTTTTTTTTTTTTTTCACCACCACACACTAGTATCTGTGAGATACTCCGCATTGCAAGAATCGCATACCGAACTGATCCCAACTTCTCAAAACTCCGATCAATTTCCGCCCGTCTCGCAGCACGAGAACCAGTTTCTCTGTGGAGATGCAGACAACAGTTAGCATGGATTCGCGACACGCATGCGCCTCTTCTCAGCGTCGATGAAGAAATGCAAGCAAGAAAATAACCTAAATAGCTAGTCACGCACTATCTGTCAAATCTAACAACTGGGCGGCCGTTGTGAACATTTGCGGCGGCAATTGCGGAGGACCTTGCGTCATGGGCCCGAGGGCGTTGTTGTTCTGCGGAGGGAAACCAGGCGGCGCATTGCCGTGGTGAGCCCCCGCGGGGTTTTCACTGATCGAGAGGCGTTCCATCGTGTCGTCGGGGGGGAGGGAGCGAGGGTGGAGTGGGAGTGGGAGTGGGAGATCGAGGGTGGAAGCGGAGGGGGCGAGCGGGCGGACGAGGGGAGTCGAGCGCCAATTGATGGGCGGTGGGCGGTGGGGTTGGGGTGGTCTGGGGTCTGCTCGGGTTCAAGGCGAAGGCTATGGCACTCTCATGCTGCGATGTCGAGGAGGAGGGAGGGTTGACGCCGTCAAGGAGGAGCTGGACATGCGGTGCGGTGCTTGCCTTGGTGCGAGTGGAGGGAGGGACCCTGGCTGTTTGTCCTGTTTGTCCGGGGTGGCCGCCGAGGCAGCGTCATCACCTGCTCGGTGGCAGTCATGAGGGGATCAATTGTCTATCACGGAGAGCATTGACCCGTGTCATGTTGGAGGTTGGATTAAAGTGCTGGCGCTGAATTATATAGATCTCAACCATGAATCATGTGTCGCACAAGCTACTGTAGACTATCAAACGGCACCGCGTTTGCATACCATAAACCCAAGTCCAGCCCATGATATCCTGACGAAACCTACTTCCTTGACTTTTTAAGTATCGCTGATAATACACATGAGGATAAAAGGGAATCCCCCCAAACAGACAAAGGATGAAACCCTCCCCCCGTCATATCAATCTGAATATCGATGAAGCGGATACCGCACTCACGCACCAGAAAACATTCAAGAAGATCAAGCGACGCTAACCCCTCGACGCTGGCCACGCATTCTTTCCTCCCGCCGCCGGCTATACGGAGCGCAATACGGCTCATCGGACGAACCAATATTGGCGCGCACTGGTTCCTGCGACTGATGATACGCGGGGCTCGACGGCGGGGGCGGGAGCTGCATGACCTTGAACTGGTCCACGCTGATGATCCTCAAGCCATACAGGTATTGCATCAGCTCAAAATCGGGTCGACTGCCGGCGAGATTTTCGCCTTGCTGGTAATGGACCACGTCTACGTGATCGAGCATGGCATCCCAGGCGCTGGTCTGGGAGGTGTCATTGAACCGTTCCCCGGGACAGAGGGGACAGCGCGCAGTCTTGGGCGGCTGGTGTGTGCGGAAGTGGCTCAGGACGTGGATTCGCCAGTCCTCGGGATTGTCGAAGGCGATGTGGCAGTCAAGGATATGGAAGAGGCAGAGGTAGGTGGTATGAGGGTCGCGACGGGCGTGGGCAGGGACGATGAGCGCCCCCATTCCATCGTCTTCCAGCACCTCATGACTCGCCAATCCGGAGGCCCATCTCGTGTCTACAGACATGCCGGATAAAGAAGAAGCCGATGTTGATGCGGTGTCATTCGATAAGGATGGAACAGCAGTGGAGGGCGGCATATTCACGATGACGCCTTTACTTCCGCTACACGAGCACCTCATGCTAGGTCAGTCGCGGATAGAGCGCCCGGACGCGGGGTGTCTGGTCTGGGGGAACGAAACGGGTTCCTGATGATGGATGAAGGAAACTGAGATGCGATGCGATCCTGTCCGAGAATATAGTCGAGGGATCCTGTTCCCACACGCTTAGTCTGTGTACAGCGAGGGACGACACAGAGCTGGCCATGGTTGCGGCCTTATTCCCATCTCTCTCCCTGCTGGGTGGAGGGGGGGGGCCACCGCTGCGAGGGAGAGTGGCAGGGAAGCGAACGAATTTCACTTATTCACACGGGGAAAGTCGCGTTACCTGTTTATACCGAGCCAGACATAATCACTCGCGCGGGGAGCCACCGGAGATGGTTGGGGGCATCACACAGAGAGCAATACGGGCAAGAAGAAGGGAGATTCAGCGAAGGCCATGGTCGGGGGTGAGGCTCCAGAGCACACAATGGCGGGGAATGGAGAGGGAAGGGAAGGGAAGGGAAGAAAGAGGGTTGGTTAGTCTCCCAGCAAGCAAGCTGGTAATAAGAACAATAATTGATGAATAATAAATAATACCTCCGTCGATTGTACCCTGACAGAGAGATGTACCCAAAGTCGAGGTATCCAGCGGATGCATCCATGTACTGAATGACTTGGTGTGTTTGCTTTTGCTGCCCTCCCTTTTCCCCTGTGCTCTCTCTCTCTCTGCTCTCCCCCTGTACTGCCACTCTCCCTCCCCAACAACCCCACGCCCGTAGCCCTCAACATATACTAGCACAACACTAACAGACACCCTCAATCCTGATCTTTGATGGCATCATCTCCCCCCCCCCCCAATCTCCCATCTGACATGACGCAATAACTTAATAAACATATCCACACCCACACCCACCCACTCTGCCATAGAGACAACCCTATCTAGCAGATACTTTACCCCCAAACCATCACATTCCCATCCCCATCCTCATCGCGCCACCCCCAAGTCCAGTCTACCAGCAAATCTGCACCTCAATCACAATCATACGACAGGTGGAAATAAAATAAACCTCCCAGCCACGACCGGAAAATTGCAACCTGGGGGCCAATCCCGACTCTCGGGGATATCTCCATACCTAGATATCTATCTAATCATCGACCTCCCCCACCTCCGTCTGATCGGAAGGGGATCATGCGCCGATACGGAAAGGTAGAGGGAGGAGGGGGGGGGGTTCGGTCGACATCATCTGAGGCGGATTCGAAGTCTACTTTCCATTTCCCGGTTCCGAATTACTATCTAAATCCTAGTAGGCACTATGGGCGGGCCTAGCCTATCTTGCCGTGTGAGGTGATCCTAGGAGGGAGGGGCTCCGACGGTCTCCCAGCGGTTGATCGCTTGTCGGGGGAGGCGGCCCGATAGGCCTTGATAGATACTAGAGGTACTTTGCGCCAAGGTGCAGGTACATACTACCTGGTCTCTACGTAGGCTATTTACGATGTACTGCGGAGTACAGTGGGCGGCGGGTTTTAAATGCCTACGGAAAAAGTATGTGCGGATTGCTCCAGTTAAGGCTGATTTGTATTTCGTGACTCCTCTTGTCCTGCTCGAGGTCTATAATCACATGGTAGAAGGGGAATTTTGTGGCACGGTCGTCGTATCTCGAGACGTGAACGTAATCAAGGGGGGGGGGGGGGGGGAGGACTGGCCTCCCCGCAGAAGAAGGATCACACAAAACAAATGCTGATGAGCAATTTCGCTTGGTATAGGTAGGAGAGAAGGAGATGTTCCAAGGGGGTCGAGCAGGAGGGAGGATTAGAAGGGACAAAAACAATTCACAGGATATCCCATCCATCTATCGGTAGTGACGCCTCGCAACGGAATGAAGAAAAAAAAAAAAAAAAGAAATCCAGAGATGATCAAAAGAAAAACCACCCAATCACCCGACACCAATGATGCCCATGAACCACTGTAAATGCACAAGTCTATTCGTTCGTAGCGCGCATGAAAAACTGATGATTTGCGAACCCAATTTTTACACAACCCAGAAATTTGGTTGGAATATGATCTAGAAGCGTTCGGCCAGATCACCGCCGGCAACCGAGCTGGCGGTGGATGTCGTGACCGAGGAGAATCCGCTGCCCGGATTTAGCATGTCCTGGACGGCGACTTTGGGCACCTGCGGCACCGGCAGTTTGCGTTGCGTCCCGTCCGGTTTCGACATAATGTCGGAGATGCTCGGTCCAACGTGCCCCTGGGTTGGACTATAGTAGTTGGGGCCCTCCGGCTGCGGCTCCATCGGAGCCAGGGCCGGAGTGTGGTGCAGCGACAAATGCCGGATCGAAGGCAGATGCAGGTCGTTGGAACCCAGCGGCCTCAGGCGCGGCGAGTGAGCGGGGGTCGCGAGGGGGGTGTGGTCGGGCGTGGGGGAGAGGGAGTCATGAGAGAAGGTGGGTGAAGAAGGAGCAGTCGAGTTCGGGGAGTTGGGCCTCGAGCGCTTGACGCGATGCGAGTAGCCGTCCTCCTCCTCATGGGAGTGGGAGCGGCTCATGTTGTGCGAAATCGCATAAGCGGACAGGGAAGGGAGGCGACCATTGCCAGTGTGGCGCGTACTGAACAGATGGTGACTGCGAGGACCGCCCGCATGGAAGCTGAAATGCTCGTCGCGTTCCACCTGCGACGCAGCTGTGGCGAGGAGGTTGATGTCCATACCAGAAGAGGCCCGCTCGCTATTCCGGGAATACGGTCCCAGATTCGATCGCATGTGGTTCGCGTAGCTGGAGAAGGAGTGCGGGGGCGAGATGTCGGGAGAGCCGACCTGCGAAACAGGCGCGGAGCGGGTCATCGGCTTGCTGGGAGGCGGCATCATCGCACTGGCAGTGTTGGCCATGGCATTGTCCTGACCCGCTGCCACCGCAGCCGCAGCCGCCAGATGTTGGGCCTTGTTGCTGCGTCTCGAGTTGGGGTTGTTGTGAATTCTCGAGTGGCGCGTCAGTTCATCCGAACGGCTGAAGCGCTTGGTACAGCCCGGGAACTGGCATGCATGCGGCTTTTCGCCTGTATGCGTGCGAATGTGTCTGGTCTGGTGCTCCAGACGGTGGAATGCGCGATCACAGAGAGGGCACTTGTATGGGCGGGGAAGGTCCTGGCGCACTTCTTCGGTTGTCGGGCGAGCGCCCTTCATGAGAGGAGGAAGCAGGCTGACAGATGAGGCCATGGTGGAAGTGGACTGTGTGCTGGACGGGGTAGAAGGTCCTTGGGAGCTATCCACCGGTGTCGAGGGGGTCGAATCAACGGGACTGCTCTGGGGGTTCAGCAGATTGGAGAAATCCACTGAAGAGGCCGGGGGCGGCATGTGAAACTTGTGCTAATCCCGGGGGAGGATCGAAAAGGTAGGACAGAGCCGGGTTAAAAGGACACGTTCGGAAGGGATGGATGAGGAGCCGAGGCCCTGCGATGTGCGTCGCGACCAGGGGTAGCTATATCGGCCAGTCGATCGCCGCTCGCTAGTACCCCAGGCCTGATCTTGGCAAGGGGAGATGATAGGAGAATACCGCAAGGGTAGGGAGGATCACAGGCCCTATGACGAACCAGGGGGCAAGGCGGCAGTAGAGGGTCGAATCAACCAAGGGCTGATAAGTACGGATTCCCTTTCAATTAAAGGGATATGGAATGTGGTAAATGATGGTGATGGTGGTGGTGCGGTGGTGGTGCGCGAGCCGGAATCGGAAATGGACCCCGGATGAGTGGGAGCAGGCCGAGTAGTGCGATGTTGAGCGAGAGACCTCGAAAAGGGGAGGGGAAGCAGAGAGAAAATCTGGAGAAGGGGATCTGGGGAGACGAAGATATAAGAAAGAGAGAGGAAATGAGGAATGGAGGGGAAGAAGAAGGAAACGGAGCTCGGGGAGGGGAGGGAAAAGAGGGTGAGTGTGTCGTCGTAGAGGGGGTGGGTTTATCGGAATCGGAGAGCAAGAAGGGGACGCGAAGAAAAAAATGATTTTTTTTTTATTTAAAAATCAAAAAAACCAAAAAGGAATTAAAAAAAAAAAAAGGGAAAAAAGTCTATGTACTTTGTGTGGGGATGAATATCGGGGGGGGCAAAAAAAGCAGGCTCTCGAGAAAAAAGGGAAAAAGAACGTGCTTGAACCAGATCGGCTGGCTTTGCTTGGAGATTCAACCGGTCGGTTTACCAGTCGGATGGGACGATTCTTGTCTTTTCTTTTTTTCTCCCTATTTTGAATGCAATGCCCTTCGCTTTCTCCCTGCCCGAGGCTGATTGATACACACCGTCGCGACCCTTCGTGCTTTCCCCTACCTATCTATCTATCTATACCAACAACCACTTTCTCTCTCCCCCCCCCAAATTCTACCCCGAAATCCTGGGAACTGACCGAGTGTCTCCATCTGTTGCCTATCTCGGGGCTTCTCCCGTCTGGTCTTCGGACCATGCACGGTGTGTGAGAAAAATTCCACTATGACTGACCGGGGAGAGAGGATGTCCAAAGCGGTAAGGTGGGCTGAAAAAAAAATAAAAAAAAAGAGGAATGTGGGGCAGACTAGAGTCAATAGGGATTACGGAGTAGAAACTGGAACTGCAGAAGTGGCTGTGTGGTCTGGAGAAGTGCGTGCCCCGTATTGTTGGCTGTCGGTAAGGTAAACTCGTAAGCCGGTAAGGACTGTAAGATATCACGAAATCACGAACACGAACAGCCCCCCATCCTCCCCCGTCTCAGAATGACTGACCGGCTATCGCGGATGAAGATTGTCCAGATCATCATCAATAGGCGACCGCGTAGATAGATACTACTAATACTACTAATACTACTAGGTACGGAGTACTACTGGATACTAGATAGGTTGTCCCTAGTCCGGTCTGGTTGTTGGTATGGAGTCCCAATTCATTGTTGGTGACCAAGCACGGTTGATTACGCGATTGTCTCGCCGGTCGGATAATGTGAGGCAGTCAAAGAAAGAAACTCAACTACCCATCCATGTGATAGCTAACGACAGTCCGACATCTATCATGTGTGTGTGCTATCACCACCTTCTTGGTTGGTTCAACTCTACAATACTGCAACACATGTCGATTAGGGTAGGAACCCCTACCTACACAGTAGGTATCTAGGGAGGGAAGTCCTAGGTAATCATGCCGTATCGACTCAACTCAAAGCGTGATACGGTCAAATGGAGGTTGAGGATCGATCCAACCACCCTCCCCTTCCCCCCCAAAGGCGGACACGAAAAGATCCCCCAGGATGATGCCATTCTGGTGGTGGTAGTCGATGATGTTGGAATGAGGTGATTGCCCTGCTTTCTTTATTTGCAATTTTTTTTTCTTAATTTTCTTTTCCCTACGGAGTACCTCTCCTTTCCTTTCCCTTTTTTTTTTTTTTTTTGTTTTGGCGGCTGCATGTGTGCCTTTCCCCCAACTTGTCTGGGGCATTACCGGGGAAAGAAAGACTGTTCGAACAGAACTGGGAGATCTTCAGGACGGGCCCAGTCCAGACCAGCTGATCGACCGTCATTCAGCAGTGGTTGGGTAGAAGACTGAAGTAGATAATTAGCAGGGGAGTCGCAGTCGCGTCGAATGAGCGTCCCAAGTGACCGAAGGTGACGGAGGCGGTGATCATAGACGGTGCAGGTTGCGCTGAACCACAGTCATACGATGGGCGAGATCCAATACATCATCATCATCATCATAATCATCATGGGGTTATTGGAGGAGTGTTGACTCCGGACGGAAGGAGTGAAAGAGGTAACAGTAAGTACAGGCAGTACGGAGTACACTGTGTACTCACTGCCCTTGAGTCTTGATGTCCTGAGTCCTGACACAACAACTGAGGCTTGCCGGGGCGGAACCCAGTGGGTGGACTGGAGTCAACGAAAATAAGCCGGGTTGGCATCCAATGTGGGTGGAAGTTTGAAGGGCGACCGCAGTCAGGACTGTGGGGGAGCCAGCATTGCATCAGCCTCATGAGTCAGACGAATCATGGGCCCCGTCACGGAGTACGGGGAACTGGAAAGACGAGGCGAGGCGAAACTCAGCTGCTGCCGCTGCTGCCTCCGGACAACAAAGCCTATGGGTCCCAACCCGGCAGTGTGCCTCGACCGCATCGGGCTGCTCGGTGTTCCCAACTGGGCCGCGAGGGATCGTTCTGACGGCATCGCTTGAAAAGGTCAGAGAGGCTATGTCGGTACTCGGTACGGAGTAGTATCTATGTAATTGTACGGAGTGCTACGGAGTGCACAATATAAGTTACCATAGTACTCCGTATTAGTAGCACTAAGCTCGGCTGTTTAGACCCTCGACAAGGAACCTTGAAGACCTGGAGCTCTAATTAACCGGCCCTCAACCCTTAACCATTACCCTTGTCAACGCCCGTAGGGCCAGAAGGCGCTACAGTGTGCGGTAGTCGGACGCCCGCCTCCAACCGAGTCGAAATGCTCATGGATTCGCTCCCGACCCCTGGACTAGCGCTGATGGCGGTTTTCACCACCTCAGAGGACACGCCGCCCTGCATCGTTTCATCGGTGCCAGGCACGCACAAACACCCCACGCACACATTCACTCAAGGCGAAGTCGTATATACATCAGAAGCCGCCAACGGAAAAGGGGCGGAGAGAGGAAAAGGGGGGGGGGGGGGGGGGGTGTACTGTGGAGGGAGTATGACGACGAGCCAAACAAGGGTCAAACTCGGAAATTGAACTCCGCAATCCCATCTCCAGGTCCACAGCTGTCTGCGCCCGGAATGTATTATTCCCCCAGACACTGCTCGCCTCTCTCCAGTCTCCGTATCCTTTAGCCGCTAGCACCGTCTGGGGATTTCTGATAGGGAAATCTCCATGCGGAGGTTTGCCACTCACATGTGGAGAGCTGGGGGAAGCAAATGCTTCGGTAGATTATTATTGATCGGTCGCGTTGTATACTACGGAGTAGTTGCTGATTGACGACATTGTTCGCCGAACTGCTCGCTGCTGATCGCATGGGCCGGATGATCAGGATAAAGAAAGATACGGTCTCGGCAAGTCTGGCCAGCCAAAGAACTCGCAGATGGTCGCCATTCACGTTGCTGTCATCTCATCGCCCCAAAAACAGGGCCATCGAAGTACCTAGGTACGTAGATAGGGATATCTACGCATGTAAAGGAGTACCTAAGTATCTAAGTAACTACCATTTGGCCCTTTCTCGCCCGCCCTGTTTTTTTTTTTTTTTTTGGCGCTTCCCTTACGAGAGGAAGTGATGCTGATAGCACGCAAGGGCTCGGATAGGCCACTTCCAGCGATCGATGCCATCCGTGAGGGTAAATCGCCGGAAAGGGAAGGGTAGCGAGACCATCAAAAATGAGCGAAAGAGTGCATACCGGTCGATAATAGATAGACTCTCAAGCATCGCGAGATACAAATTAAACACAAAATAAAAGGAAACAAGGTCCTGCACGAATTACCAGTCAGGAAATCCAAGGAATCGGAAAACATGCACCCAGCCGCCTGAGCAGTTCCTTAGTGGTAGATCACAGATATTTCACCCCCCGAGGGGTCCGCGATGACCAGAGGCCATCCCAATTGGCCCCGTCGTCCCTACTGTACAGGCAGGCCTACAAGGACTTCTGGACGCCTCTTGGTATTGATGAGACACTAGAAGATAGGGAAGGGACGGAGTACGGAGTAAGGTATGTGATCAAGGTTTAGGAGACAGGAGGTCATGTAGCCCGCGGGAGGTTGCACATGCCCGTTCCTCGGCCACTGCCTGCATTGTTGTTACCCGCGAGTATCGAGGGTCACTTTGATGTTATCGTAGGAATCGAAGAAGAAACGGAGGGAGAGGGGAGGGAATCCGACGGATGAAACCCCCACCAGGCGGTATCGTGGTTGTGCTCTGGACGCTGATAGGGTAGACTCGGCTGACTGGCTTCTACGATCAGCGGATGTCGGATCGTGACCTTGGATATTGTACAGTTCGTTCGCAAGCCACTTCCCCCCTTTGGCTGGGTGGCTTGGAGTTCCCGGGACCAGAGAGGAAGGCGTCGCGACCTGGCAGATCCCAAAAGATTAAGGAGGGGGAAGGTGAGCTAATGAGATCTCTCAGATAAGAGAACAAAAGTACCACATGTAGATGCAGATATGTAGGAGGTGGCATGGACATGTTCTCCGCCTTGGACACGGACACGGGATACGGGGAGGGATGCCGCACACAGATTCCACCCCCTCCTGTCCCTCTCCCCTCTGGGGAGAAATTGGCCGTCGGCACTGTCTTATCTTTAACGCGGTAACCATCCCCTGTCACGTAGGCACCCCTCGATAAATTATTCAGAGGGAGTGTGGGGTCTCAGGTGGGAACCGCAGAAAATGGTTCAGGTTCAACTACTCCAGCTGAACAACAGCAGCAGCAGCAGCAGCTGATGCCGGACCGATTGCCGGCACTCTGCCGGAGGGAGGGTGAAGGTCTGAGGTCCAGGGTGAAACCAAGGCGTAGATAGGCGGCGGCCTTCAGCCATCACCCCACCATTGCTCCCCAGCCTGGGATGGTGGAACAAATGGGGAAGGGAGGAATGAGGGCGGCACGCAGGTACCGCGCTGCCCAGTACGGAGTACCTACCACGTAACTACGATGAGAGCCACGTACCCTTGGGGTTTGCCTACATTATACGAGCTGACATTGGTATTTGCTGGTACCCTTCAATTGACACACACACCTTTTCCTTTGTTGTTGCGGTCCATTGACTCCCTATTGAGGGTGTGTTTCACTCCCACATTGCTTGCTGACTGGGTATTGCACCACACACCACACACCACACACTCCCCCCCGAGTCGTAATACTTCTCCGACCAGTTATGTATACCGATTTATCCACGCGCGGGTGGCACAGTGGCGGTGGTGGTGGTGGCTGTAGGCAACCATCACAACCACCCCTTCAATAATAATAACAGCAGCTGGATTGCTAGGGCCCTATTCATAGCAATGGTCGAGTTGTCAAAGTCATTTATCTCATGAAAATATGAGATTAATAATCGTTCCTCCGTGTAACTACTTCGTTGCCGGCCAGAATCCGCGCTCCTCGCATCCGCTCCTGCATAAAGCCCCAACACACTATTGAATCAAACCAGTGCTGATCCCAGGTAAAAACACTCGTTTACTCCACAATCCCACGCAAGTAGATTCCCCATGGAAGGGCTTTCCCCTTCTAGAGGGATATCTGGGATCCCGAGGCAAGACGAAGGGCGTTCCTTTTCCCCATCGCTTTCCACTTGCCAGAGAGCCTGGAGTTATACTTTCCCATGAATTCCCACCCCCGAAAGACGGAAGATCTTCCCCGCGATCAACACGGCCGGGGATCGACACTCAAGATGGGACCAGGCCTCTAGCTGGAAGGGGCCCCCATATCCCTGTCTCTGGCGACGGGTGATGATGCGTTCCCACGGCTGGGATCTTCCCCTAGCCAAGCACCAGTGGCCGTAGCGACCATCTGGTTGCAGACAATCCCTTGTCCTGGAGTAGATTGTGCAGGACTCGGCCCGTCTGCAGCACGCCCATTGCCCAGAGGCTGGCGTATCGCCCACCCTTCTGCCGCGAATCGTGGGCCCCTACGGTAACCACCGGCGGCCTCCGTCTTGTCGTCTTCCAGATGCGGGAGAAAAACTCTTTGCCCAGTGTACTTACTATATACTTGGCGGGCTGGGCTGAGAGATCATCGGGGCACTAACAGCCAGGGAGCCGTTTATCCGCGCAGGATCGCAAGAACTGCAGCTCTCTGCCAAAGTGCTGTTGTCATCCAAACTCCAAGGTCCTCCGTCTTGGCCCGCCCGGTCGCCGGATCATCGACGACCCCACTGTGAGATAATGGATTGCTTCATCGTTACCAACGATAATCGCCATGTACTACTATGTAGCGCTTATCGATCCGGGGGCGATCGGCTATCACTCTCCGCCGTGGGAAGAAGGTGGATGAGTCGAACTGCGGAGTCCGGAGTATATCATCTCAAGCACATCATTCGGGGCAGTGAAGATCCGGTGAGTATCGAGTGAGTATCGACATTACCTAGTCGACACTGTCGCGAAAGGTCATCACATGATCCTCAACCTCGCCGTGAAATCATCGCTGCCTTGCTCGGAGTAGTCAAGTCCAGAACGGTCGCTGGACGTCGCATTTTACGCAGCACGCTTCTGCGTACCGCCCGGAGGGGTTTAAGCTCGCGCTGATGTTGCCTGATCCGCGGGGGTGGGGTATTTAGTCGGTGTCAGACAACAATCAGCCAACAGACACCTGTCTGTTTCACGGCAAGAACGACTACTAATCCCATTCCATCGCCCTTGTTCCACTCCGCGGGCATTAGATCCCATGCATCAGAGTGTGCTGTCCTCAAGTACAGACAGTCTGGAAAGAGTCATTGATCTCCCTGGATCGCTTCCTTTTTGCCGAAAACATGCTCTGGGTCATTCCTTGTCTGCTGGAACCCCCGTAGGATGGGCGGTCCCAAAATGGCCGGTTACATGTAAGCGCTCTGGGCGTGAAGAAACCAACTTCGAGGCTTCTAGGCTGCGCAGGCTGTCAGTCTGCCTTGCAGAGCGGATCATACGTGTTTCCCCAGCACAATTCGTACAACCACCAAGAGCCGGGGGCCAACCAGAGCGAAGCTCCCAGCGTGGAGCAGATCTTATTATCAATATCGGGGAGACATACTCTATCATGTCTGCCCTTTTGCTACCCCCACCCATAGTCACGGTTGACATCAGCTTCAGGTTGCTTTTTCTGCAAGCTGATCCTTCAGCCCGTTGCTGGTCGGGTGCCTGTGCAATGAACGTACGCGGAGTATATCTGCTGCTAATTTGCCTACATTCCGAGACTGCCATTCGCGCACCTGTTGTGCATTGCCCCCGGCAAGTTGAGTCATGACGTGCTAGAGGCAGGAATGTTAACAATACTACCCCGATAGCCTGATTTCGTCAACTCAGCCGGGCAATCCACACGGCAGATCCACCACCAATCACTCGATCTATCAGCCCTTAAGGACGCGGCCCTAGCTCTCTCGACTCTCAGGAGGGCAACGAGTCACCCGAGCACAGGGGAGGCATGCACGCTGGATGGTTGCACTTCCAAGTGACCAAGATTCCAAATGAGTTTGGAGTACGGAGTACTACTACTACTACTACTACTACTACTACTACTACTACTACTACTACTACTACTAACCACGACCACCACCCACCACTGACCGTGCCCAGCCAAGGCGACATCTAATGCTTGGCGGCAACGTGCGGGGGTGGACTCTGGGGAATCTCCAGACTCCAGTGAGTGACCGGTCTGTCCAGGTCATTCGTCCACCCAGCTGAGAAATTCCAGGTCGTCCATCCAATAGAAACATTTTGAGCGCGACGACCGCACGTTAGCTGCGCTTTAATCTATCAGTGGTGTGCAGGAAAGGCTTATCAAGTGTCGAACTGGGGTGATCTAGTGTAACAGGCAGCTGGAGAGTGTTGCCTAGGCGTCTACGACTACTCCGTACCTCTTCCTCAGATAGATTGGGTGGCATGTGTGTGTGTGTGTGTGTGCATGGGCGGGTGTAGGGATGTATTTTACCGCCCGTCCGTCGGTAACTGTTGTAACAGCGCGACTGATTGCGGTACCCGGAGGACTAAAGCCCACGTCCCAGTCTGCTTAAGAACACACCTGCTGAAAGCCCCCACAAGGCGCCAAGGTGTGCGATCCGAGGATCCACAACCTTCTGGAACGGGGCGACTTCGACCAATCCAACGACAAGAACTGTATCACGGTGATATCGCCGATTCACAGGCTTCACAGCCGCTGCCCCCAGGTTATGCGGGGCCGCGCTTCCGGAAGCCGGACGCAATTACTCTAGTACTCACACGTACTGTTAATAGATTGTTACCAGCCCGGTTACCACTTACTGCCTCTTTCTGCACCCTACTGGGAGGTCATCCTCGCCTCAACTATCTAGTATTGATCATTTAGGTAGCGGGGGCCGAAGAACAAAGTTTTCTTATCTAGCATTAGTTTATCTGTGATTGCATCGTCTACTGCGCCGAACGAGGGATGATCTAAATAAGAAAGGAGACAAGGACAGATAGCGCGCGGGCGCGGTTGTAATAGTATGTAAGTAACTCCAAGGACCTTGCTTACTTGAGCAGCCACTAGATAACTAACTAACTAAAGTGACTCCGGAAGTTGTCCAGGGCCCGACCTGCGCAACGAAACCGCAGAATGACGCCGGTGGAACTTGCTAGGTAAGTACTAAGTACTAACTACCCCGAAGTTATCCCTGCCCCAGGGAACACCAGCCAACCCTTGCCCAGCTAGCCACCCTACCTAACCTTATGTCGTTCCCTCTCCCGATCACACCATCCATTCATCCATGGACTATCCACCCACAATAACTCGCCCCCCGGCCTTTCCCCCCCCTCCTCACTCGTCCCTACTCTGCATATTGTTTCCTTCGACATGGATTCTAGGTCCCCCTCCCCTTCCCCTCTGCATTGCATTAAACCACCCCGACCCTGTCTAGATCAGTCGGTCGGTCGGCGCGGGCGGGCGAGGACTCAAAACGGTCGCCCGTTTTATTTATTTTTTTTTTTTACCGGGGTGAAGGGAAGGGAGGGGGGGGATGACACGTCGCCTGTACAGTAAGCGAAACGCGGAAGTTAGGAAGGTACGGCGAAGGGCGTCCGGGCTACTTTACTTCCTTACTTACAGGTAGTATCTAAAGGTGGCTAAAAGTAGCTAACTGCTGTAGGTCGTAGCCACACCTCCGGAGTTACTTAGAGTAGGTAGATACCTAGATAGGATAGTAGTAGTAGTAGTAGTTATCCAGTATCTAGTAAAGTAAGCAATAACCTGACTTAACTTATTTAGCAGTGTGCCTGACTATCTTACTCCGTACTACGAAATCTAATATCTACCCCGTGTCTATAATTATAATTTCTCCATGTCCGCCGACCAGACCACGTCCAAGCTTGAGGGGAAATGAGATATAGCACCATTTTTTTTTTTTATATATGTATGCGGTAGAGATACTCCGGACCCGACCGTTAGCTTCATTCTTGGATAGTGGCATTTAATCTGAAGCCCGCCCCCGGCAAAATATTCATGAGGGTGGATGGCGATGCCTCCGTCAAAAGGCTAAAAACTAAGCTACCTCATTCAGGTGCTTAAAAAGCTCACTAAATCCCGTAGTGCGCTGTCTGCCTGCTCTAGTGAGGTCCTAGTGTAGTGCGAAGCTCAAGGGCCATGGCGAAGGGCGGAAGGGCACTGACTGGCGCCCTGCAGGGAATAATAATAATTCAGTAAATAAATAATAATAAAATCATATATGAATATTATCGGGAGATAGGAACGCCCCCGGGGTGGTGTGGCACTGTGGCTAGCTACTACTATCTCGATACATACATACTACTTGTGTAGGTGGTTTTCAGATAGATGCTATCTTTATGGAGTACAGTCAAGCGGAATTAGTATGTACGACGTATCTACGTACCTCACGCCATGGCCTCTCTTCTGCCCCTCCCGTGCCCCCTGAGATTCTACTAGATACTACTCCGTAGGGGGGGGTGCAATTGCACGGATACTATAATTTCCAGCATGAACACGGGGTATATCCGGACGGAACTACGGGAGTAACCAAAGTAGTCTTCAGGGCTATAATATGGAATGGTAAGATAATTTAATCAAAAGAGGTGGTCTGTTTGCCCCTCCTTTTTCGTTTCCCCCCCTCTCCCCATACCCCCCTCCTTCAATCGTCATCAAAGTCATAGCTCAAAAGGAAACTATCAGGAGGCTAGATCCAAGTAGGTATGTAGCTTGCAAATAGTCATGACCCCTTTCACATGCTTGCTCGCTTGCTCGCTTGTTCTCTATCTCTTCACGGCAGATGCACTATGTAGTGCATATAGTCAATCGGGGCCAAGCCCATTGAGCTACTTACGCTAAGGGTACGACTATCCGGTACGCACTGCAAGTATCTAGCTAGATACATATCTAGATGGTATCTAGCATCTTGTGCCCCGATTCCCCAGACCGGCACCAAATAAGGCAATAGATACACAAGAGAACGGGGACCTGAGGGGTAAAAATTACCTGACCAGTTACAACTTACACAGTGATCTAGAATTGAGTGTCAAAAGGCTGTAGGGCGACCAGAAGACCCAAACGGGCAATAATCACGACCTGCGAAAAAAATGGACGGATGGAAATCAAAAAGGGACCGACCGACAATCGCAGCCGGGCGGAAGATGGCCGGATTGCGTCATAGGGATGATTTGCAGCTAATCCAGGAGGTCGAGACATGGGCCTGCCTTAGTGGCGCGCACTGCCGCGTTTCTAGATGACAATCTCCCGCGCCTGGAGGGCGAGTGTGGGTGTATATTATTATCTAATACGGCGTCGCCTGTCCGAGCCTTCATCATCATCAATCACAATCATCTCCATGATGTGCCACGCCAAGGGCCAGAGCCCTTCTTCGCTTCATCAGGGCGTGTTGGCGGTTGGCGGTTGGCGGCTGATCGTTGAGTCACTCGTGCCTGGCAGTTAGCCTGTTGGGGCCCAGGGGGGTCGATTTGACAGGAAGGCGAAGGCCGGACGGAATCCGTGGGCTAAATCCAGGTCGCGAAAACGAAAAAAAAAATCACCCCGCCCAACCATTGAATCAAAGCGCCACGGCCGTTCAGAAGCCAGACACCCACTCGGGGGGGGGGGGATTCGTACGAACAACCCCCGGGGCAAAACCTGCACGACTGATACGGGGGTCGGACGATTTCGGGAGAATTCCGGGTCTTGTTCCCCTCTGGGGGCGCCGGGCGAGTCTACTGCCTAGTCCAACGGGGGCTGGCTGATAGTTTATCAGGCCGGATTGCGGAGAAATCCTTACCTAACCCGCCCCTCCCTCTGTCTGGCTCTCTCCAGATGGGCCCCCGGAGCCACGGGCGCGCCCGAAAGAGTGCCTCGGTGAAGCCCTCGGGGTCTCTCCTGGCCTGTCTTCTTTCCTGTTGGGACAACACTGACGACCGTCACGCCGTCACGGACCCCCTATGGTCTGGATGAAATTTTCCTCCCCTCCGCGCGCGCTGAGGCAATTTCCCATCGGCATGGCCGTCCCGAGTCCTGGATTTGCCGAGTCTGTCCCGAATCCCGTGGTGGTCTGAGCCGTCCTGACTGGCGGCTTCGACCCAGGCGGAAGTCTGGGGTCCGGACGGACTACGGAGGAGGGGCTGCCCGGTTACTGTTCCAGGTAATCATGTAACTATTCTTGTGTCGTTGATGTGGCCCCTCCGCCGGCATGTCCTGGCTGGCCGCCGAACCGCGGCATTTTCGCCTTGGGATAGTGGAATGAGGTGTCTGACAGATATCGTCCATTAGAGTTTTGCTTCGGTTTGGCTTCTATTTTGGCCCTCCTCGCCAATACGTCGTCTGAAGTTCCCTCTTGCAAACAGGGTTGCGGTGGACATGGCGGTGAGAAGATTTTTCAGCCGAGTGTCCATCGTGTTTGACTCACGGCAAGCTGGCGAGATGTCTGCCCGACCAGTGCAGCGGACCGATTGTCCCTGGCCCTGGTCGAGTGATTGGGTGTGAGGCCCTCCGTAATTTTCACGATGCCGTGGTGGGATGCCATTTGCTCGCATCAGACCACCCCAGACTCTCCAGACTTCCTCGTCCCTGGCTGCTGAGCTAAGCAACACGTGACCTTTAACTAGGGGTATTAGGGTAGGGCTTTGTAAGGTGTCAACCCTGGCCATGACAGCACGGCTTACGGAGTAGATATCTACCCCAGGCACCAACTCCCGATGTGACGGATGTTCCCTACTGCCACTGGGGTGGTAAAAGATATTCCGTGCGGCGCCACAGGATCAGGCGACGGAATATCCCTAATCCACCAAACATCGTCCGTTGAATTGTAACTGACTCGCCGCCCTGTCATGTTGTGGGGGTTCACCATTTGTGTATCCGGGCACGTGCTAGGTTGTCTGTTCTCGTTCGAGCAAGGCGTATCTATCTTTTCCGCACCAAGAGGCTGAGACAGCTGAATCCCAAAGCGGGAGGGGTTATACATAGCCGCCGTGGACGGCAGGTAAGCCCTAAGCTTCAGGACTGGATGGATGGCGCGAGATAACAACACGGAGAACAGGCAACCGGATTTCGAGGGGGTATGCACGGTGCCCTGTCATTGGACGCGAGGTAAATGTCTCGACCGACCGAGACTGGCGATGGCGCAGCTCGATAAGCATGGGATCGTTCTAGCAGACAGCCTTACTCAGGGGTACATTCCAGGAATGCTCGGGATTCTCCCCCTTGCCCGGAGAACGCCCATGACGTCTATCACTCCTGCCTTCCGCCGTTCCGCCGGCCAGAACCCTGAGACGGTGGAAGCAATCAAGGTATCGAGGTGACAGGTCACAGACCAGTTAGGGAGTTGGCTCTCCTCATCCGGAGTAGTCCGGGGAACTTGCTCTCTCTGGGGGTGCGCGATTCTGTCGCGCCATGCGATGTGGAACTTCAGGGTCCTCGTCACTGAATGTAAGGTACTCCGTAGCAGGGCCATACCAACGGGAATACGTACTAGAGCCATGCCCGCGTTGGGTGCCACATGGTACCTAGACAGCTGCTGATAGGCATCCATCGAGATATAGGGATATCCACCACCCAGAGGCAGATAGGGATCCCCTTGACTCGGATCGCACAGTGACTGTATCCCCCCCGTATCTATTCAATGCAGAGCTGGTCATTGCCGCCGGGCAAAAATACAATCCCACCGCATTTGGAATTTGGAAGAGAGTGGCGCCTCCGTAGTGCCTTCCCGGATGGGACAGAGGCGTACCGAATCATGTGATATCTGTGTAACAATCTCAGATCAGTGAAACCTGCTTTCTTTCTGAAAGGCCTCCTTGGACATGTCATCAGGAACCACCAGAGACCAAGTCTCTTCTGGTGACCGACCGGAATGGATATCATATAGGTAGTATGGGAATGCGCGCCGCATACGGAAGACAATACTCGAACCCACCAAGTCTCGGACATTGCTCCGATATGTCTGCCAACGCACCGGATGGCCTTGACGCCAGTCGGCTCACAGCGAAAACATCATGGACCACTACCTGTCCTCTTTTCGCAGGAACCGACTTCTCCAAATCAGCCGTCTGACGGGTTTGGATCCCCAGTTTCTCCGCTGAAGGAGTTGCGATGCGAAGTATAGTCGGCAATATTACCCGAAGCGGCGCGATGATGTCGCGCTCGGTATTCTGCCGCGACTGGCCGCCTCCCGCCGGCCGAAGCAAAAGTTCATCAGACATGCTTTTTTACATCGCAGTTTGTCGTGTGCCGTGAGTCCGATTGGGTCAGAAATTGTGCTTCGCTATTCAATCTTCGTGGACCGGCTTGTTTGGGGCTGTCACTGCCCCGGTTCTCTTTTTCTCTCCCCCCAATCTTCCCCCATCTCCTTTCCTGCTTTCTCCTGCTGCTGCAATGGCTCCCCCGCGCCAACGGACGACAGCCGTCCAGGACGACTCTCGTTCTGAAGGCTCCAGCACCGCAAGAGAGCATAAAACAACGACAGGCAAGGCCCGCAAGGGTGCGGGTGGATCGGCGGCTGCGACTGCTCGAGAGGCCAAGGTCCCTCCTCATCTTGCCAATGTCACCAGCGCCCCCGCTGGAGGCGAACAGGATAATGTGCCCAAGGTATGTAGCAGTGGATTGGAGTCCTGCTATTCTTCTGCCATTCATTGATCTCTTTGCACGCCCCTCCGCCAATAAAATCTAACTTTCTTGGTGTGTAGATCCCTTGGTCCGAGATGCCCCTCGAACTCCTCCACTCCTACCGACATGGCTATAAACTGTCCACTCCCAGCGCTTTCTCCAGTGAATACTCCCATCTCCTCCTTTCCAGAGGGATTGGTCTCCGATCGCCGACATCTATCGCCGCCCAGCGAGCAAATATATCTCGCCAGAACCAGATAAACAATGGTTCCCAATCAAGCACTTCCACGTCCCGAAAAGCCTTGCACACCAAATCTTCAGCCCCCAATGGCGTCACCGTAAAGCACAAAGACCGCCATGCGCACCGAGGCCCGAATACGATCGATGGCAAGAGCGCGTTACACCAGATCATTGGCCAGGACCGGGTGAACAAAAATCAGCTTGCCGTGACAGTTCGCAAACACTTCAACAGTGCTGGGCTTGCGGAACAAGAAGCCATTGCGCGATTTCTGTACAAGGTTCGGGAAGAGGGAAGAGGTCGGCATTTCCGTCTTCGATTCCAGCCCTGATACCTCTGGCACTTACTTTCCCTCCCCCATCTTTCTCCTCTCCACAATGTCGACCTGGGAGTCTTCCCCCCCATCCGCAGATTTATTCATCGGCACAGCCCCGGTTCGCAATTGGCGTTTGGCTGCGTGCAAGATTCATTCGACATAGAGTCGACTTGAAACCCCTACACTCCTCTCTCATTCTCTTAATTTCGAAGCCGCTATCCTGTTTTTCCGGTCGTCGCATCTCCCCTTTTCATGATACCCATTGGTTTGCTAGCTCACAGAAGTACTAACCGTGTCTCCCTTATTATTATTTGTTTGTGTATCCTTGGTCTGCTTTCACGGCGTGGCTGACACCGTCTGCCCGAGTCTCGCTGTTCTACTGTGCTATTGTTATTTTCGTTGCTCGGGTCACCTCTGAACCCTCCTGCTCAGTTATCATATCCTTTCCCCCTGCCTTAACTCTCACCTGCCCTACATGTATATTAACAACCTTGGCGAAACGGGATCTATGAATGTTGCTCTAATATTGCTTGCTTGTTCTCTATGGCGGCTACTATGCTCAATGGCCGTGCAAGGTCCATACATAGTATCTAGCTCCCCTCGTCCTGTACCTAATGTAGCTTGTCTACTCTTTAATGCCATCAAAGTAAACAATGACCACGTATATCATACCAACATGATTTGATTTAATCCCGCACCACAGCCCTTCCACTGCACCCCCCTCCCTCCCCTCTCTCCCCTCTCTCCATGACTATATACAAACTCGTCCATCCCGCCAAAATCTCCTTCCGTATTTTCACCCGCAGAAGAGAGGCCACAGGATCCGACCAAAAACACAGTAGTAAGAGCATCATCAAAGAAAAGCTTACGTTAACGCGTCCAAAAAAAAAAAAAAAAAAAGGGGGAAAATAAGGGCAAAAAGAAGCATCAATAAGAACAAGCATATGTAGCAAACAGAAGCAGCAGAGGCAAAGGAAAAAGGACAGTGGGGAAAAAACGCCAAAATGCAAATCATCCCGTTCCGTTAAGTAAGTCTATCATACTTCTCTCATGTCCTTGATTTCATTTCCATGCGTTCAGACCCGCCCAGGGATCGGCGGAGGACCCCCTGCCTGGCCCTGGGACTGCGACGACTGCGAGTGCACCTTGTGGTGCTGGCTTGAGCCGTATGGTCGGGCTTGAGCGTAGCCTCCGGGACCGGACGGGTATGGGCCCGTGGATGGGCGTAGGTGGTTTGCTGGGGGCGGGCGGCGGAGGAGGCGGGACGTAGCCCTGGAGCATGAAGGAGGATGGGGCAGCTGGCGGGGTGGGACCGGAGTAGCTGTATGGGGCTGGGGTGGAGGAATAGAATTGTTGGTTTGGGGGAGGGGAGACGGATGGGGGCACGGGGTAGGCCATGGGATTGTAGCCCTCCCCGAGAGGCGCCGCGGCGCCTTGTTGGAAGGGCTGGCTGGGGAGGTAGGAGACGCCCGTGCCGTGGGTCATGTACTGCCCGTAGGGAGCTGGGGAGTGCGAGAGCGGGACGCTATGCGACTGTCCCGGAGGGAAGTGCGGCGACATCTTCGGGGAGGAGAGGGCCGGGTTGGGATATGCGGGCGTCTGGATGGCGGGGGGAGGTGACTTAGCCTTGGAAGGAGCTGTGGGTGCGGAGGGAGTGGTTGAGGTCTTTGGTTCGGTGGACAGGCGCTCCATCAGAAGCCGCAGCTTTTCCCGCTCACGGTCTTCCTGCTCCGAAACATTGCTTGCCTTGTCCCGCTCGATTTGGCCGAGAAGCTGGGCTCCTTCGGACCGTCGGTTGTTGATGAAGGTCTCAACGTTCTTTTTCAGGCTTTCAACGGTCTCGGCCATCTCGGTGTAGAAGGTTTGGGCCTGAACGGTTCCCGACAATAGGCCGTTGAAGGCGTCATGGATCTTTTTGTATCGGGACATCACAGTGTTGCGTTGGCGGGTGATGCTTTCATACTTGGATTGCTCGGCACGCACTCGTTTGTCCTGCAGCAGGTCGCCGTAGATTTTGGTGAGTTCTTTCATCAGCGAGGCTTGCTTGTGGTTGGCCTGGAGCAGTCGGTTCTGATGAGGACGGAACTTCTCCAGCTCAGCTTCGAAGAGCTGGTTTTCCTGTCCGGCGATGGTCTTTTTGTTCAGGATCAACACGTTGGAGATGTCATCGTTGTGGACCTGATCGCGGGCGTCAACCAAGAAATCTTGAGATTGAGATTAGGCAAGCTACATACCTTTTCCTTGAGGTCCTTCAACACCTGGGCTCGTTCCCTCTTGACCAGGTTCAACTTCTTCAGGATGGATTCAACTTTCCCGATCTGCTCCGATACCGAGGCGCTTCCATCATCGTAGACGTCGTCAATTAGGTTTCCTTCCGGCGCTGAAGCGTATGGGCTAGCAAGCCCGCTCTTGCTCTTGCCATGCTTGGATCCAGCTTTGATCATTGCGCGCTGGAAGAGAACCTCGGCTTCTTCTGTCTCGCCCGCAGATCGCATTTCGTCGAAGTCCGCCTCATATTGCCGGAGAGTGGACAAGAGTTGAGAGTCACTAGCACTGGCTTCGTTGATGGTGTCCCGGTATGTCCGGATATCGCCACGGAGCGTGGTGTTCAGCCTAGCGCTGGGTTGCTGACTCCACTCCACTCCATACTTTGAGCGCATCTTCTCGCATACGCTTTCCTCTAGGTCTAGTTGCTTTGAACATTGGTCCAATTGAGCCAATGTCTCCGCCTTGCGATCCTGCAGGCCATCGAATGCCTTGGTGAACGGTTGATGGCCCGCCAGCTCCTGGCACCAGCGTCGGAACTCATCATCCACTGTCATCTCCTGGTCCATCCCACCCTTGAGGATGTTGAGGCTACCGGGAAGCTTCAGGTAATCCAGGCTCGCAGCCATTTCTCCGTTCGCCGTTTCGACTTTCTCCGTTTCCGCTCGGATTAGCTTGGCTTTCTCTTCGTCGTAAAGACTGGCCGTTTCCGTGACGGACATCGGAACGAGTTTCTGGAAGATATCGGGGCCGATGATGCGCTGGATATCCTGACCCTGGTAGAGTTCACTGACAGGAATGGCCTTGGCAGCGGGTAGCTTGGCGACGGCCGACAAACCGGCCTCGCTCGGGATAGGTTGGTGATAGATGAAGTCGTTGTCCTTCTTGAACACGGTGAGCTTCGCTTGAACATTCGCAAGGTGATACTTGATAAGATCAAGCAGGTTGGTGCCGGCTTCAGAGCTGAGGTTTGCATTGGGAGAGACCGACGATGGGAAAGACTTGGCCCATCCGAGGGCTGCTGTCGAGTTCTTCTCCGCCAGCTGCAGCCGAGCGATAGCCACGCCATGCGATCCGGTTTCGCTGTCTGCCAGAGCCTGGTAGTAGGATGCCACGGAAGTCATGTGCGCCGCCTTAGCCTGCACGACGATCGTCCACACCTTGTCAAAGATACCCTTTGCGAACTCTAGCATTCCTTCAGCAGCCTGGGCATACAGATAGGCGGCCTGGCTAGCGAGTTTCGCTAGCAGCCCAGCCTTCTTATTATCCGCAATCTGTTTCTCCAAGAATACTTCCTGGCCCTGGGCCAGGGTGATATGAATCAGGGCTTTCACGGTGTCCCGGTTCAAGTCGGTCGATGGCGCATGGAGGAAGTTCTCGTTGATATAGGTGAACATGCCCGCAGAGGCCTGGAAGGAGTGATAGGCAGTCTTGAGACCGGTATCATCGGCACGGTTCTGATTGGCTGCATGGCACGAAAGAACAGCGGAGATGTTGAAGATGATCGAAGCTTTCTCGAACGCCAGGGAGTATTGAGAGGTGGCTTTCTGGGTAAAGGCATCGTACCTGGACAGGGCATTGGGCTGTTAGCGGGCATGGATGGTAACGGGGACAGGGGCCCAAAAAGAATAGGAAAATACCAGGTGAAAGAGATCTTAATATGGTTTTCATCCACCGGAAACCTCAGGTCCAGGAGCTCTAGTTGTCCATAATACCGATACAGTAAGTCGCGACCCGTCGCACTGTCCTTCCCCGCGCCCCTCATGTCCTGGCGCAAGCGGTTGAGGGTGGCGCATTCTGAGCTGTAGCGGTCGGGGTCTTCACCGTAACTCTGACGGATGAAATCCTTGAGGGGTCGGATCCAGTCTATTTCGTTGGTCTGCTTGAGCGGACACGAGATCATGGGCGATTCGGCCATGGTGGTGTTCGGGAGGAGCGGGGAGCTCCCATCCAAAGGCGGAGAGACAGCGGGCCCGAGTTGGAGCAGGGGAGCACGAGCAGGTAGGGCGAGGTCGAAGTCGCAATGGGGGGAGGGGAGGTTTTCGGGAGGGCACTGTGGGGTAACGAGGGTAGGCGATGCTTAGTCGTCGTCACTGCGAGAAATCGTGGTGGCAGTCTGGTAGGGGCCGATAGATCGAGTAGTCGCTGCTCACTAGTAGTCTAGTGGTCTAGTCCAGGTAGTAACCGTCCCCAAGGCAGCCTAACCGTAGTTCCCGTCGTTAGCTCGACGATGATGACGGAAGTGGGGAGCAGGCCGAGGAAGGGGTCCTGACTCACTCGGGACGGCGGTGTAGCCAAGGACAGACCTAGGAAGAATTGCAAAGAGCGACCGGATATTCAGACTCGCTCCCAGGAGCGGAATGGAGGGGAAAGGAGTGGTGTGGGTGTGGACGACCGGTGGGGGAATTGGGGGAGAAGAAGGTGGAAGGTGGGAAGGTGACGAGAGGATGGAGCGGTTGTGATGGACGGGATGGTAACCGCCGGCCGTGATGGAGGCGGGAAAGCTTGGATGGGCACTCGCCCCCATCCTCCAGTCATTGCTCTGATCGGGGCCTTTGGTGAGATGGGGCGGTTTCAATATGCACGAAAGGTCAGAAAGGTCAGAAAGGTTTACCATGAACAGGAAGTAAGAAGTAGAGAGGTCTTGCGCGCTAACTCTAATCGTACATACACGTCACATACATAGCAGCAGTAGTAAGTAGTAGTCTGTGTCTCTATGAACAAGCAACATCAACAAGGGACCGGAGATGGGAGAAAACCCTCCCCAAACATGCAGAATGGCACCAGAACCCCCAAGCTCGCCGTCGCTATGATATTTTCCGAAATAATTACAGTATGAAATGAAGGAGCCCCAAGCAGTATCCAAGAATCCGATTATACATGTCGTCCATGACTCCGTTCAGCTCGAGCTTCACTTCTTCTCGCCGTCCTCTTTGCTGCTACCCGAGTCCTCCTTGCTCGAGTCGCTCTTCGATGCTTCCGATCCAGAGGGTTTGTTGTGGTTCACGAGCTTATGCCAAGCGGATTTGAGGAACCCTTCGTTCTTCGAGGCGTCAGAGGAGGTCGCGCTTGAGCCGGACGGGGGAGAACTGTAGATTGTTAGATTACCTGTCAAATCTGGCCGAACTTGAATTTCCTTCCTACTCACCCGTCCTTGGGAATGTCCATGACGCGCTTAGCCGTTTTGTCGCCCATCTCGTCTGCAAGAATCTCCAGGATCGTCCGCTGGTTGCCGGTCAAATACTTCGGCATGGCAACCTTGAACTCGACCTTCAAATCACCCGTAGCGGCAAAGCCCCGGGAACGTGCACCAAGTTTCTTCATACCCATGCCGGACAGCGTGATGCGATCGCCGGTGCCGGTACCGGTGCCGACCTTGACCTTGACCTCGCCATCCAACGTCGGGACCGTCACTTCGCCACCAAGCAGAGCGGTGGTGAGGGGAAGGGAGGCAGTGTAGAGAATGTCGGAGCCGGAACGACTAAATCGGCGGTCGGGAGAGACCCGGATCGAAACGTACAGATCACCCTTCTGTGTCCGGGCTCCCGGGGCAGCCGCTGTACCGGTGGGAGGGGCGTCACCCTCACCGGATACTCTCAGGCGCATGCCATCCTCCACACCGCCAGGAATATCGACCTTAACAGTCTTCATATCCCTGACCACTCCGTTACCCTTGCACGAGCCACACTCGGATCCTCTGGGGACCGACTGCCCTGCTCCACCACAGGCATCGCAGGTGGCGGCGACCTGGAATCCACCCTGCATGAAGTGTACCCGGGTTCCGGAGCCGTTGCACTGGCGGCACTGGGTGCGTTTGGCGCCCTTCTTCAGTCCGTCACCGCTGCAGGTACCGCATTCTTTCAGAGGGGTGATAACAATATCCTGCGTGGTACCCTTCGCAGCGTCCATGAAAGAGATGTTGGTCTGAACCTCAATATCCTCGCCCACCAAGACCTCCTGGAACGGGCCCCGGCGTCCCCGACCAGAGCGGCGGGCACCGCCAGCGAAAGCTCCAAACAGATCCTCGAAGTTGATGTCTGCGGAGAATCCTCCAGGGAAACCGCCGCCGCCGAAGCCGCCGAAGCCACCGAACCCTCCAGCGCCAGCAAACGGGTTGCCGCCGGCACTGGGGTCAAAGCCGCCGTTCTGGTCGAAAGCAGCCGAGCCGAACCGGTCGTAGTTCTCGCGCTTCTTGGGGTCGGAGAGCAGCTCGTACGCCGTTTGGGCCTCTGAGAACTTTTCCTTGGCGTTGGGGTCCTTGTTTGTATCCGGGTGGTATTTCTTTGCCATTCCATAGTAGGCCTTCTTGATGTCTCCAGCGGAGGCGCCCTTGTCGACACCTAGGACCTTGTACGGATCCGCAACAGCTCCAAGGGGGGCAGTCGTATGAAAAACCTGTAGGCGGGAGATCGGTCAGTCACGGCCCGGATGGATGGCCGCGGACATTGCAGAAACCACTTACCCTGGAGGAGAGCAGTGCCGGGTGCTTTTTGCTACGAGCACCATCCCGCAGGCGCTGACTGGTCGAAGAAGAGGTCGACACATGGTACGTCCGAACTGGGGTGGAAGATCGAAAGCCGGTGGCCGGACTCTGCTTCGAGCACTGTCGCGAGGTGCGCAGTAGACGAGCGGGAAGAGCCGCGGCTTTGGGCATTGCGGCGGAGGTGGCGCTCATGGTGAAAAGCGGTGTTGCACCCGATCAACGAAGCACAGTCAATCGCACAGAGGGACGAGAGTTGAGGGGACGAGGTTGATTTGTAACGAAGCGGAGGAGACCTTCGAGCTCGACCGCCTCCTGATGGGGAAGACGCCTGGAAGCTTCGAGTCGTTTGGCTCAAAAAAGTTTCCCGAGCGGAAAAACAAGCAGCCGAGGCAGCGATGATGAAAGCCTGCTGCTTGCTTCGGTAATCAAGCACTCGACCGACCGAACCGACCTGACCTGACCTGACCGGACCGGACTGCATCGCATTGCATTGATTTTCCTTCCCTCCCTCCAACCCCTCTCCCCGGTACGCCCTCGTGCTGCTGCGATATTCTCTTCTTTTTCGTCCCTCCCAACTCCCACCTAGATACCCCCGTCTCCCCGTGTTCTTTGCCCGCATCTACATGAGCATGCTCCGCGGCCAGACCCTCCCCTGGAGAGCCGCGCTCCACCAAACACCGCGTCCTTTCATCCCTCGGCCTCTCATTGCTCCGTCTAGATACAATGTCAGTGCCAGATCGATACTAAACGCCTCGCGATTCCGCCGTCCTCTCCCGTCGTCTCCCCGTACCTTCTCTTCGAGCTCTATCCGGCGGAGAGAAAGGCCCCCACCCAGTGACGAAAAGGACGACCCGGCTCAGAAAGAGCAGAAGGATCAGGACGAGGACAAGGATGCTGAAAAAGCTCCAGATGCCCGGCGTCGGCCAGCTGATTCCCCTACCAAGCAGGGGTCGTCACAGGAACCCGGAGCTCCGACATCGGGCAGCGCGCGGCGGAAGGAGAAGACGGGCGGGGACAAGGAGCAACGTGGCCTGGAGGAAGACGCAAAGAAGGACGGTAATGCCCTAGAAGGGAAGGGGAACTCATCGGATATTCCGTCTCCCATACCTGTCAGTGGCGGTTCGGACTCCAAGCCCAGCGGTGCGAACAACGGTGGTGGCAACGAGGATGGTGGAAAGAAGGGTAAGAAGGGCACCGGCGAGAAGGCCCTCCAGAAGCCATCAGTCCCGGAAGTTTACCCTCAGGTGATGGCCATCCCAATTGCCAAGCGACCGTTGTTCCCGGGCTTCTACAAAGCCATCACCATTCGAGACCCGAACGTGGCCACCGCCATTCAGGACATGATGAAGCGGGGGCAACCCTACGTGGGTGCTTTCCTGTTCAAGGATGAGAACGCCGATGGCGACGTGATCGAAAACCTGGATGATGTCTATGATGTGGGAGTCTTCGCCCAGATCACTGCCGCCTACCCTCTTCGTGGCGAAGCGAGTGGTGTGACGGCGGTTCTTTATCCCCATCGTCGAATCAAGGTCTCGTCGTTGCTTCCGCCTAATGATCCTTCAAAAGCCGCTGCCCCAGCGGAGGAAAAGCCCACGGAGCGTCGCGGAGATGTTGTGGCTAGTTTTGAGGAGGGCGCTGCGGAGCCTGCTCCTAAGGACCACTATGAGCCCACTTCATTCTTGCGAAAGTACCCCGTCAGCTTGGTCAACGTGGAAAATCTGGTAGAGGAGCCTTTTGATAAGAAGAGTCCCATCATCCGCGCGGTGACGAGTGAGATTGTCAACGTGTGCAAGGAGATTGCTAGCCTCAACCCGTTGTTTCGCGACCAAATCTCTGCATTCTATACTGATCAGTTCCCTGGCAATCTGAGCGACGAGCCTGCCAAGTTGGCCGACTTTGCTGCTGCTGTTTCGGCAGGCGAGCTCAATGAAATGCAGGAGGTCTTGGAGGTGATGAACATCGAAGAGCGACTTCCCAAGGCATTGGTTGTGTTGAAGAAGGAGCTCATGAATGCTCAACTGCAGTCCAAGATCTCTAAGGACGTGGAAGCTAAAATCCAGAAGCGCCAGCGCGAGTACTGGTTGATGGAACAGATGAAGGGCATCAAGAGAGAGTTGGGCATTGAGTCCGACGGCAAAGACAAGTTAGTGGAAAAGTTCAAGGGGAAGGCAGAGAAACTTGCCATGCCAGATGCCGTTAAGAAGGTGTTCGACGAGGAACTCAACAAGTTGGCACATCTGGAGCCAGCTGCTTCTGAGTTCAATGTCACTCGCAACTATTTGGATTGGCTGACTCAGATTCCTTGGGGACAAAAGAGTGTGGAGAACTTTGGTATTAAGCACGCGATGACCGTCCTGGACGAAGACCACTATGGTCTGAAGGATGTTAAGGACCGCATCTTGGAGTTCATCGCCGTGGGTAAGCTTCGTGGAACCGTGGAAGGTAAAATCATCTGCCTGGTCGGACCTCCTGGTGTTGGAAAGACTAGTATTGGAAAGTCGATCGCACGCGCCCTGAACCGACAGTACTACCGATTTTCTGTTGGAGGTCTTACGGATGTCGCTGAGATCAAGGGACACCGTAGAACATACGTGGGCGCTCTTCCTGGGCGCATTATCCAGGCGCTCAAGAAGTGCCAGACGGAGAACCCTCTCATTCTGATCGACGAAGTCGACAAGATTGGTCGTGGTCACCAAGGCGACCCGTCCTCTGCGCTCCTTGAGCTGCTTGACCCTGAACAGAACTCGTCATTCTTGGACAACTACATGGATGTTCCGGTGGATTTGTCTAAGGTTCTCTTCGTTTGCACGGCAAACGTCACCGATACCATCCCTCGGCCGCTATTGGACCGCATGGAGCTCATCGAACTCTCGGGTTATGTCGCGGACGAGAAAATGGCCATCGCTCAGCGGTACCTTGCGCCTGCTGCCCGGGAGCTGACTGGTCTCAAGGAAGTTGACGTTAACCTGACGGAGGACGCTGTTGAGGAGCTCATCAAGTCGTATTGCCGTGAGAGTGGTGTTCGCAACCTGAAGAAGCAGATCGAGAAGGTCTACCGGAAGGCAGCGTTCAAGATCGTCCGCGATCTTGGAGAGGATGTTCTCGCGGAAGAGAAGGCTCTGACGGATGAAGGCAAGGCCGCCCAGGAGGAGTCGCAGAAAGAGACCGAGTCAACTGAAGCGGTTAACCCTGCTGATCCGGAGAAGTCCACAACGGAAATTCCTCGCGTTGCGTTGACGGTCCCCGACACAGTGCAGCTCAAAATCGGCAAAGACAGCCTTACTGACTATGTTGGACCTCCCATCTTCACCGCTGATCGTCTGTATGATGTTTTCCCACCGGGCGTGACCATGGGTCTTGCTTGGACCAGCATGGGAGGTGCTGCTCTTTACGTCGAGTCGATCCTGGAGAATGCTCTGTCGGCGGAATCCCGACCGGGCATCGACATCACCGGTAACCTGCAAAACGTAATGAAGGAATCTAGCCACATCGCATACTCTTTCTCCAAGTCGGTCATGGCTAAGCAGTTCCCCGAAAACCGCTTCTTCGAGAAAGCCAAGCTGCACATGCATTGCCCCGAGGGCGCAGTCCCGAAGGACGGGCCGTCTGCAGGTATCACCATGGCCACGTCTCTGCTGTCACTGGCCTTGAACCATCCTCTGGACGCAACTATCGCCATGACCGGAGAACTGACCGTGACCGGCAAGGTTTTGCGCATTGGAGGTTTGCGGGAAAAGACGGTGGCCGCGCGCCGCGCTGGTGCCAAGAAGATCATTTTCCCTGCGGACAACATGTCTGACTGGCTGGAGCTGCCTGAGGTGAGTTGAAATCCGAAAACCTGCATTCTATGGCAAAACTAACCTTTATGCACAGAACATCAAGGACGGTATCGAGGGCCATGCCGTAAGTTGGTACTCGCAGGTGTTCGACATCCTCTTCGCCGATCTGGACCAGGCGGCTGCCAAGAACATCTGGCAGAAGGAGCTTGCGGAGAAGCCCAAGAAGAAGTCCACTGAAGCGGAGGAAGATGCGTGAAGCACACCACCGATCCTCATGCCTTGATGACATCCTATACTCTAGCTCCAGCCGGGGATTTTGTTTTCTTTTCTAGTCGCGTGCAAGGCGTTTCACCTGGAAAGCATGGTCTGGAGTTGCTCTGATTTCTTTGTTTCTTCTTCTGTTTGGATTAATTAGACCCATCATGAGGTTTTTTACCCTTGCTTTCAAGCTGTGGCCGAGACCACAACGCGGGTGGAAGTCGACGCTCGTCTCGCTGTCTGGCTGTCCCGATACCCTGCTGCGAGGCCAGACGGCGGAGGCGAGCTGCAACACTGAAGCCCATCATATCACGCTTACACAATCACTCCGCTCCGAGAAAAGATGATGGGGGTTTTGTTCATTCCACCGGCTGTGTATCATTGCTGGTTCATGTAAATGAGCCGGTTGGGGAAGGGGGTAGAGCATCGGGGGTGGCTGGTGCTTCCTGACACTTTGTTGCCAGACTTGTGAATGGACAGTATCACTTTTTGTATGTACATACGAAGACTATGCCGATGTATTTGATAATAGAGGCTCCGTTGCCCGAGTCATGTCCTGCTGTAGAAGTAGTCCGGTCTTGAGGAGTTTCAACTAGGTTGGCTATGGCTTTCGTAGCAGGGGGACGTCCTATGGAAAGAGAAACAAGTCAGCGTCTCAAGGTTCCTGCTACTCAATGCTGAAAGGCAAAAGGCCCTAAAGAATTCTTGCCGGCTTGAATGTCAAAGGGGCTATGATGTGAGGAGAGACAGTCTGTACTGTACAGACGCGCCTTCATCCCAGCAAAAACTCCAGCGCAGCGATCCCATCCACTTCGCCCGGTGTAGCTCAGGCGCCTTCAGGCTACCACCACGCCGAGCCATGATGCGGAGCCATATGCGGAGCCATAACGCTCCACCGATATAGACGTCCGATCTGATATCAAAGAAGCATCTCCTGACATGATATACAAGGAATTCCAGGAGGTTTTCGCACAACAGTTGTAGAAAAATCACCCTGTAAATTACCAGATGAATTCTAATTCACGTGGGCCAACTCTCTGGGTGCTATTCACTGCTCTCGGTCCCAATCTGGACAGTCGCCCTGCTCCACCCACAGCTATAAAACCTCGCTCTTTCCTGCTTCTTCTTCCTTCTCCTTCTTCTCTCCTTCTTACCACCCATTTCCGACCGTTCCTCTCTCTGTCTTGTGACCTCGTCCAACGCGTATCTCGTTCCACGTATCTTCCTTCAAGCTTTGTCTTGTTACCTTAATCAAAGTAACTCAAGTATCCTCTGCTTTATCAATCAAGATGAAGTTCAATCTTCTCTACATCGTGGCCCTGTTCGTCACCTTCGTGGCGTCCGCCGCTGTGTCCGGCCTTGGTGATGATGAGTTCTTGCTGAGCAACAAAGGTTCGCGTCTTCTCTTCTCTTCTCTTCCCTCCCCTCTCATTCCCTTCCCTCGAGTCTCAGATAGACAAGCTGACCATTGTACTCTTTGTCTGATAGATATGTCTGGCTTCGATGACTTTACTCTGGCTGACCTTCCTGTCGCCACTGGTGATGAAGGTAATTACCGTCTTCCTCTTCATTAGCAAAATGTTCTTGCCTTTGTCCTCACTTGTACCTGGGAAACTAACTCACTGGCTTCTTCTTTTTCAGGCACCTCTGCCTCTGACATTGAGGACACTTCTGCCTCTGAACTTGAGGACACCTCTGCTTATGACCTTGAGGGTACCTCTGCTTATGACCTTGAGGAAAACGATCTGTTTGCCCGTCAGGCTAGATGCCATCGTCGCTGCGGTCAGGACTCTGACTGCTGCCCCAGATGGGTTTGCGTCCTGCACGTGTGCATGGGACCCAATCACTGAAGTGGCTTGCGTTGTCAGTGACATGGTGACACACTTGATCGACTGTTTGATTGGTCGGGTACTTACTTGCTCACTTGACTTATGGGGATGTCATTACTGCTGATCAGGGGAAGTGAGAGCTGAGAAGGAGAGTGAAAGAGAAGCGGTGACTATTGACCGGAGACGTACTGATCCCGGGTTTCGATTGGGTGTTGCTGAGCGAAGAAGTGGTTGCGGTCCGGCGTGCTCAGTTGATTTGAGACGCTGTTTGCTCGTGTTTGTTATTTCCTTTTACTTTGATTGCGGGTCTGTGGTCCGGCCGGACAGGGCAGTCCACTGCGGATGTTATGTTGTTACGTGCCTGCTGTGCGGGAGGGACGATGGTAGCGACTGCAGAGGATGGTCTAGTCTAGCGGCATCAGTTGCCTTGCAAATCTAATCCTTTACGTCTTCTTCTATTGCATCAGAGCTGGGCTGGCCGTAGTAGTCTGGATTGCTCTTAGTGCCGTTGCCATACATACTAGGGACGTAGATAGTATGCCACCATCAAGCACAATGAACAGCATGCTCTATCACACATGCATAGTTCGACCATTAACAGCCAGGATGGAGATATCGCACCAATGACTCCAGTCTCTCCAGCCTTTCCTTCCCCCCACCCCCCCTGGAAGAAAGACCTCCGGCCATGGACCACCAGCCTCAGACGTGCCGCAGATTGGATGCCAACAGGGAAAAGTCCACGACAGCCGACATGCCAGACAGGGGACTGTTCGGAGTCCTGGCATGCTCCGGGATTCTCCGCACTGCTGTCCATCTATCTGACTTTGGGGGATCAGCAGTGGGGAGAGGGGGTGAGTGGTGGGTGAAGGGGAGAAAAAAAAAAGAAAAAAAAAGAAAACAGAGAAAGAAAACAGAAAGAGGTGGAAGACGCCGAAGCCAGACCAGATGGCTATCATCGGCTCTGTCTTCTTCTTCTACCCCTCCAGGTATATCCGGAAATGTCAGGTATGTAAGTACATAGGGGCCCGGAGGCGTGCGTAGAGAGGGTCACAGCATAGTTCAGTAAAAGTCAAAGATGGTAGCTTACTATTATTTATATATATTTAATAGTTTGCCACACTCACTGACCATTTCATAATAGTTGTCAAACTGTTACCTACAGTAACAGTTAGGTTGTAGCTAGGTTGTGTTACAGTTGCTTACAGTTGCAAAACAGTTATTTATTATTATTTACATATAATAATAATTACTAACGATACAACCTCACCCAAACCGGGTAATTACATACAAACGTTGTTAAAGTTGAATACGATTCAGAAACTATTATGTAATTATAATTTAACAAGAATAGTTCTGTAATAAAATAGATTAGATACGGAAGATATCTATTACTTATGAACAGAAACTGTATTTTATAGATATATAACAAATATTAATCATAATTTCTAGACATTATCTGGTATTTTATAGATATATAACAAATATTAATCATAATTTCTAGACATTATCTGGTATTTTATAGATATATAACAAATATTAATCATAATTTCTAGAGATTATCTGGTTACACTCCTTAAATAATAGTAAGATTCTTATACAAAATATTCTCAGAAGTAATATATAATCATACGAAAGTAGTAAAAGACCAGAATATAATAATTTGTTATTTACATAAAATCAATATTCCATGAACAGTATACTAGATCTTGTCTAGTATTAATATCAACTGATACCTGTCTGTAAACATTATCTATATCGATCATAAATGCCGGCTCAACTTTACTTTGTAATCCTGACAATACCCATCTCTTAGAAGAACAATAGAAAGGAAGAGTTGTTGCCTTATCTGTATTTCCGTTCCGTACCCAAGGCTGTAATAAAAGAAAGAAGAAGCATTCTGATTGTGTATAATGCTTTATACCACAACTCACATATGCTATTGAAGACTGGTATTTAATAAAATTTCCAGTGGTAATTGTCTGTGAATGACTGGAGAACAGAACACAGTTAGTATCTTGGAATAGAAGATATATAGAAATCAGCTGCGAAAGCCTTTCACAGCTGTCTCCTTAAAAATAAAGAAATCATACCGGGAACAGAATTTGATCTGACAATAGTAAGATAATTGTGTTTTATCATACTGGCGAGGAAGTGAGATTGAATATTCTTGCCGGTACGCTGAAGGTAACATGTCCAGTATATCCTGCTCAGAAAGCGAAGAATGAGGCCATTCAATCGGATGTGTCATTGTAACTTGCAGGTCAGTAATAAATTCATCTGCAAGAATATGTTTCTGGATCAGACGTGGGCAGGACATATACAGATCCTGGACAATCTCTAGTAGAATTGGATGATCATCCCGCCAGGAACCCGCAAGACCCAGGCGTAAAGAGTGGTGGAGCCGATCTAGCCGGAAGAGATAAGTCATCAGCTGAGGCGGCGAGGCGCGATCTATCCATCTCTTGAATATTCTTATATAGTGTGATACTATCAGCAGCTGGCTATAATTTAGAATAGGTACTTACCTATGCTTCAACTCACCGGCTAGAACATTACAGTTCATGAGCGGGCCATACTCAGCAGCAAATGTATGAAAATGAAAGCCAGCATGAACAACTGGCACCCCAAGATACTTAAACCATTTATCTTTATTATGCTTCTTATTATAATCATGTGGCAGTTTTCCTGCTTCATGTTAGCTAGGTAACTGGCCAGCGAATACCACAGATACAGACCATGGATGCTGAATGCCTGTAGCTCTGAATCAGTCATGGCTGAAGCTGTAACCACCAAATGCTGAAAGATTCGGCGGCTGTGAGTAATCCTTGCATTTACCAGTGCAGGAGGCAACGCGCGGCTGGTTGAGATAAGGGTGGTTGTCAATGCGATCTCTGCACAAGCACGGACCAGCCACATCTGTGGCGAGGACACATTTTCGGTATTTGGAAAGAGATGTGGTATAATATTTTTAATCCGCAGCAGGAATCTCGGGTGAAACCAGTCGGGCGGGCACATACTCGAAGAATAATAGGTAAGAGAATGATCCCTCGACCAAGGTCTGACAATGTCCAGGTTTTTAGGTGTTTCAGAGGAGGAAAGTGAGGCCATTGAGCCGGCCGAACAACTTTTTGCAAGGCTGTAGCGAAGTTGGAAACCCCTGAAGGCACAAGAATTTTCTGGATATACTCCAGCAGACGATAGCCGATCCCCTTCCAATCAGAGTGCGGTACATCATACGGACGGCCTAAAACAATGTCAAGAGTTGGCATGATCCGTTCGATTGGCGAAGGCACGGACTGTATCCCTACAGCATTAAAATATCTTTGCTGTTCTGGAACAGTGGCCTTGTGATCACCCTCAGTTCGGTAATACTGATGCTGGAAATGATATCGGCCATGGGAAACAGTATCATATGACCACTGATACTGTTTGCTGCGTGGACAGTAGCATGTCCGACATCCGATATCAGCACTATAGCTGAGCATACCACTATTTTTAGCTTGCTGTGGCATATCTCCAGTAAGAGCCATGACGGACGCAGTAACAAGCACTTGTTTCCCATGGATTGTGCTGTAAAAGCCTTTTGCCACGGTCTCAAGGTCAGTATGGATATTGGCAAGAACATCCTGAAAGGAGGCCCCATGAGGACCCAGCGTTACGGTAAACGAGTTTGCCAGACGTCTTCGCCGGCATAGGACAAGCCGGCAGGTGTGAGATAGATCCCCTTCAATGCCCTGAACATGTTGCGGTGGGCTCCGAAATCATCAATAAAAAGGAGGAAGGGTAGTGACATAACTCGTGGCTGGCGGATAGCCAGACAAAGTAGCCACGTCCAAAGGTCTCAAGCTCAAGTTCTGCTCGCAGGGGTGCATCAAAGTGCACAACCGAGCCCGATTATCGCGCAAATTTAGGACATGATAAATAAAGATGATATCCTCGGATAATGTGGCAGGGGGACGATGAGTATAACAAGCTGGAAACCAACACGGCTACTAATTGATGACACAGGGACCTCGAATACTGCATCCTCAACCAGTTGATAACCACTGTCGATGTGGGGATCTGTTAGCTCAAGTGACCCACCATTTTCTTTCCTGACCTCAGCCAGCTGGTGCGGTTCAAGAACAGGCTGGACAGTA